CAAATACTCATCCAATATCACCCGTCGGCAACATCCTTGATATATATATCGGTTCAGTCGGTCTTGCTCGACATCCGCCTTCACTGGGTCTTCGTGGATGGGATCCCACGTTGGCCGTTCAAACCCGTCGGGTTGGATGATAATGGCCTTACTGCGTAGCCCGTCTCGGCTAGCTCGTCCGCTTTCTTGCGCGTAATCCAATAAACTCCGGGGAAGTCCAATATGAATGATACTCCGAATATTGGGGATATCCACGCCCATTCCTAGCGCACTAGTCGCCACTACTACCCCCGTAGCATTGGCCTGAAAATGGGCAAGTACGCCCTTACGGTCTAATGTGCGGCTGTGATATGCTTCACTGTCAATCAGCTGGGCCAGTTGCTCCACCGTCTTGGTGGTCGGCCCGTAAATCACGACTCGGCCTGTCTGCATACGCGCGCGCGTGATACGGTCTCTGATAAAGCTGATCACGTCGGGGCTCTCGATCCAATCGTAGCTGTTACGATATCGATTCGACAGCGTGGGCTGCCAGATCCGATATGCCACGTTTGTCCGATTCGTCCGCGCTCGAAACATATGGGCCTTCTCTCGCGTCGTCCGTAATCGCTGTAAAAGCTGATCCTCCGCGGTGGGTGGCAGCGTAGCGGTCAAGTATATCATCTGAGCCTGAGCCACGATCAAACGGCCTAGCTGGGCCATGGCGGGCCGGAAATTGGCCTGATCATTGAGCACCACGTGGTATTCGTCTATCACGATCCGATCAAGCCGATGGCCGAGACGCTGTCGATTCAAAAACGTCATAAAATCCTCTGTAATGGCCGATTCGGGCGTCACGAGTACGATGGATGCCTGATCGGCCGGCCGACGGCTCTCCCACTCCACGCACGAGATGCCGAGTCGCTAGCACCGCTGGACCATATCTCCGCGTAATGCGATTAGCGGCACGACCACCACCGTGACCCCACGGGGGCTGATCCACGCGGGTAGCATGAATAGCAAGCTTTTGCCACCCCCTGTCGGCATCACCGCGACTACCGGACTCTGGCCCTGCTGAATAGCTTCTAACGCCGGTGCTTGTACCCCCCGAAGCCACACCGCGCGATTCCCCATCATTCGTTGCATTTCGGGCTCCATAGCCGCCTGGGTCAGTTGCCATCGACGTTCTGTACGGCCAATTTCGGCTTCTTTTTGCCACGGCGAAAACTGGCCCAGTCCTAATGCGCTCTCGGCACCCCCGTCATCCGTGGACACAAACCCTAAAAACCGATGCCAATCGGTGCTACTAAGCCGAAACATCTCTCGCCGGTGGGCCGTCGTACCGGGCTGTTCGGTGATCCCACGGCCGTAAATCATGCCGGCCACGTGGGATGAATGGGCCGCTTGTAGATCGGCAATGTGGCCCATCCATTGCTCCGCATTCATGCTCTCTTCGTCATCCTCTTGGGATGCCTCCGCTCGTACGTCCTGACGCGTGTTGTTCGGGAATACGCTGGATGGCCGCATAAACCGACGGCTAATGCCAATAGCAATATCACGATACGCGTTCAAATTGATGGCGTGCCCGTTGAGTCCAATGGTGGTTTCACGCTTCAGCACTTCACGGAGTCTTTCGGATGACCAATCCCGGCCGGTACTGGGGTCGGGGGACCATAAAAACGCCTGTCTCTGATGACTGATTGGAATTAGCATCGAAACGTGATATAACGGATCAGTGGCCAGTTGCCCAATAAATCCGGTATATATAATGGAAACCCAGTAATTCCGATATATAATGGAAACCCAGCAATTCCGATATATAACGCTTCAGTGGCCAATGGACCACATGACTTACACTTCAATTTCGGAATGGCCCATCCTCCGTACCTTCTCCACGTACGCCTCTAGTCTCTCGACAAACGGCAGTACTAGCCATAAATACCAGACCACTAATTCACCGACTTCCCGGGGTAAATACCGATGAATCACCTTGGTGTCATTCGATGCGTAAAACCCTTTGTGATACTGCGTCACAAACGCCACTAGCCTATCCTCGATGAAAATATTGCGATGGCCGCCGCTATTCGTATTATAATGTCGAATACTTAATAGCTCTGGGGCACGTGCTAGCTGGCCCCCACTGATATGAACGGCAATAGCAAGCTTCTCCCGAAAATGGGCCACCCGTTGAAGATACACGTCAATCGCCGTCATTCGTAGCCGGCCTGTATTGCTTTCAATAAAACGATGCCGTAGCGGTCCGTTTCGCACCTGATTTATCATCCATTCACTGCCAGCCACGGGCCACGGCGTATGGGTGTCATTCAAAAAACTCCATCCCTGGGCCGTCTCTGTGGGATCATCGCAGATACCCCGCCACGGAATCGCGGGAACTGACCCAGTCTCCGTGCTCAATAATAGCTCGTCACGGAGTATCTGCCGCGTCGAACTAATCAGCCCGTGGACGAAACCCCGGAAGTCCCCCATGGAAAAGTTGTACTGCTGATACAATAGCTGATCTTGATTCATCCAGCCAACGTGGCTAGTCGTAGTGCTGTTATAATGGATCTTCAAGCCGTACGTACGGAGATCCAACAGCCATTGCATCGGGCTATTCGTTCCACGGACCATAAATTGACTAACCATCTCAGCCACCCACTCACGAAATGACCGCTGGCCCTGCTGAGCCTGGCTGAATTGGACAAAATGGGATGACTGGGTCGATACTGGAACTGGGCTAGTCTCGAAATTGTAAAAGTCATCGTTCGACGTCGGCGGCGTCAAAAATGCGAATTCAGGTGAATCTAGTGGACTTTCGGTATCCTATTCACCTGCCATTTGATGCTCCGTAAGCTGTGATAGTATTGCCTCCGCTGTCGGATCGAGCTTCAACGCCTTGTGGACCACCATAAACCGTGCGATCTTAATAAGCTTCGATAAAATGGGTGGATAGCTCTGCGCGGTACGCCAGCTAGCCTCGCCCTGACCAAGCACTGCCGCGGCACAAATCAAGGCACTTTCGTAGTCTTCCACCTTGGTCCGATGGTTCAGAAGCTCAATACAAAAGTCTAGACACGCGGTGTCAATGGGCGCTAGTTGAAACGGCGAATTGCTATTAATACGTCGATTCGCTATTGATTCGCTGGCGATTCGCTGACTATTATCATCTAAACCGGCCCTATCGAAACTAGCTCTATTGGGACTGGCCCTGTCGGAACTAGCACTGACTGGACTAACTGGACTAGCTGGACTGGCTGGCGCGCTGAATCCCGGCTGGGCCAGTTTCCAAAGCGTATTCCACGCTAAACGCTGCCGTTTCGAAAACCGGTAATATGGACTGGCCTATTTATGCGATGCCTGCGTGCGCACGAAAAACATCAAGATTTGCTGCCATGGGATCGTATGTCTCTCGATATTCTCGGCATCTATGTACGCTTGCAATGGCTGATGCGGCAATCGGTCCCGCTCCGTACGGACGGCCTCGGTGCGAATGGAATGGCTAGTTTTCGTACAAATCAACTGGCTGATTCGGGCTACTATAGCCATTGAATCCCAAATAGCGGAAGCAGCTAATTCGGTCGAATCGGCCGATTCGGTATCGGGTGCCATAACGCTGTCTCGCAAGTCTTGGGGGTCGATTCCACGTAGATACACGGCCCACTGGGTCCGTCGAAGCCATGGATTCGCGTCGTCACGCTGACTAGCCTCGATCAACTAGGGCTGTTCTTGTTTTTCGATGAATGCTTGTTCGATCTGATCCAAAACCTGATCACTGAGTACGGTCGGTGCCGATTCGGCCTCGGGGACTGCCTCTGCTCCGACTATACGTACGCGGATATAATGAGACCCTGGCCCCTGGGCAAACGCGCGCTGGCATTGGACCGTAAGCGTAAACTGCTGAATCTGCTGCTCGGCGGCTGATAAGCCCTGCGCTGCTTGGGCTATTGGCCTACCCCGGTTATTGGGCGGAGCCACCCAGTCATGATGATCCCGCCAATGCTGTCGTATAGTATTGGCTGTACGCGCAATAAATGAGCACAATGGAACCTTGGTGCAGAGTAAGCCGTCGGAGTAAATTGGGATATTGGGTATTGGAGTGTTTATAACACTTGGGGGCTCCCATCGGTCACATTCCTCTGCGAAGCCCCAGTTCTTGATCGCGAGGCTTATTGAACGAGACCTTGGTAAACTAATACGATGAGAAGAACCCTGAAGATGGGCTATTACCTGCTTTGGTCTAATTCCATGATTGCATTTCTTGCACACAAGAACTGGGGCCGTCGATGGCTGGTGAAAAAGTTGATGTTCCATTGATATAGACGTCGAATACGAAGTCGGGTGTAAAACAGTGTAAAAGTAATAGACGTAATAACTGGGGATTATATTAAGCCCCTGAATGATTCTCTACCCCTCCTGACCTATATACACTAAGATAATCGAGGTTATCTCATTCGTCTGAAAACCCTGGAGTGACGTTTAAGGCGCCTATCGCTACCCGAACTAGCCCAGTTTGCCGTACCCCATCAAAAATATCTCCAATGTTTGATCGCAATTTTCTCGACATCTAATAGACCAGAGATCATAAAATTGAAATGGGGGTATATTCACATAGTACATTATAACGTCCTAAATTTTCAGACCGATCGGAGCACTATAAGCCTCTCCAGTCTGTTATTCCCAGTCAGGGTCCGCGCCCCACTTTTTCTGGATTTTCCCCCATACTAAAGTTGGGGCAAGAATTCCCAGTCAGCCTGACTGGGCCACCCCCCGTGGGATAGGGTCTAGGGTCTAGAACCCATGCGACTCTCACGTTATACTAGGAAACCATGCCTAAGGTTCTTTCGTCTAATGCAGCACACCATGAAAAGGCGAGAGGTTTCATGAAGACAAAATTGATGCTCTTTCAACACTTCAAGACTAACTAGATTAATACATGGGGTCTTTCCTTCTGCTCTTGTGCCCTTTAAACTATATAGATAACCACATTGTATATCCACTGCTGATCCCCCGTCTCACAAACCTACTCAACGTCCCCATTGGGGAACGTTAAGTGCCATCCCCATGATAATTCCACTAATCAAGCCAGCACACGGAAGAGTCAAAACCCACCCGAAGAAGATCTTTCCTAGCTGTTTCCAATTGATACTTCTCAAATCCATATTGACTAAGGCAACACCCAGCACGGCACCGGTAATGCACTGCGTTGTTGAAACGGGCAGACCCAGCCGCGACGCAAGTAGCACGGTAATCGCAGCGCCCAGCTCCATGCTGTACCCGCGGGTAGGTGTGTGTTTCGTAATGCGGTTACCAAGATTGCGCATAATGTGGTATCCAAAAGTCCAGAAACCTGCAAATTATTAGCAAACTGGATATATGAAAGGGAGGCGGAATGAAGAGAAAGGGATCTTACCAAAACCAAGTCCAAGACCACCAACAGCCTTGATCCAAGTCGGGGTGTCGGTTTTGGTAGATGTTACACCGGTGTGCCATGTCATGTATTCGGTCGTGAATGGGCCAATGGCATTGGAGACATCGTTGGCGCCGTGCGAGATAGACATGATCTACTCATCTTGTTAGATTGATTGCACAGAGAGGGGAGCGAGGGGAGTGTACCATAGCAGAGCAAACCTGAGCAGTCGTCCATAGATGCTCAACTTTGTTGTCAAAAGCGGGGGCACGTTGATGAATATGATCAAGACCCTTTGACTGATGATGGATGACATCCTGGGAAATACCATATGTGAAAACAAGCTTGAGGGTGGCGAAGATCCGTTTGGGATGCGCCCAGGGCAGAGAGTCTACAGCTTCAAGTTCCTTCTGATGCTTCTCTGCAATCTTGCCATCCGCCTTCTTAGCTTCGTTCTCAGCGGTGCTGGGTTCACCTTTGACAGGTTCGATTTCTGGGCTGTTGAGGGTGGAATTGTGCGTCTCAGTGAGAGAGCCAAGGGTGTCCGTCTCGCCCTTCTCGTTCATCGCATTTAGGTCGCTTTCATAATAATTGGGCACAATTCCCGTTTCTGAGTTACCGGGGAAGTATAAGGTGTAGTTATCCCGCCAGAGAAGAGGACCCATGGGGATATGCCAGAAGCGTAGGCGGCGGTCTTCCTTGACCAGGCTGGAGTCGGTCAGCAGAGTTCTCAAATAAGGGTTTCTGTGGATAACATACCTGCGCCAGTAGTAAGGGACAAAGAATACGGCACTAATAACCCAGACACCGGCAAAAACGCCAATAATGATACCACACGCCTTGCCTGCACCCAATTCCTCGAGATCAGGGATTCCGTGACCACCACTAACCACGATGAATAACGCTAGAATACCAGCAGTAAGAGCGTAGTAGAATGGTAGCACCCGCAACGCCCATTTCATGGGATCCTCACGGGAGTGCACAAGCAGCCGAATACTGGCGAAGATTATCGCACCGAATGCGGCCGAGATGACAGGAGCGATACCCCAGGAAGCAGCTATTTGGGAAACACTCTGGGATTTCCAGCCCCAGTGGACAGGGAGATCTGCCGCAATGGCAACGCCAATGAGAGCACCGACGATAGATTGGGTAGTGGACACGGGAAACCCGAGATACGTGCAGACAGTAAGCCATATCGAGGAGCCTAAATTGTTAGACAGAGGAGTAAGTAATTGAAACCTTTATACTGGAAGTTTGGAAGGAGATTTATAGTGAAACGCACCGATTTCGGCAACCACCATGGCCATTATCAATACTCCTGGTGAGTCCAAAAAGCGGTCGATCGAGAACACACCGCTGCGAATGGTCGAGGTAACCTGCTGTCCAAGGGCAATAGCACCAATGAACTCGGTGATCGTCGCAAGAAGACCGGCTTGAATCAAGGTCAGGGACCTGGAGCTGACCGAAGTTGCGTAGGAATTGGCTACATCCTATGTCAAAGAAAGAGATGAGCATTTGATCAAGTTAATGAAGTGAGGGTCAAGGTAAAGGCGAACATACATTGGCACCAATGCCCCAAACAGAAAGAAGAAAAAAGATGGTACCGATGGCGAACAGCCAATCAAGATCGTGATAGACAGCCATTTTCACTTTCCTGGTACCTAAATTCAGTGAGAAAGACCTCGGACTTAGTGCGTGTCAACGAAGAGATGAATTCGAGGGAAATATATGATATTTATATGTTGTAGGGCTATATTCAGTGAGAGGTTATCATCTAGAAAGGCACGTGCGCAGTACCCCGAACCAAGTCTCGTTTCATTAATTAATTCCACGTTGTTGAGGATCCAACCACAGGGCGGGAACATAGGTAATGCTTCCAGAACGAAATCTCATTCAATGAGTATGCTCAGATAGCATGCTCTAGTTGAACGCCACGATGCGTATGCATTCGCCGAAGCCTTGGCCCCATCCCCACACACCTCCGCCTCGTTCTTGGCGTAATCCCACCATGTCTTGGCAGGGCAAATCAGGGCCCGGGCTATTGGTCAAAATTGGACAAATTGGGTTCACTAATGATATTGGATTAATGCGATCCAATCAGTCCGGCACGGGTTCTAATAGCTCTTGGCCGTCGCTTACAAGCTTCTATCAGAGAAGACAAGAAAATTCAAGCAAAATGCCAAGTGATGCCAGCCAATTGCACGGCTAATGCATCACATGCATACAAAATGTATTGCTAATCGTGAAGCGTTAAAGAAAAAAGGAAATTACTTTTCGATCTCTCTTATTGTCCGAAATAGGTATCTAGCTGATTTGATACTAGACTGGCTCGTATACACTCTACGAAGATGTCCTAGCGTTCGTTCATGACCAGTACAAGTTTGTTGAAGGGGCATTCAGGAATAGAAAATCATATAAGGGCGACTTAGTTCATTATCTACAATAGTTCTATATCACAATATTTCCCCTTAAGATAGCTTTGCTAGTGGCAACCAAGCTGCGGATAGCAATGCGAAATGCGTGGCACGTGGCACTCGAAATTGCGGGAGGCGCGACCGGCGGAGCGGATAAACAGATCATCCGACTTGCTGCCGCTGCCAAGCGGATGGTCCGTGGGCGGATCCAGGACCGTTGGAAGCAGTGGGAGAGCAAGAGGACCTCTCAGCCACAAAACGCTTGGTGGAATGGCCGGGTAAGAAGGTCTTGCGTTTTTGAAATTGTCTGTCAAAACCCTGGTCTTGGATTACGATGTAGATGCGCTCAATGCGTATTGCCCTTAGGTATTTCCTGTACACGATCAACGCAGCCGATTCGGACAATTGTCCGTTTGGAGAATGCTCTTAGACCCCGAAGCACGTCTTGCGTTATTTCCAGGTCTTCGGGGGTCTGAGGAAACAGCTGTTTGACCGGCTGGCTTATGCAGGGGTCACAAACCTTACTAAAACGCTTTAGTGTCAGACCCGCTAGCGATCCACTACATCGCCAAATTTATGCACTAGACCGGTCTAATTTTGTAGCTTCAATATAACAAGCAAAAGGGGTATGATAATGAAGCTAGAGACCAAGAGCTCAGAGAACTGAATCCCGTAGACACTAGGTACTGACCAACGCGTGCTACCACCATCGAGGGAGGAGAGAACCTCGATGCTCTATTCAAATACACGCTGCCTAATCAGGCACTAAACAACTATCATTATTAATTGAGGCTAGGATGAGGATGTCGGGGAACGAGGTATGATCCTGCTGCAACAGGAATTGGCTAGCATCTAGATCGAGGTGTTTACATAAGATGTGGGATTTGAGAGCTCTAGAGAGAGGGACGGTGCATCCACAATTCACCTTTGTGCTAGATTCCAGGCAGAAAAAGACACCATGCCTTCACTGACAGCGCCACGCCACTACTAGCTCAGAATAATGATTTATCTCCTGCAGCCTGGAGCTTGATTCACGACATGAACTGTGCCGGTGTAGTTCTGGGATTGACTCAAGTCAGTTAGAAAGCGACGCTAGGCCCCCTCAATGTGATTATGGTGCCATTCATGAGCTCTTCTCTGTTAGACCTTCATACTCTCTTCGGTCCCGTGAGCGTAACGCTCCCGATGATGTGCAGCATCCAGTACGAGAAAAAGGAGTTGTCATGGTCTCCTTTCACCCTTCTAGCACCCGCTGCGATCCCCCGCTTCAGTTTCCAACCAAGGATACTTTCTAGAACATATTACTCAATTATTTGGCTACCATTACGCTAGGCTGGGATCTGACTGACGGTAGGCCGGCGGGAGTCCGCGGCTTGGGAGAATCTCAGTCGCTATCGTGACCTCGTTCAAATGTTTTTGATAGGGATCGTCCGCAGCAAGACGGAGGGAGCGTTTGTAGCGGAAGAAATGTGTTACATTTAAGGCATGCTGCTTAAGAGGTGGCTGCTTCGATGAGAGATGACAAGCCTTTAGCGGATAACGAGAGGCCTTTCTTGGCATTAAAAATAACTTTTTTATCCTTTCTCGATCGTGAGCAGTTCGCGAACCAGCTTACCATGACTAAATAAATTAGCATTGGGTCATGATCGATCGACTTTATTATAATTTGACTATGTACGGCGCGCTCGATTAATATATATCCTCAACTCCGGTTCGGGACAAGCGGCACCCCCAACGACACGGTACGCCTGAAAGAGTCAGGCTGATATATCCATACGAAAGTGCTATCTCGGATCTGCATTCGCACTTGGAGATGACTAGGCTTGGAGGACAGATCACGTCGACCAACGCCGATGTGATCTACAGATCCTATATACAAAAGTCGCGAGTAGCTAAGGGCGATTAAGCTGTTCACGTCGATAAAATAAGAGGAATCCAAAGCTAGAATATGAGTTAGTATGATTCTGGAATGAAAGAAGAAAATGTCACTCACCTGGCTAAGAGCTGGAAGAAAAGGGCGATCCAGAACCACGCATTGGCTACTTTATCCGCCGACGAGCCTACATTCGGGGAAATACCTGCTGGACCGACCTTGTTGGGGGCAAATCCTCGAGCACAAATTGTAGCCACAGACCCGAGGAACTGGGCAACGAGCAGGACAAAGCATACATGAACCCGGGTGAGAGTTTGTAAGAGAATCATTCCCAGGCCGACTTGTTGAAGTTCATCGAGGAAACCCAGCCAGAGCCAGACACAACGAGAGGCGAGGGCTCCAGATGTCAGACCTCCCGCCCACGGGAGGTAGAAGCCGATGTTAGATGTTCCCCACCAAGTTTGCGCCCAGCGCGGTGCGCCGACGCTCAGCCCGAAAACGGGCAAGATCCAACTGTGCTCCTTTGACAAGAATCGGAACATGAGAAGTGCAGCTATCCAAAGAATAATGAAGAAGAATACCACCAGAAGCACCACCTCCCATGTCTTCGCATGTTTAGATGACCACAAAAAGGACCAGTTGCGACCAAATGCCGCTGCAAGGAACCAGTTTTGGATAATGACCATGAAGAAGAACCAAAGGACAATGCGCCGGCGGAATAAGGACGTGTCAAAAAACAGGACCTTTCCGGGAGATTGACGATAGTATTTGGGCAAGCCAAGTGCAAGTACAACACCTATAACAAAACAGACCGCAGCGATAGGCATCACCACAGCAGTGAGTTTCCATGTATTTAATGTAGCCGAGGAGACGCCCCCAACTTCCACCGCGGTGACCCTGGAACTCCAGTACCAGAGGGCAACGGTGTAAATCTGTTGGATCCCCTGGATAAGACTTGCGCGGAACATCCAATCTTTCACGGGAACTGCACCCTGGTCACCGAAATTCAGCGCAAAGAACAGAGACCCACTAGAGGATGCAGCTGCGTAGACGCCTGCGGCAACATTCTGGGCCCATGCTCGACCGAGACTCGTGATACCGTAAGGGGAAACGCCGATAACAACAAAGGCCAGGGAGTATAGCAGCCATGGGAGACTGAGAACAATCACCGATGGGAAGCGATAAAACAGGAACCACCAAACGACAGTGGAGACACAGTAGATGGTAGCGATGATATAGAGCTTCACAGCAGTTTCACCTACCTGACCAACGAGAAGAGTGATCTGTGCCGAGTTGGTCGCGATGATTTGACCAAGACCGAGGAAGAGAGCGTAGACAGGCCAGTTTCCAACGCGCCGTCTCATAAACCTTTGAATGGCGATCGGTCTCTTGTATCCCAGCCGAGCAAGCCATTCATCAATTTCGCCAACATCCTTGGGATCGGATTCTCTTGGAACCCGAGAAACACGAGTATACGCCGTGTTATCGACGGCATCGTCCGAAGCGGTTTCATCCAGTGCTCGTTCCTTGGGTTGAACCTTCAATTGCGCATCGTTGTACATGTTGAAGAATTTTCGTTCGCTCTTCATCAAGTAACTCTCGATGCAGTAGTCCGTGATAGAGTTTTTCATATTCAGGTTGGTCAGCAGGGTTTCGAAGTGGCGTGTGAAGTGGCCCATGCTGTCAGTAAAGGTTGGATCAACCTTTTGCAATTCGAAGACAGACTGGTCGTGATCACCCATGACAGACGGTAAAGAGAGAACAGACACATTGCGGGTGTGAGGGAGGGGAGTTCTCACTGGGGAGGAGTCCCGTGAGACAAAACGTGAGGAATCTGGTGTAGATATCTCAGATCCGCGTGGAGAGTGGGAGCTGTTGTTTCGGGAGTGACCAAGTTCCTGAGATCCAAGAGCTCGGTTCACGGCTGCCACAGCGTCTTCCGGGGAAATGTAATCCTCTTGTGGTGTGTCTGTAGCTTCATCTTCAGCGTCCGTGGTATCGCTTTCGGCACGCTGGTCAAACAATTGACTCTCACGCAATGACTTCTTGACGAGGCGCTTTCTGCCCTGGCCAGGGCCAGCTCGCCGTCCGAGGGAGAGCTTCCGGCCAAGCATGCTGTTACTGTTGCTTTCGGTACCTTGAAGTTCAGCCGCTCGCAGTTCTTGAAGAGAAGGATGACCGAGCTGTGACGTTCTCGCAGGTGGAGAGTCCAATCCCTCCGCCAAAGACATATTGAATCTTGGAAGAGCCATGGTCGAGAATCGCATGCCCTGCATTTCAGAATATATGCTGGACTCAGAGAGGCCTGTCGTAGTATTCTGGTTCTTTGAATGGTGAAGGTGGATTGCAGTTCGCTGTAAGACTTCGAGTTTTTGAGTCCATTCAAGGACGGGGAATCGCTGCTTGGCAGAGTTTGCGCGCATCTCTTGTCTAGTCTGTTCTGACGAGTCAAGAGCAGACTTGATCGCGGTCCTAAGTTGGTGCAAAAGGTGACGCGCTGAGTCGGACTCCACAGTGTACCACCAACCGGGCATTTGGCCGAGACCTCCAATACGAGACCCAATTCCAAGAGCACCTTTTCGGCCAAACTCAACGGCAATCAGCCCGAATGGCTCATCTCGAGAGGGAATCAAGGCAAAGTCTGCACCAGAAAACACATAGGGAGGTAGAACTGTAAACTCTGGCTTTGAGAATACACGCCCTGGGAACATTTCCATGATGCGCTCTAGCTTGATAGCAGCGAGCCTGCCGTAGAGATCGATGATAGGACCTACACAGATCAATTGGACCTGTGGCCTCGCAGACAATACCGCTGGCATGACATCGGCAATCAAGTCAACGCCCTTCTGCTTGGACCATCGTCCCACAAACACCAACAAATCTGCGTTGCGATCCTCAGTGAGACCAGCCCACTTTTGTGCCTGCAATTTCTCATTAATTCGTTCATTGTAGGACTGAATCGGCGCCTCTGCCTCGGGGTTATCCCCCAAAGCGCCTGTATCAGAGGGGTCTGGATTTGGGAGACTGCCAATCTTGTCAAGACTCCAGAAAATTGGATATCTCGCCCATGATCGCTTTCCATATTTCTGAGAAACACCAACTGCACCAAAACCACGTTGGTGGTATCGCAGATAGCTAGCACCGGTGTGTAGTAAGTTGAAAACATTTCCAAACTGGCAGTATTTGGTTGCAACGTCAAGTGGAATATTGAATACAGAGCAAACTTCTTTCTTTTCTTGCAAAGTTCGTAGAGCCCATAGACCTTGGAACTCTGCATTATGCAATGAAAGACACACTGGGATAGTGCGAGTTGGCAACAGATAAAGCGGCGCCAAACACCCATGGAAATCGTTGATATGGTACAGATCAATGGTCGGCGATCGTCTCATAGTTTCTGCAATACACTGATTCCATGCCGAATAGTAGACTGCACTGTCGAGGTCGTCCATGCGGGGAGGATAGGGCTCTGCCTTAGTCTGCTGACGAAAGACAGGAGCGTCAAGCAAAACATAAGTGATGTTTTCAACCACATGGTACTGTACTTTCACCAAGTACGGGTTGTCGAGAATCGTAATCACATAGGGCTCAATAGGCGTGTCTTCCGGGTAGTCGATATCACCGACACATGGCACCACCCAGATCAGATTCTGATGCTTCAAGTTCTGGGACATGAGCTGGGCCATAACACCGAGACCTCCAATCTTGACCTTCAACCCCCAGTCTTGGATGTCGTATTCCATCGTTGCAATTAAGACTGTGCGTCGTTGGCTTGAGACACCCGCGGCAGCAATGTCTGTCGACACAGCTGTGTCTGACTGCCTCTTCGGTGATTCATCCTCCCCGGCGACCTTATCCTTGACTCTCCGCCAGAACAGGATCGGAAATCTACCTCCTTTGACCAAATTACCATCTTTGTTAAGCTTCACGCGATAGAAGGTTCTGATAAAGATGAGAACACCGGCTAAGCCCATCAGGATCGGCAGAAGCCACAAGAGAATGAAGAGCACAAGCTGAAGCCATCCTGACCCAACCGGGATCAGTTGATATCTCAAGTTGCCATCGTCCAGGGAGATAGTCCAGCCAAGATGCGGGAATGGAGGCAGAGCCGTGATATTGATGACGTTCGACGATAGGTACGATGGGGGAAGTTTCTTGACCACAGAGGAGCTGTCGACATCTCCATAAACTTCCGTAGTATCCGGTATGCCATCCTTGTCAGTGCCCCAAACATTCAGCTGTCCGACAGCGGGCCACTCATAGACAAAGTCGTACTTCCAACTTGACGTGTCAGAGTCATACTCCATCTTGTTTTCCAGACCCGCGTCGTAACCGTACTGGTTGTATGGGCCGTTCCACCAGAGGTGAGGAAATCTTCGAGTGGTATCATCCCAGTCATAATCACCTTCTTGTATGTAATCGCTGCTACCGGTGAGCCTTGAAAAGTACTGAACACGAATGTGAGTCCCCTTCCACTTCTGGTCGTTCGTGCCAGTCCAAGAAGGGATATTGATTGTAGTGTTCCCTCCCGAATAGGCTGTCCAATCCGACCAGCTTCGGCCAAAATCGGATGAGTAGCGAAATTGATCAGCACCGGCCGCGTTATGTTGGATGTAGAATATGTCGCTAGATTTGTGCACAAGTGTGGAGGAGTAGTTGGAAAGCGGAGATATCAGGGGATTGCTCTGAGTGCCAACGCGAAGCAAAAATTTGTCGACTGAATTAGTGTGTGCTTGAGATGAGGAAATATTGTTGACTGTCAACTGATGGATTCCGTGATGAGCGTTTTTCAACTGAGCAGACCAAGTCCACACGGTTGGGACTTCGCCAACATATGAGTTACTGCTGGTTCTCGGAGAGACCTTTGTACACTTCACACTGGAGGTATCCAGAGAGGCAGTTATGTCCTTTTCTGTCGTTGAATTTAGGGAAATCGCGTTGGTGATACTGTCGCAATCCATCTCTTTGGAATATCCAAGCTGAATTGGGATAGTTTCGCCCTCATCTTGGGCAGAAAGGAAACGAGCGTCGTGTCCGGGAAGGAACTCCGTAACAGTAGGACCGGGCTCTACAAAGCTTTTGGCCTCGACATATGCCCGAAATTCCCACGGCAGCAATTTCATGCGAGAGACACAACCATAGCCACCATCTTCTTGGCTATTGGGGCCGTCACTCAGCGTGAGCTCTTCATAAGGATAGAAAAGATTCTTCAGCTTTGTCCCTGACTGGAAGGGAGCCAACAATGCCGTGTTTTTGTTGGTGCAGTTGCCGCCGTAAGTTTCTGTTTCATTTCCATTTTGATATACCAGCCAGAGAGTTCCATTGCCATCAGTTGCCGTGGATGCTTCTTTCTGGACCTCAGGGAAGTAGCTTCGTAGCACAGACCATAGACCAGTGACTGTGGGGGTGGTGGAAGAACCAGGAAGGAATATCTCTTTGGTGAGCTGGGAGAGTGTTTCAAGATACAAACCATCATTGGCGACGGGATACTGCGTTCTAATCTCGAACATCCTTTTCATGATGTTGCGGATTGGATGGGCGGGGTTTCGCTGATCGTAGGTGACCGTTATATCGTTGCATCCATGGAGGCCCTTTTCGATGGGGAAGTCATAGAACTTTGAGGTGTTCAGATTGAAACAGCCCTGAGTCCACCATGCGGTTTGATATGTCATGGGCTGCCGACCAAACATGTAGTTGGATGCAGTGGCATCAAAGACATACATCGCCTGCTCCTCGCCCCACAGGATGAGAGGGATTCCCGGGAGCTCCAATGACACGATGTACAGACCGAGAAGGAACTTATCAGTGCCATTCTTGACTGCCGGCCAACGGAAGTTATCTTGGTTTGAAACGCCATACATGTGCCTCGGATCCAGTTCGCCAGTGAATGCATTGAGGAAATCGTTGGACCGAAGCATCTCGTTCCAGGCCTCGATGAAATCGGTGGGCAAGTCGAATCCGGCGACTAGGTTACCATCCATCCCTAGGAAACGGGTCATTGAACGGTAGATGGTATAGTGAAATGCGGATGCATCCAATGCTTGCAACCCATCTTCTCTCAGGAAGTGCGAGTCCGAGTTGTTCGTCAGTTTAGCACCAGCGCCTGCATCCTTCGGGCGCTGATCAGGTTGACGCCCACGGCCAAGATATAAACTGCCAAATGTATCTCCGGACGTAATTTCACCTGGAAGGAAGAAGTTGTCCTTGCCAAACCGTTTCGCACATTCGCGGTAAACAGCGGTCATCTCGCTCAATGGTTCAAGGGTTGCTTGAACGGCTTTATCAAAGCGGAACCCATCAATATCGAGACTAGCAATTTGGAAGCATGAATGTCTAGTGAGGACGTCTCGGACCGGCTTGTGCCATTCGCGCAAGCGATCCTGCACGGAGGCAAACTTGGTAAGCTGACGCTGCCAGTCTGGGAAGTTGCCGAACGCCTCAAGCTCTCCATATTGATCGAAGTCACTGTTGTAACAACCCTTGAGGTCCTGCACTCCACCGGACACTAATGGGTCTCCTGTCTCGTTCCAAAATTTGGGGTAGTCGCAAGTCTCGTTGTACTCGTTTCCAAACTGGAAATCGGCATACTTTCTGTCTGTGACCCATTCAACTTCGTATTCTTGTGCGCGAAAATCGGCTGAATCGTTCAGGTGGCCTTTGAATCCGACCAAGTTACTCATCCTTTTTTTTCTTGGTGTAAGTCCACGGGAAGAATCGATAGTAGTTATGCCGACTTACGTTGACAAGGTGTTATCCACCAGGACGTACATATCCCGCTTGTGAATCTCGGCAATAGTTCGTCTCCAATCCTCAAGCGTTCCGAAATGCATGTCGAGCAGGGTGGTATCAACGGGGGAGTAGCCATCGTAGGCCCAAGGCAGGTTCATCAAATACGTGCCCGCGAAATAAATAGCCTAGAACCCTTAGCTCTGAAGGTTGACCAAAGGGGGTCGAGCCTACCTTGAAACCCATGCCCTGGATGTAGTCCAACGTATCAATCAAACCATCAAGATCGCCTCCATGACGCATCTGATTTGAGTTCACAACATGCTCAAAGGTTGTTCCATTGATATCGTCATTTGTCGGGTCACCGTTCGATATCCGATCCAAGAATATGGTGTAGATGGGAAAGCGCCAGTTGTCTGGTGACGGATGATAATCGTGGTCTGGCCATACTCCCCAATAATCGATAGGAGCTTTGGCGGATTTGTTTTCGTTAAGATTATAATCAGTGAGCGACTCCGTGTATGGCCAGCATAGTGCATGCACGCTCAGAAATGACAGAATGAGAATTGCTGAGCGTTGCATTTCTGTTGATATATCAGGCCGGAACGCCAGGCACCAGAAACTGCACAATCCACCCCTTCTAGAATTGCAAAGAGAACAATTCCTGTATGTGCTGGACCAACGAGAGCTGTAGCTGAAGAAGAATAAACGAACGAACTTCAACGGGCACCAAATATTTTACAGCAGAGGATGTGAGACCCTTATCAACCAAACAGGCGGATGGATCGCTATACTTTCAGTACTAGCGACCCACATTGGAGCCAGATATTACTGTATCGATCCACCCACCGCCATCTTTTCGCCCGCGGTGGGGTGGCGGCGTTTCTCAGTGGCTCGGATTAGCAAAATGTGTCTCCGACCCTGGTCAGTCCGGTGTGTGTCTCAGACAGGCCCAACAGAGAGTTCAACGCGACAGATCGGGTCCAGCCGAGAGTGTAAGCCTCAAATCGGTTCCGCCGTGATAAGCGCAAAAATGCAAATCGATGTCGATCCCAGGTTCTACCTGTTATACTCTCCGTGTGCCTGGGTTCCAACAACCCTCCCAAAATATATCAAAGAGAGCTGCCACCGCTCTGTATGGACGATAAGACATTTATTGGCTTACTTTTGGCTTAGACCTACGAACGTCTATTTTTAACCATCTTATCTTATCTTTGGTATCTTTCCGAAGCTTGGCTGATTCCAGCCCTCTAGCTCGAGTATAAGTAGTTGCTTTTTCGCAATGAGGTTTACATTTTGAGTGAAACGCCAATTCTTTCGGAGACATGCTATATATAAAAACTGCCCTGGTACGAGATACATCAAGGTGGAATCTCGATTACCGTTTTGAATGCGTGGAGCAAGTGATCCACTTGTGAAGAGATTTTCTCTGTCTTTTGCTGGACAAGCAAGAGGAAGGAGAGCAATGAATTACAGTTTTCATGACTTTGACATATGATCAGACTAACAGCCGATACAGTCCATGTATATATTTGAGCGACCGTGGTGCGTACAAAAACAGGAGTTGGAAATAGATCAATGAAGTTGGAACATGTCAGAATCTAAAGAAAGAAAGAGAAAAAAACTCCTCGGTGGGACCAAAGGGGCGGATGACATCATAGCGTCAAGTATGTTTCACTATGGCCAGTTGATACATGCAGCTGGAACAGGCAACTGGGATTAATTTTCTTGAAACCAGCAAATTAATTTTCCCGGCTCAGAAAACTTGCTCATGCTGTACTTCGTATTTTTATGGGTATAGTGATCTTGACCGATCAAAGCTAGGCTTGTGAATTGATGCGGGTGGCTTTGACCCAGCGTGGCTATCTATACTTTGCTGACCATCGATGCGGGACTTTGCCCGATTCGCATTGTCAGTTATTCTCCCACCTAATCCCATTTCTACTGTTAGGGCTACTAGCAGTGAAAGCGTTTGCCTCGCAAAAATAACCTCCCATTGATGTTTAGCACGTGGCCTGCAATCAACATACCCAAAAATAGAAGTTCCCGAAGCCTGAAACGGAAAGACAGACTCGTGGCAGGCAGGTGAAAGTACATTGCTGTAATTGCAGAATGGGCCTCAGTTGACATAAATCTCCGGCCCCTTGCTTCATCGTCGATGGGATCGAGTCAATATTGATTAGAAGCCTTTCCCACACTATTGGTGTTATAATAAGGTCATCTCATGATTAACATAAGTGTATCTGCCGTTGAGGAAATATGCAGAGTTTCGGTCAAGCAGGAGATGAGAGAAGGATGATGAACTCACGGCTCAGGAATCGGCTTATCGATGACCGCCCAGACATGCATGGTGCCCCCGAATAGCTTTTAGTGCCATGCAGCCCCAGAGAAGCCATCCAAAAAGCATTAATCCGGATATTCCCAAAAAAAAAGCGTTCTATTTGTAATCGAACAGATGACGTAAGAGAGGAAGCCTGGCCAATGCTGTGGTGTGGTATAAAGACATGAAATCCATATCACGTTATAATTACCGTTGTATCAGGCCTGGTAAATGCTTACAGGCACATGGAATGTCATCGTGAGCCTTGGTTGGTGGTACTAAGCTAAAGTGCCAAGAGGCATAGAACGCGCTAGAAGTCCTTTAAAATGCTTCATAATAGGTACCAGGTCAACGGTCGGATGTTTGAGCTAGTTCAGCAAGTGTAACAGTCTGCCGTAGAATCTCCAAAATTGAGGCGTGGCAGAAGGGATTTGCACAGTTTGACAACACAGCCATGAATTCCTGCAATCTTTTAAAAGATATACCTGTTATATTAGTTGCTGTGTACTTACCGTTCTCTGGAATCTCACGCAGGTCGATAAAGCATTTCGGCGAATTGGACTACATATGCCATTGCCAAAGACTAGGAATCAAATTATGAAAGCTGATCGCCCACTATATTAATGGCGGTCCCAGATAGACTGCATTATAAATTCTATGTTTTTATTGTGGATTCATTTAAAAGTTCTGGTCCCCTCCAGTGACTCTCACAGTGAAGGAACCATGACTAAATATCAATCTCTGTCCATTTTATTTTTAGCGTCCTATCTTCCTAATGTCAATCCTTTGAATTTACCCGTGGAAATATCAAGTGTTTCTCGTATACGACACAAATGCACTCCATATCGGATAGCCACATAGGATAGAATACTAAACGTGGAGTTAGCACTAATCCCACTACAGCGGGGCATAGAGCGAAATTACAATTATATCCACACTCACGTGCAGTTAATGCTGGCAAAAGCTAATGCCTTTTGGTTCATCAATACCCCACTGACCATGATCAAAGTCGCAAAATGTGATGGTTTTAATCAAGCACCAACACCACAGATCAGGGCATTTGGAGTGTATTCTGAATATTCAGACGCACTGTAAGACAGTCAACCCCATTGATGTTGTTTTCTTAAATGATTCCCTGCAAGTTCAGTAAGTCTGAGAGGAGATGGCAGAGTAAATGCACCGCGTTCGAAGCATTATTGGCAATTTGAATAAAGTATCCTCCAATAAGGGCACCCGCTTTCTAGTTTAATCTGTACAATGACTTTGAAATGTTGCACAAGTAATAATCAACCCGATAATACGAGAGCGTTAAGTGGAAGAGAAAACATTGAAATGATAATTTCTGGACAATAAACCCACTGATTCGCACTTCAGCCTACGTCGGTATCATTGGTTCATCTCTCGGCCATACTAGAAACAAACGGTATTTGCACAAATTTCCTGTCCGTAGTTGGATAATAATCAGATGTCCTTATATCAGTAGATTCTTGGAGCTAACATGTCTTTCGCTTGACACAAGCGCACCGGCGCCAAGAGCAGAAAGAAAGTGGGCCGACATCAAGCATCAGGAAATTTCACGTTTGAAGCCAGAAGTCGTCAGTTTCAGGCCTCACCTCAATCTAACTTTGTCCTTTTCAATCTATCTTCTATATATGCCGAGCTTCCTTCACGCTAATTTGCCTAGGATTGTAGTATGTGAATGATATTGTCGTTACGGCTTTTCTTGGCCTGCATATTGAATTCGTGGGCTCAACATTGTCGGGAGATTACCGGAGTGGGAATAGTATAGCCGATACTGGAATATCGATGCGAGCATATCAATCAAATCAATCAGATAACTCGGATCAATCAGGATGAGTTCGTCCTCCGAGCTTGGCCCTTGATCCCTTGAGACTAATTGTCAGCACTAAGTCGTAGTGGCAATGAGAATTTCCCGTCGTGGCCTTTTCTATAAGGCGCATTTTCCAGGCTACATTCCCAGTAAACACGAAATTCCGATGATCAACGCCTTCAGTTTACCGAAAAGTGTCAATTTCCATTGACTTTACTGGTTTCTCTCAAGCCCTTCTCTTTAGTCAACCCATTTTAAGCTTTTTTTCTAATCAAAAGTTGGGTAAGAAATCATCCTCGAGCGGTTTCTTCCACCATAGTAGGATTGCTGCCAGGATACATAATATAGTGCCCCCCAGGTTCTGTTTCCGAAATCTAATTCCGAGCTTTAAAATATTTCATTTGGGCACTTGCATTCACTTATGTTATCATATCCTGGACACACTCGAGACTGTTGAACAATTATATCTAGCTTTGGGTTGTTTGAGAATTGACACCATGGCTGTCAGAAAGCGGTTCATCGACTTTCGCGCGTAGGGCATCTGACGATCACTCAGCGGCTGCCCATGATGATATTAAAACTCCTACCAACCAGAAGATTTCCTTGGAAGAGATACAACAGAATAGTTCTAAGTCTCCAGATGAAGAAGAGATCATCGACGAGACAGCGCAGTCTGATACGCAAAAGGCTAAGCATGGACGGAGAATACTCTAATTGCAGCATACATTCTGTAAGTTTACAATGCGCTCAGGCTGCCAGACCCTTCCATCGCTAACTGCCTTGCAAGTATTGGGGTAGTAAATTTCCTCGAGTACTTCAGCTCAGGACTTCTTAGTTCTGTGTCCCCATATATCTACAGTGGTTTTGAGCTACATTCTCTGACTGGGCCGGCATCTGTGATTGCTTCTTTGATCTCCGCTCTCGCCAAGTTCCCTTCCGCAAAGCTCATGGATCTCTGGGGTCGCCCTCAGGCTTTTGGAGTAGGGGTTGGATTCCTGACACTTGGACTAGTCTTTATGGCTACCTGCAAAAACGTAAAGACCTACTTTGCTGCAGAGGTATTCTATTAAACTGACTTCCGTATGATTGATTTCTCCATGACCTTCTTCATTGCCGATACCACAGCCTTGAAGAACCGTGCTTTTTGGATCACTTACGCTGCTTCTCCATACCTGATTACACCTTGGATCTATGGTTATGCTGCCAATGAGATCATTGCTCCTGGTGGTATTGGATATCGATGGGGCTTTTGGTTTTGCCATCATAATGCGCATCATCAGTGCTCCCTTATGGGCCTTGTGGTACTATAAGTAGAAAAAGGCTGAAAAAATGAACCTCGCAGAAGGAAGAGTAGTGGACGGCCTCTCTACCAGTTCATCATCTTTCATTGCATTGAATTCGATGTCGTTGGCATCTTGATTATTGCCATTGGGTTTTCTCTCTTCCTATTGGCATTCAATCTATACTCTTACCAAGCCCAAGAGTGGCAGTCTCCCATTAATATCTGCTTCGTTGCCGTTGGCTTCTGTCTTATGATACCTTTAACGCTTTGGGAGAGATACTTCGCGCCGGTAAAGAAAGTTCATGCACTTGGATTTGGTTCGGTTCTTCACCTTCTCCATGGTTTTATCATTATACCTGGCTTGGTATTTTTATTTCGCCTTGTAGATTATGTTAAATCAGACTGTTACGGAAGCGACTTACGTATTAAATATCTCTACCATGGGCTCGTGTTTCTGGTGTCTAGTCTCCGGGGCAATCCTCTGCTATATTGGTGGTGGTACTCTTGCTATCTGTGAGCAAATGACTGTCATAGCTGTGTCCACCCAAAGAAATATCCCCGTTATCCTAAGTTTTGAGGGCGTGTTTGACAGCATTGGCAACGCTGTGGGGGGTACTGTTGCCGTTGCCATGTGGACTGGAATTTTTCCTGTCAAATTGGGCGCACATCTCCCTTCATCTTCCCAGGCTGACTTTGAGAGCATTCATTGCTCCCTGTCTGTTCCACAGTCTTAGGCCTTGGAAAAAACAACCCGTGATGCTATCGATCATGCATATGTTGACACGCAACGCCTTATGCTCATTACCGCGCCCTGCCTGTATTTATCTCATCACATGGACATCTTGTTTGTTCTGAAAAGATCTTAACATGAAGAATATGAAACAGCAGGTCCATGGGATTCACCTTTGGGCGCTGAAAGGGCCTAGCTGGGCGAGGCCACAGTAGACAAATGCTGACGCGCATCAAGAATGCCTCGGTTCACGCATTTCATGATAATTTGCCCAACGCTCGATTATTTTCATATTAAGACTTCAGTCACACCTACTGCTAACTAACGGCGTACATTCAAAGACATGTTCGATAGCCTGTGCATTTTTATCATGACTCAAATAGCCCAATAGAGCTAGAGATTCTGTGCACAACCATGTTGCGAAATATCTTCGATTCGACGGCTGCACAGAAACGCAATGGTGGCCGTTGAAACTCTAAGACGTGTCAGAGCAGAGCGCCTCAGCAGAGTGTCGATTCAGCCCGCGAGATTGCCTCGCCCGCGCTACCTTCCATAGTTGGTCCCTTCAAATATTGATATATCAAGGATCGGCAATTCAGGGGAAGTCAGCTGTCCCGAAAAAGCAATAATAAAGTTAGGGTGGATATCACCAATGGTGCAATTTACCCTGGTCTCTGCATTGCACCCCATCTACTGTATTCTCGCGACTCCTGAAGTAGTGTTTGCTTTTTATGCATTCTGAAGTAAAAGAAACATGTCTTTATTCAAATAAGAAAATAAAAGGTATCTAACAGGAAGAGAGGTGGCGATTAACCACTATCACATGTCGACATGATAAGTCAAAAATAAAGAAAAAGAAGGAAATAATGATAATGCGAGTATCAAGACACTCTATAATCCATCAATGGTCGCATGGTCGCTACCAGCTTTCCGTCGCCAGGATGGAGCTGAAGCAGGTAGCACTGGTGTATATGGGTCTTTGTTGGGGTCAAAGAATTAGTCGGAGGCGTGCTTCTCACTGTCTCCACTGCTCATAGCAATCTCGGCCTTCTCGGCCTCAGATGCGAACTGGTGATCGGGAACGCTCAGGCCAACTTCGATCTGCATCTGAGCGATTTGCTCGACAGTGAGCTTAGGCATGCTGTTAGCGACCTGGTAGGGCCACTTCTTCTCAATATGAGCCTTGGCGAATATGAGGTCGATCTCCTCCAAATCACGACCGGCAGTCTCAGCGTAGAAGAACCAGGCGAATGGGATGGCGACGAAGTTGACCAACGCGAAGAAGAGGTAGATACCCCAACCACTTTGGTCAGAGAACACGGGGGTAAACATGACGACAGCGAAGTTGCAAATCCAGTTGGTGCAAGTGGAGGCAGCGGCAGCCATAGTACGAGTGCGAAGAGGGTTGATCTCGGGAGGGTAGATCCAAGGCAAAGGCAGCGTAGTAAAGGCGAAGAAGCAGATGAATAGGAAGATACCAACGACGGCACCCTTGGCGTTCTGCTCATTGTCCGAAATCAGACATCCCATGGTAATGATGAAACTAAGACCTTGACCAAGGAAGCCGATCAAGAACAAGTTGCGACGACCAACCTTTTCGACCATGAAGAAAGATGGAATAGTGGCCAAGGCATAGACGGTAGCGAAAACACCACCAAGAATCAAAGAGAGACGGTGCTTCATGTGAAGGTTCTGCTCGAAGAGTAGGGTCGAATAGTAAATAGCAGCGTTACAGCCGGTGAACTGCTGGAAGAACTGGCCAGAGCAACCGATCATCATACGCTGGAATTCCTGAGTCTTTCCGAACTTGAAGAGCTCTCTCCAGCTAGCCTTGTTGCCCTCGGATGCCTTAAGATCGGCCTTCATCAGGTTGAAATCGGTAAGCACATCCTCGGCATCAACGCTACTGTCGTTAAGCTGAGCCAAAACCTGCAAAGCCTCTTGGTCGTGACCACGCATAACGAACCAGCGAGGAGACTCAGGAAGCATCAGAGCACCGATACTAACACAAATAGCGAACAGAATCTGGAAGGCGACAGGGAACCGCCATTGGACCGAGCTATCCACGTAGGAGAGACCAAAGTCAATCCAGTAGGCAACAAATGTACCGACGGCGATGATGGCACCCTCGAAGCAAACGAGGAAACCACGGTTATGCGCGCGAGAACACTCGGACTGCCACACAGGAATGGTGGCGGTGTCCATGCCGTTTCCAAGACCTGAGATGACACGTCCGATGACGAACTGGCCTAAGCCCCATTGGGGACCGAAAGCAGCAGTGGAGATGACAGTACCGATAATCATGAGAACACCTCCAGAGACCAGCAAAGGGGTGCGGCCAATCCTTTCACCCCAAATCAGAGTAAAGATGGCACCGAAGAAACATCCGAGTTCGTAACAAGCAGTGACAGCACCACGGAGGACGGAGACGTGGGCAGAGTAGGAGCTGCTGCTGCCATCGGGAATAGCGAGAGGAGGGAACTCCTTTGTGAATTGGTCACCGGAGATAATACCGGACATCAAACCCTGATCATAACCGAACAGGGAGAATCCAATAACGGAAGTGAAAGTGATGGCCAAATGGAGCTTCTTGCCCCGCAGACCGGAGGTTGTAGTCCACATCTTGGGTTGTGTATGCCTCGACCTAAGAGAAAGGGAGGAAATACTCAAACATACAAAAGAAGAAGGAGAACCTGTCAATCCTGGGGAGGGGGAATCTCACCTTTTTGTAGACGAATATGAATCAGGGCCCCCACGGGTTGCTGAGTGCCAAGAAGAAGAAAGTCTGGAGATGACGTCGGCGGGTATACAACAACCAACGGAGTAGGCAAGTCGGGCGAGGCCGAGTAGGCTAAAAAAGGGCTAAGCACAGCTAAGACCCAACCGCGGAGACGGCCAAGAGGGCTTAGCGGAGATTTTCGGTTTTGGCCGCCACCAACGTAACATCCGCATGCGGTCAACCATGGCGAGTCGAGATGGGAGTTTCTGGTTTGGGTGCCTGAATGGAACATCACTATGTGCCCCTGGATGAATGAGGGGGTATTGTATGTCCTGTCAAGTGATTCTCACCTGGGGATAGTCTGTGGAGGAGAGAGAGATCAACATATCCCTTGCCCCAACCGGAACCACATGCGACCACCAAAGACACGGGGAATTACGGGGAGAGGCTGTGGAGTCAGGGTCTGAGTTTTTTTCTTTCTCCAGTCGCTATTTGTTCGATGCAGAAACCCCCGTAAAAACTTTTCTCTCGGGTCGGGGCCGGGGCTGCATATTGGTCGCATATTGGTCGCATATTGGTCACAGTACGGGACACTAATCCTCGTTTCAGTTACCTTCGTTTCAGTTACCTATTTGTCTTTGTGGCCCCGAACCCCAAATCCGATGCCGACGGCCGGGGGACCGGGAATTGGGATTGGCTGGCTTTGACTGGCTTTGACCAGGGGCCTGAGTCGAGTCACAAGCCGCCAAGGGCCAAGACCCAATCAAGCATCAGACAAGAAATGCCAAGGGGCTTGGTGACCCACCAAGGGTACGAAAAAGAACTCATCTCGAGTGATGAGGAGGCGTCGACGGGCGGGGCGTTGGGAGGCGTTCAGCCATCCCCGGAGTCCTTTCTCCACTAAAACTCACGGTTTATGTATTATCCACGGTTAAACGATGGTCGCGTTTGATTGTCTGTGGAGTTCATACTGTATAGGCGAAATGAATCGGTAAATTAATTAGAATAATCTAAGAAGCCTCTTACGGAAGGTCGCCAAACTTGCGGGGAGGTATATCGAGAGGCTCGAGTCCATTAGCGTCTAGTTCGATTTCAAAGCAACCCAAGAGTACAGAGTTTAGGTACTATGCAACGTTCTTCTTCTTCCATGTCATGCCTCCCAAGGTTCCCAGATTCCCTCTCCCACGTTCATTAAAATCCCCGACCCGTCTACTCGCGGAAAAGTATCGTGCCGCGTGTATGTAAGGCCCGACCCAACCCACATGGATTTGAATATCCACATTTCTCGACAAATTCGGAGACGATCAACAGGCTGAGATTTCCCGACACTTGGGCCCCAATTTATGCGACCTCTGTGGTTCCGAACCGACCGTTCTCTGGGTTCCCGCTCTGTTGTAATTTCGCACTTGCCGCCTGCAATCCCGACATTGAGACTAGAATCATGCCCGTGATGACGCGCGCGAGTCGTGGGCTTGCATTGCTGTCCTCCTGCGTCACTGCTGACATAGAAGCCGCACTTGGGCCTCATGTTTATACTACCGACCTTCAAGTTGTGGTGGAGCGGGTGTGGTGGGGCTGAGATGGGATCTTACTTGAATCTTCGTGTACATATGGGAGGTAAATAGGTAACGTTAAATCTTGTCGTCCCTCGCACACAATTATAAAGTCGCGCGATGCAAGATTTGGTTTGGAGTTCTCTCGGATTAGTCGTGCAGATGGCTGGCGTGAAGCGAGCATAGTGGAATGGCCTGCGGATGGTTACTGTCTGTGTGTCAGGCATGAGATGCGAGATCTTCGGGTTGGGCGTCTGAACGCTAGCAATTCTGTGGTCTAACTTTGTCAGCGGGATGTTTGCTTCTTGAACTTTCAATGGTCATCCCAGTCGCAAAATATATAATCTCACCGAAACCAGTCAATGAAAAGTAGTCTCCCTCTCAGCGGTACTTGAAGATCAGCGGTGTGTTAATTACACCGTGCTGATATTGATTGGCCGGCACCTTGAATCAAATCCTCAACAGATCTCGACCACACTGACAATGAAATGCTTCAGTCATGAACGATGATAAAGTGGACTGTTTTGAACAGTCTTCAGATGACTTGCAGTTCTCAAGAGTGAATTTAGAAATTTGACCTATAGTATTTCGTATACATCCTGTAGAGTGACTCTTATCACTCTCAGCCCCCGAACCAACTTTAAACTAAATACGCTGATCTTTAATCCTAAATCGATCTTCCATATGAAATTCCTGGCCAGTGGAATTCCAGCACGAAAGCATATGAAAGTTCCTTTGGGATTAGCGAGGCACTCGGAATCCGGAATCCCGTGGGGTGGTTATATAAATTGCAGTTAAACAGAATGACGCGCCATTCAACGTGAGTAAACTGTCAGAAAATATAAGTACAAAAATGAATAACCTACTTGAAATTGGGCCCAGTTCAACGTAAAAGTCCATTTTAAGAGAAGAGAATTTGTAATGTTATAAAAACAAATGTGGAATCTCAATGCATAATAAAACAGGTCACGTGAATAATGAGCTAATGCCTTAGGCACCAAGGTCCAAGTTCAGGCGGTATTCAGGCAGAATTAAGGCAGCAAGGGGAAATTTCGGTCCTCGACTTGACAACTTGACCATTACCGCGCATCTTCAGATGTTTTGCTATACTCCCCGAACAGTCTGAAATGCTGAGAAATCTAGCCTCTATCCTTTCTGACCGTAGACTGGCTATTAAGTAGGCTATCGTTCATACGGTACATTTTCAGCACCCAACTAGTCGTTAGATCCAGACCATATATCGATATCAAGATCAATAATGGCCTTTACACCCTCATTCTCACCAGACAAAAGAGATACTAAAAAAGTCCCCGGAACAGCTGGAGACATGGCCAAGCAATGCTTGAGGCTCTTTGTTCTGACCAATTACTGCTTTTACTATTAACAAAGGGTTCTAATTCGTTACCTGCGCATCTATACTGTATCGTATGGAATAAACCAAGTTGCTGAGATATCTAGTAAAAACATCCATTGTACGCCGGTCTTCAGAAGCATAAGTAGCTGGTGACCTGATGTTTGCTTTCACAGAACAGTTTTGGGACAACTTGGGGATTTTTTACCGATGCTTCAAGGTCGGTCTTGAAGACATACGATATCTCACTTGGTTCTCTAGTACGGAGAACAGCGTAGACCGTCGCGTAGCATTGGCCTTTCAATCACGAAAAGGAAACATCATGCATTGTTTGCCAAAGTTTGTATTTTATTGAGAATCATGAGACCATATTATTCTAAACAAGGTCAATCTGAGACACGTAGTATTTGCTACTCTCTAAAAATATCTACAGCGGAGGGCCAGCCCTGTATGTCGTGGCAGGCTGACGTTAGATCTGGGAATTCGGTCGGCTAGCACTACTTTTACTACAACAAGTGTGGAGTATCGCGCAGTGCCAAGAAGACACAGCTCTCCTGAGGTGAGGGCATCCACACTTTGTCTCGGACCCTGCCGTGCCATACACGATCCAATTGGCCATGTGTTGAGCAAAGTAGCCGAATCGCATGCTTAGCGTGCTTACTTGCAGATTCCTACTCCACTATGAGAATGAGGTTGCAATTCCCATTTTTCTCTTTAGGTTCTTAGCATTCTCTCAATGAATGTATAAATTTTGAAAAAGGTCCACGCAGAAGTCATAACCAACTTGCTCATTTCGTTTCACTCTTCTCGTATTACTGTATCATCATAACCTCAGATTAAATGGCAGCCCGTTGTCTGTTGACGGCGCTTCTGGCTATTTCTACATATGCCTCGCCTGCCAAAATCCAACCTCGCTCTATCACTCCACCTGAAGGGTGTCCCATTCCTACATGGACAGTTAATGAGTTCCAGTGGTTCAATGGCTCACACAGCCTAGACTGCATCCACAATCAAGTCGACATCAATGCCAAGGGTTGTCTCTGTGGAAATGGCTGGTGTAAACCGGATCCAGCTACTTGTAATGGGACCATGGTGGGCGTGTGCTGGACCGGAATGCCAAACTATGAGCCCTGGGGGTACGGTCCGATGCAAACGCTGGATATCGACTTTGCAGACGGCCTCAGATGTCACGATGAGTACATTGGATATCGTATTCATGACATCGCTCATGGCGAAAGCAACTGCGGCTATGCAGACCGGGGTGCTGGGCGGATTGTGGCCTTCTATGGAACTTCAAATCTGGAAACTTCAACTGGTCATATCGATTATACTCTCGGGGATGGACATGCACTGAAGTGTGACAACGGTAGTACCATCACCTACTCTGGCAGTACGGACTTCCGACTCAGCTGTACGCATGACGCCTACTTCAACGCCACTTGCACAGCACCGGTGTTTGAAATCCCAGTCTTGAGCTACAAATGGGTCTCGCAATGATCTGAAGGAAGTGGGTTCCAAATTCAGACCGAGGGCCTCATAGTGGCGATACAAATGGCTGCATGACAAAGTCTACTAAGATGTGACTTATAACTTATCAAGTGCTATTTGGCCCGATCAGGAATAAATGAATTGTGAAAAGTCAACAAATATTTCAGTTTCTCACATAAACAGTAAGCGAGAGCTGACATGTTCCCTAAGTATGTTGTAAGCTTCGATCAGAGATGGATGTTGTGGTCATCTAACCCATCGTGCCACCTTATGTTTCTGCTGTCCGATAGATTGACTAGGCAGATACAATCAACGCTTAAAAATCTTCAGTTCAATCATTCTCAGAACCACATAGGAAGCAGCAGCGAACGCAAAACCTAGCTCGAAGCCAACATCGCCTCCAGTAGGGTCTAAGCCCGCTTGCTTGGCGATAGGCCCAACCCACCAGGACTGACTCATTCCAGTAACCATTCCGACAATTCCGCAACAAAATGCAAGCAAAGCCGCGATACCAGGTGGGAGTTTGTCACGGTTGTCATAGTCTTCGGGATGGTAACCAGAAAATCCTCGCCTGAATACGAAGTGTTCAGTCAACGCGATTCCTTCGTAAATCGCCAACCAATACCCAATGAAGTGCATGAAGTTTTCCAACACGGCTTCAAAGTTGCTATAGCCGGGGATCGCAATAGCAATATAAACCCCAGTAGCAAAGACCGTCCAGACGAACCGAGGAACGTGACGAGTCCATCGTCCCATGACCATCAAAGTCAACGAGACCGAGTAGATATTTGGACAATTATTAGCGACAATAGAAAGCGCGAGAATGACAACACAGAATCTGCCAAACCCTCCAATTTTTGGGAATAGAACAGCGCCGAGTAGGCCCCCGACGCCAGCCTCATCCCATCCCTGTTGGTATGCATTATCTCCGCCATTGATGGCAGTACTTGTGATTACCGCAGCACCGAGGATTTCCGTAAAAAGCAAGGTCGGGAAAATACCCAGCCACGTGGCGAGGAAGACCTTGCGCCGAGGACGATTGCTTGGCTGATAGACGGTGTAGTCGGCTGCGAAGCTTGTATATCCGGTACCGAAGCCAAAGACTGTGGACCCATAAGAGAGAACAGATCCTAGTTCTGCACGACCGACGTTCATAGGGATGTTCACGAAATCTCCGGAATGAGCAAATACACCGAGCACAACCAGGAAAACGATAAAGGTCGGAATCCAGCTCCAATATTCATACGCATGTACCACTCGATATCCGAAGAAAACAACAAGCTGAGTGCAGAATGCGATTATCAGGATTCCTGCGTACCCAGGGACGCTGGGATTGACGGCATTGATCAGTTGCGCTCCGACTATGATATTAGCAGCAGCCCAGCCGATGCAAGCTAGTACATTGAATATGGCGACTGTGAAGGAAAGCGGCTTGTTAGTTGAGTAGGAAGAAGACGATGTGACACTCACTCAGCTTCACTCCCCACCATCCAAACCAAAATCGCGACAACACCATCTGTCGTAGTCCAAAAGCAGGACCAAAGGCGGAAAAGAAGCAGACAGTCATGACTGCGATCATGTTAAAGAAGATTATCACCAATACCGAATCCACAAAGCCCATGGCGAACAGCGGTTTGCCCAGAACCCCAATAGTAAACGAAGGCACGACCATGTTGGCAGCAAGCCACTAGGATTATTCAACGGATTAGAGAGATCTCGCACGATGCTCAGGATCAAAGTACCATGGAACCAATATTCCAATATGAATTGTCCGTTCTTTCGTCGTCCGGGACGCGTTCGATGCCTCGTTGTTCAACGTTGATCTTGCCACCGAGTCGTTGAAGCTTTGCGTAAAGCGTGTCGCCATACTCAAAGCTAGTCGCAGGGACAGCGCCCGTCTCATCCTCGAATAGTGCTGGTTCCGTGGTCCCAGCGCGCTTTTCGACGTCGGCATATAGTATTCGACTCATGATGTTCAGTTGCGACCGGTTCACGAGTACCAACTTTCAGCAAATGCGCTCTTTAATAGTGATTTCCCCGGAAAGTGGATTGATCCACACGGGGGACTCCGATCCACTACCCCAGACGCTTTGTCCATCTCGGCGTGGGTTTCCAGATGAAAGTGTTCCACAATAACAATCAGAGGTTGGGTTGTTCGGTCGGGTCTTTTAATCTGGTAACCCCCCGAAGCGAGCGGTGTGCTCGTATTGCAGCCAAGCGATGCCGAGGTAGGCCTGGAAGAACCTTCCGCTCTAGTGTTGCGGTGGTCGTTGGGTCAATTCAAGGTTTTATACTATGCTGGTTCGGACTGGTCCATCCGGATCTCCACCGAGCGGCGTTGCGGAGGGGACGGAGACCCGCGCATGCGAGCGGGGTTGATTGAGTATTGACACGGAGAGTACCGAGACTTACAGTGTCAACGTGAATAGTCGGGTTTCGAAGTCGTTTCTGCGCCCTGCTCTCTGATCGTGAGACGAGCTCGGCTAGCGGCGTATGCCGCCAACGTACGTATAATATTTACAGGATGAATGAACAGAATGTGATTGGGCGAATCCTTGATAGAATGAATTGATAAGGTCAGATACCCCAGGGATTCATGAAACTTCTCAACCTCAACGCGTCATGGCCAACCCTATTGAACTTCCTCTGGTGGACATCTCCAACTCACACGATGTGGCCGCTGGGAAGAAACTGCTCGACGCTGCTGTAAAACATGGCTTTCTGTATGCCGACAGCAACAGTACGATGCTTACGGCGTTGGATGTTGACCAGACCTTTAATCTGGTTCGTGAATACCCCTTGCGTCTAGTGCCGAGGTATCTATAGGCGTGAATGTAAAGCTCACTTTGACAAGTCACAAGAATTCTTTCAACTCTCTGCCGCTGAGAAAGCCCCATTTCGCAGAGAACATGACGTCAGTTCCGTCTGTGTCGCTTTCATTCACATAATTAAGCTTTCTTCAGAACCGGGGATGGGTTGGCATGCATGTTGAGACGCTGGATCCTGAACATCACGATGTGAAATCATCTCTTTCCTCTGGCTGATACAGTGACTGACATTTTATTAGAGAGGCGATTTCAAAGAGTCAGTTCTCTTACAGCATGCGACAAGAAATCATCTGATAGCCCTGTAGAGCATTGAATATCGGGGAATTCCAGGAGGGAAATCTCCAACAACCACTACCCCCGTGTTTGGTTTCAAGAGAGTCGGAAATCGCTCGTTTCACCAGTCTCTGCAATGCCACCTGCATTCAGATTCTGAGGCTCCTTGCCCTTGGGCTGGAGGTATAGCCTACTCAATTCCTTCCTCTGCTCAGAGAGACTCATTAATCCGACCTAGATCGATGAGGACTTTTTTACCTCTCGCCATGATCAATCAAGAGGTACGACAGGCAACTCGCTTCGATGGCTCTATTATCCAGCTGTGGTCTCATCATACCGGCCAGGAAAGGATATTCGAGCGGGGGCTCATTCTGACTACGGAAGTATCACCTTGTTGTTCCAACGTCCCGGGCAGCCAGGGCTTGAAATTCTCACCGCAAACAATGAATGGGCACCAGTCCCGGTATATCCGGATGGCCGAACAGACTTCCCTTTTCCTCCAATACTAGTGAACATTGGCGACATGTTAAGCTATTGGACAGACGGCTTGCTCAAGTCAACGGTTCATCGAGTCGTGTTCTCCGAACAAGACCAATCAGATCATACATCCAAACCGCGCGATCGCTACAGTATCGCATTCTTCTGTCAGCCAATGAGTGAGACAGATCTCATTCCCGTTCCAAGCGAAATAGTTTCCCTTTATCGGAAAGAACAGAAAGGCGAAGAAACTGGGAGAGCGTTTGGCCATGGGGGAGGTGCCCGTGGTCCGAACACCGGCCAGCCTTGTATGACAGCAGGGGAGCATTTGCAGTCTCGTTTGGCGGCAACATACCTGTAGTAAAACAATACTAAGAAGAATTAGCGCCATTACGCTACTTTGCAGAATTCTGATGATACTTTAATCAAAGTTGCTTCTACATAAACAAGTGCATCTATATTTAACTTTGAAAGCTGCCATTCCACTGTGCGAAGACGCTAATGCGGGCTATCCTCGTTTTGGTCAAAATGCTCTCTAGCCCACGGGCTGCGGAGGCGAATGGCCTTGCCCTTGTAGAAAAAGATGAATGGGATTGGCACCAAAAGAATTGAAATGAACCCTAACAGGCTGGAGGCCCATTCGTAGTCCAACTTCTCGTACATCTGGGTGGCAAACAAGGGGAACCCAGCACCGACAACGTTGCGCACCAAGATCACGCCTGCAAGAGCCGAGGCTGAATAAGTCTGGTAGCTATCGACAACGTAGTTCAAGATACTGAGGATCACAATATAGATACCAGCGCCAAAGAACGAGGATGCAATGATCGGAACAATCCAATGCACTGAGCGATAACTTGTCCAGCCGAACCAGAACAAGCTAATAGGGATCAAGACTGCTCCCAACCGAGCCATCCACATGCGAGCCTCGGGAACACCTTTGCCTCCATGCTCCTCGACACGGCGCAAGTAGTATCGCTCCTGAAGCGGATAGAAACAGAATGCGACGAGAGGACCAATTGCCATTCCCAAGAAGGCTAGACCCTGCTGACCGGTATTGAATGGATGTCCTTTGGGCTCACCGAAAACAAGGGGAATCGCTTCGTTGAACAAATAGACCAGGCCATATAAGAAGCCGTTGTAGATGGCAGAAAATAATGTGATGGGCTCCGAAAAGAGGAATCGGAACGGGCGCGTGAGTGTGATCGCAAATAGTTCGTGCAACCCCTTTCTGCTGCTTGCATGAAGGTCGGTAGTCGATTCTGCGGAGCGTAGGTTCTCCTTCTTCATTTGCTTGCGCGCGCGCTTGGCCTTGTTCTCGAGCACGGTGGTGTGGCGTGTTTCAGGGATGGTGGTTACTAAAATAATCCAGACACCACCAGTCATGGCCATCAACACCCAGAAGATCCATCGCCAGCCGAGATTTAGACCAATATAACCAGTGACAACCAGCGCCATAGGAGGACCAAAGGTGCTGCTCAGTCCGTAGACCGCCATTGGGCCTCCACTCTCGTTTCGTTCCCACAAATCACTGATACTACCTCCAGTGTTTGTCAAGGGCGCACCTCCGGCGCAGCCAGCGATAAAACGACACACCAGAATGGTGCCAATGTTCGGGGCCAAGGCGAGAGGAAGTTGGAACATGAACAAGCAGAACCATGATACCACATACACCGGTTGGCGGCCAAAGTATTCCGAGAGTGGAGCCAGAAGTACAGGGCCGATAGCGTAGCCTAGGACATAGAGCGACAGACATAAAGTAGTGACCTCAGCTGAAACACCAAATTCCTCTTGTATACCCGTCGCGCCTGAAGAGATACCTCCCGCACACCATGTTCTAGATGAAAGTTGTTAGATGGGCCTCAAAACAAACAAGGACTGGACAATGACGTACGTGAAGACATTGAGCATGCTGACCACAATGGTGATATACCACTTGCGCCATTTCGGCCAGTTGCGAGGGTTGTCGACATCGTCCGAAGCATAGGCAATGATAATCGGTAGTGCGTCATCGGGATTACTGCGTGCTTTGGCCAGCGCCTGTTCTTCAGACAAGACTAATGTCGAGTTTTCGCGGCAAGAGTCCGAGACCTTCTCCACGTCATGGAGCTCAGGTCGCCTGTCCTCCGAAGCCATGCTAAGTTCTGGGGAGAGAGAAAATCTACTGAGATATGCAAGGGAGAGCGCATTTAAAGGGGAGAAAAGATTGGCCCTGTGAGCCGGAAGACCGAATCCCTCCGTGTTCTCCATACTAACCCCGGTTGCCGAGACAGGGAAGGCTTGCCACATCGTTCGGAGTGGTTCGGCGTACCGAAAAGAAGCATCATTGGCAAATGCTTGGCTGTACCCGACTCCACATAGTCTCCACTTGGATTATCTTCTGCCCTCTCGGTGTGGACATTAGTAATTCTTGCCTTGTTTCTGTGTGGTAATCAGCCTGGTCTTTGGCCGGAAAGCAGGAAATATGCAGTCATGATATGCTGTGCTGAGTCGCACATTGAAGTATAAGTCTTCAGGCTTGAGTTGAGACACTCTAAAACCTGAGCCATGTCATAACACACCATACGCGTCATCGTGTTTGTTTATCGCCTAAGCCCGCAGCTTAATAGGTAATCTCCAGGTAAAACGCCCCAGGAGTGGGTTGCTCTCCGCATATTAGGCTGAGACCCCAGATGCGCGATTTTAGTCTGAACTCTGCATCTTTGCTGTACATAGGCAAACATTATTTCTGAATATTCGAGACTCGATTGCGCACAGAGGAAGATTTTGCCGTTTTGTGAACTATTTAGTGCTCACTTACAATCTCACCTTAGGGTTGCTCTTCATAGATTTTCGAGCTTAGCCTCCTTTCACTGGTCGGAATATTCATATTCCGGGACTGACGCCATCCCCGTTGAACTTCGACTTCACATCTTCCTGCTAAACCGCGACGATAAAGTGACCATAGCGACCCAATGATCCTGTCCCGACTTAGGTTCAACTCATCGAGCTGCGATTGACAGGATGGTGTGCCGCCCAATGCTAAATGATGTCACGTTCGTGCCTGGGACCATAAAATGGACTGGATAGCGCGCCAGTATCTCGGACAATCCCCGTCGACCAGAAGCATCGGACATACCTACCAATCAGCCGTGACTCGACTGAAAATTGCGCCACTCACAATCATCCCACGAAGCTGGAAGAGCATTGGGATTTTGGAATCCATGAGACCAGGCAGCGACACCTAGATCGTCTCCAGCGGCTGCAGCGTGTCCCCCTTACTCGGTGGCTAGCACCACTCTGCTGCCTGGCCTAGTCAACTACTCTAGGCCCCACATCGACAATACGAACTCTCGTTATATAACACTGACCCCGGCCGAACACAACAGTAGGCTCGGCCGGGACCGGGGCTGTCGTGCGTGTATTCGCGCCGTCAATTCAAGTGGCAGCACAGAAGGAACAGCTCAATAAACCGTTCACACAAGTCATGACGAGTGGGCAGGGTCGTTACCCACCCAGAGATGAAACTGGTGGCATTCATTTACTTTTACTAGCTGCCAAGGAAACCTATCTGGCCTTTTCTATAACCCCCATCTTTACCTTGATCATGAGTGACGAAAGCTATTTTGACACAGATAACCTCACAGTATTGCTCAAATCTTATTCGAGAACCACGGCACTCAAGTTAGATTGGGATGTGCAATGAGCCTCGGGAATAATACGACAGGCAAACGACTATAGATATTTCTCATTTTCTAAGCATATCCTCTGACAAATCAACCATCAAATGGCGTTTATTATCTATTTAGAATGATTGACATCTCATTTTCATTTAATTCACCTCTGTCATCTCGCTTTCAGAAGATTTAGATGCAAGTTAAAGTGACATTTGTAGATGTCATTACTCCACTCCCTCCGTTGTCCATCAAAGCAAATGTGTACTCGCCGCTCTCAACCGCCCACTCGTGTTTCCAATCGAGAACGACCAGGTAACGCAACACATCCAACTTCAATTCGACGGTTTGGGTCTCTCCCGCCGAATGATATAGCCGAGTGAAAGCGACAAGCTGCCTTACTGGTCGAACGATTGTGGAAACCCGGCCGAGGAGGTAGACTTGAGACACAAAACTGCCTGCCTGACTTCCAAAGTTTATAGATTTCACCGAGAAAGTGATCTTTGACTCGGCATGAAAATGCTTCTCGTCGAAAGATGAATTTCCTGCAGAAATAGTCGCTATGAACCCGACGAGGCTAAATGTTGTGTAGGATAAGCCGTGACCGAAGGGATACTATGCAATCGATAATTGTGAGCAAGGTTCGGAACTTGCGGCTCACATCAAAATCACTTTTACACCACCGAGGTCGACAGAGGCTTTGAAGGAAACTAACATTTCCTGTCGTACTTCACAGGTACCATATCCCATAAACGGTTTAGCATTGTGCCCGCCCTGATGACTGCCACGTGTCACGAAGTGCTAAAAATCATGCAATTAACAAACTAACATCCAAAATTTTCCATAGATAAACATCCACCTTTATCACAGGCACAGCATCGGGGGCTGACCAGTTACTGTTCTTTGATAACCCAGAAGAGAAAAACCACACCCATGTGGGAAGCCAAAATCATGTCCTTTCCCCGATCTACTGAAAGCTCGCAATCTGATTAGATTGGGTTCATATGCGACGAATGTAGACGACCAGACTTTGGACTCACCCCCAGCGGGGGATTTTTGCCAAGTCTAGCACTGGGGCAAAGCATGCCCGTAGTCCAATAGAGCTTGCCTCTTCACCCATCACTCGACCCATGCAATAGATGAAATCGGTGTCAAATGACGCAGCCATTCCGATAGCCTATAGAAACATTGATTGTTGGAATGATCCTACGCCATGTAGACATTCTTCCGATTGAAGAAACGGCATTTTTACCCTTGCCTTCCCGGCCTTTAATTTCTGCAAATCTTTGTATTGAGATTTTTTGTGGGATACCGATCGTGGATGATGCCCACAGCGGCTCCCGCTGCTGGTGCCATTGCTTGATCCTGGAGTGCATTGTGAGATGCGATCCAATGATATTATCAGCAAACATGAGATGAGATTGCGTTTTCGGAACATAATGTCAGTGGTGATTCGTGTTGAAGCGGAGATACTTGATACTTCCGGGCCTAGCTCGGGGACTGTAAGATTAGCTATGAACTTCTCCAGGAAAGTAGCCTTTTCTATAGACTTCACGTCTCTGACAGTGATTCTGTATCCCCGAGCATTAGTCAGAGCGGCACCATAAGCCGATCGGGCATGAGATCTTGAAAACAAAGGGCGAGTAGTAAGGGTAAGAGCACAGGTGAAGACTGAACTTTCACGTTGTCTTGTCGCGATATGACTCTGAGTAGAATTTCTGGACTGCGATCGGAGGAAAAGCAATTTTTGAGGTGACAGTTGAGCCTATCCAGATGTTTTAGAAAAAGCAGTATGATCGCCTAAATTCTGGGTGCTCTGATACACCCCTCTCAACATTTCAACGGTGAATGAGTATTAGCCTCAAAGAGAACGTAAGCTTAGCAATGAGTTGCATGATGGGTGTCGATTTCTCCTCATCTTCGCATCCCTACAAAGCATTAACATGACTTAGTTTGGATCAACAGTTGCAGTAACCAAGGTGAGTATAAAATGGGATACGTCTACAGCAGCAGACTGTTAAAACAATTGATCATTACAAATACTAAGTCTGAAGACATTGAAATCCATTGACTGTGTCATATCAAAAGTTTATACAAATCATTACGGACCATCTCGAAGTGTGTTTGAAGATTTGTAGGATCCTCTTAGATTGTGTGAACGTGCATATTCTATATGATTTTGACAGAGACACAGATCCAGATTCAGTCTCGTGAATTGACAACCAATGCCTCGCCGTAAAGGCTAACATCGTAGCCATTTTGTTCCAGATACTCTTTGAAGCGAGCATCCTCGGTTTCCAGCTCACGAGACATATCAGGAATCAAGAACCAGGAAATAAGACCTCCGACCACTGTAAAAGCAGCTCCAATCAAAAACACCGCTTGTTGACCCTTTTCAGTCGAATCAAACGAGTTTTGAATTGGAGTGAAAACTTCAGTTCCAATGGAGGCCCCTGCCTTCCCGACTGCGGCAGCAAAGCCAAGGAAATGGCCACGCAGCGGCGTTGGGAAGGATTCAGAAGCACAAAGGAATGTCGAGACACCGGGACCCATCTCTCCGAGGGCCTGGAAAATTCCGTACATCACCACAAAAAGAGGGAAAATACTCTGAATCTGGTGCAGGGCACCTCCAATAATGAATCCCCACACTGCCCAGAGCATGAATCCCAATGTCATAGTCTGCTTGCGGCCGATACGATCCATGAGCAACCCACCAAGCAAGCAACCGGGGAGGTAGAAGCAGTTGATCACAGTCTGATTACTGTTAGTTAGATTGAGCATAAATAAACGCTGCACTCGGTCCAAACATACTCCATATCCAATATTTTGCACCGTGGTGTTATTAGGATTCAGTTGCTCAATGATTGTTGACGAGAACAAGCCAAAGGGATAAGTCACGAAATCATAGCAAAACCAAGCCAAGGCTGTTTTTCGGGTAAGTTCGGGGTCGCATCAGATTATGAACTTTGCTAATACTTACATGTTCCAAGCATAGGTTTCCAGTAACGACGCAGTACCAGCATGTATGGATACTGTGATTTGATGGCGTGTTTCCGATATTGCGTTGAGTTGATCATCCGCACGCGGAAGAAACAGATGGAAAGTGGCAACTGTTTTTAAGTTAGAGATATCAGATTTCCATTTTAAGAGGACGAAAGACTTACTACAATACCCAGTCCGAAGGTGATTCGCCAGACACCTTCGGAATCATGCTGGTTGTAACAAGCCAGCACAATCAGAGCAACCAAACCTGCCGCAACGAATCCCTGATATAGACATTAGCAATGATACTAGTCAGGGGTTGAGGACACACACCAGATCAACCGCAAAATCCGTTGTCGCGGCCACGAGAAAACCCCGTCGCTTGCGAAGTTTAGCGGTTTCGTCGGCAGCTTCGGTGGCACTCGTAGCACAGACTGGATACTCTCCGCCAGCTCCAAACCCAGCAATGCCTCGTGCGACAATCATCATCCAAAACATGCTTTAGTTGATGTTAGAAATCTCAGCTCGTCTGGCGCTTTTCTAATCATCAAGGAAGTTTGACTTACCCTAGCTCTGTACTTCCGTGGGATGCGGTAGCCAGGACGACTCCCAGGATGAGAAAAGCTGTAGCGGCAATGACTCCGGTCCGACGGCCGATCCGGTCGATCAAGACACCGAAAAAGAGCATTCCGAAAATCTCACCGATCAGGTAAGAGTTGGACAGGCGGGACTTTATGGTTGAAGACATGCCCTTCATGTAGCTGGGAACATTCGTCAATGAATTGGGCCAAACTTGGAAAATAGCTCGCCTCCTTACAGCACCGAGAACAACGGTTCCATGTAGCCAACTAGAAAAAAGTTAGAAGTTGCTCATCCATGAACAGAGGTATACATACTGATTTGCGCATTGTATCCATCACTGAACAATGCTAGACCTGAGACAATCACGTTCAATACACCCGAGCTCTTCCGCTTGGTTTCACTTTGCTCGATGTCATGGTCATCCGTATAAGACTCTTGGGTCTTTGAGTGACTCTTCACTGGGCCATCAGACAATGTAGCCATAGCGTCGCTCATTTTGCTTTAATAGAAGAACGGAAAGGAATAGAGAAAGACGAAGACCAGGGGCATTTTAAGTAGCTGTATAGAAATAGCTTCTAAGCTGTGGCATACGTTGCAAGAGTCCAATAGCAATCTGATATTGATGCACGGGAGGCTTCAAATGTTACACCGGGATGAAGCGCGAACTATCAAGCTGCATAGGTCCAAGCCCAAATACATACAGTAGCATTGCAATACTTCACGTAGAAATCCACAACGGTAGGGCTCCGCTTCCACAGCTTGGCGACCCTCTCCCACGCTGGGACCTGAACGCCAAGCCTATTAGAGCTGATGCCTGACCCATGTGGCCTACTAGACCTGTCGGCCTCCGATCCGCCAGATTGAAACTTACTCGATTAGTCTTTATGTCGGTGCGAAGTGCGAGACCTCGTGGCCTGTGCATGATCGTGTACTTGGTCCTGTATAAAACGTGCTTTAGCCTCATTTCATTCTCGCCTCGGAATAAACGGGATTCGTCTGCCTATTATGGAGAACTCTTACTATTCTCTCTCTGCGGAGCAACTTTCTGACTTCCACGAACGGGGATACTTGCTTATTCGACAGTTCTTTACCCCTGGGGAATCGGAGTTGCTGCAGCAATGGGCACAGGAGGTTCACGATCTTCCTTGCACTCCTGATACTCCGTGGATGCCTTATGAGGAGGTCAATTCCGAAGGAAAGCGGGTGCTGTGCCGTACGGAAAACTTCGCAAACTCCCATGCAGGGTTCGACAGTTTCTTGCGGGGTCAGCGTGCTACCAGTGTTCTGCAACAGCTCGCGGGAGAAGAAATGCTCTTGTTCAAAGAGAAAATCAATTACAAGCTGGCTGGGAGTGGTAAAGAGTCTCAAAATTTCCCCTTGGACTTCGGTCACTGACATTACTCGCAGGAGGATTTGATCCCCATATCGATGCCAATGCTTACACCCACGTCAAGATGATCAAGCATTTGACCATCCTCGCTGCCGTCGACGGAATGAACTCTGCAAATGGTGGCTTGGAGGTCGTTGACGGAAGTCATCGTATGGAGATCCCTCTCGGAAGTGATCGGTGCATTGAGCCCAGCTGGGTGAAATCGAACACCTGGACCCCGGCCGAGCTCGAGTCCGGTATGTAGACTTGCGCGACCTTGACTGAAATTATGCTGATAAATACAGGCGACATTCTCATCTTTGGCTCATACCTGGCGCATAGAAGTGGTGCCAATACCAGTCCCAAGGACCGCCGAGCGATTTACGCCACATACAACTGCGCCGCCGAAGGGAATCTGCATGATCAGTACTATCTAGATCGCCAGAAGCTTTGGCCAGCAACTCACATGCGTAAAGAGGGAGAATCATACGAGGAAGGCCGCGCTCGTTACGCTTTCGGTTCTCCCATGTTGACGGTTGACTCCAAGGCTATTTCTGTATAGATGTATAGCTTAGCTTCACCTTGTAAAATAAGTAACAGGCTACCAGAACCCGGTGTCGTGGTATCTGGTCTGAACGAGTTAGGTAGTGTCCTAGTGTCTAGTTTGAAAAGTATGGTAAACGAAAGATCAAGTGATAAAAGAAAGGAATAGTTCTCCCTTCTTACCGATCAAAAAGGGGCTAGTGTGGGCCATCGGCATGAGGTCCGCAAGTTGCCATCGCCGATAGAATGAGATATACGACGTCGGAAGATTTAGCGTAAGGTTGTACCCTTCTTTTCAGAGCCAATGGATAAATTGAGCAGATTTGTCACATATAAAACCTTTTCCAATCCCACCTGAATTCTTCCCTCATTCAGTGCTGATCCCAGTTTCTTCATTTTCACATATCCTCTCTCGCCATGGCTGAACATATTTACCAAAAGGCAGACGCGCTGGTCGGAGCTCTGGAGAAGCATGGTCAAGGCGACTATATCGGAGAATCCATTAGCCAACTTGAACATTGTCTACAAGCAGCACACCAGGCACAAAAAGCAGGTGAGTTATAATCACGAGACATAGAGATTGGGCTAATTACTTTGCCAGGAGCTAGAGATGAGCTAGTTATCGCCGCCTTATTGCACGACATTGGTCAAATCATCCCCTTGGAAGCCACCAAGGAGGCGCGCATGAACCTTTCCGGAAGCACGGAAAATGTCGGCCGGGTCGGCCATGAGGCTATTGGCGCTGCATATCTCCGGTCGCTTGGATTCAGCGAGGCCGTGTGCCGATTAGTGAATAGCCATGTTGCGGCGAAGCGGTAAGTGTTTCTTGATATCCTCAAGCTCAGGCTCATTTTCCATAGGTATCTCACTGCAGTCAACCGTGCGTACTATGACTCTCTCTCCTCGGCGTCTCAGAGATCGCTCGCATTCCAGGGTGGTCCTTTCGAAGGCGACGATATGAGAGCGTTTGAAAAAGACCCCTTGCGAGACGAGATGGTTTTTCTCCGACTGTGGGATGATGCGGCCAAACTAGAGGGTGTTGAGGCCACGACACCGCGCGCATCGGCTTATTTGGGGATGATCATCGCGCACTTGGAAAAACAAGGCAAGCTCGAAGAGTAGATAGAATATCAAGATGAAGAGGAAGTGAGATATTCAGCAAATACACGAAACAGTCGGAGATGGCGGGAAATATGCCGTCCCTCTCCTCTTCTCTCTCTCTCTTCCCCGTCTTCCTCTTTCCAATGTCATCTACCGCCAGACTCAGAACCCAAACCGGGTGCTTTCAATGTGAGAATAGAAATTTCCAATAGAAAATTCGGAGCTGAGATAAACAGGCCGGAAACGCCGCAAGAAATGCGACGAGACGCGACCGCGGTGTTTGGGTTGCATTCGCAATGACCTCGGCTGCAGGTGGCCGTCAGGAGAGCCTCCCGACAAAAGAAGACGCTTGCGACGTCGCCGCTCTGTCAAACCTGCGGATTGTATGGGTGTCTCTCTCGATTCACAGCTGTCCGTGGCATTAACACCGCCTATTGCGATGCCATCTCCGTTTCAAAACGAGGAGCACTCTTACCTTTACCGATACTTTGCATCGACCGTTCTTTCTCGCCTCGTTCGTCAAAATTCATTTTCAAACTTCTCAGATCAATCATACATGCTCCGCTTAGGGATGGAGTTTCCTCCCTTGATGGGCGCCATGATCTCAATCGCCGGTATGCAGTTAGCTTCGGCCCCCAGCTGGTCAATCTCTTGTGCAGTGCGAAGTTATATCTATACAATCACTGGCCTTCGGAAAACACTCGAAAACGTGGACGATATAGGCTCACATGATGCGCTTTTGGCGACGGTGATTTCGCTTTCGGTATTCGAGGTATCATGCTCTGTTCCCTTTCGCGTGTTAGCTTTGACTCACAAGAGAAAAGGCATCGCGTCATGACTCTTCACCAAACATGGCTCCTCATATTGCGGCGTCGGGCATTATTTTGGCTCAGCGCCGGCCTAGGATGACCTGCCCTCAGACAGCGGTGTTTGATCGCATTTGCATCGAATCATTTGTATATCATGCATCTCTAATGATGCTATTTGACCCAACAGTTGATGCTCTATCTAACATTTGGAAGGAGCTCAATTTACCGGAGTACTTTCTCGATTTCGAGCAGGGTCATTCCACCGGATGGGAATCCGGTAGCTCTACACAGCCAATTCTCCACGCGCCTTACAAATTCTTCTTACTGATCGCCGACGTCACAAAACTTGCACGTATATCTCGTGCATTAAATGTTCCTGAAACTGCAACCTGGACACGGCTTCAACAACAGTTGTCCGATTGGCCCCAGGTACTTTATACCGAAGACGACCTACTTGCAGCGCTATACGCCTTCTCAGTTCAGACATTACTGTTGAAATCAAATCCCGAAATAACCTACCGCGAGAGGAACCAGCAAGCAAGGAATTGCCTAGATGCCGGGTTAAAGCATGTCCCCTTCCTCAATTTTGACCCTCATTTCCCGAGCTATCTATTATGGCCACTGGCTATATTAGGCTCCCTTTGCACCAGGTCCGAGGAGCAGAAAATAGTTCAGAACTGCACTGATTTAATTTCCACCAAAAAGCCCGGGGGTCAAGCAAGTTGGGTGCAAAGGCGACTGAAAAAGATTTGGTCAGTCACCGGCAGAACGAACGAGGCCGACTCGGACAAGTGCAGGCTTTCAGGCCTACAAGCATTACTCGATGGAGACCATGAACACTATCACGCTAGGTATTGAGTACAAAGCCTTCCCGTCTTTGCTAAGGGGGATGTAGTAATCTAGAACTATCTGTGTTCTATGAAAGCCCAGGGTCTTGATACTTCCCTTATCTTACTGGAAAGCCCGCTCAATTGCGGAAACTGCATGCGCCAAGCTCTCGTCCTTCAATCGTCTGCCAATCACTTGAACATGACAAGGGGCACCCTGTATTACTTGAGGCTGGTCTATAAACTGTCAGCTTATGCATCATCATCCGCAACGAAGGGATTCCATACATGGCGGCACATAATCAACTTCTCTGATAAACGCTTTGTCTGCAGCTTTGTTTGCATTGCCGATCGGGAGCACGCAGGCCGGATACTTCGAATCGTCAGTTAAAGACCGAAGGTCACGGATGCGGGAACATACGTCAACGAGATTCGCCAGCACTGTGTACACTGGCAGCCCATATGCGTCATGTTCCACTGCGCAGCTCTGATACCCGGCACCCAAAATAACATCCAATTGATTGTCCACAAACAGCCGTCGCATTTGCGCCGTGATCTCATTTCTGGCGACATTCAACTCAAACAGCTTGCGGAGATCTGGCTCGGCGCCAGTTCCCTCCAAATCGTAGGTGAAGTGAAGGGAGGGAATTGGAGGCTCGCCGCCTCGCGCAATGTGAGCAAGGGGCGTTCGGTCAGGATCCATTGAGAAATATTCCCATGAAATGTCACATGCCTTGGCTACAAAATTCATCTCCTTGGCCAAGTCCACCACTCGGTGTCCAGCTGCAGTCAGCTTTTGCACCGCCTCAGCCAACACACGCTTCATGGGAGGATGCATGGGACGTTCTGGATCTTCAGGCATGAAGCCGATCGTCAGAGTTGAGCTTGGCTTTTGTTCAAGCCAAGAAATCCCCAGAGCCCCGTCATCAAGGTCTGCAGCGTTCGAATTGAAGACGACACGCAAAAAAAGCTCTGCATCACGCGCAGAATGGCAAAGAGGGCCTGCAGTTGGGGCAATTCCAACCATTCCTGGCCGAGCTGCCGATGTCTGACCACCATATGGGACGCGACCAACCGTGGGCTTGAATCCCACGAGGCCACAGCAGAGTGCAGGGATGCGAATGGAGCCTGCGATGTCGGTACCAACTCCAAGGGGGGATCCGCGCAAAGCAACAAGACAACCTTCACCGCCACTGCTACCACCCGCGGTGATCTTTTTGCCGTACGGATTGAGAACTCGACCAAACACGTTGTTGTGCGAGTCGGCTGTCATCATGGTCTGTGGGATATTGGTCTTGACATACAAGACAGCACCCGCTGCGAGTAGAACATCGACTAGAGCTGAGTTCTTCGTAGACACAGGACGTTCTAGAAATGAGACGAAGCCTAATGTTGTCTGGATTCCAGTCACACTGAATGATTCCTTGATGCTGATGGGCAGGCCATGGAATGGGCCTACGGTCTTTCCAGTCCTTTCCAACTGCTCATCCAACTCTTTCGCGCGTTGCAGGGCAACCTCGAAGAAGGTCTCCGTCAGGCAGAAGGTCAACTGCTGTGCGATTGCAGCCCGCTTGGCAAAAGCGGTCGTTACCTCGAGAGAAGAGTACTCTCTCGAAGCCAATTTCCGGACCAGATCAGTGGCATCATAATCCTCGGTGATAGCGATCTCACGGTCGTTTAGTATTCCCGACTTTCGTGGAACATCAAAGGGTGAGTAGTCCTTCTCAAGGATAGACTTGGGAATCTGCCATTCCTGGGGGATTTTGGCAGCTGCCTCGGACCGCTTGGTCTCGGCTTTCTGTTGCCAGCCAGGGATAGTCATTTGGAAGTCTGTAGAGAATGAAGGACCGATTTAAGAAAAGAGCAAAAGGGAAAGAAGAATGAATTCGTTTGCTTAGAAATGGAGGAAGCGGAGAATGTGCTCAACAAAGCGTTGTGAGAGATCCTTGGCTTTCCCTTCATCCTTGGGGGTTTATATAGATCTCTATCGGGCGGAGATATTTGCCCCCGCAACAAGAGATATGTCATTTGAAACCGAAAAAGCAACCAAACTGCCTAGATGCGTCTTTCTGTGACTGGATAGGCCCGAGTTCGTATAGTTCCACTGTAGTTTGCCAACCAATCGCTGGGTTTTGCGCGCTGTGCCAGTGGAGATCCGAGGCTACAACAGCCTCATTGGGTCATTGTATGCATCTGTTATTGGATATTGACGGAATTCTCAACGTATACGTTCATATTCGGCTTATCTCAATTATTGCTGGCTCTGATAGCCGGGTCTGATAATAAAAAAATTGGTGATAAACGGCATATGTTCTATGCACTATGCCGATGACCCTGATCAGCGCTTCTGCCAGCTCACTGATACGTCGATGCAACATAACAGAGAACCCCGTACTTGCATGATTTTTAGCAAGTGTCGAGCATGTCCGTCAATGCAACCTTTTCGGCGGAAGTGATGGTGAGCTTATAGACTGATTTCACCTTCACCCACATTTCAGCATATGTGCAGTGATAAGATGCTGTTTGAAATCAGTGATTAACTCGAAAATAGGGCGCAGAACTTGATACGTACCGAGTGAAGGCTTCCATACTTCCGGTCCATCGTCCCCCTTCTGGGAGTTGACGCTATCGGTGACGGCCAGGAGCTGGGGATTAACCAAGTCATTTGCAAAGGCTCTACGGTCTGCTGTGGTCCAACCGGATGCCCCCGACTATGCTAGTTGTTAGCAACTGGGGCCAGAGAGTGGCAGTGGGAACTGATATACCTTCCACGCATTCGAGAGTGGCACAAGGTGGTCGATATCGACATCGCTCGCTGCTGTCCAGGTTGCGCCGTCATACGGTGAATACCACGATCCGCTAGTGGCAGCACAGCTGGAGCTCGTTACCACGTTCAATCCATCACGCTTAAGTACAGTCTCACGTGTATTACAGCTACCGAAAGCATGAGATGCAGATACCAAAGTCGGATTGATTGTATTTACTTACCCGTCCTGGGTGATCCAGTGTGGGAAGAGGTCACGAGAATAGCCAGATTGTGATCCTTGGGCAGCAACAGTCAGACTTGCTAGCTCACTCTTTGCCGTAGATGCAGAGGGTATCCCTGGCGGTGATGGTGCAGGCTCAGGGACCGGTACGGCGGTGCTCAGCAGCGGCTGAAGGGCAAAGGCCACAACCAAAACCGGGGAGAAGATCATTGCAAAGTATAGAGGACTTCTTGGATAATCTCCAACCGAGTGGGCTATAATAATTCAAAGCTGAACTGGAATGCGTGAGGGACAGCTCAAGAATGTACAATCTTAACATGGTATGGGAATCACAACCACCCGACTCATCTTTATACACGCTCTCATCTCATTCGGACCTGAGACCCCTCACTTAAGAGCACAGCATATAATCCGAATCGCCTTGAAACACCAGCGCAGTCCGAGTCTTGGCCCGGTGCTTGGCGTTGCACGTTGGGGGACCCTTGGCTTATCACTGGACACCACGGGGAATGTGCCTGCGACAAGATACACTAGATGGACCTAAATCTCCTGCTGCAGGCCACCTGCGTCGGAGAAGAGTTCTAGATGGACAGATAGGGCACACGTTCTAAATGACAAGTTTTCAATAGGGAAATGATCGTCCAGCTGAAGATCGTCTACACCTCGGCCCAGAGGGTGAATAATCTAATGAAAAGAGCATTCTATGTCAATATGTACATCAGGTTCAGAGCAATCCCCGCGCAAATTGCCATGGGAGCAATACTTTCACACCCAGCTTCTTGGCTGCAGTCAGTACCCATTCGGGCTCTCGCAAAAATTGACGGGCCATTAATACAGCATCAGCTCTAGGATTTTGACCGGACAACAGTTGTTCGTTTGCCTGCGCTTCATCTTCCGCACCCTGAACGATTTTGCTGGCTGACTCTGCTTCAGTAATGAAACCAACGGCTCCAATCAAGGTCTTTTGATTAGCAGCACGAATTTCCCGACGGATTTCGCCGGCCAGATCAATCTGGTAGTTCGAATGCGGTTCAATGCGTTGATCCTTATGATTTCCACCGGAGCTCACATCCAAGAAGTCAATCCCCAGATCGGGCAGCATTTTGGCTAGCTTAATTGATGAGGGCATGTCCCAACTTCCGGTCTCTGTAGAAACATGCGCCTTCTCCAACCAGTCTGTGGCACTGATGCGGAGCAGCAACGGCATACCAACAGGAATCACAGCACGAACAGCGGTGGCCACCTCAGCAACAAGTCGGGTACGGTTCTCAAAGCTGCCTCCATACTTGTCGGTTCGTCGATTGGTAACGGGGCTCAGGAATTGGTGAATGAGGTAACCATGCGCACCATGAATTTCAATTACATCGACACCGGCTTCAGCAGCAAGTTTGGCACTGCGAGCAAATGCTTGAATAAGCTCCTCGACTTCCACCGTTGACATCTCACGAGGGGCCCAGAATTGATCACCGGGCGCCCAGATGTGCTCCTCACCACCCGAGGGGCCAACCACATTAGACGGCCAGCCGCCGACGCTTTCGTCGGCTTTGATTCCGCGCTGCTTAGATTGGGCTGCTAACCAAGGAGAGACAGTGCTCGCTTTGCGGCCGGCATGAGCCAGCTGGATGCCAACTTTGGCACCTTGGCTATGAGCAAAATCCACCACACGGCGAAGTCCCTTGAATTGCTCAGAGTCAGTGCCTTCCTGCCAGAGGCCAGAGTCATTGGGCGAGATACGACCATTGGCTTGCACCGCCGTGGCTTCGATAATGATCAAGCCGACACCCTTAACAGCGAAATGACCAAGATGAGCAACATGGAAGTCGGTCAGAGCGCCGACAGCAGGTGAAGATGGGTCTGAATCGGCAGAATAGGTACACATAGGTGCAACAATCACGCGATTCTTAAGTGTGACATCTCGAATGCGCAGTGGGCGGAACAATGTCGGGGTGTTAGGATCTTCAGGGTTGATGGCTCCTCCTGCATTATTGGCGGGGGTGAAGTACGGAAGTCCCTCGGCCTTCACGATTGGCGGAGACTGAAATGAATGAGAACCCATCGTCTTAATATCGTCTGTGATACTGACAATTGTTGAAGGGAAAGTGACTTCCAAGGTTCTATAACGTGATTCCCAAGCGAGCGGGCATCCCAAGCGAGCGGGCACCCCACCTTAAATTTCCATCCCCCGAGCAACCCACTGTTTTCAATCACGCATCATGCCCCCAAAACGAACTCAAAAAGCTCAAAAATTGCTTGAGCAAGAGGGCAAGATCCTACTGGCTATAAAATCTATTCAAAATGGTCAAATTACCACGATTGCTGCAGCAGCACGCTCTTTTGAGGTGCCCCGCTCTACTCTCCAAGCCCGGATCAATGGGAGAACCAATCGGTCTGATACACGGGCTAATGGCTATAAACTCACTAAAATTGAAGAAGAATCAATTAAGAGCTGGCTAATAAGCATGGATCAACGAGGTGCTGCTCTTACGATCAGTATGCTAGCAGATATGGCCAATTTATTGCTAAAAGAGCGCGGAGAGACCCCGGTTCAGAGAGTGGGCAAAAATTGGCCAACAAACTATCTAAATCGGCACTCCGAGCTTACTAGTCGATTCTCTCGCAAATATGACTATAAACGTGCTCTGATGGAGGACCCAAAGGTCATCACGGAGTGGTTTAACCTCTTTCAAAACACTATCATCAAGTATGGAATATTATCAGATGATATCTATAACTTTGATGAGTCAGGGTTTGCGATGGGAATCAGTGCGACGACTAAGATCATTACTCAGTCAGTGTATACTGGTCGGAGAGGTGTTTTACAACCTGGAAATCGTGAATGGGTGACTGTGGTTGAATCAATTGGCGCCTCTGGACACGCGCTTCCACCATACATAATCTTCAAGGGAAAAAACTTCATGTTACGATGGTTTGATGACCTTCCAAAACACTGGGCTATCAATCATAGTCCAAACGGATGGACGAGTGATGAAATAGGTGTTGATTGGCTCCAAAAACACTTCATTCCGCATACAACAAATCAAACCAAAGGAAAATATCGTCTTTTGGTCCTTGATGGGCATAACAGTCATCTCACACCTCAATTTGATCAAATTTGCGCTCAAAACAACATCGTACCTATCTGTATGCCTGCGCATACTTCCCATCTTTTGCAGCCTCTTGATGTTGGTTGTTTTGCTGTTTTGAAGCGATCTTATGGGAGTCGGGTTGCAGGATATACCCGATTAGGCATCAATTCTATTGAAAAAGATGACTTCATTGATATCTTCCCTAAAGCCCGTGGCGATGCATTTAAAAAGACTATTATTCATAGCGCTTTCGCTGCTACTGGTCTTGTGCCATTTGACCCTGATCGGGTGTTGTCTCATCTCAATATTCAGCTTGCATCACCTACGCTCCCGGATCGTCCATTGTCACAGGGGTCAACCTCAGATAGCAATATCTCAACTGGTATCCCTCAGAACTCCAACCAACTAGCAAAACGCAAAGCTAGGATTGATTCGCAATTGAGTGGGGGGTCAAATAAGCTATCTAGCCCTACAAAACGTGAACTTGCGCAATATCACAAAATGACAGTGAAGATGCTGCATACGGTCGTTTTACAGGGTGATGAGATCAAGAGATTACGGGCAGCGAATGCAAAACAAATGAAAAAAAGGGCCAAATCCACAAAGCGGCTATCCTACCAGGGTAGCCTGACAAGTGATACGGTCGCTAAAGTGAGTGGTGGTAGTGGTGATCAGATATATATATCTAATGCACCACCTGGTCCATCACTCCCAGAGGAGCCCCTCTTGCCTGTTTTACCCCCTGTACGTCGTCAAATTACCTGTTCTGGATGTAATCAGAAAGGGCATTCTTTTAATAAATGCTTTAAAGCATAGTTAAGTTAAATATATTCTGTTATGGTTGTTTAAATGGTGTTTAAAAATTGAAATTATTGATGGGGTGCCCGCTCGCTTGGGATGCCCGCTCGCTTGGGAATCACGTTATAACTAATCCGTGTGCTGACAAATTACCAGTATCCCCCCACTATCAACATGCCGGAGAGAATGCCGAACAGCCGAATATGAACATCGAATCGCACGAACCAGATCGGCTATGTGTCTCGGGTAATGGCCACTTATGGCAACAGTTCAACCAGGTAGTACTGATTGAGAGCTCTTCCAACGAGCGCTGAGTATCTCAGATAGCCGTCTCATTGTACCGTTGTTGGTTGCTTCGTAAAAGGCCAGGATTTGAGCCATCAGGCACTCACGGTCTGCAAGATGCTGTAGGCTAATTCCTAGCACATAGAATGGCCAACAGTAGTATTCGGCAAAATAGTCAAGCTCTGGCTGCAGATGCTTCACAGCGTTCATTCCTTCTTGAACTAGCCGGTCGACGGTTGAGTGAGCTCTCCTTTTATTGCCGTATGCCATAAGCTGGAGCAGGATGCGACACCCCAAAAGGTAGAGGCGGGGTCCAATTACGGCGGCCTGGCTTTTCCATATCACTCGATGCCAAGGGCCCAAGTCGTACTTCTTGAGGTTGTCCTGCATGCCATCTGGCTTATAGGTATTTGGCGCTGCTGTTGATTGATCCCACTGTAGCAGATCATTTTCGAGCTTTCGAAGAGCCCCGAGGTCTAGGCTTCCACGTAAATAATCTTGATACAAGTGGTAAACAGTATAGGTGTATCGAAAGAGTTGAGGTGGAGCCCCAAGCACTGGGGAGTCTGGATAGCAGGCTAGAGAAGAGTTGAAATGCCGCTCAAGATTATCCTCTGCTAATGCAAAGGCTGAATCTACCTCGCTAGAATCCTTCATATGATACTGGAAGGGAAGGCTTGTTGCGACATGGAAAATAAAGGCTTCGTAGACGAGACGGTACATGGCCTGTTCGATATTTGAACTATCGTGGCTGCTTTTACAGTGAATAGAGGCAAGCTGAATCAGCTGAGCGGCACCATTTAGGTGGACTTGAACGCTTGCTGAGCCTTGCGGTTTGGATCTCTGTATTGCTTGGTGAGCGATTGGTTATCATGTTAGGGTCCCGGAAAACCAATATTCACCTCATATATGCAAAGCATGAGTACTGTGTGCATGACTACCAGCCACCGGCTCTGAACATCCCTCCTTTCCAGGTCATTCCGCAGATCTTTCACCGCTTGGACATAATGAAATTTGGCGAGATCTCGAACGCGAGGCGTTTTTGTAGGCATCTCCGCCCCGGAACAAGCAAGAAGTGCGTGCATACAGGCTGGTGTGCTCGTAGCCATGGCCATAGATTCCTTGCTGAAAAAATCGATGATGCGACAACTTGCAGCGGGGCGAATAAGTTGGGGGAGAAATCGTGATCTGAGGAAGTCAAGTAGAGGGGCACTACCAGGTGTGATGGCAGGGGAATGGCCAGAGGTAACGAAGTATCTCTGTTCGATGCTGAGATCAATAGAGCCGGTTTGGGGACAACAAACTAAACCTTGCTGTGGTATCAAAGAGAACAAGTGAGACACAGACAGCTGGGCCTTGGTGTCGGAGAACAATTGTATCATGCCCAGCTCGGTCTCGGCCACAACTGGGCTAGAGACCCGCAGTGTCTCTCCTAGAGAGCTGTGATCAGACAAATCGTCCGAAACAGAGTGTTGCCGGTTGAGCTGCCAGGTGCATTCCAGACTTTGCCTTGCGCAGTTGCGGCAGGTCTGGGGTGTTTCGTCGCATTTTTTCTTTCGCTTCCGACCTTGACAATTATTAGCGATGCCTGTGATAAAGTATGGTGGTATTGGGATAGAAACGTGCATCTTTGACTCACAAGTTAGACAGCCAGTCTTGGTGCGTAGATGAGCCGGTCGGCGGCGAGGGCGGCGATAGGACGATACTCCATCAGATACCACCGCAGCCGAGCCTGTTGATACTGGCATTGTGTCTGTTCTACATGAGGGCGCCTAAAGCCAAGCGAACATTTGAGTCCAGAAGCAGCCAAGGACGCATCACGTGTGGCTATCTTTCCCCTTTAAGAAGGTCCTGCCGGGTGCAAGTATAGAAAAAAAAAACACATTGAATATCATTCTATCTTTTTATAGGAAATAAATTGCGTTTTTGTAGCCTGAAATTGAAGGCAAGACAGGATAAACTGACATATATCCCGCCTTGAGTGTGGCAGTCCTCAGTATGGACCGTCCCAACGATGATTTCCACTGCTACAGCCTTGACAAGCACTCGCCATCTTTGCATAGCCTGGTCGAAAATAGTTGACCCATTTCTGCCAATCCTTGGAATTAGGGGTAATGCTTCTTCTCAAAGGGTGGATACAACCAGAGAATTGTCCCCTACATTGGGCTGTATAGCATCTGTTGAGATCCGAAATCCAAAAGTGCCCACAGCCATATGGGCCGGTATGATCGATGACATCTAGCACGCACATATTTAACATATTTAGCAGATACTCCCTCCGTCCAAATGCCTCAATGTGTCACATACCTCGAATGGATCTTTGCTCTTGGTTGATCTATACGTTGAGCAAGTCCAATCCATTGCTATCCCTGCGGTCTCTGTAATATGCAGAAATTGATCATAAAAGTAGCTAGATCCATATAGTCCGTCACTTGAATACAGAAATTCTATCGTATTATATGAGAGAGTAAGTGGCAGACCAGATCCTTTCATAGGCGAAGTTCATTGACTGGTGCGTTTCGTCCCAGTCATCTAACCATGTGGGAGAAAGAGTCTTGAGACAATCCCAATTTTTCTCAAAATCGAGAGACAAAAACAATAACGTGATGAAGGGAGAATAAAGGGTTATATGCTCCACAAGCGTTTGTTTCACATGAATGATTATTCGCGAATCAGGTCAAACAATTGATAAGTCATGCTCATGAACTACAACCAGGGTCTATTTGATACAAAGTTCCAGACACAATAATATAAATATCTCAGTATTTGGTGACACGCAGAACTTTGATCGAGACCGTCCGACTAATCGCGTCACTTTGCACCGTATCATTTTTGTCTCAGCTCATGTCGACTTCCCTGCAGACTTCAAGAGTCCATCTGGAACGTCGCACTACAGAACACATGGGAACAACAGTGTTCATAACTGGGCGCATTCTCCGTCCTGAGTTTGGCGCCTTCAGCTTCAGTAGAAATGTCAAGGATGGCCATGTCGTGCATGTCGGTTTCGATCAAGACGAGAAGGTTCCTCAGGCCCGAAGAACGGCACCAATGCTTGATTTATCCAACCGAGTCAGTCTGCCTGGCTTTGACGATGGATATTTGCGCACCTTGAATTTCGGTATGTCTCTTCAGAAACTGGATAGATTTACCCTGCAAGTCACTTGCCGAATTTTCATCTTGTCACGCTGAAATACCATGGGCTTCTCTGAACGCGGTTGATACAGGCCTCGTAACGGATCACGACTTCACTGGCCCTGTCACTGGATTATATGCCATTGGGAAAGATAACCATGTGGTATTTAGCGACTGTGGCATTGATGTTTGGAGACCTGTACATAGTTTCTCTCATACAAGATTGGCTATTAATACGTAAGGATAGTATTACTTTATATGCTCTCATGCTTGAGGCTATTCAGGTCTTCTGAAGTCCAATCGGTAATCAACATATGACCAGGCTCATGGGCAAAGACCAGGCCGTCAATCTTGTTACTCGCTGCCTCAACTGCCATTTGAGGTGTCACTCCACATGCCTAGGATGAAATTAGATGCATATCAAGGATAATAGAGTACTAAGACCATACCCAAAACACGGGAACCTCTCCCTCTTCAAATACCTGCGCCTCACCAAAGTCCGGCTTACCCACATCACTAATTCCGAGTTGCATTGCACCATCCCATCCCCAGGCTACTGGCTCGCCGTGCGTTGACCGATATAACCGTGTGATCTGTCTGACACTTTCGATCTGTTCCGGGAGATACGGCCGCATAGACACAATGCAGTAGCCTCCAGTGAAGACTCCGGCTGGAAGCAATGGGATATTGGATCGATACATAGCAACGATGGTTCCAGTTTTCTGGTGACGGGGTGGCAGACCAGCTGCTGTCAGGGCGTCTTCAAAGGAGAATGAACACCCGATCAAGAAGCCAACATGATCATCTGTCCACGCTTCCAGTAAGTCACAGCGACTGTCAATGTGTGTGCCACTTGAATATACTCTGTATCTGGGAAAGTCGGTTCGAATGTCAAAGTCTTTCGACTGTATACATTGGGCTGGTCGAATGCTCTTCGGGTCGCCGGCGACAGCGGTCACTCCCAAAAGGGGACATGGAACTGGGTTCCGTAGACACAAGTCATGGAAATCGGCAGCATACTTCGCAGGAAGTACCAAAAGGTTGGCCTGTAAGTAACCCGGAGCAACGCCGGCGGTATTGGTCAACTGGTTCCGACGACATAACAGCCGTGCCTCCTGAGAATCAGAAATTATACTTCCCATGATGAAAGTGAGTGTCAATCTATCAACTCTCAACAGTCAAATACCTCCTGCTTAGATAACTCGGTTATGTCGGGATCCACATGCCGATGGTCTGGGGTAAGTCGGGGTACTTCTCCACTCAACAAAGCAGCGAATCTTTTGTCTTATCGATGACCTTCCTAGAACAGTTAGGATCTGAGAGAGATAACGCTGCATAAGTGGGAATTTGCCTCCTGGGCGGTGATCCGTTACCTGAATGTGCATCTTATCAAGGCTTCGTCGGCCCGATGACCCACACTCGTTGAGGGGAGAGATAGGAATCACTCCGCTTATAGGAGTATCCTTTAGTGAACTTATGGTTAAACTACCTTATTTCGATATATGAGGCCCTACATTCTGGTCAATTTTCACATACGAGCAATCGCATCTCATGTCGCCCGAGCACGATATCCCCTTGGAGCAAAAGAGCTCCATCCACAAAGCCCATGCCCCCGAGTTAGTAGGCGAAACCGCTGATGGCGAGGCATGCGATGTGGTCCTCGATCCAAAGAAGGAAAAGAAGCTACTGGCCAAGCTGGATGCGGCTTTTGTGCCAATTATCATGTTGACATATTTGTCCTGCTTTCTAGATAGATCCAATATCGGTAAACATTGATCCCCCGTGGATGATTATAGAGCTAACGAATTTCAAAGGCAATGTGAAGGTTGCCCATATGCCCGAAGATATCAACGCCTCAGACAGTCAATTTTCAACGGCCGTCTCTATCTTTTATGTCACCTATGTTCTTTTTGAAGCCCCCTGGGCCGTCTTGATGAAGAAATTAACACCTCGAAACATTTTGACGGCCTTGTGTATTGTCTGGTCTCTAACTACAATTTTCACGGGCTTTATCGAATCGGTAGGCTCGCTCTATGCGACTCGCCTCATTCTCGGTGCTTGTGAGGCGGGACTGTTCCCCTGTCTCAATCTCTACTTGACCATGGTCTATCGTCGAGAGGAGCAGGCTAAGCGTGTGTCCTACTTGATGAGTTGTGCTGCCATTTCAGGCGCCGTGGGAGGTCTGTTGGCCTATGGACTTCTACACATGGATGGCATTGGAGGCAAAGCTGGATGGAGGTATGTGTTTAGTTCTCTTCATGCGAAGTTCATTGGAGGTTTGGCTGACGGCTGTAAGATGGGTCTATATTATTGAAGGTCTTTTTAGTGCCTTGTGCGCTATTCTCATCTGGTTTGGCCTGCCCAACAACCCTGCTGAAGCCTACTTCCTCGACGAGGAGGAGAGGTGGATGATGCGTGTTCGCAACGAGCAACGCCGCAAATATATGGGAAGTGATGAGTTCAGCTGGGAAGAGATGCGCATTGCTCTGAATGATCCAAAGCTCTTCTTCAGTGGTCTCATCCAGTTCTGTCAAGATATTCTGTTATACGGATTCAGTACTTTCCTGCCAACCATCTTGGGAGGTATGGGCTATGATTCTCTGATGAGCAATGTTCTGACTGTTCCCGTATACATCTGGGCCGCGTTGATCTTCGTTGCCATTGCCTTCTGCTCCGATAGATATTCGAAGTTTGCTTCGGTGAGTACTCCCCAACTCGAGTGCAGCGTCCGCTAAGTCTCCGTAGTACATCTTCACAGCCAACATCTTCGGTGTCATTGGTTATATCCTGCTTCTTACCGTCAAGAATACCGCCGTTCAATACTTCGCAACATTCCTCATTGGGATTACCACCTATACATCAGTTGGTCTTAACGTGGCCTGGCTGAACGTCAACATCGCCCCTCAATATCGCCGTGCATTGGAAATCGGCTTGCAACAAACAATGGGCAACTGCGCTGGTATCGTCGCCGGCCAAGTCTATCGCAGCTCGCCATATGTATTGGGAAATGCCTTCTCCTTGGGATCACTCGTTGTCTCACAGTTCGCCGTCGCCGCGTACGGACTATACCTGAGACGGGAGAACAAAATGAAAGAACAAATTCTCTGCGGTGAAAAAGAAGACAGTCGACGAGTGCAGACAGGCGATGGAGCAGTAGACTTCAAATATCATTACTAGTCTGGTGGCAAGGAACAAGCTCCGAACGATGACGCACAAGACTTTCTCATCTGTATATAATCGAACATCAATTCAGTGAGAATACTCTGCATTTCTGTCGAGCGATTCTCAGACCTCCTCTACTTCTAGTCTGATCTTCCTCTACGTATCTCCACATACAAAGCTTTACATACCGGTCGCTCACCAATGGGTCTCTGTTTCTCCTTTCCACGGCGGCGGCGCTTCCCAGCCATGGGCATGGGACCTATGGGTGGTATGGGTGGTATGGGTGGCATGGGCATGGGTATGCCTCCTTCTCGTCGATATCACGGTGGTGGAATGGGTGGAATGGGCATGGGAGGTGGCAGATATGGACATGGGGGATGGGGTGGCCCGGGGTATGGCCATGCCTACGCCTCAGGGTTTGGAGGCCGGCACGGAGGCTTTGGTGGCCCGGGGATCGGGGGTCCAGGCTTTGGGCGTCGCGGAGGATTTGGAGGGCGGCGATGCTGAACGACAGGGTTGTTATTTCACCGAGATACACCCCCAAGGAACATATTTATATGTTTCAAAGTCTTGACAGAGACTTTGAAGTCATATCATGGACTTTTCTACGGTCGGCAATGTCAATATTCGTTGTGGCACTCTAAGCATGTCGCATGCATCAGTCTCTCACTCCACCCAACCAACATTCCTTTGTCAGATTCCTTTGAATTCATAATATGATACACAATCAGAAACAATCCTTCATCACACTCGACAACTCTTCACCATAGTCAAACACGAATCCCCCGTTAGATGTCGGCTGGTACGGGCCTCCGTCAGGTAGAGGACCTGTTCCCATTCCCATAATTTGGTCCTCAAGATTTCCCACGGCTTCAAACCATTCCATAAGCTCTTGTGTCATCTGTGCACCGTCTAACGGAGTCTGGCTATGCGTGCTCACAGTCGGAGCCAGGGCAGGTGAAGCATTCGCGCCGTAGGGACCATTTCCTTCGGCATGAGCATCTAGTCGGTGCTTTTGCACGCCTAGTCCCAACTGAGGGCCAAGTTTGCGAAGACTCCGAATCGAATTCCATAGTCGGCGGGAAATGTATGATTGGGCTGAGAATCCCTTGACCAGTTCTAACGCCCAGAAGAACTCCTCTTTGCACGAACCACTGAACTGAGTTGGAGCCTGTGCCACTGCGAGGAAAAGAACTGCAACGGCTGAGACCAAAAACCAGTTAAATGCCACTTGTTGCAACTGGTAAATATCCGAGGTTTCATTCAAGCGAGTGATGAAGCGGATTGTATCTTTCGCAATTTCCACAACTGTCTCCGATTCAGTCGGATACCGCACAATGTGTGCTGCGGTATGGAGAACGGGGCGATGAATGAGCATTCGCAGTTGATTAGCACGAAGATACAGCAGTGCACGAAGTCTTCGCATGCTTCGTGAACCTTCAGTGGCAGACGCAGATTCCGCAGAGCTTGGATAGTTCAGTCGCAATGAGTCGGGAATGGCATGCACCCAGCTCAGAACCTGCCAGTCTAAATAGTTCATTTCGTCTTTTTTGATCTCGTTGGTGTTGTTGAAGGCCGAAATAAACTTCCACACTTTGGCTGCAATGCGGCTATATCGAATCATCACGCGCAGGTAGGGGGTCTTCTCAGCGGGCTCTGGTAGCCATGGATCGATATCTGTATCTTCTAGAGAGAATGGCATGCCGGTTCCAAAGCTCCAACGCATGTCCAGGATGTAAATAGACCAAAAGAGACGAAGCACGCGTTCCTTTCCGGCAGCCATGATGCCTGGTTGATTGAGGGTCTCACGTCTATGAAGACCTTTCTCTAGACACATGCGCTCGACGATACCAATCGTGCGCCATGCCAATGTCTCCTCATCCATCTGGAAATAGAAAATTGACTGCCACAGTTAGCATACTGAACACTCCACTGGTTGAAAATGACAAACCACAAGAGTCAAGAAGATTATACTCTTGATTTCAGGCGGGCCCCAAACGCAATTGTCTTGGACTTCTCGCACACTATCAAAGAGTGCAATAGCTTGCTCACTGCGACCGCTAGCCTCAGCCGTCAAAGCACAAGCGAACACAAGACGAAGAATATGGACATCTTCCCGATTCACTCCATTGGGTCCATCGGGCTGCATAGACGGACCAAGAGCGCGATCCATTGGGCCGTACAATAAATGCACCTGGTTCAAGAGCTCCGGAAGATCCAACACGGGGTACATGATACCCATTTCTTCTTCGTAGACTCGACAAAGTCGCAGTGCCTCAGTCTTTGGAAGAGTCCAGAGAGGTTCCATGACTTGATGCGTGACGAGTTCCCTGGCTGGTGCTGATGGAGATGCCACCGGTGAAGGTTCCTGTGTCATGTCCGCTTCATCAAGAGCCTCGGCACGTTCCACAATCCCGCGTTGCTGTAAGCTGGATTTTGCCAAGTCAAAGCTGAATGCTGAGGTTGTCGGACCTTGAAATGTTGTCTCTCTGGCAGTAGATACACGCCGTAGAGACCTTTGAGTAGGCGCAAGCACATAGCTGCTTGTAGTGGGAACTCCCCCAATAGGGGAATTTTCATTGCTAGCCATCGACCGAACAGTAGCAGACAACAAAGTGATCTGGTCTTGCATAGCTTTCATTTGATCAAACAGGCGCTCGAAATTTCTGTGAGGGTTAGTTACTGCCAACTCTGCCAACCTCACGTGGGCATACTCTTTCTCATTGGAGCTGTCTCTCTGGGGATTTTCGACATAAATGCATTCAATACTCTGACGTCCACATCTCTGACACGGAGCCTCTCCATTGCATTTAATCTTGCGACGCTTGCATTCATTGCTTTGAGGCTGTTAGATGCTGGTCGCCAATTGCCATCTCCCAACTCACCAGGCTTTAGCAATATACTTGTGGCGCTTCTTCCGCGGGCGTTCATCTTCCACGGAGGGAGCTTTATCCCAGTCAAGTTCAGACATGTCACAAATGTTGTTGAGCTGCGAACAGTTGCAGGGGGAAGAAACTGTGGAGGTGGCAGATGCGGGGGATTCCGTCCTCGGTCTCCACAGAAGTACTCAGACTCAAAAATGCGTCAAATCAAAGGCAAATGATTACTAGTAATAGGTGAACAAGAGAGTCACGGAGATAGATCTACAAGGTAGCATGGCAATCGGTAATTGACGTTGGTGAATTTTGTAGGTGGTAAGTATATCGTAGCTTAGCTTGTCATTTATCTCTACATGTTCTTGGCTTCGTTACCATAATTTTGGAAGTATTTACAACGCCTCACTTGGAGGATAAAAGAACAAATCAAAGATTCTCATAGGTCCTTGGTGCGCTCATCACTTTCAGCGATCCACTGCTCCAGCTTCTTAGGGTCGCGTGCGCTGAAGCCGACCTTGAATGGCTTGGGTTCAGTTGTCAATGCAGTGGCAATGGCATTGCACTCGATGGCGTTCAAAATCGGCAAATCAGAAACCTCCTTCGCGGGGTCCATCTTGAACGCAGTGATCAGACGGATAAAGGCCGTGAACAGCTCACGGTTAGCGAGGTGGGAACCCGCACACATACGGGAGCCTGCGCCGTATCCGTAGTGTGGAGTACCTGAGCCCTCGTTGAGCTCAAGGTAGCGTTCAGGAATGAACTTGTGAGCATCCTTGAAGTGGTCCTCATCATAATCAGCAGCCCAGGCGTTCTGAAAAAGGTTAGCACTGTTATAACAGGAAACAAGAACGGAGACAAACCATGAAGAAAGTAGTTCCAGCGGGAATAGTAGCACCGTTCCATTGAATATCCTTGGTACTCTCGCGTGGCAGACAGATAGGGATGACAGTCCAGAACCGGAGAACCTCCTTGACGAATGCAGTCACGTAGGGGACCTTCTCCTCGATCAGGCACTTCTCCCAAGCGTCACCGTCTGGGTAGACTTCCATGATCTCGTCGTAGGCCTTCTTTTGAATGCGCTGGCCGTCCTCTGATGCGAGATAGGCAATTCCCATAATCAAGTTTCCTGGAACGGTATCGAGACCGGCCGACACCATAGTCAAACAGATTGATTTCACCTCGGCTGTACAGCACATTAGTATAGATTACCAAATACGCCACGTCCCCGATTGTACTCACCATCATTTAGCTTCGCCTCTGGGTCCTTGAGGATATTACCAGTGATGCAGGGCTTGTCGGTACCCTTGGAAATACGGTCCTTGAGCATGTCAAGCAAGTAGGTCAAATACTTGTCACGGCGAGCACGGAAGTCTTGAGCCTCATTGTTCATCTTAGGGAAGATACGCAACAAGGGAATGTAGTCTTGCCAGTTATTCGAAGTACTGCGGAAGTTGGACACGCCCCGTTCCACATCCACAATCTCGTGCAGCAGCTGATCATCCACATTGCCCTCAATTCGAAATCCGTAGTTGAGAGTCAGACTGGTATTGAGAGCAAATCGCTGGAAGTATGCAGTTGGGTTCACATCGACTGTGCCATTCTTGCTATCACGGTACAACTCCTTGATACTGGAGTTGGATTCGAGGTCAATGATTGGCATGTATGACTGGGTCGCCGGTCGGTTCAACGCAGTGGCTGCAGCCTTGCGGCGGCGCTTGCATGACTCATCCCATGGAGAAGTACCAATGGTAAACCCCTGCGAGCTGGACACGACGCTGTGGAAGGTGTGGAAAGTGGGACGAGAGACCAAGGCCGACTGGTCCTTGATCCACAGCTGCCGAACCGAGTCGAAGCTGTTGGCGAAGACAATACGCTAATGTACGACTTAGTTTCGCTCCACGCATGATAGTGAAATGCCCACCTTGTTGCCCATGCGCACTTGGAAGACCGGGCCGAACTTCTTCGCCCATTTTCCAGCCACTGTCGCATGCTGGTCTCCGAGTTGTAGAAGGTTGCCAAAGATGGGTACACCAGGAATCTCCGGGAGGCCCTTGATCTTGGGGATATCGGTGCGGTTGAAATAGCGAATAAGGAAGTATACCACCGTAACGACGGCAAGCGCCAGTGTTTGAAGCGTCATGTTGAAGGGAATATGGGAATACTAGAGTTTGGAGTCAAGTGTGCGCGATGCAACTCTTATAACCCCTCAAGGGCGATCGGCTACGCAACGGCATATTTCCGAGCTCGTACCTCGAAGGCTATAACCGGAGAAGAAGGTCGGTGACGTTGAATCAACCAGTGAGGAAGCAGAGAATCAGCGAACCGCAGGGCAGATCTCACTGCAGTCCGGGGCCGAGATACTCCACTCCGCGGGAAGGGCGGAACGCACATTCCGCCCCACTTCAATGACCCACGCGCGGAATGTTGAGGTGAATTTCCGTGTCTGCATAAGCGGGTTCGAGACAGAAATGGAGTTCCGTTCAGTAAACCAATTGGTCAATATCATCATGTTGGGTTGAGCTTGCAACAATGATCATTTCAAGTATAAGACTTTGATGATCGTCATACCTTTCAACATGATTCATTTACAAAAGAGTACATGTACAGGAGAATATGCTTCAGAATACCTGGGGGTTATAAAGATTCAAAGTATCCCAGTATAGCTTCACAGCTCTATGCAAGTGGATGTCTAACTCTTTGAGTAGTCCGGTGGCTGGGAACAATGCTCAAATATGTGAGTGAAATACTCAATGCAGGCAAGCATTGGTGCATTGCAACAACCAAACAGTGGTTATAGAATCACCGCCAGGGATTCACTCATACGCTCAACGCCAAACAGTTAGCAGCTGTTTGCCGGCCAGGTGCCGCTTTCTCAGCTCATCCGGTCCATTGAACGTTGGGACTTTGCCGGTTGGCGACATTGCTTTGCCAAATATCAACTGAATCCAAAAGTTCCAGTGCCGGCTCAGGCATTGCTAGTATATTCAATCAAAAATCAACGAATTGAACCGGCACGACATATGCGACCGAAAATTTCCTGGTGATGCGTGTTGTAATCAGGGACCCAATCTTGTAGCTGGGACGATACACATTGGGTAAGTGACATCAGAGCTAAGCATCAACAGCTCCGATGTACTAGCCTTGGAAGACCTCGTTTTGCGCGAGACGGCCTTCCTGTTCGACTGGCGCAGGTGGGTCTGAAGGATATCCCATCGAACGATTGATCTCCACTTCCTCGACAATCTCATTCTCCGCGATTCCACGTCGTCTCTTCCAATTGCGCTCGGTATTGGTGATATATCCTTCACGCCACATGTGGCCATAGAATTCCCGAGCCTCTTCTTTGGTTCTCACGCGTAGAATATCGTACGTACTGGCTCTTGTCAGGGCCGCATCCCGATCGCGAGTCATCTGTCTTTTAACCACCTCCAAGTTGACTCCCATCGAGCGGAAGTGTTCACCCCATATGCCATCTTCCGCTTGAGTCATAAAGATTGTAATTCGGTCAGGAGAGACGGGGTAAGCAAGGAGATATGCGAGTGCATCAGCATCCACACCGCTTGAAATAGGACCAATAACGAAATCATGACCACGCTCAATAGCGTCGTTGATCTTGGTCACATAGTGGATGTTGAAGTAGGATTCATCGGGACCAGTGCTAATCGGACCTGATATGAAAGCGATCTGTCTGTCCATTGTAATTATCGACGAAGACAGAGAAGACAACGTTGGAGTTGAGAGAAGGTGAAGCATAGACCAGACACTATACCGCATTGGGCATATATTATAGATTGAGGTTGTATTCAGTTACTGTTGTATAGACTTGATAAATGTATGAAGCTGATTTGGGATTGTAAGTATCTTAAAACCCTCCATCTGAGAGTTACAGAGTATAGAAGCATGTAGATGTCTATATACATTCCCCCCCTGGGGACTATTCCTGGCTTACATTTTGATAAAAAAAGTCAACATGCATATACAGACTACGAATTTAGACTTGTCTTATTCAAAGTACCCAGACTCACTCAATAAACAGTCAATAACCGAACAAATCGACCAGAGACATGCCTGACCTTTAAGGCACAAAGTTGCCTTGATGCCAAGGTGTCGGCACGCGGCCAATCTCCGCGCAAACCTCCGGAGCTTCCATCTTCAAGCAACAAGCATGTCTTCGCAGCCCTTTCTTCCACTCTCTTCTCCTCCAGGCTCGCCTTCGCCCGTATTGCGCCCGCGGCGACCGAGTCTAGAACTCGAGCGCGAAATCCTCTCCACTAGAGGCCAGCGTCTAGTGAACTTTTTGCCGTCGCGCACGTCAAGCCTTGCTTTGCATGATCTCGATGACGATGTATCTGAGAGACGGCTCTTCCTGCGACGGGGATCTATGCTGATTGGACACAGTAATCCACGTTATGAATGGTAGTGTTCTTCGATCTGTGACGCGATCAATCCTAACTCTGCATAGGCAGCGATACTATAGATCGCCCGAGTCATTGAAGGACCTCCCCAAGAAGATGTTTGTCTCCAGGTGCTATTGTTGAATTGGAAATGGAACTGACCATCAAAGTCGGGAATACTACGAGCGCACGAATTCCTTGATCTCCCAATATCTTTACATCGACCGACTGCTGGACTCGTCTCTCCCCCACAATTTGATCGAAGAATACAATGGGTGTCACCATCATGATCCCGCAGGAAATGGCTTCCATCAACCGCCCCCAGACGGAAATGAAGTCGAGGCAGCCAACCCCAAGACCGGAAAGATAAAGCGCACCCCGCATAATCTGTATCGGGTTCCCGATGAGACGACTCCTTTGGTCGCCTCGGAAGAAAACAGCCCGGAAGGCTCATTGCCTGATTTTAAATCACACGGAGGCATGTCACCAGAGGCCGAGGAGCGTGTCATCAACTGGGCCATTCGTATCAACTTCGCTGCCAATGTCGCTCTCCTCGTTTCCAAGATCGCTATCATGGCAATGACCAGCTCCATGTCCATGCTAGCCGGTCTTGTCGACGGAGTTTTGGACTTTTTCAGTACTGTTATTGTCTGGGTGACCAGCATCATGATCCGCCGACAAGATCGCAACCGATTCCCGATCACCCGGCGACGCCTGGAACCTGTCAGTGTGCTAATCTTCTCAGTGATCATGGTCACCTCCTTCTTCCAAGTGGGACTATCATCTGTGAAGCAGCTACTTGGAGATGATCATACCGTTGTCGAGCTCACAATTCCATCGCTTGCGCTCATGGCTGGCACTGTGATTGTGAAATTGCTCTGCTGGATCTGGTGTCGCTTGATCCCGAGCCCCAGTGTCCAGGTGCTGGCCCAAGACGCCATGACAGATGTCATCTTTAACATCTTCAGTATCATATTCCCGCTGAGTAAGTCCACCGTTCGCTTTATCCAACCTCTATCTAACCCAAAATTCCACAGTTGGCACGTTTGCAAACCTTTGGTTCTTGGATCCCCTGGGTGGTCTTTTCCTCTCCATCTACATCATGTGGAACTGGGGCCAGACAGCCGGAGAATACATCGGACGATTCACCGGCGCGGCTGCCTCGCCCGACGACCATAGCATCCTGCTCTACATGACGATGCGGTTCTCCCGAGTAATTCTGAAGATTCAGGATCTGAAAGCTTACTATGCCAGTGATAAGCTTAATGTCGAGGTTGACCTTGTCGTAGACGACAGCATGAGCTTGCGGGACAGTCACGATGTTGGCGAAAGCTTGCAGTACATCATTGAGAGTGTCCCGACTGTTGATCGTGCTTTCGTGCATCTAGACTATGACCCCTGGAACCTACCTAGTCATATGAACCAGATGGACCGCTGAGATTGATGCACCTGTCCCGTTAAATCAGTGCACATGTCCCACTGGTCCAGAGTCATAGATGTACAAACTTTACATTTTATAACAACGTGGGGGCCCAACAGCCATGGCTCGCGCTCCGGTAACTTTTCTTCTTTCATCATCATTCTGAAGAACTATAACTAATTAAATCAACTTGGTTGACTTAGCGAGGCCTTGCTCAAGTCACTAGTCGGTCTGTCGATTCAGTTGACTAGTAGCATACCGCTGACCTGATTTTTATCTGCGAGCCCTCCTGCCCGACCTCCTCTCGCCCCATTTCGAAGATTACTTCTCTCCCCCTCACCATGTCAAACGACGACCGAGGATATCGGCCAAAATGGGGCGAGCTGGCCATTGAGCAATACATGGTCGCACGTTTCTCTCATAGCCTAGACTGCATAGGAAGACCACTCACGTTCTGCAGAGACACTGGGACTTCGCCGTAGGTCCGGTGAGCGGTGCTGGGTACAAGCGATATCCGTCATCGGAAATCGTGGACATGTCACGAGCACAGTTCAAGGTCTGCCTTGCCAAGGCAAAGCAGAATGAGCCTGATCGGTGGCGGGAGGATCCGCATGGCTGGATCGAAGTCGAGGGGGCCGACCTCCTCCGCACAGTGGCAGCAGCCTACATTCTGGTGGCAGATCAAACGGCCTTCGAGACTGGCCACGTGCGTCTGATTTATGTGGATGGGGAGCGGAATGTCATCCGGGAGACTCGCTTCGACACGCAGACGATCACCGATGTGATCATGGATTGGGCCCAGTTGAATCTGCCCCCCGGAGTTGTGGGAGGAAGGCACTATCGGGGAGAGGTACCGCGTCACTGGGGATTTGGGAAGGGAGTTTTATCAATTGAGCGAGGCTGATATGACGGATCCTTGGTCTGCGTGTGACTATCTCCTGCTGGCATGAGGATCATATATAGGGCGTATCACGTCCCCGGCCATCTGACACGCACCTGCTGGTGAGTCCGGACGATGTATGTACTCGGGTGTTCCTGTGGCGGCAGGAAGAATAGGCCTAATCTTTGATGGTTTGAAATTAGAGGACTTTCGATAGACACCTTGGCCCAATAATCAGGACTGCAATTCGCAGAGCTTTTCTTCCGTGTTCGCTGGAGTCTGGAAATGAAGTCTACAAATTTCTCACGCTCTTTTGGGTGCAAAACTTTGCGTCTAGGAAAGGAGCCTAAGCCGATCCTGGATTTGGGACCGCAAGAGAATGTCAGAAGAGCATCCCGATGTTGGGAGCCGCATCGGAACTTTTCAACTCCATCACTTCATTTTTGGTGGTCAATTTTCAAGACGATGGCAGAGTAAGCTGGAGCCCTCAATTTCTCCCTGAATCTAGTCAAATGATGGACAGCATCCGCAATGCTTCCGACCAAGCCTCGGACACGTTTCCTTTCTCGGCAGTAAGACTTCAGTTTCTCTCATGAAGAACTCTAGTGTATGCTTGAGACAGAGAATCAACAAGATTCGGGATCATACCTGCTTACCAACTAGATCACGGCCATTTCGGTTCTGCAATGCCGTCACCAATATGCCATGTTGTATCCAGGGTCGTCCCACTCTCCGGCTGTCGCAGAAACATGGGCCTTGGCGAAGTCTAGGTAAAACTAACCGAATACAGTTATTCGCAGGTCCGCCGTTTACAGTTTACAAGAAGCATAATTGAATCACACATAAATCATTCATCTAGTTATACATATGAACCATGATCAAATGAGAATTCTCACTGGCAAGACGACAGGACGCTAGACAACAAAACAAGTAAAAAGACAGAAAGGTAATGTACAACCAAACCAAACCCAATATGGTATTCACACAGCACCCCAAAATAATCAAACAGAGACTTCTCCTCTTAACGAGGCGGTTGCGAAGGCGGGGGCAACGAACCCGGTAGCCCACCTTGAGTTGAGCTATGGCTGTAAACACGGTGGTGGGTGGGTGTGGAGGTAGCTTCACTAAGGGAACCTGGGGCGCCAGGCCGCTGGTGAAGTGGCGGGACAGATCCCGACAAAGATTGCGGGGGAGGAGCATAACCACCCATGGCACTTCCACCCATAGAAGGATGCATAGTAGATGGAGGAGTGTACGAGCGTCCAAGGCTTGCCAGCGAGGCCATGGATCGACTAGGCTGAGACTGAGGAGGTGGGGTGTTATGTCCATATTGGGAGGGACCACCGGGCAAGCTCACTGGAGTGGAGCGGTGGGACCCGGGCTGATGCGACCCACTAACCATTGTTTGTACATGCTGTTGATAGCTATGCGACTGGACTGGGGTTGGCGTGGATGCGGCTGAATATGACTGTTGCACTCCAGACTGGCGCGAATGAACACCAAATAGACCAGCAGACTGTGTTGGCGCCGGTCCTTCCTGTCGCGATCCATACGCCATGGTGGCACGCGGACCAGGTGATGTTGCTCGATAGGATGGCGGCTGAGAAGCTATCTCACGCGCCCCAGACGTCCCAGGCGGCTGAGCAGAAGCCGATTGAGAAAATACGCTAGGGTAGGATGACCGTTGAGAGGCGGTTTGGGGTGGGGGAGTCGGTGCTGGTGATGGAGCAGAGAGATTGGTCAAAGGCACTGAAGACTGGCTCGGGGCCGAAACATAAGATGCATAGGAGCTCTGGGTAGCCAGAGGTGCCCCAGGACGGCTACTCTGCTGCTGCGCTGGTGGTGGCTGGGCTTGAGGCTGCGAAGGTGCCTGCTGCGCCCGTGGATCGAATCGGGCCATCCAGTCATTGTTTGCCGATGTGCCTGAGCCACTCTGGGTAGGGCCATACCCTGGGTACTCTGCGTATCCGCGAGAAGATGACTGATACTGGCCTTGCTGAGCGTAGCTAGAGGGCTTCTGCGACATGCCCGTCATGGCGGTGTCTTCATGGCGGGCCGACTGGGTTGTCTGGTAAACCGGTCTTCCTGCTGCACCTGAAGTTGAAGGAGCGGTAGATGGAGCCTGTTCACTGGCAAATCGTTTGCGGGGCTGAGGCTCCTCCGGCTCATCGTTCAGAATACTCATAATGTTGGACCGTTTGGCGGGCACTTGGCGAGACGCATCAGGAGCCGGAGTGACACTCGGGCGAGGTGCATCTTTGACTGGTGACAAACCCGGGCGAGGCGACTGCGACATTCCTTGGCCTGCGTACGAGTAGTAGGGCCTAGGAGCAAAGGGGTCACGGTGAACGGATGCAATGTCAAGTTCAGGTCTAGGCAATTGAGTGGGCGAACCCGGCTGGGTCAAGCTGGGGTGACGCGAATGGCCCGAGGAAAGCATAGACGGCGGCTGTTGCGCAGACATGTAACCTTGCGTAGACAAAGGTTCCATCCGAGCCATATCAGGTGGCATTGAGCCAGGGGGAAGGCGTGAGGAAAGAGATAGATCCTGTGCACGGGAGGTTGAATGAGGCAGGATGGAAGAGTCCCGTCTGTCCTCTGTGAAGTACCCAAGACGTGGTCCCGACAAACGGTGAGCCTGGCCTGCGTTCTGTGCGCGAATTGCTCGAGTTGATTCTTCAATGAGAGTCGCAGTTGATGGCACCGGAGAAGCGGTGGAGGCTTGCGCAAGCGGTTGATAGCGAGCCGCATTGCGATCTTTCTCAGACGTCGGCCGCCCATGCATGGGCATAGGCTGTGGTGAGAGGGCAAGAGGTTTCACCTTTGAGAACCGAACCTCGTCTTCGGTCATGGGATCGCCATGAGGAGCAAGAGGGCGAGGAATGATAGAAGACGGAGTTGCCTCGTATCGGCGCTTGGGGGCAACACTTGGAATGGGAAGAGGGCCCGTAAGCTCACCGCGGACCTTCTTGTCCTCGGCCTCAGTAAGAATCAACTCGAAGTCTTTGTGGCCACTGTCCAGGCGACGCTGGTAGAAGTTTTTGACCTGTAGTATTTATGTTAGCCGGCCAATCAACAAGCACATTGAGGAACGAAACGATTCCGTACCATTACCGTGGTTTTAGTCTTCATCCAACCTGAGATACCTTCAAAATCACGGCCAAAGTGTGCCAGCAAGGCAGGGAAATCACGCTGTTCTGGCACGGACCAATAGCTCGTCGGCTGCATGGACCCATAGCCCGTCTCAGCCTGTTTGACTGCCATAGGTGGGTCAATTTCGGTAGACTCAAAGACATAAACCCCGTCTTTCGCGCGTCCACGTCCCCTACCTCGCGGCATTACCGGAAGTGGTTCTTGAACCATCCGATCTACTCTGCCATCTAGACCCCATTGCATGCTGTTGTCTGGGGTCATTTCCATCTCGGCTCCAGGAAGAGGCGGGGGCAAAGTCTCCGGTGTAGCTAAGACCTGACCTTTCTGGTCGGGCTGCGTGGTCTTCGCACGACGGGCGCCGCGAGTGCCGCCTCCACCGCGTCCACCTCGGCGAGCAGGCGCCTTTTCAACTGGTTCAATATCGCGGCCAGTTTGGGCACGACGGCCCGCTGACCCGTCCTCCGTTTCACCAGGCTCACCACCAAATTTAGGAGCCGCAGCACGTCTTGGACGACCAGTATCAGTGACAGCGGGGATTGCGTCCTCGCCGTCCATGTCAGGCTTGACGACGCTCAAGTCGGCAATAAGAGCATTGGATTTCGGCCGTGCCGCGCCGCCTTTTCGAGGACCCTTGCGTTTACTCCAGCGTTTGTTGAGCTTAGCCTTGTACTTGATCTCTTCCTTGGTGAGGTAATAGTGAACAATACACTGCTGGAAGGTGCGCCCAGGTAGAGATTCCGCAATTTTGCCCCATTTCTTCGGGTATGCCATAAATGCGTCTGTGAAGGTGACGTGTTCCTCCGGAGTGAAATCGTTGGGAGGTGGCAGGAAGCCGAAAACATCCATGGCGTGATTGCACTCAATGATATTATTTACGTCTTTGTAGACGCAGGCCTTCTCCTCACGCGGCTCGAGCATGTTGGGAATGATTGCCTCGCGTCCCAAATCGGGCCGAGCAGTAGCCATCTTGGTACGTCGGCGTTCGAGCTCTTCTTGAGCTGAGATCTCAGAGGCTTTCAGCGCGTTGAGGAAATCAAGTTCGCTGTTTCCTTTATATCGTCGTCCTTCACGGCCTTCCGGCATGGGAGCTGGTGTTGTTGGTACTGTAGAAACTGGTGGCGAGGCTGGCGCTGGGGTGTCAGTTTTCTTGTCCTTCAGACGGTCTAGCTCCCAGATGGCCAATCGCCAAGGCTTGTAGTAAGACATGTACTCTTCTCGAAGAATAGCATTCTTCTTGAAGACTTCTTGCTGCATCTTAGAAAGCTCATTAGAGAAGGTTTCCTTAAGACGGTTCTGGGTAGCAATGTTGTCATGATACACTTCCAAATCCGAAAGGGGAGTGGGAGGGCCAGAGTGTAAGAAAGGAAGATTGTCAATGGTAACTTCATCACTGGGTACCACAGGGGGAATGATAGTTTCAAAAACTGGCTCCGGTTGACGCCCAGCTTCAGCTTCAAGTTCGGATTCGGCTTCGCGTTCAAGTTCACGTTCGAGTTCACGTTCATTCGGCGTTGGTGCGAAGGACACCACCCGTTCACTGCTTGGAGGATTGGCTAACTCTTCATCTTCCACTGATGGCACAGGGTCCACAGATTGCGGCACTGGTTTTTCTAATTCTTCTTCTTCCTCCTCTTCTTCTGCTGGCTGTTCCACCGACATTTCGTGAGCCAACATGCCAAGTAGCTGTATTTTCAACAGTAGTGATACAATCGTCGGGTCTTCCAGAGGAGAAGGGGGCAGTTCGGCTCGGAGTGATTCCATGTCCCGTTCGAAAATTCGTTTCCTTTCATCGAGATATTCCTGGGTGAAGACATTCTCGCTATCTTCCTCATCACTAGAGCGTTCAAAGTCCGGCACCATGGCAGGTTCTTCTTCCTTGGCACTTTTCTCAAAGTGTTCGCTCAATTCACCATTTTCGACGTTGGAATCCAATGGGGGGCTGAGGCGAAGCGGGAGTTTCATTGAATCGAAAACCGGAGACCTGATTTTCTCATCTTCACGCGGAATAATTTCACCACTCTCTGGCTCATCTGCGACGGGAGACGGCGGCCCTGGGACTTTCCGAGTGTTTTGCCCAACAGCAGCAGCCTCCCTGTCAATGACGAGTCCCTGTTTCGGAGGCGGATTGGAGACGGATGGTGTTCGGGGGAAACCTGAATGCATCCAGGGCTTATTGCCTTTCCCTCCGCGTGGTGATGGTGCTTGGCGTTGCAGTGCTCTAGGTCCAGTGGGTATAACGGAGGGGGGCACTCGAGGTGATATGGATGGTTCTCGAGATGCTGCACGCTGAACTGAGGCTGGATATCGGGTGGATGTTGGAGATGAGGTTAGGGAGCTCGATCTGCGGGCCCCAAAAGGCTCGGTTGGTGCAGAGACTGAGTTCGGTTTAGACATCGCGGCTGGAGCAGTCGGTGGAGATAATTCGGAGATACTTGTAGATGGTCGTGACGCTCGCGCAGGTCCTCCCTGCATATGTGCGGGCTCTGCCGGCAACTCAGGACGATTGCGAGGTTCAGAGACAATTGGGGTATCGCCTCTTTCTGCCCTGGGGCCTGTGGGAGGCTGAACAATCGGCCGTTGTACTTCATTCCGGTCTTTCTCTGTTGGCTGGGGAGGATTTGGGGCCGTTCGCTGTTCTGCGGGTTCTTGATCGGCAGCTGGGGTTGGAATGGGCACTGACACAGAGCCAAAGGCGGGTACTTGAGGAGCAGCTGGAGGCGGAGATGGTCGAATAATAGGCGGGACATCCTTTGGAACCTCTGGGCGAGCTGGTACTGCTTCAATGCGCTCCGTCTCTCGTACCGGCTCTGGTGCCGGAGCAGCTGACATGATCGATGCTTTCCGGCCTGGGTCGATTGGGGGCTCGGGGTGTCGATCCACTGGCGCTGGGCCCGTAGTAGATGCTGCAGGGGGGTGTGAGGAGGTAGTCGAGCCGCTTGCTGCACGGCTTTCTGCGCGGCTCGGAGGATGGTCACGTTTCCAGAAATCGACTGGACGGTCTCGGTCCTCACGATCTGGACGTCGGGGTTCCCAATCTTCTCGGCGGTCAAAACGATCTCGGCGGTCCAAGTCGCGATCTAAGTCTCGGTCTCGGTCTCTTGGTCGTGGGGGTTCTCGATCACGTTCTCGGTCCATCATGCGATCTCGATCTAGAACACGGTCACGGTCAATATCTCGGTCTCGGTCACGATCCATCATTCGATCAGGGCGGCCGCGCCATGGTTCACGAGATTGGCTTCGTCGCCGGAAGAGATCGCGATCGTCATTGAGGAAGGGTGGGCGGCCTCGACCGCGTCCACCTTCCCAGTCTCCACGGCCGCGGCCTCGCATGCCTCCTCGATTGATATGACCGCCATTTGTAGGTGGGCCATCTGGGCCTCCTGAAGATGCGGACAAGATGCTGTCTCGAGAGTTGCGTCGGATGCGGCCTAAATCAAAGTCACGGCCCAGGGGGCCATCACGAAAGTCGCGCGTCGGGGATCTGGAGCGTCCTCGGCCAAAGCCAATTCGATTATCTCGGGGGTCAAAGTCACGGTCGCGGCGAACCCATTCACGGTCCAAATCCCGGCGGAACGGAGGGCCATCACGGTTGTCTCGAAAATCACGGTCTCGGTCTCGTGGATCTCTGTCGCGATCACGGAAATCACCACGGCCATAACCCCTACCGCGACCACCAAAGTGGCCCCGAGACGGTTCAACCAAGGCGCGAGGACCACGAGGCGGGTCTCTAAATGGGGCAGGGCCATCGTCAGGACCACGAGGGCCAAAGGGTGGACGACCGAAGCGCTGCGGTGAACGATCACGGGAATTGAACCCGGACGACGGGGGAAATCGATTTGACATTATCGCGTCATGCTACGAACTGTAGATTGATTAGCGCCTCCAACACCTACAAAGTGGAAGTGCAGAATCCATTCACATACTGGAGAACGACGAGGGTCTGCACGTGACAGGCACGGACCAAGCGATGGATTAGGTAAGGTTACCCGATCAGGCAAGGCGTATCTCCAACTTTGGGGAGATGGACTTGGATCAAAGCGCGCTCTTTGATGACAGTTGGGGGGCGTGAGAATCCCGAAAGCCGGGGGAATAGATGAGGATGAATGACCGTGCAGGATTCCAGGTATGAAACACGTTCACCAAGAATCCTCCGAAGCTCCTTGCAGGTATTGGAAGCAGAGAGAGGGATTGAAGGAAAGGGAAGTGAGACTTCAAGGGGTGGCACTAAAGCACAGTGGGACTAGTGCGGTGGATTCGGAGGTGTTGGCGCCTCCCAAACTCTATCGCGATCTTCAATTCTTCAATGTGCACGGAGGATGTGGCAGATGATTTGATTAGAAAAGGAAAATCCGGATATCTGATGCAGAGTTATAGACTAGATCATTGACACCCTGGTCAAGGTGATACAGGCGCTGGTACCCTGAAATGGCGGAAATCGTGGAAACTGTCACCGATCGCGGCCTGAATGCCTTGATGCCTTGGTGCCTTTCAGCCTTACAGCCTGAGGCATAAAATCTAGGCCCCTTGATGCCTCAGGCCACAATCGGTGCTTCCCCGCCGAAAAAAAAAAAAGATCGGAGTTGCCCCTCTTCTGTTGATCACTTCAAACTTGACTTGCATTGCACTTTCTTTTCTTTTCGTTTCCTGTATACTACTCTCTTTTATTATTATGGCCCAATCCTCAGTTCCTGCCTCCGTGGCGGAGTCCGTCCTCCAGAGCTCCCAACCCGTTCCGGAAGGATCTCATGAAGTGAGCGGAGTGGACTTTGATAAGTTCCAGGGCCGGGATATCACAGTGGCAGAGATGGTGGACAACCTGGCCTATACAGGGTTCCAGGGTAGTGCCGTTTCCGAGGCGGCCCGCATCATCAACGAGATGGTAAGCTTTGAACTAGAATCAGCTCTCGGACTCTAGATTCTTACAGTCTGTCCTCTTAGCGCGCCTTCCGTGACCCCGAAACTGGAGATAAGACTACCATCTTCCTCGGCTTTACTTCCAATCTGATCTCTTCCGGTCTTCGTGATACCCTGCGTTATCTGGTGAAACACAAGCATGTGTCGGCAATCGTGACCACTGCGGGTGGCGTTGAGGAGGACCTGATCAAATGTCTCGCACCGACGTATCTCGGATCATTCACTACACCGGGTGCTGGACTGCGTGCCAAAGGTCTCAACCGCATTGGCAATCTGCTCGTTCCCAACAACAACTACTGTGCCTTCGAGGACTGGGTGGTCCCTATTCTAGACAAGATGTTGGAGGAGCAGGAGGCAGCCAAGGTCAAAGCCCGTGAAACTGGCGACGAGGAAGATGAGCTCCACTGGACCCCAAGTCGCATCACCGAGCGGCTCGGTCATGAGATCAACCACGAGGATTCAGTTCTCTACTGGGCCGCCCGGAATGGAATCCCCGTGTTCTGTCCTGCCCTGACAGATGGATCCTTGGGTGATATGCTTTACTTCCACACCTTCAAGTCTTCTCCACAGCGACTCCGGGTTGATATTGTGGATGATGTTCGCCGTATTAACACCATGGCCGTACGGGCCACACGCGCTGGTATGATCATTCTCGGAGGCGGTGTTGTCAAGCATCACATTGCCAATGCATGCCTGATGCGTAACGGGGCCGAACATGCAGTATATGTAAACACCGCCCAGGAGTTCGACGGTAGCGATGCGGGCGCACGGCCGGATGAAGCGGTGAGCTGGGGCAAGATAAAGGCGGACGCCAAATCCGTCAAGGTCAGTAATTTCAAATGCTTCCATGCGGTGTAGGCTAATTCTCCACTAGGTATACGCCGAGGCCACTGCAGTGTTCCCCATGATTGTAGCCGCTTCATTCGCTCGTGCGGAATCCCAGAACTGAACGCAAGGCTATCGAGTTTTGTGCGATACCACTGGTGCCAAGAAATGCGGCATACCGCGAGCTACTCCGTACAGGACTCCGTACAGGAGGAATTTGTTTCCAAGGGCCAATTACCAATTATTTCAGTCGACAGGCGTTGATCAATCAGAGGCTTTTTGATTGCGCAATTGTTTCGGTCCCCAGTCTGCCCCCCCCTATCATGCTCTCTCAACATACAAGAACGCCGATTGTCGGGCTCCGGGTGGCGTTCTCCGCCAGTGGCAAAGGGAGAGAATTCGGACTTGATATGCCGAATTGCCACACTTTTAAGGTTGGCTGCCCTGAGTGGAGATTTCTCGGATCGGCTGCCGATCAGGAGGAAGAGACGAACTGCAAGAGACACAATACTCTGTACAATACAAAGAGACAGGGGTTCAAGAGAAGAACTCCAGAATCAATTAGCATATCAGCAATATAATATTCCGTGAAATCCAACCTCATTCGCCTGAGTCTGAAGTATAGAAGCCCAAGGCAGAGAGAGACCCACCGCCCCGGACTCTCTTATCTTCTTCCCCAACTTTTTTTTTTTCTCTTTGTCTTTCCTTTTCCTCGCCCTCTCTTCTATCTCTCTCTATCTTTCTCTGTCTTCGGTTTCTTCATTCTTTCTGTTTGGTTTCTTTCGCTCTCGCTTTCCAATTTCCACATATCTCGCGTGGTCCGATAACGGCTTATCGCCGGTCTTTGCACTATATATATACAGCCTTTTGAGCCTCTGGCTTTGGAGTTGTATGGGACCTAGTCTCATTTTCGACTGATCTTTGATTTAGTGTGCTATTTTACTGTTTTGTGTCTTTTCCTTGGAATTTATCCCTTGGAAGTATTGGTATTCCAATTCAACCGCCATGGACCCTCTGCCTAATTTGGTGACCAACCCACAGCCGTCCGTCTCCGAGACTGAGGCTGAGAGCAATTCGGGGGCAGCCAATACTCCAGCGACAGAGTCACCAAATTTGCCCTCTGAAGCAAACCCACTCGCCTCGTCCGAATCAACTTCTCCAACCTCACAGCCTGCCCCAACCCAGCCCTCGGAAGAGATCGAACATGCATACTGGGCCGAATATGAGGAGGATACAACTACTCCAGATGAGGAGGAGATGAAGGAAATCAATGGGGGTGACTCCGACTACAGTGCTGGCGATCGTATGTTAAACTCCTGATGAACACTTCACGTCACTGACCACAGATAGACGGATACTGGGAAAACAACTTTTTCAGAGAACTCGGAGACCCCGAGTATGTTCCTGCCGAAAAGGCTCGACTGACATGGACATTCAAGGGTGTTCGAGGTACTCCCGAAAATCCTAATCGCGCCAAAACCATTCGTTCCCCCGCAGCCTTTGTTGGCGGATATTGGTGGCGAATCAAGTTTTACCCTCGGGGAAACAACGTAAATGCCTTGAGCGTTTACCTCGAGTGCTCCGCCACGATGCCTGCTCCGGATGCAACGCTCCCAGAGACCGAATTCACCGTCCGAAAAGGCGCACCCGATGCCTCGCTCGATGACAGCACCCCTGAAGTCCACTTGAAATCGGCGGCTACCGGTGATACGGCGGCCTGGCTCGAAGACTATAAATCCCAGTATTTAGCTTCTGGGAACGCCGCCCAAACCAGCCATGACGAATCCTCGGGCCCTTGGCGAGTACCAGCCCAAGTTGGCGTCATTGTATACAACCCGCAGGAGCCCCGGACAGGATGGATGCAATCATCTTGTCATCAATTCAATCCCCATAACCTAGACTGGGGATGGACTTATTTCCATGGCCCATGGGATCAAATTCACACCCGCCGTCGCGGGCAACACCGTGCCCTCCTGAACAACGATACGCTCTCTTTCGATGCTTATATTCGGGTGGTCCATGACCCTACCAAGTCCCTTTGGTGGCATCCAAGTGATTCTGAGCCCACCTGGGATAGCATGGCCTTAACTGGCTATCGCCCTCTGGGTGATACAGTGATCAACCATAGCCCAGAGGTAGCTGGACTGGCATCATGGTTACACATTGGTCCACTTAGCAAAATCATTCAGGGTGTCGATGTTCTCGAACACCTTACTAATGCCGATGCCAGGCCTAAGCCTCTTTGCGATGCTCTCCAAAAGCTTCTTTGGCAGCTGCGCCGCCGCAAGCTTTCTCCAAGCTACGTCGATACTGATGCTGTCACAACCACCCTCCGGAATTTGCACGAGTTCTCAAACGATGTCTCTGAATTCTGGGAGCGCTTACGTCGCACCATGGAACTTGAACTAGCAGGAACCGAGGCCGGCAAGGAGTTTGCTCGATTGTTCGATAGTCCCGTCGTGAGCAGCATGTCATCTGAGCCCGTGAACATGTTGCCCACCGACTTTAATTCCCGCCTTTACGTGCCAATTGACAACGCAAAGTCCACTGGAGAAGCTGTTAAGGGATACCTGAGTACCAAACCCGGTCTTTGGTCGCTCCCATGCGTTCTCCACGTGGAGTTCGGGCGTCATACTTTGGACAAATCCAAGCGTTGGCAGTTAAGATATGACAAGGTTGACATGGACGAGGAGCTAGATTTGGCCCCATGGGTGGTTGATGGCCAAGGCAGTCAGTATGTTCTCTATGGTTACGTCGTCCACCGTGGCCGCCGCACCTCGGGCAAGTTCTTCAGCATTCTTCGACCAGCTGGCCCGGGCACCACCTGGCTTGCTTTCGATGACGGCAGTGACAATCGTGTCGAGTGCTTGACCCAAAAAACTGCCATGGGCCCCCATCTTGGTCTTGAATCTTCCCAGAGTGTGGACCACAAGAAGGGGCACGATATTCCCGTTGTTGCCATGTATGTCCGTGGCGACATGATCAAGGAATTATTGCCTGGTCCTCAAGGTCCTTGGGAGGTCTCCGAAGCCTCGCAGACGTACTACGAAACTGGCGTCTACCGGACTTGCGAGAAGCCTGCCGAACATGTCCAGGTTGAGGCTTACTCGCTACCGGAGTATAATCAGTTGACGAGCCTGTTTGATACCTACGATCTCATGACACATGCCAAAGTGGCAAATAGTGTGATGTATATGACTCTACCCCGTTCTACACGGCTGGTAGACCTACGCAAGAAGATCGCTCTATGGAAATCAGCAAGCTCTGAACCAATTGGCCCTGAACGGGTCCGTTTCTGGCAGATCGGGGATTCCTCAGCCCCATCTGGATCATCGCTGGTATTTGACAGCACTGCCAATCTGGACGTTCCACTCGATGCTTCATTGAGTACCATCCGTTTCTGGGTGGAAACCATCTCAGAGGGTAAGTGGAGGCATATTCCGAATTTGAATGTGACCATTCAGCTGACAGTTGTTATAGAGGACGCTCAATTCTTCGCAATCCCAGACCCTCTTACAGTCTCTACTGCAGATGACAAGGCCGATGATAGCAATGTTGGAGATTCAACACCTGGACCTTCTGCCAATGTGTCGTCTGTTGCGGAAGGCGATGCCATTGCTAGCTCATCAGGAACCACCCGTCGGCAAGTCGGTACCACCTCTGAACCTACAGTTTCCGATGAACCAGCGTTGGCCACTGCCTCTCCGGAGAATGATGCCATTTCGGCTGAGAGGGTGGAGCAGGAAAGAGTACTCGCCGTGGCTGCTGCTCACGATCAAGAAGCCGCCGCTGCTGGTTCAGCCACTACTACAGTCGCAAATACCGATTCTTCTGCCACTTCAGTCTCCGTAACCGAACAACGTTCGACGGAATCTGCTCGTCGGGCGCCAACAGAGCCTGAGTTCAAGTTGCCCGTGGGACATGCATACTACTTCATTCAAATGTTCGACGCCGACAATCAGGTCCTCCGCACTGTTGGTTCGTTTTTCTCAAAACTCGATTCGAACGTCAAAGCATCGCTGAGGCGTCATCTGAAGAGGGGTATTCGTCAAGACTTCCTTATGTGGAAGCGAGTCGATGGAGCCAATGTCACCACGGTCTCGCCAGCCGACACTTTTGAAGATGTGGTGGTTCCCCACGGAGCCTGCTTCATCGTCGGAGACAAGCTGACCAAAGAGAAGTAAGTGTAAATCCAACAAAACGCAAGTATGTCAATTCTAATGCAAAATACAGGCGCTCTCAACTTGCTTCTGCGGGATCACTCACCAGTCCTGATCGTCTGGTTCATTACTTGTGGGCAGTCTCTCGCAGCCATCCCATCCAGGGTTTCACCGGAAACAAGACAATCGAAGCCACTTTCACAAATGACTACTACAGTGGTGACTTTCTCAAGGGCTATCACCACGGCAAAGGCACACATATCTCCAGCACTGGCATGGTTTACAGAGGAGACTTCGTCTTCGGCCGACGTCACGGACAAGGCAAGCTTGATTATCCCACTGGCGACTCCTACGACGGTGACTGGGTCGAAGATGTTTGCCACGGTCAAGGCACGTATGTCGAAAAGACCACCGGCAACAAGTACGTGGGTGGCTTCAAGGACGGCAAGCGTCACGGCAAGGGTATCAGTTACTGGGAAGTGGCCGATGCAGAGTTGGATCTATGCCAGATCTGCTACACAGAAGAAATGGACGCTGTCTTCGCTGATTGTGGTCACTTCTGCTCCTGCGTGACTTGTGCGAACCTTGTTAGTCTTTGTCCGATGTGTCGCAAGGACGTCAAGAAGGTGATCAAGATTTATCGTGCATAGAATATCTGCTTGGCTTGGAGTATAAACGGACATCTGCATTTTGGTTTGAACTATTTTCGTGAACGACAGACTTACATTCATTGATATCTTTTAGCGCGCAGTGATTCTGGACGGAGTGTTGTGTTTCGTTCTATTCCCTCGTTTTGGTTATATACGCATGCCGCCTATATTCGTGGCTATAGATCGTTGATAGATTCAGCACAATCATTACAGACATTTACATTACATTGCACTTGTATCATTTTTGAAACACAGTTTGATCTTATTGAACAAAAGGTATATCCAATGCGCCGGGCCCCGACCTAATACATGATGCTTTTTGACTTGCCCGAAGAAAACCTATACACACAAATAAATAGACGATCGACTTATTGATCATTTGTTGGCCTTCTTGGCCTTCTTCTCCTTCTTCTCCGCCTTTGGCTTGGCCTCGGTCTTCTTCTCTTCCTTGGCCTTGGGCTCCTCCTTCGACTTAGTCGCAGGCTTCTTGTCTTCCTTGCCCTTGACTACAGTCTTCTTCTCACCCTTTCCTTCATTGGTAGACTTCTTAGAGGCAGCAGTCTTGTTCTCTTCCTCTTTGGTTGGGGGAACCGAGTCGCTGGTCTTGGGTGCGGCCTCTGACTTGCTCTTCTTGGGCTTGTTCAGGACACCCTTGGGGTTAAGACCCTTGCGACGGATACGGTTGCGCTCAGCACGGGCGATACGCTCAGTATCCTCGGGGTCCTCGAAAGAAGCGAAAGCACCACCCTCAAAGTCAGCGGCATCACCATTCTCATCGAGAATGGGAGTCTTGTCGTACACCTCGTCGTCTGTGGAGGCGGCAGAGGAAGCACGAGGAGACTTGGAGCCAGATTTGGCGGGCGCGGAGGAGACAGAGTCATCTGTCTTGGAAACGGGAGTCACGGCAGTCTTCTTAAGCTTGCAGACGTAGAAACCGTCGACGTTCTCGCGGTGGGGGAAGTAGCGGCGGGTGAGAGCCATCTTGGCATCAAACTTCTTGCCCATGTAGCTGAGGAAACCGGGGCTACCGAAGTCACCAAGACCGGTGTCGACAATCTTGACGTTGGGTCGCTTGCGCAGAACGTACTGTACAACGGCCTCGTTCTCTTCCACAGTGACACTGCAAGTGGAATAGACAATGTAGCCACCGGTCTTGGAGGCGTGGTCGACGGAGTCAATGGCAGCCAGAAGAAGCTGACGCTGCATGTGAGGAATGGCGAGGAAATCACGCTCGTTTTTGGAGGTCTTGACACCGGGGTCCTTGGAAATAACACCGGTACCAGTGCAGGGAGCATCGAGCAGAACACGGTCGAAACCACCCAGAGCCTTGGGGAAGGCAGTACGGGCATCCATGTGGGTCACGACGGTGTTTTTGCAACCGAGACGGTGAATGTTACCAATCAAACCTTTGGCACGGGGCTTGCTGGCATCGTTTGCGATGACACAACCAGTGTTGCGCATCAGAGCGGACATGTATGTTGTCTTACCACCGGGCGCAGAGGCCATATCGAGAACGCGCTCATTAGGCTGAGGGGCGAGAGCCATAACGGGGAGGAAAGACGAAGCAGCCTGGAGAATATAGTGACCAGCCAGGTACTCGGGGGTGGCACCCAGAGGAACAGGAGACTCGAAGACCTGCAGACCGACCTTGGACCACTTGCCAACGGGCTCTAGGACAACACCACGGTTGATGAGGGCCTGGGCGAGGGAACGACGATTCGTTCTTAGAGTGTTGGTACGGATAACAACGGGGCGAGGGGTCTCGTTGGCTTCGAAGAAGGCGAAGGCCTCCATGGGAGTGAACAGGTTGAACAGCTTCTCGGCGAGGAAGCGAGTGTAGCCGTAGTACGTGCAGATATCGGTAAGGAGAAGATCAATATAGTCGGCACGCGACTTGCCGGCCTGACCAAGAGTCTTGAGATCACCCATGATGCGAATGGTATCAGTAATACGCTGGCGAAGCAATTGCAGATCAGGTGCGAGTCCCTGCTGGCTTTGGTCGGCGAAGACATCGGGTCCGGCAATGTTGGTCTGCAAAGCGGCCTCCTGCAATTCGGCCTCGGCCTCCTCCTCCTCTGCTTGCTGCTCAAGATCCAATTTCCGTGACAGACCCTCAATGTTGGCGGCGGTCAATCTCTCCTCGGCATCAGACATGTCCTCGTCGTCAGAGAACATGGCTTCACGGGTGCGGCCCTCATCGTCGGAGTCCATAACGGAGTTGTCATCGTCATCCTCTAGGTCGGAGAGACCCTCGACCTGGTCGTCACTATCCATTGAACCTTCACTGACTGCATCAAGGTCACCAAATTCCTCATCGTCGAGATCCTCCATATCCTCATCGTCGTCAGACATGGGCACAGGAACGGCCTTGGGCTTGGTCGATTGCTTCTTCTTGTCAGCCTTGACAGGCTTAGCAGGTGCAACATTGACGTCAGCGTTGACCTTCTTCTTCTTGGGGGCATCCTTTTTTGTCACAGGCTCGTCGGCGTCGGATCGGCGACGCTTCGCCGATGCAGGCTTCGGAGGCGCTTCAGCACTACCAGACTTGCGCTTCTTAAGCATTGTGATCTTCGACTCGTCGAGCGGGGCCGGAGGGCCCTGCTTCTTCATACGACGACCGACACCCATTGTGAATAATTGGTGTGTATGGAAACGTTTGGGGTGTTTGCGTCTTGTGAGCTGCGATTTCTTTCCGTCTTTTTTTTTCTTCGAGCGGTGACTAGTGGCAGTAAGAAAAGCACGGAAGGCGGTGCGATGTAGTTTCTGTTGCCCGAAAATCCAGGTGTCGACACAGTTTCAACAGCTGCGGAACGGCGAACAACGTCCACTTCTCCAGCTTCCCCATATCTGTTACTTCTTCTTGTTGTTTCTTTTGGAGATCACTACTACTCTCCATATATCAATCGCCATGTCGGAACTGACATTTACAAAGTCCTTCTTGTCCACGCTGGACTCCCGGCCTATCAAGCTCCGCGCTGACCATGTATTTGATCCGGAGCAGGTTGGACTTCGGGTTCCTGTAAGTCTTGAATGCGACTCTTCACTCAGCATCATCTACAGAATAGCTTCATTCTAACGCCTTTCTCTAACTGCAGTACACCCTCCCCCGCCTCTCAGCCCCGCACCCCCCAATGCCCAAGAAAGTGAAGTCAGCGCAGGCACCAGGCTCCTCGAAATCGATCAATGTCTGTATCAAGTCTGCTCGCAACCCCGCTCTCGAATTTACCATCTCCAACGCCCCTATCTCAACCACCTCGATCCAAGATCTGCGGGATGCCGTGCAAGCGCGCGTCACCGATGCCCAAAATGGACAAGTCCCATTAGACAAGATTAAGATCCTCTACAAGCGGAAGCCAGTGACCGGAACAGGAAAGACACTGGCAGAAGTATTAGCAGACGAGCCTGCAGTGTTGGCGGGTGGCAAGGCAGTCGAAATTGGAGTAATGATTATCGGCGGCGCCCAAGTAATCGACTCTGCAGTGGCCCAGCCGGCGGTGGAAGAGAAGCGGGATGAATCGCCGCCCAAGGCTGCTGTTGGTCCTAGTGGTGAGGAGGTTCTGAAGACGGATGCTTTCTGGGATGATCTGCAGGGTTACTTGGAGCAGCGACTGAAGGACGAAGAAGAGGCTAAGCGGCTGAGATTGCTCTTCAAGGATGCATGGAGCTCGGCGAAATAAGATCATACATGCAAGAAAGCACGAACTTGAAATAATGCCAATATCAATGATACCTTCTTTCTACAGCTGTGTTCCATCGCAGATGACTATTACATCCTACGTTGTTTTTGACAGTCTATCGGAAGACAAATATCGTCCAGTTCATCCGGTATGATTCCAAATGTTATACACATACAAGTCGAGCTCTCAGCGTTTAAGCACAAGCCAGGCACCAAGCAGAACGGAAATTCCCATACACCAGAAACAACACAAAGATCCAGATCATATCAAAAGTCCACCAAGATGTAATTGGGACTCAAGCAAGAACTCATCACAGAAGCAAAGAAAGCAGCACTCAGATCAAGATCTGTTCCAATCCACGTAAAGTTGAACATGTACCAAAGCAGTAGAGGGAACAAAACATTGACATACGCCAGGGAATCATTGTGAAGCGGCATGCTATCGTCGAAGTAAAAAGTACAGATTTCGAAGAAGAGAAAAATCACGTAGAAAAGTATCATGTGCCATACAGCTTCAAACACCGTCGTAAATGCTCAAACTGGTCCGGCCAATCGCTCATCTGGGTCATGGGATCATATAACAAACGACGAGAGGGAGGTGAGGAAATACACAAAGGAGAAGAATCATACACGGGATTCGTCTCATCGTCGGAATTATCGAGAGAATACCTTGACCACACCGTCTCCGCCGCCGCTGACGACCCAACGGCTGTCACGACTCCAGACCACGGCGCATACACCTTCGCCACGCATCAATCGGTGGCTCGTCAGCTCCTGGGTACAGCTACGCTTCTCAAGGTTCCAGAAGCGTAGGCTTGCGTCATGGCCAGCTGAAACAAGTTCACGTCCATCGGGGGACAGTGACAACGAGGCGATTGCAGCAGGGTGAGCCAGCATGGTATATGTGCATTGACCTACATCCAGAGTTAGTATACTGTTTGAGGTAAACTGGGCGTTGGTACTTACCACTGTTGGCATCGAAGAATCGGATGTATCGATCCTCGTAACCACTGATGATCACACCCTCAACACTACTGGATCCAGTAGCACCGTGGACTACTTCTTCCTCGGCCATTGCCCGGCTAGGGTCCAGATTAGCGGTTCCATCGAAGCCGACGGTGGTTGTGACGACAGAGTTCACACCAGTAGAAGGCGTGCCATCGTACGTCTCAAGACTGGCCATTCCAACGATTTCTTCGCCGGTCCGGGTGTCGTAAACGAGGATGGAGGCATCCGAGTATGAGACAACAAAGCTGACCCCTGCAAGAGACAGGGGGCTAATGCATGTTGAAGAAGGAGACTCGGCGCGGCATATGTGGTGAACAAGGGTGTAATGGAAGGGCGTGGTTGTAGCGACACTCGGCTGGGGGGAGGATGGGAAGTTGGAGCCGGAAGATATGGAGTTCGCCCGACGGCTTCCACCTTGACGGCGTGATCCAGCCGGAGGAGATGAAATTTGGGGAGGAGCGCTGACAGCCCAGATCAAGATGCGTCCATCTGCTGCACTGGAAGCAAGCAGGATGCGATCTGGTCCACCGTATTGGTTGCTTGAGTCACCAAAGACGGATCCCACGGTGCCGGGGAGAACACAGAGTCCCCAGACTGCCTCCTTGTGTCCGTCCAAAGTGGCTTTGGGGTCGACACGCCCACGCTCCCACACGCGCACACTAGTGTCTTGGCCACCTGAAAACACCCAACCGTCGCCCAAAACACGGCCGCCGTTGGAGATATTCTGCGATGGTGAACAAGCAGCAAGCGAGGTGACTGCACCTTCATGTCCACGATGAGTGAAGTAGCTTGTAATATCCAAGTCATTGCTGGAATTGGGGCCATGGGCTCCAAAGCCGCCATAGGTGGCTGGGATGATCCATCGCTTAATTGTTCCGTCGTCACTGCAAGTGCAAATCTCGGGTTCTGAAGGGCTACCGCCTCCAGTGAAGATGACGGACCGGATCACATCCAAGTGACCGCGTAGGGCAAAGCGGACCTTGAAGTTCGAATCCTGTGGCTGTCCAAAGATCGCACCCGCTTCGCGAGCATCGATTGCACCGTCGCTCTTGCGCCTTGACCCGGAGCTCTTCCTTCGATGGGGGAGTGATCCGCTCTTAGACATCTCGGGGCGTACGAAATTGGCATTGGGGAAAGCATCAGTATCCGGTCGGTGGGGCGGGATAGGCTCGCTGGTGGGCTCTGGCTCTGCAGGTTCATCGAAGTTCCAACCATCCACATCCTCTGTCTTTTCCTCGTTCTGGTTCTGTGGGTTCGCGTCTTCCTTGACAATTACTTGAGGCCCTGGGACCTCATATGCCTGGTTCTGGCGATCATCAACCGGGCCCTGCTCGTATGTATGGCTCCGGTTTTCGATCGCCGGGGTGGGAGCTTGTTGGTGTTCCAACGGACGTCGGTCCATATTATCCCGGGGGATGTAGTGGTTCTGACCGCCAGCCATGACATTTTCAGAGTAGTGGTTAGAGACGGGCTGGTGGTTCTGTACAGCCATGTCGCGCGCCATCACATGGTTCGCTTTCTGGCGTTGCTGTTGGAGAAATACCTCCTCTAGATTCTGTTGTGAGAGCTGTTGGTTGCCGTAGAGGTGACTGGAAAGGTCGGAGTCGTTGAGATCTAGCGGTGGGTGAGAAGAAGGAATAACATGGTATGCGATTTCGTGTGAGGCCTTCGACAAGAAGCCTCGAGTTTGGTCCAGGCCATCCTCTAGTTGGTCTTCGTGCGGGTTTGTGTTGGCGGGATCCTGGTCGTTCTCGAGTGCTGGGCTTGGTTGAGAGCGTTGAGCTGATGAGAATCCAGTTAATATTCAGGACACGTTTTTGGTGAAAGTGCAATTCCCATACCTTTCAAGAAGTTCACACTCTCACGCGCCGCCTCTTTGGGGTCCTTCATATCCTCAATCGATTCATGGTTGGAGAGCTTCTTCACCTTCTCCCTTTCCCTCTTGAGCGCCGTCTCCATCAGCCGAACATGCTTGCCAAGAGACTCATGTAGGCGCTTGCTTGTTCGTAGGTCTCCCTCCAGTCTGCCAATGCGAGATTTCATCTCCGCACGTTCAATCTCCCAGGCATTGCGGTCGCGCTCGTGTCGGTGCCATTCCGTCTGCAGGAAGCGCATAACACCTAGGTACAGACATGGGTCAATGGCAATCCAGAAAGTATATCAATCCTCACTTACCTTGCAGTGTATATTCCGTCCCCTGCGGACCACCGTTAGAGTCACCCATTGCACCGGGCATTCCTCCGACTCCAGCCATAGCTGACGAGGACTGCCAAGACATGAACGTTTCAGGACAAGTCGAGGCGCGGGGAGTCAGATGTAGTGTTGGGGATGCTGACGGCGAAGCAGGTCACCGATCAGTGGGTGTATCGGTCGACTATAAAGGTGAGGTGTGAGCTGCGGTTCTCCTGATCCCCGTAAATCGTATCCGCGGTAAGCGAGTCAACTCCCCGAGTGGGCGACAACAGCAAGGAACCACGTTCCACGCCGTGTCAGCCTATAGATAATGGGGTCCTAAGGAAGAGAATCCAAAGGAGAGGAGAGAGGTGAAGCAACCGAGTTGGGGATGAACGTGCTTTCTTTTGTTATTGTCAAGGTGGTTTGGCTGGTTTGGCTGGGGTGGGCTGACCGCCTGCTGAATGGGGAAAGATGAGAGAGTTGACAAGGGGAGTTGACGACGTTGAGATTCCCACAAGGAGAAGCTCGAGACAGAGAAAAGTGTTTGATTCCGTGTGAAGTCGCAGAGAGAGGTCAAGCTGAGAAAGTCAACGTTGAGCTTAATATCACTATTTGTGCCTAATATCCCAGGCAATGATCAGTACAATCCTGACAATGTGCAGGTTACCTCGAGGATATGTAGCTATTCAGTCATCCGGATGTTTCAAGGTTATTTGAGGTCTCAATATCAATGACAACATCCGCAATTGCGTTGTTGAATCAATCACGTGGCTCAGCACTCTTTTTGGCGATCTATATGTATTGAGGGACTACACATCAAACCAAATTCTTTGCTTGCGCAATAACTTCCGTTTTGCTCTAATTGAAAAATCAAGGGTATTTCACTTGGATAGTAAGAAATCATATTTGCCTAGTCAAATGAATAAGGTAAATCGATACGAAGGACGTAACTTATACTAGGATATGTGACTTGACTAGATGATAGATTGGCAGATGACAAATTCGAATGTTACATTGTTCATGGCCTTATAATTATACTATGATACACCTCCTGTTCAAAACTCCAGTTCTTCCACCTCCATCCCGCAGTCTACGCATGTTTTAACCCCGATCCCGGTCTCTGGGTTGTCGACTGCTCGACCCCATTGATGAACATGCTTCCTTCCAGAGCCGAGATCGTCGCCGAAATCACCTCCAGCAGCACCTTGCCGATTACGTCGGTATGCCTCCACGCGTGTGCGCTTCTTGAGGTCCTGCAGTTTGGTTTTAAATTTGGCTTCCCGGCGGCGCTTCTTGTCACTTTCCCGCCGTTCAAACTCGGCATCTAGTGCCTCCGTTGAGCCCCATTTCTTATCTGAGAATGCATACTCCTCTACCTGGTACCGAAGATATAGCATCATGCTGTTCCATGTAGACTTGTGTGGGTTAGGGCGCTCCAAACGGGGAAGTAGCTCTTCATCTTTAAGTTCAGCTGTATGAGCTGGTTAGTGACCACTCATTTCAAAGACAATCGTATAGAAACTCACGATCTGTGAGAAGATAATCTTCCTTGGCTTCGGTCTTGGTCAACAAACTGTACTTCTCGGGGTGTTTCTCTTTGCAGGAATGGCAAATGCAACACTTCAGCTCTTCCTCCCATTTCCAGTCAATCTCAAGGCTACCACATTCGCGGCACGTCTTTTGCTTGCTTTTGTCATCCAACACACTTAGACCAGGCTCGAACGGGCCTTCGCGATTTCGCTTCAAGGTTTGCAGCATTTGATGGCGCTCCCATTCCTTCTGCGTCATATTTGCGGGTCTCTGCTCATCCTTATCATCTTTCACATGAAGTTGCTTGTTAAAGGGGTCATCTTCTTGGGTCAAGAATCCACCCTTCGTATCAGTCATTTTGCTAAAGTCATAGTCGACATAGCTTGTGAAATTGCGGGCTGGTCTGATCGAATCTGGGCGATCTGAAGCATTATTTACGCGAGCATCACGCACGTTGGCAGGCCGATTGGATGCCGCCATAGTAGCGAACGAGCGTTTGGCGCCTTGAGCGGATTGCGCAGGAGCAGCTCGCGCCAGTTCGGTCTCGCGTTGTTCACGGAGAGCTTTCGCTTTCATGCGATTAATTTCCTACAAGCGAATTTGTTAGTATGAACTAACTGTGGATCATATTCATCCTTTCGCAAAGGGATAGGAACCCACTATTCTGCGCTTCTGTTCTGGAGTGATCGGACCGCGGGGAAGCTGTCCAGCCGCAGAGCTCTCGGGCTGTGGAGTTGGAGTTGAAGGCCTTTCCGACATTGCAAGCTGTTCCCAAAAACTTCCCTATGGTTGTCTGAAGTCAAGAAGATTATTAAAGATCCAAGGCGGAAGGCCAGACCAATCTATCACATCACGTGAATGCTTATCAACACGACGTCATTGGTATGAAAGTAAGAACTTCAAGTTACAAGTAAACAGATCCACTTGAAGTGAGAATCTTGAATTGTTCCTGTCTATGAGTCTGTCACGGGATAATTGATGTCATCCTCACGATCCTGCCCATATAAAACCTCACATACACCCCCTACTGGCACGTCCATGACCGCATCCGTTCCTTCACTCCAAATTTCGCGCCAATTGACTTTGCGATTTTGAGGGCCCATGATCTGATATGAAGTCGCACCAGGTTTCATTTTGGATGCACCACCAGGCCGCCGCCGTGCCTTTCCATCAATGACAGATACATTTGCAACCTCATCAACAATGTTCTCAATGCTGTTCATAGGCAAAGTGAGATAGCCAGTGTTGTATGCGGCAAGGGCAACGTAGATATAGATCAAAAGCATTACCAGCCACGCGGGGATCGCCAGCGACCACCAACGGTTGGGGTAATAGTAAATGCCGAGTTGGTGAAGAAATGGAGAGGGAAGATAAGACCAAAGGAGGTAGAATACTAGATTGCGCGTTAGTCACTGCGGAGTTGGGTAATATAATATCCATGAAACTTACGGAAAGCTAACGAAGAAGCCAAGTATAACACAAAGCCATAGTACTCGTAAGTAGGCACTTTGGGACTGGCGCGTGGCACGGTGGTTGCGCGACGCGCTGACTTGGCGACTGCCGCCTCGGTATCGTTGGGTGTCTCCACATCCGAGCTATCTGGAGTAGTCGGACGCGACGTAGTAGTCGAGAAGGGCGGGCGGAGAAGGGATGTGAGTGACGGAGAAGGTGGTAGAGGGGTCGGCGGACGGTTGTAGAATGGCGGCGCAAATGCATTCGGACCATGGAGAGAGCTGGAGGACTGGCGGAATGGATGATGTCGACCAATATTCTCAGAAGATTCATCTGAATCAGAATCCGAGAACGATTGGTGTTCTAATGAGTAGTGAGATTGGAAGTCTGCATCGTCTTCCACTTCAATCTCCTCATAACCGGGGGAGATTACGCTCTCGTCGTAGCTCTCTTGAGGGTCATCGGGCGACCCAGAGCCATCGGCCAGCAGTGGAAATGGCTGCTTGTCCTCAAACGAGGAATTGAACGAGTCCATCAGTGAAGTGAAGAGTTGTCGGCGTCTCCCCTTTTCTGCAATCGCCATTGTTCACCGCTCCCCACTGAGCTCCACCTCCCCACACTTCTTGATGTTCAACTTCAACTTCTTTTATAATCCTCTACAGACGTCGGATTCCATTTGAAATGGGTCACATGCGACAGAATGTGAGTTGAGATTGAGAGCGCAGACATTGAATCCAACGATCCCCTCGAGAGGAGGATATACAACACCACGAACGTTCTAGCTTCGGACGATCCGACAGCGCTATGCGACGGTCTGATAAATGGGGTCATGTTTATGATTAAAGACAGATACAAACTTTCCATTCAACTATTTCAACTAGAGGAATATCATCACCCATAAGCACCAATCTCCGCATTTTAATTCATTTTTCATGAAAACACGGCTGTCATATTATACACCTTGAGGTTGGCTGAAACCGCCTGGACCATATTCTGGATCTTCTTTGCGGACGGAAATTTTGTGCCAAAAGCCTCTAACAGTTCAATCGCTAGTTCCAAATCATCTGCTGCCTTTGAATTATCCCAGACCAATGATAGCTGCTCGCGCTGAGCAGTGGCCGTGTACATAAGAGATAGTGCAGAGTTGAACACTGTGACCAAGTTGAGCCAGTTATAGGCAATCCGATGCTGTCTATGCAGATTGATTGCCTGCCGAATAGCCATACAAGATGCTTCGGCTAGAACTTTCAGATTTTGAACGTCCAGTGTTGGACAAAGAGGCGACGGTCGGTACAACATGATGACATGTGTGTAGTAGTTCAAATCAAACCAGCTAGTGCAGAGATGGGGTACCTTGGATTGTAGGTCGGGCAAAGGGAATGGCATGTTGCGACGCCATTCTATAAGTCTTTTGTGGAGACTTTGAACTGTTTGCTTTCTTTCCTCTGGGCTTTGTCGCTCGCTATACTTTGCTAAGTGTACTTGACTTCCAATATCACTTGCAATTTTGCGAAGAGCGAGAATGTGAAGAGGGACTGCCATGGTCGATGGCTCTAATGATGACGTTGATGTGATGCCGTCTGACTGGATGTTTTCATCGTTTGCGCTTGCAAATGGCTGGTAGACAAATTAGCGAACTAAACAAGAAGAGTTATTATGGATTCTGATATACCTCAACAGTAATGTCATCATCTTGTATGGCAAAGGGTCGACCCAAAGCCAAGGAAACGACACTGGGTATTCATTAGTCTTAGGTTGCGGAGCTCCACCGAATCAAACATACCGATCCATCATATAAAGAGAGAAGAAGAGTCGCTTTTGGTGTTCGGAGACATCCACAGCTAGCGCATGATAGATTTCGGCGGTATGAAGCCCCATGCCAGTTGCCATGCGGGCTGCAACGCCTACGAGGAACCAAGTATCTAGCGGATGTTAGGTGAATGTTCCCGTGGGGAAGTTGGCCATTACATACTAGGTCCAATCTTATTGAAAAATGAATAAGAAACTTGGAGCATCAGAACTTCCAAGCCGCCCTGATTGCATAAGACAGTTAGAACAACTGCTCAGAATGTGATGGCAGCGAACTTACAAGATCACCGCATCCCATTGCGGCTTCAAAGTATGTCATAGCTTTATTAAAGAACTGAACAGATTCGGATTCGTCCATTAAGGACACCGAACAGTATGTCGTTGATCCGATCGCTAAGACCATCCAGATCCTGAATTGCCATAACGGCGATTGAGCCAAGGGATCCAACGGATCGCCATATACCCTCCACAGTACAGATGTGAATTCATTTTGGCGAATAATGGGGTAAAGGGTATGAGAGTGAGCGAAATAGAACTCCAAAATGTAACTGATATGGGAAGGTTCCAGTATTGCCAGATCCATGGAGTCGTGATAATCCTCGGCGGGATCCCCAAATATTGAATTCAGAGGCAATGATGATAACATAGAGGCATCAAAGTCAAAGGCCGTAGGATTAAAGGTTGGCGACTCGGCTGATATAGAGGTGTTGTGTTGATTTCCGTTGATATCTCCGTCAAAGACGAATGCATCTTGGTCTGGCGACAGACGCCGAAGAACGGTTTGAGTAAGTTTGGCAAAAGAGAGGCCAGATGATGAGCCCAAATACCTCTCTGCTGCAGCTTCCAGAGAAAGAAGCCTTAGTTCTTCAGCCAAATCCTTGGGCCTCGAAGGAGTCAGTTCGTGGGGAGATATGGGTACTGCATCGGGTCCGGCAGCTCCATTTTCATTAGGACATTGTCGAGGTGAGGAGGCGACTGGATTGTTCTGGAGCAAAAACTCATCATCCAGGTGTATATCAGTCTCTTGGTCCCAAGGACATGACAACGGATCATTCTGTGAATTCTGGGGAGTCAAGGACGAGGTGAGCTGTTGCTCTAATTCTTTCAGCCGGAGCTCCAAGCCCCGTACGTAACTAGAAGCCATTAGGTATTTCCCAATTGAAAACTAGTCACCATTAATGCTTACGCGACAGGGTATGAGGCGACCTGGGTTTCATCCTCTAGAAAGCTGCAGTCCACCTTGGCGTGCTGACATGCTTTACACGCCGGCAGTACTTTGTCGCAACGTTTCTTTCTGCGATGGCATCTTTTGCAGGAGCTCTCAGCCCTCGCATAATCCATGACTGCGAGGAGGATCAAAGCCTCCAAGTCGACTCATCATGTATTTTGCGGTGCGGGGGAGATAGGAAAGGCGCTTTGCCCAATCCGAAGGGGTTCGAGATAAGCAGCATTCAGATAGTTCAAAACTTCAACTCAAGAAGGGCTATGTTGCCATGAATTTTCAAATACACATGAGTGCTTTTAGGAAGAACAGACTATGTAGAGATCAACCCAAGCACCAGATGTATACGGCTGCCTACGTTGTGTTGTTAAGAGGCCTAAATGGAACCAACGAAGTACTAACTTATGTTACGGAAGATATGAAAACATTCCAACCATGTTCACCATCTAATTATCTACAATTTGGGGTAAGAAAGAGAGCTTTCCTAGTCATTTCGGTGCCACCGCGATCTATATCGCGCATCGGAGGTTCCGCGATACCTGTGATCGGAGCCACTACAAGATATAAGGAAAGGGATCCTCAACCAACTGATCTATTGACACCAAAAAGATCTATTCTATAATTTGAATCCCACATGATACTGAAAATGATGTCTCCCAACGGCCGATCATTCCTCCTTGATCCTCAAAAGGTTGCTGGACCTATGCGATATTCGCATGCGCGCGTGGTTCAGCCTTCTACACACCACACAATTTACATCTCAGGAATTGCAGCTGTCAGCCCCGAAGGAGTTCTCGAAGGAGTCACCGAAAATCCAGATGGCAGCTTCACCGTCAATGTCCGAGAGCAAACAGCCGCCGTCCTTCGCAGAATCGAGAGCATCATTGAAGGTGCCTCAGATGGGAAGGCAAATTTATACAATGTTGTGGATGCTACAGTCTATTTACTGGATATGAAGACTCAATATGCAGATATGAACGAGGAATGGAATAAGATCTGGTCCGACCGTGCCAGTGCTCCTTCGCGTGCGACTGTTGGAGTTCGAGAACTTCCAGACCCTCGTTTTACAGTGGAAATCAAGGCGACAGCAATCTTTGAGTTATAAGGTCATAGCAAACAGTCCGTGTATATACGAAAGAGGAGTGTTGTTCTTTGTCGGAGTCTCCGACCGTTGATCCCCACGAACATTACAAAACTTGATCTGGTCGCGAAAACCTGAGTAGGACAATTCCAGACAATCAGCCCTTGTTATATCCTGAATTATCTACCAGTCATGTCTCTTTATGACAATACCGGGGTCCAGTACTTCGAGGCGAACAATTTCACCTTTATAGATCAGACGACAATCCCGATTGTTCTAGCATATCGAGAATTCAACCCAACGTGCAAGAAGACCGCGTTGATTCCAACATGTTTCCGTGGACGAATCAATAATACCTGGAACTTTTCCAATGGCGTTTTGAAAGACTATCGGGTCATTGTGGTCGCATTGTTCGGTAATGGCGAATCCTCCAGCCCGTCGAACACGCCAGGCTTTCCCTCGTTGCTCGAGTATGGAGACTGTGTTCAAGCCCAGCACAAACTACTCACCGATCATCTAAGAATATTCCAGTTGGATGTTGTGGTTGGCTTTTCTATGGGAGGCCAGTGTACCTATCATTGGACAGCCATGTACCCGGAGATGGTTCGCAACGCGGTCGTAATCTGTTCATCAGCAAAGACGAGCTTGCACAACTATCAATTCCTTGAAGGCCCCAAGGCTGCCTTGCTGAACTCCATCGACTATGCCGATCAGTCTTTGCGTTCTAAGGGACAACCACCCATCCGGGGTCTTCATGCATTCGGACGCGCATACTCCGCATGGCTGGCAAGCGCCGAATGGTTTGAAGAGCGTCTTTTCGAAGTCCAAGGCTTTAAAACTCTTCAAGAATGGGGAGAAGCCATTGGTGGAAAGAATTACGAGGATTGGGACCCTGATAATCTCTTGGCCATGCTCGGGATGTGGCAACGGTCCGATCTTGGCCTTGTTGGGGGTCAGCAGATTCCGCTTGCACAAGCACTTGGCAACTTGAGACCGAGAGTGCTTGTGATGCCATGTCAGACAGACCAGTATTTTAAGTGGGAGGCAAGCGAGAAGGAAGTCTTGTTTATGGAGAACGCAGAATTGGCTGTCATTCCATCAATTTGGGGTCATCTTGCAGGTAGTGGGTGCAATCCAGTAGATACTCAGTGGATGGACGACAGGATCGCAGGATTTCTGAGCTAGTCGAGGTGCTCAATAGAATGAAAGACAAGAGACCACTGTATGGGAGATAGTCTCAGCTATGGTACAAACTACCCTACTCACATAACAAGTTTGTATAAAGTGCTACTGAAAAAAAGGAGAGTGTTCCCTACACGAAACCCTCCAAGCGAAGTACCACTTTGTACATTGTTTCTGCCTCATCTCCACTCTTTCTAAACTGCTTCGGTTTGTAGCCTAAACATAATGTGCTGATACTGTAGGGGCGTGCAAGGACTCATGACCTCTGGTGAAGTAGAACGTAGTAATTACGGTTATATCACTCGAATACTTTATTTCATAGTCAGACGGCAGAGCGGAAGCTTTTCCAGCTTTCGCCAGAGACATTTATCAATAATTATCATATCATACAACTGTACTGATATCATAGGCTCGAGAATGTCGGACTGTCCGACGTCCAAATCAACATGAGGGGTCATTATCGTCCAGTACATTACTTGTCAAACTAATATTGCCAAGGAGATTGCTAGTGACCGACAACTTTGTTGAACCTCATTATCGTGTCGGTAGAAACGATACTTAAAGCTGGGCCCCTGCCGTGGCTCGGAACCCATACTTTGCTTAGGGCACAAAACTGACGACACGGCAAAATGTCCACACTCCAACTTGAAAACAATTTGGCTCTCCTAGGGGTAATTCCTCGAACATATGCATTAGTACTCATTCCCTTGACGATATATTTTGTTTATAAAGTGAGCTTAACACTCAAACCGTTATCGTTTCCTTCGGGACCTAATCTGATATAAAGTGGACACTCGCAACAGACATTCCTCATATCAAAGGGCTACCTGAGATTCCAGGAGCAGTTCCCGTCTTTGGTCATCTCTTAAAACTAGGGGAAGACCATGCCAGCGTTTGTGAAGGCTGGTGGCGGAAATATGGCCACTCTGTCTTTCAGATCAAACTTGGTAATACCCGGGCGGTTGTGGTGAATTCGTTTGAAGATTGTAAGAAGATGATGCTCGGTCACCAAAACGCGATCATCGATAGGCCAAAACTTTACACCTTTCACGGTGTCGTGAGCAGCACGCAAGGATTTACGATTGGTTCGTCACCATGGGATGAGTCATGTAAAAAGAAGAGAAAGGCAGCTGGAACAGCGCTTGGAAGACCGGCCCTTCGAAACTACCACCCAATGCTCGATCTGGAGAGCTATTGTATCATCCGTGACATTTATCGCGACAGTTCAAACGGTACCATTGAGCTCAATATCCGTCCTTATATTCAACGTTATGCACTCAACACCACGTTGACCTTGTGCTATGGTATTCGGATGGATGCCGTATACGACGACCTTCTACGCGAAATCCTGCACGTCGGCTCTGCAATCTCTTTGCTTCGAAGTGCGTCAGAGAATCTGCAAGACTATATTCCACTTCTCCGGTATCTTCCCAACAATGAGAAAACCACACGATCAAAAGACCTGAGAGAGCGCCGCGATGCATATCTCAATCTCCTTCTCGACAAAGTGCGTGAGATGATCAAGAAGGGCACCGACAAGCCTTGCATCTCTGCTGCAATTCTGAAGGACGAAGAAACAAAGCTTTCTGGAGTGGAAGTCTCATCGATCTGTCTCTCGCTTGTCTCTGGTGGCTTTGAGACAATTCCTGGAACCATGACATCCGCCATCGGATCGCTTTCCACACCTGAGGGCCAAATCTGGCAGGATCGTGCCTATGAAGACATCAAGAAGTACTATCCTGATATTCGCGAAGCTTGGACAGGCGCGATCCATGAGGAAAAGGTGCCGTATCTTAATGCGATCATCAAAGAGGCTGGTCGCTACTATACTGTCAGCTCAATGAGCCTTCCCCGAAAGACAGTGACTGAAGTGAATTGGAATGGGGCCGTTATTCCCCCCAAGACTATGATCTTGATCAATGCACAGGCTGGTAACCATGGTAGGTTGATCTTGCCCCTTAAACCTGTATAGCTATCCTACTAACTCAATCAGACGTTGATCACTTTGGACCCGACGGAGCCAAATTTGACCCAGAGAGATGGCTTGAGTCCATCAATCCCCCAATGGAAAAGGAAGCTGCTGGTCTTCCTCACCTAAGTTTCGGTGCTGGGTCGCGTGCATGCTCTGGCCAATTCATTGCCTCACGATTGCTTTACACCGCATTGCTTCGACTGATCTCGTCCTACAAGATCGTGGCAAGTGAGAGCAATCCCCCAAACACCGACTACGTGGAATATAACCAGTTCAAGACAGCGTTGGTTGCTATTCCCAAGGATTTCAAGGTTAAATTGATTCCTAGAGATGATGCGATGACTAGTGAATGCCTGCATGCTGCTGAGGTTCGGACTAAGGAGCATTACAAGGAATGATCTGAATAGCACTTCGTACGAGTCTCTATTAATCTCAAACGTGGCAAATATAACAAGCATTTGAACAAAAGTCTCAGTAGAAACTTTAATTTGATCTGATAGCAACAATAGACGTACAAAGGACTCACCCCCGGCCCTGAGTCACTCTCTTCCTTTCGATCCAATATCGATTTCGGCCCTTCCTCTGATATTCTATTTTGAGCTGCGGAGTATTAAAATGATCCGTAGATCTAGTTGTCAAAGCGGTTCGTAATATGGAGCACTATACTGAATACACCACTTTGCAATATCTTGACTACCATAAGTCAAGTATTTCAGCACCAAACCCTCTCGGGGCAGTACGTATAAGTGGAATCTCTTTGATATTTATGAGTCTGATGCGATCTACGCCGCTTAGCGAACTCTGGCACAAACTTGACTCTTGTCAAAAATAGTCCCTTAGCAACCAACTCAACACCATACTCGTACAAGAACTGTCAAACTAGAGTTGTGTGAGCATCTAGAGCCTCAAATCATACTTTGACAAGAGCAAGTCTTTTTAATTGCTCCTATGGTTTGGATGTGTATCCTTTCTGGGCGGTATGAGCTTTTCGGATGGGCCGACAGTCACGCTAGCGACTCCCCGCTTGAATAGCTTCGACAGTGCTATATTTTGTTGCATTGATTCACATGTCTTGACGAGAACTTATAATTGATTTTTTATGCATTTAATATGGCCTCCTTGAAAGTTATCGATCTATTCAACGTGAAAGGTAGGGTGGCCGTGGTCACAGGGGGAAGCAGTGGGTTAGGGCTTATGATTTGCAAGGTTGGCTCTCTCCATGAGGTATCTTGGCCTTCAGATTAACATATTATAGGGACTAGTTTCAAATGGTGCCAAAGTCTACGTGGTTGCTCTTTCAACAGATCCAGTCACGGAGACGGTCGACGCATTGAACGATCTGGGAAAAGAATCCGGAGGTCATGCAGAAGGGTATTTTTTTTTTTTGAGTCGAGCTGGGAAATATTACCACTGACAACCAAATTCAAGCTTTCCTTGTGATCTTTCGTCGAAGGAATCAATTTCTGAACTTGCCGAAACAATAGCACAGAAAGAAAAGACCGTTGATATGCTCATCTCAAACGCAGGCGTTCGCCGCGATCCACCGACAGCTTGCAATGTGCTGACTGCACCTCTCGCTGAGCTTCAAGCCTCAATGTGGTCCATTGAAGAGTCTGATTGGGTGAGCACATTCAAAGTGAATACCACTGCCCACTACTATCTAAGCATCGCTTTTCTACCTCTGCTTGCGGCTGCAGCCGACCAACAACTGGGTGATAGCACCAAAGGCCGCGATGAAGGAAGAGGTGTGATAGTCATTACAAGCTCCTGTGCAAGCATGCACAATGTCACGAATGTGGACTTGACCAGCTATGCAACGAGCAAAGCTGCCACCGATCATCTCGTCAAGTTACTCGCCGCAAAATATAATCGATTTTACGTGCGTGTGATAGGAATTAATCCCGGATGTGAGTACACAGAGAGAAAAATGAAGCTACTCTACTAAGCACCCGATCTCTCAGTTATTCCGAGTAACATGAATCCTGTGGGCGCGGAGGGAAATATCTTCAGCTCTTTGTTTGACAAGGTCCCTGCAAAGCGCGCGGGAAACCCTGAGGATATGGCCGGTACAATTTTGTATCTTGTTACCAAGGCAGGGGTAAGCTAATTTATGGAATTTCCAGGGCTGATATCTAATAACCATTTTATAGTCTTATGTAGACGGGGTGTCACTCTGTGTTGATGGTGGTCGGATTCTTTTGGCAAACGGCCAGGAATAGAGCCCAAGTAGATTTATACAGCCAAACACTATATGAACTGAGTTTCTACATAGATATTATAATGATGAGCGAGATAATTGCGAGGTAAAAGGAAATCGGACTCCCCGCCATGAAACCTGAGCGTCATTCGGCCGCGCCGATACTCTATGAAGCTCAATTTGCTTTATTTACAAGCATTGAATTTTGTATTCAATCTTTATAACCGTCTTCATAAGAATATTTTTCTTGATTACCGTCATGTCCGTGGCATTTTTGGCCGATAAAACAAAGTTTGTTCTTCTTTTCCGTTCTTTAGAACCAATGCTAAATATTACCAGGTCAACTATCCGATTGGAGCATTTGCGAGAAGCAGCAGCTGAGCTGAATATCAAAATTCCGAATGGCTCGGACGAGCAAGATTATCTTCACTTGCTACAATCCGCAGATGAAGTAATGCGACAAATTGAGGCCAGCGATGACTATATCCACCCGGCTCTCTCGCTAGTTGAAACAACACATCCTCGGACCTACTGGCAACCGGAAATCAAAGACAACCAACTAAACGCCTGGAGGCACCGTTGTGAGCTGACAGCCGCATCTCCAAAAGGTAACACCCTCAAAGGAAGAGCAGTCGCGATAAAGGACAACATATCAATTGGTGGCTTACCAACTACTGTCGGCACATTCACCGAGCTCCTATGTCAGGATGGAAATCTTACTCCGTCTCCTATTGATGCTTCTGTCGTATCAAGAATACTGGATGCCGGTGCTACTATCAAAGGATCTTCGACATGTGAGAACTACTGTGCATCACCGCTTTCGTTCAGCGCTGCAACTGGCCCGGTACAAAATGTCTGGATGCATGGTTATACATCAGGGGGAAGCAGTAGTGGCTCGGCGACGATGGTTGCAGCTACTGCCATCAAACATGCATCTGGCAAGGACTTTGGTGAAATGGTGGACCTCGCCATTGGTGGCGACCAGGCAGGCTCTGTCAGAATTCCAGCGTCATATAGTGGCATTTATGGTATGAAGCCTACTCATGGTCTGGTGCCATATACTGGGGCGGTTCCTCTGGCTCCAATGCTCGATCACTTGGGACCGCTTGCTGCGAGCTTGGAGGATATTGCGCTTTTGCTTCAGATTATTGCAGGATATGACGGGATTGATCCTCGCATGACACCGGAATCACCACTACGAAGCCAGGTCCAAGACTATCCTAAAATGCTTTCCAATTTCCGAAGATCCGCGCATGAGAAAGAATTCTTAGGCTCTGGTTTGAAAATTGGGGTGCTCAAGGAATCCTTTGAAGTTGCCGGATTATCTAAACAGGTACGAGACACTGTGTGGGAAACTTCCAATTCATTTTTTAGGGCGGCAGGTGCAGAGGTGATGGATATATCTGTGCCCATGCACCGTGATGGCAGTCTCATCTGGACCGCAGCAACGAGAATGTCAATGTCTGAATGGTCATGCCAAGGCAAAACATCAGGATATCTCTCATTTTTGCCACCACACATACAAGCCCAATGGCCTCCTAATCAAAGGATGTATGAGTTACTCACTGCGACAAACCCGGCTGTCGTGAACATCATGCTCAGTGGGCCCTTTCTTAAAAAGCAATTCGGGTCGAATATTGAAGCCAAAGCCCACCGAAAAGCTTTCGAGCTTCGAGCTGCATACGACAAAGCCTTCGAGGAAGTTGACATCCTGGTGACGCCTTGTGCACCTACAGTTGCTATGCCACATCCAAAGATGCAAAGCGACACAGAGGGACCGGCTGCGACAGTCATGGAGAAGTTATCTCAGGCAGTAGGCGTTACAGCCAATACTGCCCCATTCAATGTCACTGGGCATCCCGCTCTGAATGTCCCGTGCGGATTTGGAAGTCCAACCGATCGACCAGACGTGAAACTGCCTATAGGCATGCAGATTATTGGGCGACGGTGGGAGGATGCAGTGGTGCTCAAGGCAGCAGCTGCATTTGAAGCAGGCAGAGAATTAGTGAAACAGACCTGATTCATGAGAGTTGTATACTCGGAGTGTGTGTGTTCCCGGATCGGCTCCGCTCCGCGGTCTCTCCGCGCGGAAGAACCCGTCGGACTTCAACAAAACTTCTTCTCCCAACAAACTCGCATCTCTTTGACTCATTTGTTCACTCTGCATCAGCGCATATTTACTTTTTCAAGTTGAATTATTCAAATTTTACGTTTCCGAGGAATCCACAATGAGCATCTCCGAATTAGAACATGTGCGTGGTGTTTGGGGACGAACCAAGAACGACAGTGCCATCTATCGACTTCTTCTCTCAGATGTCGAGATTGTCAGCGCCACTCGCGGCGAGATGCAAGCCCGTCTTAATCTCACTCCCGATCATGTAAACTCCCGGGGTACCATCCACGGAGCTGTGTCCGCATCAATCATGGATTGGGCCGGTGGCATGGCCATTGCAACTCACGGATTTGAGAAAACTGGTGCCAGCGTTGACATTCACGTTTCATATCTTTCTACTGCCCACGCTGGTGACGTACTGAACATCCATGCAGTAGCAGATCGTGTCGGAAAGTCAATGGCCTTCACTACCATCAAGATCTTCCGAATTGTCGATGGTGAGCTTGGTCCTCTGGTTGCCACTGGTTCTCACACGAAGTTTTTGCCTGTCTCCAAGGAGAATCGCCAACCCAAAACTGAGTGAATTGCCAGCCTCAAAATGAACATAACAATGGTCGGGAGAAGAATTGGATATAATCACGATTTTAAAAGCGACGTTATTTCTGTTGTTGTACATAATTCCAGCCAATCGTTAGAGTCCGTGGCATTTATATTTACACAAGCCCACCCTATTCCTTCATGTCCTCCCCGTTGAAGACGTGATGCCACCATTTACAACAAGCTCCTGGCCAGTAATGTACTTGGCTTCATCGCTAACGAGAAACAATGTAGCATTAGCCACATCCCATGCATCCCCCATTTCCCCCATGGGAACCTGTGCATTTCGCATTTGCATATAAGACTCTGCTTCACCATCCGCGTACCTGTAGACCAAGCCTTTCGTGTACGGGGTGTCCATGAGTCCAGGGACAACAGTATTGAGACGCACACCCTTGTCCGCATAGATGACAGCAGTAGCTTTCATTAGCTGAATGATAGCAGCCTTTGTGGCGGAGTATCCAACCTGAGGCTTCCCAATGTACCTCAAGCCAGCGATACTAGCAACGCTCACAATAGCACCACTTCCCTGCTTCTCCATGATCGGCAAAACATGGTGACACGTCAAATACACGCTCTTCAAGTTGATATCAACCTGAGGATCCCAGATATCCTCCGCCATCGCTGCAGGACATCCAGGCTCAGACTTCCCGACATTATTGATGAGAATGTCGATACGTCCATGTTTCGCGATACAGGCATCCACTAGAGCTTTTGTCGCGGTAGCAGATGTCACATCTGTCTTCATCACAGTACATGTTCCACCCTCGGTCTCGATGGTGTCTTTGGTAGTAACAGTCGAAGCTAAAGTGCGATTACCACCGAAGATTTGTGCCCCTTGTCGGGCAAGGAGCACTGCGGTTGCTGCTCCAATCCCCCATCCTTCTGGTTGACTTTGGCCGAGGCCGATGATTAGGGCGACTTTTCCTTTGAGGGACAACACGAGGCCGACGTTATGCAAGAGGAGTTGGTAATAAATGAATCTTGGGTTGATTTATTACCAAGTTCTGATTAGTTCTCAGCTGGTCAGCCTAATTTTATATTTTATATCCATCGGCTGAACCCTTTCGGCGCTCTTCCGGCCATAGCGGGCTTGTCATCACTCAAGTGGCTCGCTTCCGAATTGAAATTAGTATAGTATCAGCAATGTTTATGCGGCCCTGATGAGCAAACATGTAATTGAAAATTGCATCCAATTTCAAGGGAGGCTGTGTTCATATAAGAGGGTTGGAGGTTAACAGTTGAAGTGTATACACAGACAACCACGTGCTTTCATACTCAACGCCGGCGAGATGCAGACGTGACAGAATTACAAATCAGTTCTCCTTTTGCGTCTTTTCATAGCGACGAAAACTTGGAATAGTCGAAGATATGTTATACTTGAGCTCAGTTCACACCCGGCTTCCAGGGCTCGGACACACCCTTAGTCGATCAGTACGCGTTCTCATGCTTTATGTTGCAGGGCTGACATCAAGACAGGAGACAATGCGATAGATCGCATTGACATTTCTGGAAGCACGTTATGCGTCCCAATCAGTGTGACTGCATGGCCCTCGCCTTACAGTCTACCACATTCCACCCCGTGGCCACCGCCAGTCAACACTCTCCCTTGCGTCCCACTCAAACCACACTTACAGTCAAAAGTTGAGGCAACAAGAGTCGAAACGTCACAGTCAACTAGCTCTGTAGATCATCTCTCAGGGGGTTGGGAGTTGCATCACGCACAGTTTGACCCTCGAGGAAGAATTTTTGCGCGACATCGACCGCTCCTTGATGCAGACTTTGTGATGCAAAGTCATGCACAGTGACCCATGCAGCATGTCACCTCGGCTTCATTGGTCCAGCATGCATGAACCGATGCAGTTCTCAAGTTCAGGGGGTTCGGCGATCGGCGCTCCACTCGACAAGCTGAATCTGACTTGCCCATTCAGTATGAATTCACGGGGTGTCAAACCTTTGCAAGATCAGCGAAGTGGACATGCCATCCCGTCTCCTTTTCCACCAAGTCGAGGAGTGTGCTCTGAGACCCGCAAACTATCGGATCGACGAGCGACTAACGCGTCCCGAGATTTTGGGTTCGATTCGACCCACCTATCAGCTTTGCAGCGCACGAAGCTATCTCAGTAATGACAGGTCCAATGGGGCTAGAGAGGGGCTCAATTGCTTTTCTCGCTTTTACGGAGAAATTACGGACAGACCGTTCTCTGTCACTTCCTTGGGTTGGTATACTCTCGTCCTCTCCGGGATTTTGAGTGAGCCACAATCACCATGTCAAGTCCATTGGTACGTTCATTTCCAGCGTACAACCACACAGTCGCGTTAATTTGATTTGCAGGATGCAAATAGCGACCCCAATGTCGGGTCGTCTCGAGGCGACGCGTCGTCCACTTCAGGCGATGCCGTCAGTAGCCTTACTGGCGGTGGAGGTTCGTCTGGCTCGGCGTTGATGATGACTTTGTTGCCAGCTCTTGTATACGCAATTTTCTGGGTCAGCCTTTTCTTAATTTTTCGACGCACTCAGCGCCGGTGGTACGCTCCAAGATCGCATCTACCTGATCTGCATGAACATGAAAGGAGTCCAGAATTACCCTCTGGCTGGGTCAACTGGGTCGGGACATTCTTGAAAATTGAGGATAACCATGTCCTGCACCACTCGTCTCTAGATGGGTATCTCTTTCTGCGATTTCTGCGAGTATTGGCGGCGACTTGTCTAACGGGCTGCTTAATCACATGGCCTATCCTACTGCCCATTCATGCTACCGGCGGTGGTGGGAATGACCAGCTTGATATACTGAGCTTCAGCAACATCAAAGACCCTAATAGGTATTATGCAAACGTGATAGTGGGCTGCGTGTACTTCAGTAAGTTCATCTCTCCATCAGTCATGAGCACCCACTGATCCTTTCAGCCTTTGTGTTTTATGTCGTGACCAGAGAAAGTTTGTATTACGCGAATCTGCGCCAGGCCTACCTCAATTCGCCGGCCTACGCATCTCGAATGTCGTCCCGAACTCTCCTCTTCATGTCTGTGCCCGAAGCGTACAAGAACGAGAAGAAGTTGCGCCAGGTGTTCGGGGAATCTATCCGCAATGTTTGGATCACCTCAGACTGCTCGAAGCTGAAATCACTAGTTAGTGATCGAGATGGTCTAGCCGAAAAGTTAGAAACTGCAGAGACCAAGCTTATTCGCCGAGCAAACAAGGCTCGCATGAAGGCGATCAGGAAAGGCGAGCTGGAAATTGACACATGTCTGGATTGCGAGTCAAGCAACCCTGCTTGGTCTCATCAAGTCCAGCGACCAACGCACCGCCTTAAGTTTTTCGGCAAGAAAGTTGACTCCATTCACTGGTATCGGACTGAGCTAGCAAAGAAAACCGAGGAAGTGTCAATTCTCCAAGCTAAGCATCAGGCTGGTGATGCGAAACAGCTTTCTGCAATATTTGTGGAATTCAGCAGTCAAAACGATGCGCAGATTGCCCTGCAGACTCTTTCCCACCACCAGCCATTCCATATGACCCCACGTTTTGTTGGAGTCTCGCCTCGGGAGGTTGTATGGTCGGCACTGAATCTGAGCTGGTGGCAACGAATTGTCCGAAGATTCGCTGTCCAAGGATTCCTTGCGGCATTGGTAGTCTTCTGGTCGTTTCCCTCGGCCATTGTTGGTGCAATCTCGAACATCAGCTATATCTGCACGCTGATTCCCTTTCTCAAATTCATTCTCAAATTGCCCGACTTCGTCACAGGCGCAATCGAGGGTCTCCTTCCATCTGCAGCATTGGCCGCTTTGATGGCACTGGTTCCGGTTATTTGTCGTGGTATGTTTCCCAATCTTGTCCTTTTGTATAGCCTGCTAACTACTCTACAGTATGCGCCAGAAGAGCAGGAGTGCCATCAACTGCCCGGGTCGAACTGTTCACACAGAGTGCCCACTTCGTCTTCCAGGTAGTGCAAGTGTTCCTGGTTACCACATTGACATCAGCCGCATCAGCCGCTACGGCCCAGATTGTCAAAGATCCTCTCTCGGTCAAAGACCTCCTGGCGCAGAATCTCCCCAAGGCTACCAACTTTTACATCTCCTACTTCATGCTGCAGGGGCTGAGCATGAGTTCGATGGCTCTTGTTCAAATCGCCAGTGCATTGGTGTTCAAGTTCGTTACGACTTTCTTTGCTGTATCCCCACGTCGTCTGTTTCAACGATGGGCAGAGCTAGGAAGTCTCAGTTGGGGCAATGTGTTTCCCGTTTTCACCAATATGGCTGTGATTGGTAAGTGATCTATGTCCTTTCTAATTGTACGAACTCACTAATCGTCTATATAGCACTGACATACTCGTGCATTGCACCTTTGATTTTGGGCTTCGCATTCCTTGGTTTATATCTCGTATACCAAGCGTATCGGTACAACTTCCTCTTCGTCTACGACATTGAGGTCGACACGAAGGGTCTGGTCTACCCACGAGCTCTCCAACATCTATTGACAGGCCTCTATCTCGCCGAGATCTGCCTTATCGGCCTCTGCGCCATCAAAGGTGCGATCGGACCGGTGATCATCATGGTCATCTTCCTCATCGTCAACATTCTAGCACACATGTCCCTCAACGAAGCGCTGGCCCCTTTAAACACCTTTCTCCCGCGATCCCTCGATGCCGAGGAAGAGATGCTACAAGAAAAGGAAGACGTCCTGGCAGAAATCAACGAACAACGCCGAAATTCCCGCGCATTGGCCTTCTGGAGATGGTTCCACCCAAACGTATACAAAGACTATGCAGCATTGCGCCGCAAAGTCCGCCGCAATGTGGCAGAGATCTCATATACGCCAGAGGAAATGCGAACAGCTTATTTCGAACCTTGCATTGCATCGCCGCCGCCGACGCTATGGATCCCACGCGATAAGTGGGGTTTCAGTCGTCATGAGATCATGGAAACCGAGTCGATCATCAGCATCACGGATGAGGGTGCCCACTTGGACGAGAAAAACAAGATCGTGTGGGATAAATATGATCCCCATCTTCCACTGCGAGAGCGGAAGATCCTGTATTGATTTGAGTTCAATGGCATTTAATGAGTTAATGACAGCGATGAGCTACTCTTGTACATAATGATACCTTGACTCTTAAAACGACATAAGTATTAAAATGCAGGAACGAAAATAGAGTAAAATGAATAAAGTAATGTCTGAAATATTCCCACTACAGGCAAGTGACCCTAAACGGTCAAAGTGAAGTTGGCAGCATTCACAGCACCATTATCGCGCGGGAAGAATTCAAACGTGAAGACTGTCGACTGACCAGCAGAGATGACAGAGCTGATAATCGACGAAGTAAGAATCACGTTGGATGAATCCCAGTTGTACTGGCCGCTGTAGGTCTGGACACAATAGTTAGCACAAGGCAATCGAAACGGAAAATAGGGCTCAACTTACAATTCTGGACTGTTGTATAGGGCCAAGGTATTGAGTCCATTCATCAATCAAGGGTATTCCGCTCTTGGTGAGAGCCTTGACAGCAGCGACAGTGGGAAGTCCACCCCAAGTGATGGGGATGGAAAGATCAGAGCCAGAGACCGAAGATGCCACAGCCGATGTGCTGGACAAGGTGGGAGTCTTCCATTGAACAATCTGGACTGTAGGCGATGAAGCGCCACCAGAGAATTTCAGGGTCAAGGTAGCGACGACTCCTGGTGTAGTCGTGGCGGAGAGATGCTTGGACAGGTAAGAAGCTGTGAAGACGATATTCCCTCCCGAGACGGAATAATCAGTTCCAGATACCAAAGTCGAGCCGGTGGAGTCACTGATAGACGAGAGCGTGTTGCCATTAAATATGAAAGGCAAGGTATACGCAGCAACAGCCGTCCCATATTGATGGAAGATATAAGCCGAGGAAGACTGGGTAGTCGCAGAACCATCTTCAGTGCTGTCCGGCAAGCTGTTGGCAGTGGACGCAGTTGACTTGGTAATGATGGAAATCGAGTTAGTATCTCTCCAGACCTTGGTGTCACGGTTGAGGTGATCCAATCCATTATCCCACAGGACACAAGAGATATCGAGGTCGCGGGCTGTCCTCATCAGGAAGTCGGCGTATTTCCATCGGGCAGCGGGCTCGGTATTGGTGGGCGATGCATCGTATTCTCCGAGGATGAGAGGAACTTTGGTAAAATTGCTGCGGATGAGTTGGAAGTCGGTTTCCACTGCAGCTTTGTCGCTGTCAGAGCCCCAGATGGTCTTGCCCCTGCCTAGGGTTAGCAATGAGTCGGTATAAGGTATTGGCAATTCACACTTACCAAGCACTGAAGATGAAGTCATCTAGAAGGAAATACAGTGGTCAGCTGTTTATACTGCATCGAATGTGTGAGGGAACTCACAGGGACTGTAGTAATGGAACTGGATAGCATAAGGATTCGAGAATCCAGTAGGGGCCTCGAACCACTGCGAAGTCTTGACACTATCCTGGCCACCACCGCTGAGATTAACCACTCGCTGCGAGTTGAAACCACCAGCATCATTGATAGCCTGGAGGAAGATTTTGTTCAACTTGTTGATCTCTGCGGCATCAGTTGCAGTGTTGCAAGGGGGCTCGTTGATAGACTCGAATGCGACAAGGCTGGACTTGCAGGCCAGCTTTGTTCCAATTTGATACCACAGTCGGTAGAACTTCTCCTCGATCATGGTGAGATTGGCGCCAGATTGAGTGACATCAGCCCAGATCCACGAATCTATTCTCGGTCAGCATATGTTCATTACAAATGTTCTCCTATGCTCATACCGTGATGCACATTAACAATGGCATACAATCCACGAGATGTCACCATATCAACAACGTCAGATACTCGCTGTAACCAAGCCGAATCAACTGTCCAATCAGGTGAGCTTTCTGTAAAGTGATAAGCCCATGTAACGGGGATGCGGACACTCTTGAAGCCAGCAGACTTCACAGTATCGAACGTGGATGCAACGACGGCAGCATTGTTCCAAGATCCCTCGTCAGGAACAGCATCGAGTGTATTTCCCAGATTCCATCCAGGGTGAAGGTTAGAAACGAAGTTTGAGGCTGAAATAGAACTGAATGCTCCAGTGCATGTAGCGCCTCCCGCGGGAGCAGTCGCGGTAGCAGTGGCAGCCTGGGCTGTTGTTTTGGTGCTTGGGGTCAGTGAAGTAGTAGTAGTGGCCTTGGTTATAGAAGCAGTGGATGTTTCAGCAGCTGTGGTCGTACTGCTACTAGTTGTTGTGCCTGGAATGCATTGGTAGAACCCTGAATATATCAGTATATTTCACATAGAGAGGATTCAACACCACGTACAAGCATTTTGTGAAGCACAGACAAAGCCGGCGGTGCAGATTGAGCTTCCAGAGTAACCTTGTCCTCCACCTGCAATAGATGTACATTAGTAAATGGAACGATGGTAGGTGGAGGAAGAAAGAATCATACACTGGCCGTAGCCTCCTACTTGGGCTTGGGCTACTCCAGCGAGGGCCACAAGGGCACCAGAGAGAAGAAACTGCATGGTAGAATCTGCTACAAGATTGACTGATTCTAAATAGCAAAAATATTTCCTTTTATTTATGGTTGCTGGGCACGATGTTATATACTACGTTCGGAAGAACCGCAAGAAACGAGCCCTCGAGACATGTTCATTTAAAATTCCGGAGTGGCGCGAGCTATCAATTTCTTCATCACAACATGATAGTCTTAGTTCCACCCTCAAACAAGGAATTTGCGAGAAAGACGGAGTATTTCCCGATTATACTGTATAGGTCTTGTCAGGTCGTCACGGGGAGAGCAAGGATCAGGTATATCCCCCCCCCCCCCCCCCCCAATGACAGGGGACCTGCTCTGCCATTGACAAACCGGACCGGTGGACCGATCTGCATGGTGAGCCCTATGAAAAATGATTCTCTTGGAAAAACTCCGAGATTTGGCCTAAGCTCGACATATATTGCCTGAAGGCTTGGCAACGACTAACTGTCTTGGAAAAGGCGCAATTAATCCCCCAATGATAATCACTGGTAGATCTACATTTTACTCCTTAATTTCTCCGGAACACCGGACGACTCCGCAAATAGCTATGCAATGTGACTGTCGCCTGATAGCTTGATATTAACCCCCTGCAAAGCGGACTTGGTCCGTGTTGGTTTATATAAAGCCGTGGAGAATAAGGAACATACGTGCAAAAGAATAACATTTTAAATCCAATAGATCCTACGGCCAAAAGGTTCCTCCTTTATGCGTATTAAGTCGTCAGGTTCATTTCGTCATAGAGCATTAGCCGTATTGAAAGTAAAAGCAGAAGCAAAAACGAAATATGCACGCTATAACTGGTCATCGTGCATCGCTCACATAACGATGCAATCTTTGTTCCGATCTCTGTTTATTCGATCGGCCCCAGAAGACACAGAGGGGCGTGAACGATGGGGTTGTTGTGGGTATTGGTTGCGCGAGTTGCGATTTCCGGGATACTGATTCGCCGCACCACCGTGAGATCTTCTGTCGGGAGGCGAGTACCGCGGTCCACCGGCAGCTTGTTCATAAGGAGGAGGGGGTGCGTTGGGATCGTCCGAGTCAGGCTCCCGGTGTGGCGGACTTGGCTGAGGGCCAGCCCCGTTGAGGACGCTCGAAGATCGGTTAGGCACGTTGCTCATGCGGGGTGAAGGAGTTGGTCGACTAGAAGGCCTATTTCTGGCCGATGCGCGACGATCAGGTAACGGTGGGTTTTGGTTTCTGTCATTTTCACGTTGCTCCTCTTCCTGGAACTGAAGCGAGAGGGCATATGCATAATCCGCGTCGCTCTGCTCTTGTGATGGCTCTGGGGAATCTGAGGTATCGCCTGCTACTGGAGCAGGACTGGCTGCTGCACTAGATGTGCGGAGACCTGCGGGTGCGGATGAGGCGGAGGGACCTGTGCCGACAGGACGGAAGTCGCCTGAAAAGTACTCGGTATTGAATCCTGTCACATCTACTAACGATTCCCAGACTACTTCCGCGTGGCTTGCGTAGCCGGCATCGGTGACCAGGGTGTAGAGTTGGTAAGATTGCGGGTGTTTGTAAAGCGTTGAGAAATGATCATTGCGGAAGAGAATTGAGACAGAGCCGGGGGCGAGTTTCGTAGACAGCTGTGTCAAGCCGAATGGGCTCAACTGTGTCGCATTCTCAATTTCCACAAAGTGTTGGATACTTTGAATATCTTCCATGGTCCCTTCTTCCTCAAATGTTAGTGCTTCGCCCCGTGTGACCCGCTCCTCAAACTCCTGTCTGCGGAAGGGTAACAGCTGGATGTCTTCGTGGTATTGAGCAGTCCGTGTCATTGCATCGTGAGTAGGGCTAGACCAAGAGGCTAGCCAGCCGTGAATCAAGGGCACACCAAAGGTGCTGTAGAGCCGAAGATCGCTTGTTTCACGGAAAGAACCAAATCCATCCGTAGAATCTAAGGTCAGACGTGGATTGACATTCATGCCGGTATGAAGCATGGTCAAGAATTGCGCGAGGGCTTCAATGTCTGGGAATTCCTCATCAGGGCCCAAACAAGTCGTCAGCTCCTCAAACATTGCCTCGATCAAGAGTCCCAGCGAGATTTGCTCGCGGATTGACAAGGCTCTCACAATTGGTGGTTGGACTTTTGGGTTCGCCCGTAGCACTAGCGCATTGATGAGAGCCAACAATGGGCATGGGCCGTTCTGATTTTGAACAAGGATCGGTGATTCCACCAATTCACCTGTGCTATCTGTCCAACGGACGTGGCGGATGGTATAAGTCTCGGATCTCTGCTCCTTTTGCCGTGCAGCCTCCGCATCAGATATGACAGGGCTTGGTTGTTGTTGTAGTTGTCTTTCCGCTACAAGCCCTGGCTGTACTGTTGTGTACGTAAGATTTTGTGATCCAATATCCAACGGCCTTTCTTCTTTGGCGACAGCCTCTGACGAGTAGACAGGAGACGCTGCACGAGACCCGGTTTCGAATCCAAATTTTTTGGGAAGCTCGGCATCCTCAAGGTCAATCAGTTCGTGGGATGTAGCCGAGGTTGCGGTAGAGAGGGTGACGGAGGGAGTGTTGATTCCGGCGTCTGATCCAAGCCCGCCGGGATGCGCGGGTTGATTTTGATGTGTGCCATGATATTCATCCCCCCACGATGGTTCTGATGGTTGCACGACCACTGCTGGGGCATATGGATTCGATTGTTCTTGTGCATAAATATCTTGCGGAGCTGAAACTTTGATGGATTGTTGGGATACCCATGGGGAATTGTTTTCCATATGATGACCATTCAACACAGTTGGTTGATCGTTATGGGGGGCCTCAGCCCATGGTGAATGCTGTTCTGGTTCATCTAGAAGAGACAAGCGCGCAGTCATTGGGATGTACCCCTCCGCTGGAAGCTGTTAGTTCAACGGTCACATTTCATGGCGAGGAATATGACATACTTTGACTTAATGGCTCACTGTTCGAAGTCGCCTGTGAGTCACGTCCCCATTCATTTCGGTCTAAGAGATCTTGGGTCTGATCCGCTGGCCGCGGCTTCAAGAAAGGGTTGTTGGATTGTAGTGGCACCGGTGGCTCCCCAGTGGAGGAATCGCTGTTATTGTTTGAACGCCAAACATTCTCAGAAGCCCCTGTATGTTGACCTGCCATCAATGCAGGTGGAACCCAGTGGCCAGCGTTGTTATCGTAGGAAGTCCCCGCATACTGATTATACTGAATCTGACCGGGGTGGCTGGGGTCAGACCGAGGGTGTTCAGGCCATGAATTCGGCGGGTGGCTGGCCGGAGAGCCCACCGGCGACCTCTGTGCCTCTTCAAGCGGCATCAGATCAAACGCAGGGGAAGTATTGAGGTCAGGCGAATAGATGGAGTCCTCTGAGGGGAAGTGGTTCAGGCGGCCCGGGCGGTGGGACGAGGAAGAGTTGGTGGAAGGGGGAAGTGGGCGATCGTGCATTCGATCGTGAGTTCGATTTCGTGAGGTTCTCAAGACGCGGTGGAGGCTGTTTGCGCAGGCCCATTAAGACGTCCTTTGACCTCGGTGAGGGGTGAAAGTTGGGGTACGCGTATAGATCCACGAAAGGCTGATAGCTCGCAGGAGCTCAAGAGCGAGTACACACTCAAAAGTGGCCTGTGGATGCAATAGAGACAAGAGGAGATAAAGTTGGAAATATTGAATAAGCCATCAAGATACAAAGGTAGGGAAAACGCCTTGCGCTCGGCTGCAGGGGAGGCGAAATGCCTTGGTACGTAAGTGGTAGGCGGCTCAGCCTAGCTCAAGCTCGAAACAGCCATGCGCGAGGAGAATACGAAACAGAGTGGGATTGGAGGAAAAGATATCAGAATAGGCACCCGAATTCCACCGGTTGAGGATTATTTGGTTGACCTGGGGGAGCTCCATGTATTTAGATTACGCTGTATTGGAGAAGCAGATCACAATTAAGGTGGAGGGCTGGGTATGTGTAGTACTGTCTCGTATGGTATCATATGACGTGTTGGCTGTCTGGTTCAGGCATTAAGGCACCAAGGTAGATTAGTAACAAAGCATCAAGGCCACTACCGGACTATCCAATACTCCGAGTATCCCAATTCTCCTCCTCTGATTGGTCCTCGTCAGTTTCCGACAAAAGGCGCGAATATTTTTGTGAGCTTGAGGGTTTGCTACATCATAGCCATGCATTCCTTTATTCGCCCAAATCAGTTCGTGGCGGTCAAACTACCCTCTGACCAGACTAGAATTGTCAAGATTGTCCCCGATACGTGAGTGTTGCTACTCTATGCGGGGAGATTTCACCAAGCTAACTGAGCATCAGAATCGTGAGCCTAGGCAAATATGGCAATTTCGCTGCCAACCAGATTATCGGCCGGCCACTCTACTTCACATTCGAGATCCTGGACTCACGCGACGAGACTGGCTACCAACTGCGGGTCGTGACAGCCACCGAGTTGCATGCGGAGACTCTACTCACAGAAGGTGAGGGCGAAGGAGACGACGTCGAGACTGGCGAAGATGGAGTACCGATGCGCACCAATCGCGAGACGATCGACGAGCGAACAACGCAGAAATTGACCGTGGAGGAGATCGAAGAATTGAAGAAAGAAGCTGGTGGCGCAGGACGAGAGATTGTCGCAAAGCTCCTCGAGTCGCATACAGCTTTGGATCAAAAGACTGCCTTTTCGCTGGCAAAATACACTCTGCGCAAGCGCAAGAAGTACATGAAGCGATTCACTGTCTACCCGCTGGATGTCAGCCTCCTCGCCAATTTCTTGCTGGAAGAGCGCGATGCGTCAAAATCCATGGAGCTTCGGGACGAGCATATTGGTTTGATTGGATGCTGGGGCAATGTGCACCACAGCGGAAACGTTGAAGTCGAACCAGGCATGAAGCCCCATGGTCGTTACTTCATCGTCGATGAGACGGGTGGACTTGTGGTCGCCGCAATGGCAGAGCGCATGGGAATTCTATATCCCCACGATGCCGAGGAAGATCTGGAAGATGAGGAAGAGTCCATTCCCATCAAAGATGAGAACACCGAAGAAGCACAAGACGAGACTGCTCCTAAAAAGCGGCGCATTCGACCTCAGCCTATGTCTGCCACAACCAACACAATCACTGTGGTCCACGCCTACTCACAACCAAACCTGTCACTCTTGAAATACTTCGGCTACGATACCAACAACCCTGATGAATCACACCCGCTCCACACCCACCTTAAAACTATCTCCTGGATGCAGTTGGTCGACCCTAGCTCCGACCCGCTCTACTCCAACGAACCACCCACGTTACCCGCCGAAGAATTGACCGAGTTGAAACAAAGCAAACGCACAAACTACTACCACAAGCGCAACCGATGGGAGCGAGTTAAAAACGTGGTGGATGAGTCCCGCGCAGGAGACTTTGACGGTCTCGTTGTATCTAGCTTGCTAGACCCAGCCAGCATCCTGAAAACACTGGTTCCACTTCTCGCAGGCTCAGCCCCCATCGCCATCTACTCACCCACAGTCGAGTCCCTGGTCCAATTGACAGACATGTACTCCACAGCCCGAAGGACCGCCTTCATCCACCGCAAGCGCGAAATGGAAGAGAGCACACCCGAAGGAGAAACCCCTGATCTTTCCTCCCTCTACGAAGAATTCGTGGTTGACCCGACCCTCATTCTCCCGCCTACATTGCAGACATCACGTATCCGCCCTTGGCAAGTGCTGCCAGGCCGAACCCACCCTCTCATGATGGGACGCGGTGGTGCAGAGGGATACCTCTTCCACGGCATTCGGGTGTTCCCCACTGCGCAAAATATCCAGGCTGCTGGCAATGTTCGCAAGCGCCGAAAAATTGACTCGGGTCCGACATCTACTTCTACCCCAATTAGTGATCGGGATGTGGAGATTGACGTCCTTGTCTAATGAATGATGCCCGTTTCCTTAATAGACAGAATAGCATTGACAATGTTCAAGTATCATATCCTTATCTATCAGATCATGAATACCTCGTAATCATCGTGCTATCTTTGTATGTAACAGAGAGAAATCACAATTCACCATCCCCTTGCGAGGTAAACAGCCTATACTCCGTGGTAATTCAGAACAGTTGAATCAAATATCAAGTTTATTCATGCGCTGAATTTCATCAAACAATATACAGCAACGCTCGTGTTTACAGGCTCTTGCCCATAAACTTTCTCTTCGTGAAACTAAGCCAGAACTACATTTTGTCAGCAAGTCAATCTTGATCCATCTTTCTTTCCACATACCTTGGAGGGTCCAACGCCACCGGGGTATAATCTAGCATGTAGGCGCATGGCAATCTCCTGTCGCACCTGCGAGATGTACCTATAATTGGCAACAGTTAGAACCGGTTTTATCACTTGACAAGAGACGAATATCATACTGGCGCAGACTCTCGGCGTCCTGACGATCGCGTGGGGGCTCAAAGGCCTGGTTAAGCGGGAACGAAACATCACCGGGGATAGCAAAGTTATCGAGGGAGGCATTGATCAGGGCCTATAAGTAATGTAGTGTCAAAATGGGTTTCACTAAAATCCTCGCCGGTATATAGAACCTACCTTTTCAGCTTCGCGAGCATTCATTGTTGGCTTGACCTTGCCGAGACACTCGCTAATAAACAGAGTTCCGTAAATGAGCATGCGGTCGGCGGGGCCATTGATCTCAAAGTTGCGGAAAAGGACATTGGCCCGGAAAAGTGACAAGATCTCGTCGACGCAGTCATATGATTCACTTTCGGGGGAGACATCGAGGTCGTCGATGTTGGGAAGCGGGGGCAATGTGTATGCGGGGCCGCGGGTGCGAGTCCGGAGAGGGAGGATAGGGAAGTTTCCTATATAGCAGGCATGCGATGGTCAATTTGTTATTCTGCGTGGTGCTTCGTATGTTGCTATCTGGTCGCAGAACTGCTGCGCTGCATCGGGGGGTCTCGTACCAATCACGGGGACATCGCGATCCTCCAGGAAGATGGAGTGGTATGCCTGCATAGGGGTTAATAGGTACTTTCTTGCGACAACCGGGGGCAGTCATTCTTACAGGCATATTGAACCAGGTGACGACAATGGGGTAATTGTCGAGAGATGATGGTGGAGGGACAAGTTGACGTTAGGCAGGATGTCATCTGTGGAGTCCCTCCAAGCTCCATGATTTTCCGCCCCGAGCCTCTTTACGCGCCCCAGCAACGCGTCGACTTCCACTTTGCCTTCGTTGTTTTACGTGCACTTTGGTGTCATTCTTCAATTTTATTCAAGAGAACTACTCTTCTCGTTCACAATGTCCGACTACGAAGATGAAATGGACGTGGATGCGCCCAAGGACGTCCAGTTCAGCTCCGACAATGCCAGTGGAAAAAAGAGAACCGCCGCAGATCTTCCAATTCAAGCTCAAGATAACCTTCCTTGGTATGTCTCCGTTTTTTTTGTGTTTTTTTGGTCGCGCTATTTGTTGATGACTAGATAGGGTCGAAAAATATCGACCAAACAGCCTCGACGATGTGTCCGGCCACCAAGACATACTCGCTACCATCAACCGATTCGTGGATACGAATGTATGACTACCCTACATATGCAGATAGAGAGAAATCGACTGACTGGTATATAGCGACTTCCCCATCTCCTGCTCTATGGTCCTCCCGGAACTGGAAAGACCTCTACAATCCTCGCCCTCGCAAGACGAATCTATGGCACCAAGAACATGCGACAGATGGTGTTGGAGCTGAACGCCAGTGACGACCGTGGTATTGATGTAGTTCGGGAACAGATCAAGACCTTTGCAAGTTCGTGCCCTGCAACTCTCTTGCTAGGATACAAGCTCACCGAAACCTAGGCACAAAACAAATCTTCTCCATGGCACCCCAGGCCTCCGGCGGCCAAAATCTAGCAGGATACAAGCTGATTATCCTGGATGAGGCTGACGCCATGACCGCCACAGCCCAGATGGCTCTCCGTCGCATCATGGAACGCTACACGGCCAACACTCGATTCTGTATCATCGCCAACTATACACATAAACTGTCCCCAGCCCTTCTTTCTCGGTGTACTCGATTCCGTTTTAGTCCGCTCAAGGAGGCCGATATTCGGGTCTTGGTGGATCAAGTCATTGAGAAAGAGGGTGTCAGGATACAGCCTGATGCGGTTGATAGTCTAGTGACCCTGAGCAAGGGTGACATGCGAAGGGCATTGAACGTGCTTCAAGCCTGCTTTGCTAGCAGTGAGTTTCCATCGCTTCTAAATATTGACAGTTCAATTGACTTATACCCTTAGGCATTCCTCTTCCTATGAGAGACGCCCCCAAGGCGCCTCGCCCCGAACCCGAGATTGTCACCAACGCAACGATTTACGACTGTATTGCCGCTCCTCACCCCGCAGATATCCAAGAAATTATGACCACCATCCTCTCCACCAGCGATGTTACCTCTTGCCTCAACACTGTGCAAACCCTCAAGGCCACCAAAGGTCTCGCCCTAGCCGATATCCTATCGGCCCTCGCGGACCAACTGCAGCAGCTCGAAGTCCCCGCGCAGACCCGTATCACCTGGCTCGAGGGTCTAGGTGAGATTGAATGGCGTCTTGCCGGAGGTGGCTCTGAAGCAGTCCAAACCGGAGGACTGGTCGGAGTTGTGCGAAATGGGTGCGAAGTAATGGGCGACAAGGGCGTTGTAATGGCATAGGAAAATGAGATACGAGCAATTTAATTCCACAAAGTTCCAGACACCATAGCCAAGACCCTCAAGAGCCTGACGGCAGAACTTGCCTGAAGAGTCACTTAAGCGCTAATAGCCCTAACTAGCGGGGAAAAGGGTCCAATCTCACTGCGACAATTTATCGCACCGCGGGATGCCGCGGAGTTAGTTTCAATTAGCCAACTGCTTTTCCTCGGACATGACTAAACTATTGACTAAACTAATTCCTGTTAACTTTGAATGTAAATGTGAGTTTATCGGTTTTCCCCGAAGGGTCCGATGGGTGGGAAGACCCAACTGGACCGCCAGTGGGACTACTCCGCACGACAAGTAGATAAAGACCCGAGACCCCCACTTGGGGATTTCTTTTTGTTTAGTTCCTTTGCATATCACACGATGAAGTACTCAATTTCTTCTGGTCTCTTCTTGGCCGCCTCCCTGTCTACTGTCGAGGCGGAGCGTGTGGTTGGTGCTTACATCTTTGCACGCCATGGAGATAGAACCCCCAAGGTCTTTGGTAGCACCCAATTGACTGATTTGGGTTACCGTGAAGTCTTTGATGCCGGTTCATTCTACAACCGGCGTTATATCTCCGACAACTCCTCCAGGCAGATCGAGGGTATCAACCCAGAGATCGTCAGCTCAAAGCAGATCAGTGCCACTGCTCCTTCAGATGCTGTGTTGCAGAACTCAGCCACTGGATTTTTGCAGGGTGTGTACCCTCCTGTTGGCACAGTAGCTTCCCAGACTCTGGCCGATGGCTCCTCGGTCGAGGCACCCTTGGGCGGCTACCAGCTCATCCAGCTGTCGACCTCGACTTCGAGCAAGAACAGTGAGGATGCTACCTGGTTGCAGGGCGCCAGTGGCTGCCAGAAGGCAATCTTGAGCAGCAACAACTACTTCACCTCGGATTCTTACACTTCTCTGCTCTCCTCCACCGCGGATTTCTACAAGTCCCTCTCCCCCATGCTGGACGGAGCCTTCTCTTCCTCTCAAATGACTTTCAAAAACGCTTACACCATCTTCGACTACCTCAACGTCGGCAAAATCCACAACACTACCTCAACTTTCCCTCACAAGTCTGACCTGACTAAAGAGGTCTACCATCAGCTGATCTCCCTGGCTGGCAGCCACGAGTTCAACCTGGCATACAACGCATCCGAAAAGGTGCGTGCCATCGATGGCGCCGTCCTGGCCGGTGAGATATTGGCCGGTCTCAACGACACCATCGCCACAGAGGGCAAATCTAAGCTGAATGTCGGTTTCGGCTCATACGGCACCATCTTCTCGCTCTTCGGTTTGTTGCAGATGCCTGCTGCCTCCGTCAACTTCACCGGTATCCCAGACTACGCCTCGTCGATGGTCTTCGAGTTAGTAACCAATGCCACTGGCACTAGCTTCCCCTCGGCCTCTGACCTCAGCGTGCGCTTCATGTTCCATAATGGTACTATCACCGAAGGCGATGAGCCCGCTATTTACCCACTGTACGGCCAGTCCAGCGAGCTCCTTTCCTGGGATGACTTCTCCAAGAAGACTAAGGAGATAGCCGTGGCCTCCGATGAGGAATGGTGCAGCTTGTGTGGCAACACTGATGGCAAGTGTGCCAGCTCTGATGATGCCACCACCTCCGGCTCTACCAGCACTTCTAGCACCAGTAGCTCAGGCATTTCTCGTGCCGTGGCCGGTGTCATTGGCGCTATGGTCACCCTCGCTGTGATCCTTGGTCTTCAGGCTCTATTCTTCCTGGTTGGTGGATTCCGCATTGCTAAGCGGAACATTGCTGGTCCTGAGATGGCCTCACCTGCTGTTGTCGAGGTGGATAAGAAGGCTTAAATTCTTATAATAGAGTGATAATGTAATGGGCTGATCAGATGAAGCCTATACTTCGAGTCTGTGACTTGCCAAAATATTCAAGATGTGTTGCGAGTCCATGAAAACACAAGTAATAATGTGGATCTGAATTGAACTATAAAATTCGGTTCAAATACGTATATGTTACTTTTGTTTCGCCGTTCTTACTTGGTTTTCTGCCTATTCTTGTTTGCCTTATATTACAGAAGTTTAAACAGAAGAGTACTCTATAGACACTCAGACATCTGCCATCGTCGCATATCACTCACATCTCCCCGGAATATCTTCAAGCGACCATCCCGCAGATTCACCGCCTTTAAGCCAACAACATCTCTCCCTCCTATCAATCCTCAACCCGAGATGCCTCGCCAACAAATTAACTTAGACCCCTACAAAGAGGAGATAATATCCCTCTTCCACCATGGAGTCAGTAGTGAAGCAATCAGCCGCACCCTAGAGAGCCAACATAACATCCAAGTGAAAGAGCGAACAATCCAATCCCGCCTACGCAAGTGGGGCATTCGCAAACGACATCGAACAACGACAAGCGATGAAGCTCTGCATTCACGGATTCAAATGCTCTTTATGAAAGAACAATTGACTGACAAGGCCATGCTGAGAGTCTTGCAGCAGGAGGGGTATGGCATCTCTGAAAGGACTCTCCGACGGTTGCGGTTCAAGCTAGGACTTCATGCTAGAGCTTCTTCTGAGCAGGAGCAGACTCAACATCAACAGGAGCAGGATCCTCTACCAATGCTTCAGGTGGCTCAGGCTGTGCCTCAGCCTCAGCCAGTGTGATTTGCTTTGCTGGGTTGCGGCAGACTTCACTGTTCAGTTCGATCTCTTTCACGGCCCTAAGCAACATTATCTTTCCTTGCGACAGCGTTCTCATGATCAGAAACAAACCCTATGCGACGATCATGATCTCGAAATCATTGCATGCAGATTCACTGAATCAACGTCGGGTCACCCTCATCAACGCACCAACGATCATGATCCCAGGTTGCAGTCAAATACTTTGATGACTTGACCCACCTTCATTGTCTACCTCACAGTGTGAGTCTTCCGAACAAGACTCACTAAAGGAATCACCAAAGTCTTCATTCTCTGCACCAAAGACGGAGTCTGGATGAACCGTCTGGTCAGGGAGATTCTCTGAGCTGAAAGATTCACCATCACACACCCATTGCGCCCAATTTCCCAAATATGTAATCATTCATGTGATATCCACTACCGACCTTCCAGCTCTTCATTTTACCCGACATTACAGTTGTCTTTCCAAATGCGACCAAATCCCCGGCCTCTTTGTCAAATAGTAGTGCTTTGAACGCTGTTACACTGCATAATATCCAACTCAATGCCAATTCCAAATCAGTTGTACTCAATCATGTATTCGTGCCAGTTGTCTGTGAAAGAAATTAAGGGCTAGAAATTGGTCACGTGCCATGACGTTTTATGTAACTTCTAATCGGAGAAGACATTCGACACGCAACACGAGAGGTGCAACCTCAACTTATACCCCCAAGTCCCAACCTTCGTGGGCGCATCATACCTGGCCTACCAGTCATTATGTCCTCACAATACGCGAGCGAGCCCAATCCCACCGCGTCGGCCACGCTCAACACGACAGTTGGTCCGATCCAAATCGCGCTCTTCGCAAACCAGACACCCCTCACTTGCAAAAACTTCCTCCAACACTGCAAAGATAATTACTATGCAGGAACAATTTTTCATCGAGTAGCCCCGGATTTCGTGATCCAGGGTGGTGATCCCACCGGCACAGGCTCCGGCGGCACGTCAATCTACGAATATCCAGAATTCGAATATGACCCCGAAGCTCGGGACCCGAATGAGCGAGTTGTTTTGCGCGATGAGCTTCACAGTCGGTTGCGCTTTAACCGGCGTGGACTGCTGGGCATGGCCAAGAGCGAGGATGGGACATACGGCAGTCAATTTTTCATTACGCTTGCGAACACAGAGCGCGAAATGAACGGACAGTGCACAATCTTCGGCAGATTGGAAGGTGACAGTATCTACAATGTGTTGAAGATCGCGGATGCAGAGCTCGTCGAGGGCACTGAGCGACCTGTTTATCCGATCAAGGTTACCTCCTGTGAGGTTGGAGAGTTAGGGCCTTTGGAGGGCAAGTTGAAGGATCGCCAGGCTATCTCGTCTACATCAAAACCAGAGAAACAGGCGCCCAAAAAGAAGAAGAAGGCGCCTAAAGGTGGAAAAACACTGCTAAGCTTTGGAGATGATGAAGGCGACGATGGAATGCCAATGCGCCCAGCAAAGCCCAAATTCAACACTCAATTAGTCGCGGATGTGCCAGGCGCGCAGACCGATGCACCAAAGCCCAAGACTTCCAGCGATGCCCAGTCACAGCCTCGCAAACGTCAAAGGTCACCATCCCCTAGACGATTAGCGTCACCTGAACGTAAAAAGCGCATTAAAACGCCAGAGCCAGAAACTCAACTTCCTGTCCAAGATCCTGAATCACCCATTCGCTCTCCAACACCAGAAGCACCCAAGGAGTCCAAGTTATCCAAGACAAACGCCCAGATCGCCAGTCTAATGGCATCAATGCGCCGAGAGGTCGACACCGGTCCAAAAGATACAGGCCGCAAGAAGTCCGCCCTCGAAGCGATGATCCCGGAAACCTCAATCCGAGGACGTCGACGACCACCACCAGGATCAGCAAACGGCTCAAGCCGCAACGGCACAGGACCTAGCAACGCAGCAGAGCGCGAAGCTCTGCAACTCTTCAATGCCTTCAAGGCAAAGCTAGAAGGCGCCAAACCTGAACCCACACCAGCATCACAAACTAAAACTAACGGCAAAGAAAGTGTGCAAAACAAAGACGCAGACGAAGACGAAGAAGCCCAACTGTGCGACCTACACTTCATTGCCAACTGCCAATCCTGCCAATCATGGGACGATCCATCTGCAGATGCGGGCGATGATCCCGCACAAGAAGGAGACTGGCTCTCGCACGAACTCCGCTTTGGGAAGGATACACTTGGTAAAGACTTGGAGTGGAAAAAGAAGAACCAGGAAGCGGATTCGCTTATGGTTATTGATCCTCGTGAGAAGGAGAAAGAGGTTGTTGGGAGTAGCAGTGGGAAGAAACGTGGATTCCAGCGGGATCGGGAGCGGGAGCGGAAGCGTGAACGGGCCGGAGATCTGGAGTGGGAGAGAGGGAGGTGATAGTACATTGGTTCTCCATCTCTTAACTGAACTACAATTCATTCAGCAATGCATAGGGCTATTGTGCCAATAGTATGGTGTCTAAGACAGTTTTGCTGAGAACGTATATATATGTTTGTATACATGCACCTTGTAAGCCCCGAAGTCTAAAAGATAAAGACTTACCTACATGATATCCTTCCTGTCTTTGTCGGTTGTCACTTTGTTACTTTGAAGACCTATAAACCCCACCAGACCTTAGTGCACCAGGTCTTAGTGAGGTTCTCAGTCTCAGTTTCATTCTCACTCGCACTCTCATCTCTATTTCCCAAAATGAACTCTCAACGTATGTATCATGGCCACCTTTCACGTTGGATCTAACACCAATTTCTAGCCATTGTCAACGAGGAACTGATCGGATCCGGAAAATCAACCAAACTGCCATTTACTTACTCGACGGCCATATGTTGGGAACCAGCGCAGACTTTGAGGTTAAACCGGAGGAGCACGTGGCTCTTCTAGAAGCACGGATGTGGAGAGATGCCTTCGGTTGGCTCAATGTCCATCAACACCGAGAGGTATACGATGCATGACGCAGTCAGAAGTTCATATATTTATCTCGCAAGGGTAAAATTCACTATAAATTCGTGCTATGATGCCTACTAAACACATTGTCTCAGTATCCCCGAGAGACGAGTTATCGGCAAAGGCCGTTTGACGCTCGGGAGACGTCGAAAGGTTGACCCTGTCGAGGAATCAATAGTTTCGAAATCGTGATAAAGATATAGTAGAAGTACAGAGCAAAGATATGTCATCTGTATTGAAAGGATCATTCATGGTTCATTTTTACAGCCCAACCGAATTCCCAGCACCCCATGCAAGCAAAAGAACGCCTGCGTTACGCCTAATTTTGTCTCCAGCCCTGAACCCGCTTGTCCATCCCCGTTGTGTACGGTATCACTGAACTCCATCAATCACGCCTTCACGCCTTCCTGCGCCGCTTCGTGGCGCTGCCACCATCATCGACAGCCTCAGTTTTCTCCGTTGCTGCGGGGCTTGTGGCTTCACTGTCTGTCAATTGCTCGATGACACGCCCAGAGTCATCGTAGCCAGCACCATCGAACCCGTAGTTGTACGCCGGGTCGCCCTGGGCATTGGTGTTGTCAAAAAGATCTCCATCAGCAGGGATGTGGTCAAAGTCGAAGAGGTCATTCGTATCGCCATCATCGGCTTGAGTGGCCCCCACCTGATCATTTGTGTTCTGGCCAGTTATATGGCTCATCGGGTTCTCGGACGTTTTCGTATCTCCAATATCGGTAAAGTAGTCGTTGTTAAATATCTGGTCCAGGTCAAGCGGGGGAGGAGGAACGTTTCCGTCGCTGTCGAGACCAGGAATAGTCCCATTCGGACTGAGTGGTTGGAGGAGACTGGTCAAGTTCTGGACGGAACGGTCCTGTTCGGCCTGCATTTTGACCAAGTTGTCGATCTCTTGACGGGTGCTGGCCAGTCGACCTGAGTAGTTGTGTGGCATAGGAGGTGGGTTTGGCGAGATGAGCGCGTTGTTGGGCGATACACCAGCATTAGGCTCGGCGGTGTTTGTCTCGTTGGCCATAAGGCGCAGCATGTCCGCGCGTTGATTGGCGGTTAGTGGGACGTTGCCACCGTGGTTTTCAAGAGAGGATAGAACATTAGGGAACTCGGAGAAGTTTGTGGGAACCCCGTTACGGGCATTGGAGTTCTGGATGACAGACATGATGTCCTGTTGAGGGAAACCATCATCTGTCTGATCTTTTGGCACGTTCGACGCACTTGGCCGAGGACTATGATCAAAGACCTCTTCCACGTGGCCCGGCTGTGTAGCGCTGGGTTGCCGGTTGTGGCCTCGAGACCGTGTATCATAGGGACCACTGGCTGCTGGTGAGACCGTGTTCGCGCGGCCACTTTGATCAGAGGTCGGGGGTGCTTTCAAAAGCAGTGGTTGTTTCTTCATTCTTTGGGTATTTGGGCTTGTCATGGAGCCCAACGCATTGCTCAGGTAGTCGTCATCGACGTCCACAATGTTGCCTTGATCCTGCGAGATGGCTCCCGCAAAAGAGTTGGCGAGGTTTTGAGGACCATCTTGTCCCTGCAAACTGCGGTTGTACACTGTTGCCAGGAAAGTCAAAATGGCATTGATGGAGTTCTCGTGGCGAGTGTGTTGCTCCTGGAAGTTGGCTGCCTGTGCGTACAGCTGCTCGTGTTCTTTTCGCAACCTGGTGATTGTGGTTGATATGATTGACTGTTGTTGACGGATCGCTTGAAGTTCGCGATAGACGCCAGAAAGCTGTTCATTAGGCACAGAACTGTCCGTGACTAAAGACAGCTGCTGTGGCCGAGAACGAGTATCGCGAGTGGTGGGTACACCCTCTTCGGCATACTCGTCCATGTCATTATCATCAATATCCTCCGTCTTCACGCGGGTACCGCCTTTGCTGGGTTTGCTGGCATGACCTGCAGCGTTCTTTGGCTTCTGGATAAGCCACAGCAAATCTGGGTGACCACGCTTGAAATATGGGTTTGCGTACTCGCTAGGACTCTTGTTCTTTCGCTCGCTGGCACGCATCGAATTGTCGGAAAGCCCAACCTTTTTGTGAAACCCGTACATGTTCAGCTGTCGGACGAAAGACGCATAGTTGTTGTGTTTGAACAGTTCTGGGATCAACGTCCTCGCAAATTCATCCTCGTCCAAAACGATGAAAGAATTGCCATCGTCGGACCAGCGAATCAATTCCGTATTCTTAGACTCGTCAAGAAAGCTGTGTTTAAACGATTAGCCCTGGTTCTCAACTCAAAGTAAAACTGCGCTCGTACCTGCTCAATTTCTGCACAAATGGAGGGATCTGTTTCCGTTTGGCTTGTGCTTCTCTTTTCGCAGTCTGAGCACGTCGGTAGAGCTCTTCCAACGACTCTCCCCATGCGCCGCTCTCGCCATTGCCTGTGTTCCCCCCATTCTCGACATATGACGCGGGCGCTTGCTCGTATCCACGGTTCCGGCTGATCAGCTGGTTCTGGTTCTGATTTTGATTTTGATTCTGGTTGTGGTTTGCCTGTCGGCGGGCAAGTTGGTTAGATGCTGTCGCAGCCGGCGCAGACACATCTTGAGGGGGCGCAAAACCACCAGGGTTGTATGAGTTATCGGGAAAAGCAGAGGTGTTGATGGTGTTGGAGGGATTTTGGCCCCACTGTAAGAATTGGTCGTTCGAAAGCTGGGAGCCGGGGTTCGCGGTGGTCGGAAAGTTGGGGACAGTGTTCATCTGAGGATGAACGACTGGCACTGTTCCGGGGGCAGGTCTCTTGCGAGTCGCACTCTGAGAACTCATGACGAATGGGCGCGGTGGCGTTGGATCTTATCGGAATCTGAAGGTAATGTTTTCTGGATTTTCGCCAATCTCGCACAACTTGTGATATTGGCAAGAAACGTCTAGTAGACAGAATGGCGAGATGCAAACTCAAAATGCGAAAAGTCGTTCATTCAGGTCGCTGGAATGAGTGACTCAAAAAGTCTTTGAAAGTCGTTGAAAGTTTTTGTCGACAGAGCCGAACAAAATAGAGGCACCAACGAGGGCGCAATTCTATCGACGAAGAGAAACGCCACGCGAGAATAGAAGATTGAAGTGATAACGAGGCGACTGATCAGCGCGTGAAGTCAAGGCGGGATCATTTGGCAGAAATTATATAGGCGGTGAGGTTAAGATAGAGAGATGTTCTGCCCACGAGCCTGAGCAAGGATAAGAAGTAAAACTACTCTGTTAAGCGCAAGGTTCCCCGCCAGACTCAAGTATCGGTACCTGATATTGAGTCACTCTTCATCATACGAAACTTCCCTCTAATGAACTGACATCTGGTTAATCTTTCTTAGAGTCAGTACATCATTTTTGTGTTATTTTAGCTAGGCTCCAATCCTGACACAATCCCAGACGGGTCTTATCCCTAGAAGTCGTAAGATCTCAGACAACTTACTTTTTGACCTTGTCTAGATACTTTTATGGCTCACTGGGTATGCTATGCAGACTAGGCTCTCACTCGCGCTGGTAAACCATGACCTCATAGACCTAACGAGTCACCAGTCAAGCCCTGGAAGTCCGAAAGAATCTGTTTCCATTCATCAGGCTGCTTCTGAGTAAAGTCTTCTACCTGTTTTGGAGCAGCCAAATCCTCCTTCATGCGTGACACATTCTTGGTTCCATTCAACACCGTGATATTTCCCAAGCCCATAACGAGTGCATAGAATGCAGCAGCCGGGGTAATTCCGACATGACGAGAAAGTTGCTGAACAGGCAGGGAGCGTACGAGATCGGGGTTCGCCGTCAGCGTCCAGAAGCCTTGATAAACAACCTGGTTATCGCGACAGAATGCACGCATGGGAACATCGAAGAGAGTATCCTCGTGGAATCTATTCTGCACAACCGATGGCTTAACCGTTGTCATGGAAGAGTTGCACAGTTCTCGCAGCATGGGCATTGTGCAATTGGAAATACCCAAGTTTCGAATACGGTGGGGCACATAAGTCTCAAGAGCCTGCCAGGCCTCAAGCGTCTGGGCTAAAGTAGGAAGCGGCGAATGAATGACCATAGTATCAATGTAGGCCTCATCTACCGAGCTGGGGTCATCTGCTGAGCGCAGATTATGTAGGGATGACTTGATAGAAGCATGGACTTGCTCGGTGACCGACACAGATGGGTCGTAGGGCATATTTTCCACGTCCTGTGCCGAAACAGGGCTATATTTGGTTTGCACCTGGTCATTGTCAGCTACATAGTCTATGATAATAATAGAACGGTCCACTCACATATAGGTCTTTCCGGTCGACGATCCCATCGGCGATAGCTCTGCGAATGCCATCACCAACGAGGTGTTCTTGGTAATGACGGGGTTGGGCTGCAGTGTCCACAGCCCTGAATCCAGCCTTGATCGCAGTGTAGACCAGATCTGCGCTGCTATCTTTTTTCCAGGCTGTGCCGTAGATGAAGACCGGGATGGTGGTGGAGACGGTGCCCTGTGTAGGACGCAGGCAGTACTTTTCCCACATCTTGCTAACCGATCGAGCCATTTTCAAATTTGGTAGTTGGAGTATCGGGTAATGCGGGTTGTATACAAGGGTTCACAGCCTCGAAAGATGTGCCCAATTGAGGAATGATGTTATGGTTGCGGGGTTCTTACTAAGTCGCCCGAGGGCAACCACTTCTGCAATTATTTATTTGATATGTTAATATGTTGTTATGTTCAGTATACTTCTATATTTGACCTTCTCAATGTTATGAAAATGGTTTCTGTATCTCGAAATTGCGGTAAGAATATCGCTAGTCGCGAAAAATTATTGCTGTCCAAGTCACCAAAATAGCTTCCACTCTATAGTTCGAGAATGTAAAATGTAGAAGGTAGAAACCAATTATATTGACAAAATGATGACCTGCATATTCAAAAACTTATCAAGAACGGTGAAGCCTGGAGGTTAGCACACTCGGCTTTGTACAAGTAACGCAACTCAGCTATATATAGTTGGTGGAGATGCTAGCTCGGCAACCGGCCGGCAACCCACACGGAACCCTCGACACTGGAGATTGACTATTTACACTGCAAATCACATAGAAACTAATGACAAAGAATACTCAAGTATGAAGGCTGCAGAATTGCCGGATCAAAGGATATGCACCGATTAGCCCCACAGTGTGGCTTAGACGTTCAGTTTGTATAGGTTCTCCGAGCGGAATGGCTTGGCAATGAGTTTGCATTCCCAAGCAATACAGGATCTCTAGGGGTCAATAAGCCAATATTGAGGGTTAAGACATGTCCAAGCTCCCTGCATACTGAAATCATCATTGCAAAAGCCCAAATTATAGAACTATGCACGATATTAATAGCTCTCCATAATCTAGTAGTGCTGCACCCAAGTAGATCTTGGCTAACTCTTGGCTGATGCGATATAGAGCCAGGCAGCTGCTTTTGCTAAATCAACATTGGCGGTAGTCCCTGTAGATCTGCGGGGCTATCAGTCAATGCTTTGATTTTGGCTATACAACAGACAACTAGGGTCGGCATGCATTTGGGGCTCAGCAGCTAAATTACCTACCTCGGAATTGTGATCATCGTCGGAGTATACCGACAAAGAGAATGATCGCCAAAATTGGAAAGGAAATACCCGGCAAAGCTTGGATCGGCAGGGTCCAGCAAGTAAAAGTCATTTATAGAACACCCCAACTTCAAATATAAATATGCCATGAACCTCGTTGTGAACTGATTTGAATTATCAACAAGAATACACCAGTCTTCTCTACTCTTCTTAAATCAATCTTCACTCTTAATCATCATGCGTGCTACACAGTTCCTCGCTTTCGCTGGCCTGATGCTTGCCGGCAACGTCGCCATCGCCTCCAAGCTGGACCATGACGATGTCCCCAACCGCTGCTGGAACTCCTGTGGCGCCGTTGTAGGAATCTCCAAGAGTTGTGATTCTAGATACGACAATGATTCCGCTGAGCTGAAGTGTATTTGTGACTGGGAGTCTGCCAAAACACAGATCCCTCTCTGTGCGGCTTGTATCACCCAGTATCAAAAGGACCGCAACATCACCGACAATGATCATGATCACGACCATGACCGTGACAATGATAACGACCGTGATAACGACCGTGATAACGACCGTGATAACGACCGTGACCATGACGATAATGATGATGATGATGACGATAATGACCATGACCGTGATGACGAGAACACTAAGCGCGACTATGACGACGACGATGATGACAACGGTATGTATAAACTACTATACCTAACTATGAAGAGCAAATCTAATACACAACAGAAGCCCTGGACCTCGTCTACTCCTGCTCCCTCAGCACAACCACCTACAACTCTGCAGCAGCCACAACCGTGAGTGGCACCGCCACCAGCACAGGAACAGGAACTTTAGCCTCCACCACAGCAACCACTACGGACGGCGCGAGCTCCAGTAATTCCAACAGCCAGGACTCGACTAGTTCCAACTCCAACTCTGATTCCAGCTCTGGTTCCTCCACTGATAGCTCGAGTGCCTCGTCTACCCCGACCCCGGATGCTGCTGCTGGCTTGATTGCTCCTGGTACTGTGTCCATGGCTGGCCTCGTGGGATTGATTGCTTTTGCTTGGGTTTAACTCATTGAATGAGGCTTTGGTGGTATTATGAGATGAATGAGTGAATTCTTATGCGATGGGTTTATGAATAATCAGCGTCTTTCCTTAAATTGCAGATGACATTATCCAGTTTCGGTTTTGTTTCAGATTGTTTAGTGAAATTGATGATTCTTTTGAGTTGAACCTGAGGTACTCGTTAACAACTAAGTAGCTATTCGGTGAAGGGCACCTGAATATATCAACATTGAAGATTCAATTTTTAAAAGAATGCAACTCTTGAGGGTATTGGTACATATAAACAAACTATCCGTAAAATAATCATATCTCATCTAAGAATTATTTCCAGGGAACTTCATCATCCCAGTTAGCCCAAAGATCATCAAAGGGGTCATCAAAAGAATTTTCAAAAGGATTCGGCTCCGTATACGTGTTCGGTCCGTCAAACTCCATATCATAAACATCTCGGTAACACTGTGCCTTTGAAGGACAACTTCCGACAAGTTAGCATTGCATCACAACAAAAACAAAGACATAACTTACAACACGGGATCCTGCCCGAAGATGATGTGCCACAAATACTCAAAGACACGACCACTAGTCTCATCATCCAACTCGGTCGTCATAAGCCACTTGTGATAATGCGCATAGTCACTACGAGGCCGTTGAAGAACCTGCTGTTTTGTAACAGCAAACTGAGCACAGCAAGGCGTAGCGACAATCTCAGGCACATCAGTATTATTAAAAATACGAAGCCAAGCGCCAGCAAACGCCAACTCGGTGGTGCGGCCAGCCATCTGCCGGAATGGTTTAACCTCATCGGGACATCCTGGGCCCCAGTCGCAGCGGAGATTGAGATATCCGACTTGTTTGAGGTAGTCGATTTGCAGCCTTCGGACTGTTATGGCATTATCTTGTTCCCAGAATTCGGTATGGGCGCTATATTGATGGGCGTGGAGGAAGACCATGTACTCGGGCAATTTGTCGTAATTGTCGAGGATGTATTGGAGATAGATGTTGCTCTCTTTGCCTTTGTTGTGCGCGACAGTGCGTTCTGCTTCTGGGTCGTCGACGATATAAAGTGCATGCTGCCATCTATAGTTGAGGTTGAATTAGCACTGGGCGCTGGGGTATTCCAATGCGCAAGGCTTACTCTGGCAACTGCTCCTCCAACCAATCTGTATCTTCATACGACATCTTCCCCATCACAATTATGCGATCCGTTTTCGGGGTAATTTTGGGCTTAGGCGGCGCAGTCGACGAAGGCGCAAGCTTCCGTACATTCCCATGCTCAAGCGGACCGAGTTTCTGACCGTGCGACTTTTGTGAATCGGTCAATTTCTTTGACTTCGACTTCGAATTGTAATTCCGCAAGAAGGGATCCTGGCCAGCCCATTCCGCGCCAGGAACTCGCACCGGGATCTGTTTCGTTGCGACTTTATTCGGCACCACGGGAGGCGTAGGTCGGCCAGTAGGCGTCCATTTATGCCGAGTCGGATTTGGTTTAGGCGAGATCGTAGTATCAGCCGAGACCAGCTCGATATAAGCGTCAGATTCATCGAGGACATAGAGATCCCTAGCCGAAGCTTGTTTCCGACCCGGAGCCTGCCATTGCGGAATGGAATCGAGATGACTCTTGACCAGTAACACGGTGAATACCAGTGCAATGGCAATCGCCGCTCGTACAGTCGTCCTCATTGTCCAGCGCGAGGCATCAGCACGAAAAGAAATGGAAAAAAAAAACGCCTGTAGATTGCAAGCCGCGCAGGCCGGGACTTTAAGAGCAACGCCGGGTCCCACTTTTGAGTCTTGGCCGTCAGCCACGATCAGCTTGGCCGCGTGGTTCCTGATGCAAGCTGCAGCTTTACCCGAGACCGTTGGATAAAGAGAGTGTCCGAAGTAGAACTATTGGCTGGGTTGCAGGATCGATGCAGTCCAACCACCAACGCGATTTCAGGCGACCTGGACTCATTGTCGTCACACCAATCCGATTGCAACCTTTGAGCCTGGTGGGCCCGGGACACTCGTCACTTATTCGCGTCAGACTCATCGTTTCAGCAGGGGTATACGTAGACACGTCGATCTTTTTCTTTTCATATAGAATCTCATTGTGAATGTTTAAAGAAAGAAGAAAGAAAGTTCCGATTGACTTGGAACCCGAGCCAAGGAATCTGCATGAGCTTCAATGTGCAGAGGGACAGTCGGAGTAGGTGTCTCCAGAATACGAGTACGAGTTTCAAATTCAAGTCCAGGATCTAGTCTACTATAGTCTAGACACATCTAATATCAGTTAACGTATTCGGTAAGCGAGCTGGACATGTAAGCGAGCTGGACACCCATCCAAAACGCGTAATTCCTATACTACCCTCTATCTTTAACCACCCACTATGCCACCAATTCGCTCTCAAAGCTCTCGGAATCGAGAAGAGCAAGAGGGTAGGATCTTATTAGCTATTCAGGCTCTTAAGAATCAAGAAATTGCTTCTACACGCGAAGCAGCGCGTCGATTTAATGTACCGAATTCAACCCTCTCTACGCGCCTTAAGGGTGTCCAAAACCGCGCGATTTCTCGCGCCAATTCACATAAATTAACGGATATCGAAGAGGAATCGCTTCAAAAATGGATTATCTCTCTTGATACCCGTGGAGCAGCGCCTCGGCCTTCTACTGTACGAGAAACTGCGAATCTTCTTCTCGCGGCCCGCGGAAGTATACCAGTTCAAATAGTCGGCGAGAAATGGGTCTATAACTTCGTGAAAAGGCATCCCAATCTTTTAACCCGATTCTCGAAGCGATATAACTACGAGCGCGCAAAATGCGAAGACCCTAAAGTTATTCGTGAATGGTTTTCTCTCGTCCAAAAAACGATCCTTTCGTACGGTATCGATTCCGACGATATCTACAACTTTGACGAGACCGGTTTCGCAATGGGCTTAATTGCGACCGCGAAGGTGATCACGAGAAGGGAATTCTACGGTCGGCGAGCACTTTTACAACCCGGAAATCGCGAGTGGGTTACCGCAATTGAATGTATAAACGCGTCGGGGTGGGCGCTTCCTCCGTGCGTGATTTTTAAGGGCAAAGTCTTCGTCGAGTCTTGGTTCGACGGCCTTCCGAAAGATTGGCGCCTCGAGGTTAGTCCGAACGGGTGGACTTCCGATGAAATTGGACTTCGGTGGCTCGAAAAGCTCTTTATTCCGTCTACTTCTTCGCGTACGAAGGGGAAGTATAGACTTTTGATACTCGACGGCCACGGAAGTTATTTAACCCCGAAATTCGACGAAATTTGTGAAAAAAACGATATTATTCCAATTTATATGCCTCTGTATTCGTCTCACCTTTTACAGCCTCTCGATATTGGCTGTTTTGCGGTATTAAAGCGCTCGTATAGTCGGCTTATCGAAACAAAAATACGGCTTAGGATCAACTATATCGATAAATTAGACTTCCTCGAAGCTAAATTATCCGCGCGAATCGAGGCATTTAAATCGGAGACTATTAAGAATTGTTTCGCCGCCGCCGGTTTAGTGCCTTACGACCCGGATCGAGTAATCTCGAAGCTCGATATTCGCCTTCGAACCCCGACCCCCCCTCCGAGCCGAGGGAGTGAATCGAGCCGTAATTTCACACCAAAAACCCCCTTTACCGAGAAACAACTACGTCGGCAAGCTTCCTCAATTAAAGCTTTACTTCGTACAAGATCGCGAAGTCCACCGAGCCCATCAGATCGCGCGTTAAATCAGCTTATCAAAGGCTGCCAGCTTGCAATGCATAACGCTATATTTCTAGCGAAGGAAAATAAGGAATTACGGGCCGAAAACGAGAAAAAAAAAGAGAAAACGGACTCGGTCTACTAGGCAGATATCTCGAGAGCAAGGCCTATTAGTTTCAGAGGCTCTAGAGCTTATTTAGGTGGAAGAACCAGTAATTGAAGCGCCAATACCCCGTCAGCCAAAACCGCCTCCGGCACCTTTACAGCCGCGTACGAGGGCCTTACCGAAGTGTGGAGCATGTGGAATTGAGGGTCATAAGAGAAATGCCTGTCCTAATAGACCTCGATTTTAGCTTATTGAATTTAATGGCGTTTTGGTTGAAATAATTGTATTTAAAAATAATTGGTTTGGATGGGTGTCCAGCTCGCTTACATGTCCAGCTCGCTTACCGAATACGTTACCGAATTGCGGTCCGAATGTTGGCCTAACTTTTCAGGCCACCAAGGTCATCCACTCCATTCAATAGTTCCTGTTAGTTGACTGAACGTGATTCTGTTCCTTCCTGTCTTCTTGCTGCTTCCAGGTTCCGACTTGGCTCTGACGTAAGAGACACCTGAGACTCCATTTCTGCTATGAATGACTCCCCATATCTTCGGCAATGGCATATGGATCCCTGCATGGCCATATTGAACAGTACCCATAAATACCACGTGGAAATCAACCCAGTGTACTCCAGTACGGAGTACAGGCAGTCCGGTTCGTGAGACAAAATTGGACCTGTCACTCTCATTTTCAAGCAACCAAGTCCCTTTCTAGGTCTGTGCTCAATCCTTCGTGTTGGGTCCTCTTAAGGGGCCAAGTGTACGGCGTACTTCATATGTAGAAACGATGAACTGGTGCTCTCGTACCCTTGACGCACATATCTTCGGAAGACCGCGGAGTCGCTATGTGAAAATTGCTGTTTCATACTAGTCTGGTGACTCAAAAGCTGTCTTTGACGTATGTCGCGATCGACAAGAGATCCACCGTTGCTGTCTTGATTTTCTCCTGACTTTGTCTATTACAGCATGAGAGGCATCATTACCCAATGCTGACATTACTCGTATCCTTCGCCTCTTGTTGCCCAACATGACTTCGAAGGTGGCGTGGGTTCCAGAATACGCGTAGATCCTGACTTGTTTCTAGTGTATGCCAATCATTTGCGACTCATTGTGATCGGCGCGCTGTCTGTACCTGAGAGATCATAGATCGGCCATGACGCATGACCCTTTTACAGCCCCAAGTTAGCTCCTCGGTCTAAGTTACCCTCCCAAGCTCACATATGTATTCTGTACTGTAGCAGAGGAGAGGCAATAAAGTGAAACAATGCGGACTATGTCCGCCGAACATCGGCAACCCGTTCCCAAAAGTCACCGGAGATCAACACGAGGCAATCTCAGGAGAAGAAAAAACTTCCGTAGTCTTTTCTAGCGTCACCCTGGAATGGAGCAGCTATACCACATCCGTTCGCGATATTGTCGTGTAGTGAGCTCCTGGCGCCGGAGCACTCCACACCAGCAAGACGATTGGGGAGGAGCACTGCCACTAAAGGTTCCAACCAGCGTCTAGCGGGTTCTAGGGCAGCCGGAGCCTCTTGGGGGCATCGGCTTTGCCGCTAGAAACGGGGGATGTGCGGATCGTGGAGACGGAGACCAAAGTCCAATTTCATGGTGTGGGACCGGTTGCCTCGCTTCATGTACTGTCAATCAAGCCAATGCCGATGGGGAACAGGGTGGCCCGTCCCGGACCAACTTATTGGGTAAAGCATCTGCCTAGGGAGCTGAAGTGAATATTAATAACCTGGTGGCGAGAGTTGCCCCAGTACGGAGAACGGTATCCAGCAATCGAAAGGGCGGAAAAGGGAATAGGGGGGGAATAATTATAGCCCCTAAGGAGGAGTCCCCAAAGAGAGCACATGTACTGTACGGAGGGAGACAGTGTCCCCATATGTCTCCAGAATAAACTATCCCGGTGTCAAATATAGGGTCTTTGCACGAAGCACGAGGCAGGAGGCGAACCCGATCTGTGTCAACTGCAGCGACGAGAACTGACAAATCGACACATTGGCTCAGGGATGAGCATACATGTATGTACTAGTGTCCACAGAGGCGGAGTCTGTGTCTCTAGTGATGAGCCTAACAGAGGGCATATCGGGAGTAGAATGACGGACATTAGAGGCTTTGATCCCTGTTTCTGATTCGGCCGGAAGTGAGTGAAGGTTCCGTTCAGGGGGAAATGGATAGGGGACCTGGACATGGAGTAAACTAAGTACAGTAGAGAGTAAAAAAGAGAGAAAGAAAGAAAGAGTATACAGGGAGAGAAGTCAAGAATGAAGATTGGAACCAGGGAACGTTGTACCCGTTCCTTGTTCGAGGCAACGTTTAAGTCAACAGTCTCTAGTTAATGTTAATATGTTGCATATAATTAATACAGTGGCTACATATAAAGTAGTTAATAGTTAATAGTTAATTATAGTATTTAATAAGTGTATCTTGTCAGGGGCTGCACTATTGGTCTTAGTTAATTTGCTCCCTTATAATAGACCATCCCCTCGTGCATACTGCTCCGATCACCTGTTTTTCGACTTTAATCTCTAACCCCTTGCGTCTCCCTGATCTGTCATTTCTCACCGAGAAAAGAAAAGAAAAGTACACTCTACTGTGTACTCTACTCGTGAAAAAACAAAGGCGGCGATAGTTCTGCCCCTGCTCCGCCGGTCTCAAGTTTTCCCCCCTCAAACTTGTTCCATCCGCACAATCCCGTCTTCCTCGACGGTTTTCTCTCCCAACTGAATGGTGGAGTAGTCAGGTGTTTTTTTTTCCCTTTGCATTTTTCCCACATTCCCTCCCTTCATGAGTTATCAAGACATGTATCACGACGCCGCACGATCCCCTGGCTCCCAGCGGCATCAGCAACCCCTACACCGTCAGCCTTCTCGTCAGTTTGACGCCTACGGTCCCATGCCTGTCAACCCCTACGAGGACCAGATGGCCCGTTACGATTCCGCTCGCCTCGAGCGTCTCAACCCGTCCCTGCAGAACAACTACGGTTACGATATTTCCGGCTCCCAGACCTGGAATCCCAACGGTTTTGCCAACGCACAATCCCTGGGGGGCATTCGGTCGGCTTCGGCAAGTCTGAAGCCAAATGCCCGTGGACGTTCCGGCCTACCCACTGTATGTCTTGTGTTTTTCGACGCCGAAAGATTTCCCCCATTTTTCCCAGGACACCACTAACCCTCCCAAGACCTGGCTTGACCAGCAGCCGAACATGCCCCAAGCATTTTCGAACCTCGGACCCGGTCCCATGCAGAGCAGCGCGATGCGACCGGAAGCCTCAGCATCATCTGCTGACGACGACGAATTGATCCCAACCGCCATCGTCATCAAGAACATCCCCTTTGCCGTGAAAAAGGAGCAACTAGTGCAACTGATGACCGAACTGAACCTCCCCCTTCCCTACGCGTTTAACTACCATTTCGATAACGGCGTTTTCCGCGGACTGGCATTTGCCAACTTCACCTCGGCGGAGGAGACAGCCACTGTGATTGAAGTGCTCAACCACTTTGAGTTGCAGGGTCGGAAATTGCGAGTGGAGTATAAGAAGATGCTTCCTCTTCAGGAACGGGAGCGCATTGAGCGCGAGAAGCGTGAACGACGTGGCCAATTGGAGGAACAGCACCGACCCATGGGCGGTCCCCAACTTCACACTCAGAGCTCCATGTCTTCGCTCGCCTCGCACATCCCGGCTACTTCTCCCTCGCCCGTGTCGCAACGCGGCCAGAAACTCGGTGGGTTACACACTCGTTTAAGGTTATTGCAAAGCGACCTGTGGCTAACAAAAATTTTCCTGTGTTCAGATGTGGACTTAAATGACACCCAGACCCTTCAGTACTATTCTCAACTTCTTCTTTTCAAGGAAGATACCGTTCGCGATTCCGTGATCTTCCCTCACAATTTGACCCCCTCCCAGCGTCGCACGGTGCACACTCTGGCCCACAACATGGGCTTGGGCCACGCTTCTCGTGGCAGCGGTGAACAGCGGCAGGTCCAGGTCTTCAAGGTTGCCGCAGGCGCCAATGTGAGCCCGCCGTTGTCTTCTATCCCGCCTTCAGGACAATCAAGTGAAACTGCTCGTCGTGGCTTGAACCGTGCGGCCACCATTGACTTCAGCGAGGCTCGCAACGAAGGCCGCAACGAAGCTGGACCTGGTGCTTTCAACACCCTGCGTGGACAGAACTCTGGATTCCTGGGTGTGCTAGACTCTCCTGGCAACTTTGCCAACGGCCAGAACTTGCGCGCTGCCAAGTCCTTTGCCGACCTGCGATCCTATACTCCTTCTCCCGTGCCTTCCTCTGCTAGCTTCCCCGCCGCTCTGCAGTCGAACGGTGCCCGTATTCAATACGAGGGCGCACCTACCGGCTCCTCCAACACTCCCACTCTCACGCCCGCGCAGTCTGGCTCTTCTCTTGGCATGCAGCGTGATGACAACCTGCTGGTGAACAGCCTGGGTGGCCTTTCTCTTGGTACTGGTATCGGTGGGCCCAACTCGAGCCCCCGTCGCCTGCGCGGCATGTTCTCTTGGGAGCAGGATAGCCAGCACTCCAATGCTGGTGCTATTGGCAGCAACCGCGGCATGGGCGTCGGCTACGATGGCCAGCAGGAGCGCATGCCTATTCGCCAGCCTCGCGGTCCTACACCCGACAAGGGCACTGGCTTTCGCCGCCAGAACGGACACCAAGCTCGCGGGAGTGATGAGCTCCGCACCAACTCCGGCGTAGAGATCATCGTGGAGTAAACATTGGACGACTTATTGAAGATGGAGACTCCCCCACTTTTTTTGCCAGCATCCGACTGATTTGCCGCGACACGAATACGACTTGTATTACGAGGCCCTGTTCTGCGAATTACCGGCTTACGATTCGATGAGGGATGACGAGATGACACCAAAAAAAAGACCAGAAAATCCTTTGTTTCGCTGATCTAGCCAAGTTTTAGACGTTTCTTTTTGGGGCAGCCCAACCGACGCAGTTTGGACGTGTTTTTTTGAACTTTCCGACTCGCAGTGTTCCGAAGGAACCCTGAACTTTGTTCTTTATTCACTTTCTTCCTTTTTTCTATTATTTTTTCCCCCAAACTTTCTGATATTGCGGGCGCCTTGCATGCAAATCCATGGCTTTCTATTATGCTGTCTCTGGCGGAACGAACTCCTGACGACCCCGAACGCCCTTTGGTGATACTCTGGGACGCATACGAAGAATGACAACATCAAAAGACCCTCTGCCGACAGGCCAGAGAAACGACAAATACCAGCATCTTGCATATTCTTGTCTGTTTAGTTTGTACATGGGGTGACTCGCATCCGTTTTAATGTTTCTGGCCCGCCCTCCCCAGCCGTTTCCACGCGGAAATTCATGTTCGGCTCCGGGAGGGTGGTTGTGACATGTCTTTTCACATTCTGTTTCCCCCTACTCTACTTTTTGCCTTTATTTTCCGCGTGCTTACTGCTTTTCTCTTTTGATCTGATGTCGTCTCGCGGAAAGGTGCGCTCACCCGAGCACCTTATATGCTCTGGTGTAGAGTGTAATGTATCCTGTCCTCGTCTCGACCCTGATATACTCCTGTGCTGGAGGATCCTCTTCATGTTTGGTATCTTGCAGTCTAGGGATTCTGTTTTTCACTTTTCTCAGATCTTAACAATCCATGTACCTTTTACTATTAGACTGTCTAGCGTAGGAATGACTTGATTTATACTTTGAACTGTACAGTAGTCTACAAAAGTACAATTCACCTGTACTTTAGTTCCGCCTTAACCGAACCCCGGTCTGTTGAGCCCCTAACCGTTGAACCTAGCCCAACTACTGTACATACTGTAAATGACTCTCAAGGAAGTAACCTGAAACGCCAAGAAATGACGCGGTTGTTTTGTTTACGGAGTTATGCATGTTTGTCCCTGCCGATCCCCCGTGCCCATCCCGCCTCAATTCAACACTATACAGTAACCAGTGTAGGTGGGATCGAATTGTGTCATTCATGTTGATCAGGTTTTCTAGTGGAGACTTGAGTTGATCTTGCTATGTTGCCTGGAATGTAATACATTCTGGCAGCCCGGTCGCGCAATCTAGATCTAACTCTGGGCAAGATATTTCGCGTTGACTGACTTGTTGTCGTACATAAGGCTAAAGTTACTTCAAACTACATGTACTGTACACAAAACGTAAAGCGTGAAGCAGTAAATTCCCTACCAGGATATCCCCATTTTCCCATTAAAGCGCCCTATGAACTTGGAAAGATAAAAAGATAGAAAGCAAAGACCGGGGAATATCAGAAATACATCAAGGTGAAGCGCCGTGAAGAACAAAGACGAGAGAGTGGAAGATGCGCTACCGGATGGACCGAAGATCAGGAGTCGAGAGTTGGTGTTGTGGGTTGATGAAACCACCCGCGCCCATCTTGTTCTCTTTCAAACATGGGTTTATTCGAGGAGGCCACCCTTCTTCTTCTGCTCGACCTTCAGCAGCAGAGCACGGTTGATGCGGGGCAGGACACCACCGAAGGCGATGGTTGCGCGGATGAGAGTGTCCAGTTCCTCGTCACCACGGATGGCGAGTTGCAGGTGGCGGGGCGTGATACGCTTGACCTTGAGATCCTTGGCGGCGTTGCCGGCCAATTCCAGGACTTCGGCGGTAAGGTACTCGAGCACAGCGGTCACGTAGACGGCAGCTAGAAAGACCCGGGTTAGTAACGCACGCAGAACCAACAGAATAAAAGTCGCAACTCACCCTTAGCACCGACACGCATCTTGTTCTGGGTGTTGTTCTTCAAGAAACGCTTCACACGACCGCAGGGGAACTAAAAGTGACTCATGTTAGCAGTCGCGTCACGCAGGACACCGGTGATGGGGTACGATCGGAACACAGGGTATGCGACAACAAGGCGACAATGCTTGACAATGATCCACGACACTGCCCCTATTGAGCAACAACGAGGGGCCGAGTCGACGCGTCTCGGGCCACTTTCGTCGAGCAACTCATCGCCAACATCGCATAAGCCCCCTCTGCAACACACCTCCCACTCCACCAGCGATTCAGCACAATCAGGAATAACCCACCTGCAGACCAGCCTTTGCGCTGTGAGACTTCTGGGCCTTCCCCGCAGCGTCACCCTTTCCGCCCTTTCCACCAATAGACTTTCCCTTTCCGCCAGGCATTGCGAAGGATGATAATCGCAAGGATACAGAGAGTTGATAGAGGGTGAAACGAAAAGAAGTTGATGTGGAGGCTCACGGTATGCACGCGTTGTTGATGGATGGAGAAGTCAGAAATGTCGGCTGAGCCAAAAACACCTGCGCCGTTCAACGCTAGTCCCAATGCGGAAGCTAGGTATACCACTGGGGATGTAACCTGCCCATACCCTGCGATGATCATATATCATGTATATATGGATTAGTTGCTGCAGAGTTCGTGTAAGTTGCTGTGATATAGCTGCTGAGGTGTTATGTGAGCAGACACCGTCATGGTGAGGATACCAGAATGTGTCTTGAGCATGGCAGTATTGGTTGCCTCACTTGGCTGGGGATTATCTGCATCATTCCTCAGTCTCTGTGGTTGCTTTGGACTAGACCATTGTGCAACTGTTAACCAAATTGGGAGACCGGTTGAGCGGTGGTTGTTGGATTTCGCAATATAAGCTGATCTGGTTTGAAGCTGGACTATCGGAATCACCATTTCTGGCACGTGACTTTCCCGCCTGAGGCACATCGGCAGGACAGTTCACCCGTTCCGCCTTCCAGAAATGCCAGGTGGCCCGCGTCTCAAGTTTTACGTGAACTCCTCCCCCATACTCAGATTTCCCCAGAACAACCGGCAAAATGGTGTCTCCTCAAATGTATGCTTGCATCAATTACACAGTCTGTCTTTCACTACTAACATGATTTAGCACCAACCTCGCCATCATCTTGGTGATGATGCAGCTGGCCAAGAAGGTTCCTTTTGAGGATCCTCAGGTTTTGATGCTGGTGCGCGGATGCTACATCCTGTCCAACGTCCTGATCCTGGCCATCCACTTGTGGACACAGCTGAAGATCAACCAAAAGAAGGGTATGTCGCGTGCCTCTATAGAAACCCCGACCAAGACTAACCATCATCTAGACATGACCACCCTGAAATACGTGGAGCCCGCCCCCATGGGTAGCACCGAGGAGCCCAAGCCCGTGACCACCACCAACATGGACTACGACAAGGGGCAGCTCCGCCAGGCGATCCGCAGCCAGCTGATGGGAGTCGGCATGATGGGAGTGATGCACCTGTACATGAAGTACACCAACCCTCTCCTGATCCAGTCCATCATCCCCCTGAAAGGCGCCATCGAGTCCAACCTGGTCAAGATCCACGTCTTCGGCAAGCCCGCCACCGGTGACCTCGCCCGTCCCTTCAAGGCTGGTGGTGGCTTCATGTCCGCCGGTCAGCCCAAGAGCGACAAGGCCTCCATTGAGAGTGCTGAGAAGAACTGGCGGGGTGGTGTCAAGGAGGAGTAAGGGCTTTTTGAGATGTTCTGAGATTCCCAGATCATAGATTATCTTCTCTTTGTACCATAATCCATCTTGAGTCGTTTATTCGGCTGGATATTGTTAATCATTGTTAATCCACTATTCGGTGCCAACAAGTACAATAAGTTAGAGCTCTCCTATTGCCGTACTCGTACTTAGTATCGTATGCGTTGTGATTGCGCCACTATCAGATTCCACGACATTCCAAAGATAAGAAATGACACCTTGTTGCCTGATAAATTGGTGCCTGATGCATTGATTCCGTGTTGCCTGATGACTTGACACCTTGACACCTTGACACTTTTAACACCCGACCACACTTTGCCACAATGACATAAACTATGCAGGGTGTGGCTGAGATAGCTATCAGCTCACTCTATGTCAGAGTACTTGTAACCAGAGTCTCCAGGTAACTTCAGGGCTGAACGTCGATTTATAATCTCTCTCGCCTCTCTCAGTCATATAAGACATCGAATAGAAAAATCTGTTTGACCCCGTGCTATTCCCCGGTGACTGTTTTCAGGACGGGAAGCCACATTCTTATACCGTCCATACTCAATCGGTCCACCGCAGCTCAACTGCGGCTGCTCCGCTTATGTTGGGGACCAAACAGCTTGAAGTATATACTTCTAGCAATTAAAAGAATTATAATTGATCTGTTTTGTGTCATGTTTCACGCATAACTGGGCTTAATAGTACCTTGTACATTGTAGTACACCCTCTGCCCCTCCAAAAAGTGATAGCATCATCCACTGCCCCTCCAACCCCCTACACCTCGGAATCTTTCCATGCCTTACGTAGTGAATTATCGTGATATTCGTTCTTCCGAATCCTTAGGCAAAACATTCTCGAGAATAGCTCCGAGGTAATAGTAATAACCCGATGAGTGTCGACGTAGAGAGCTCTAATTGGCAGAACGGGAGCTACCGAGGGGCAATGGGCAGACAAATATCGTGACTCTTCCTGCTTTGCCCGGTGTATGAAACCGGAAAGGTTGCCTGGGCACCAGTCAAGCGGCAACAGTCGGGAAAATGGGAAAGAGATGCATCTGGAGACCTGGTAATCCCCGTCTGGTCTCGGTGAGGGGTGATCGGTCCGTTGCGTCAGTCATCCATTCATTACTTCTTCCCCTCCCCCGCCAGCTTTTTTCTTCTTCTTCTCATCTCTCTTCATCTTCCCCATTACTCATCCATCTTCAGTAGGTCTCTCCCCTTTCTTTGTTCATCCATATACTAACAGATCTCCTCCAGTAAACCGCTATCATGGTTGTCAACGTCGGTATCAACGGATTCGGCCGCATTGGCCGCATTGTGAGTTCCCCCTTATTGCCTTCAAGTGGTCCAGACTAACATTACCCCAGGTCTTCCGCAATGCGTAAGTTACGCTCAATTCACTACCCATACCCCTCCTAACCAATGTCTATAGCATCAACGACCCCAACGTCGAGGTTGTCGCCGTCAACGACCCCTTCATTGAGACCCACTACGCTGTAGGTACACCAGCCACGAATATCATCAGCTCATACTAATTGCGGGACAGGCCTACATGCTCAAGTACGACAGCACTCACGGTCAGTTCAAGGGTGACGTCAAGGCTGAGGCCGATGGTCTCGTCGTCAACGGCAAGAAGGTTACCTTCTTCGCCGAGCGTGACCCCTCTGCCATCCCCTGGGGCAAGGCCCAGGCTGAGTACATCGTCGAGTCCACCGGTGTGTTCACCACCCAGGAGAAGGCCTCTGCTCACTTGAAGGGTGGTGCCAAGAAGGTCATCATCTCCGCCCCCTCCGCCGACGCCCCCATGTACGTCATGGGTGTCAACAACACCTCCTACACCAAGGACGTCAACGTCCTCTCCAACGCCTCTTGCACCACCAACTGCCTTGCTCCCCTCGCTAAGGTCATCAACGATAACTTCGGCATCGTTGAGGGTCTCATGACCACCGTCCACTCTTACACCGCCACCCAGAAGACCGTTGACGCTCCCTCCTCTAAGGACTGGCGTGGTGGCCGTACTGCGGCCCAGAACATCATCCCCTCCTCCACCGGTGCCGCCAAGGCTGTCGGCAAGGTCATCCCCGCCCTGAACGGCAAGCTGACCGGTATGGCCATGCGTGTCCCCACCGCCAACGTCTCCGTTGTCGACCTCACCTGCCGCATCGAGAAGGGTGCCTCCTACGAGGAGATCAAGGCTGTCGTCAAGGCTGCCTCCGAGGGCGAGCTTAAGGGAATCCTTGGATACACCGAGGACGAGATTGTCTCCACTGACCTCAACGGTGACGACCACTCCTCCATCTTCGACGCCAAGGCCGGTATTGCCCTGAACGCCAACTTCATCAAGCTGGTCTCCTGGTACGACAACGAGTGGGGCTACTCCCACCGTGTCGTTGACCTCATCTCCTACATTGCCTCCGTCGACCGCAAATAGGAATCAGGACAGCGTCCTGGGGCCAGGAGTGTTCTATAAGGGGATGAAATCTACAGTTTAGATCTCTGGACTAGACTGGAATTTTTCTCCTTGTGGAAAAAAATCAGATGATAACGTCATTTAATGAATCGATACATTTTACGTTTACCAGACTTTTCCAATGCACCATGTGTACTTTGTAATTGTAAATTGATAGAATTCTTGCTTGATAAAGACCGTGAAATGATGTAGCATATGATTGAGGTGGTATCAGGCAATCCAAGTCAAGAATTGGGGACCCTCATACTGTATCACATGCAAGAGTTCCCCAGTGGAGATCAGCAAGATCTTTCGATTGGAGACAACAATGCCCTCAGGCAATCCATAGTTTGATGCTTAGAATATACTCTTGATGCTCCATTGGCATGGTCACATATGTCTACCTTTTTAACGTAGTTTACCTCAGGTAGATTTATCTTCTCGGCCTATTTCGCCATGAGTCTAAACCCAGATCTTAGTCCCAGCCTCTCTTGGTAGAATTTAGAATTTCAACGATTGCTCTCTTTCTTGTGCATATAGTCTTACCACCATATGAAAATGGGCATTCGTCTACTCATGAAGTTTATGTTCAAATACTTGGCACTCTTATACCCTGCACCATGCATGGAATACATTCTTCTCATATACAACATCGTTAAGACCACATTTAGCAAACTCATACTTCGTTTCAATTATGATAGCCAAAAGCTTGTAGTTTGATCGCTGTTACCACAATTCAAGTACCCAAGTATAACATTCTATGTAACAAGCAAGCTGACCTGGAGACCGGTCAAAAGGAAGTCTTAAAGCCGAAGGATAGGCCATTTATGATGTAGACAGAGATGAGTCAGCCATACTAAATCAGCCCAAGCCATCTATACTGTACTCCACTAGTCCAGACTAGGCGGCGGTGATAAAAAGCGGTAAGCCTGGCAATGTCTGGCAATAAGAAAGACAGGCCCAAAGGGGATCCAACATACGCATCCATTCAACCATCATTGTCTTTGACGATTGGACTATTTCATTCTTCAATTGTGCCCACCACATGGAAATTGGCGGTTGCACTAATTAAACGCTTGTTTTACTTAGCGCTCACTCGCGCTTCAGTCGTTCGGAGCTTGCACCTCGTTGGTCTATTAAAGGCACGAGGCGATTGTATAGCCTATTGAGCTTGTGCATGTCACATCAAAGTCATTTGCCTATTTGTTGGTGATATCTAATATCCCACTAATAATTGGAATATTTGGCCGACCTATCTACTTCTTTTGGTGGAAGTCTATCACTGAAAGAAGCATCAAGCCCTCATAGCTCCATTTGTCTAGGGCAACTACTAAAGTGCCTAATGAGACTATAGCGCCAAGTGTGACAACAAAGGGCTTTCAGATAATGGACGAGGACGAGGATACCATTATGGCTAACTCCCATTCCCTTCCTTCCCGCACATCCATCACCCAAGTCCCTCCTCCAAACCTGAGCAACCACCCTCACCCCAACTTCACCCCTTTCATACCCCCAACTTCTGTATCCCCAGATTCATCAACAGGTATGGCTCGGCGAAAGCCCGGCGACGGCGATAGCACATCGACAGATGAGGCAAAGCGCGACAGTCCAGCCGAAGCCAACTCAGACTGGTCTGGTTCTGACGAAGAGCTCATTGTCAGATCTGGCTTGCCGGTGGCATCTCTTGCTACGGGTCTATGCTATGATCACCGCATGCGCTGGCACTGCGAAGTCCACCCAAAGAGCGATGTCCACCCAGAAGACCCGAGGCGCATCTACTACATCTACAAGGAGCTGTGTCGCGCAGGCCTCGTCGATGACGAAGAGTCATCCCAGCCGTTGGCGCCGAGGACGTTGCAACGTATTGCTGCGCGCAATGCCGTCGAAGACGAGATCACTCTCATCCACACTGATGCACACTACGCCTTTGTGCACAGTACCAAGGGTAAGCAACACGTGAAGAAGAACTTGGCTAGACACTAACGCGTGATAGACATGTCTGATGATACACTCATCAAGCTGGAGGAAAATCGCGACTCCATCTATTTCAACAAGCTGACCTTTTCGACGGCTCTCTTATCTGCTGGAGGGGCGATCGAGACTTGCATGGCTGTTGCTCAACGCAAGGTCAAAAATGCTATTGCTGTCATTCGCCCGCCGGGTCACCACGCTGAGGATGATGCCGCTATGGGATTCTGTCTTTTCAATAATGTCTCGGTCGCCGCGCGTGTTTGCCAGAGGAAACTTGGTGATGCTTGTCGGAAAATTATGATTCTTGATTGGTATGTCTTCTCCCTATGTTTATTTTATGTCAATGCTGACTGGTTTTAGGGATGTTCATCATGGTGTGTTTCACTACCAGAGCTGGTGGGGGTGTTGACTGACTCTTTATAGGAAATGGAATCCAGAAAGCTTTTTATGATGACCCTAATGTTCTCTACATCTCTCTCCATGTTCACCAGGATGGCCGCTTCTACCCCGGTGGTCCTGCTGGAGATTGGGATCAGTGTGGCTCTGGCCCTGGAACTGGAAGGTAAGTACTTCAAGCTTGGCAAATTAATATACGTTGACACCTATCAGGAATGTCAACATCCCCTGGCCTGATCAGGGGATGGGTGATGCGGACTACATGTTTGCTTTCCAGGAGGTGGTCATGCCCATTGCTCAAGAATTCGATCCCGACTTGGTGATTGGTAAGAATACTGTCACTTCCTTGGAGAGCCCTACTAACAATTAACAGTTGCCGCCGGTTTCGACGCTGCTGCCGGTGATGTACTTGGTGGCTGCTTTGTCTCTCCATCTTGTTACGCACAGATGACCCACATGCTCATGACTCTTTCTCACGGAAAAATTGCCGTCTGTCTGGAGGTATGTTTGACGTATGCAAGTACATTAGCTGGTTTGCTCACTATTTGAATAGGGAGGGTATAACTTCAAGTCTATCTCAAAGTCGGCTTTGGCCGTGACCAAGACACTTATGGGCGAACCACCGGAACGTTTGGCGAAGAGCTCTCCTACGGATGCTGCAGTTAACACAGTGCGCCGGGTGCGAAGCATCCAATCTCGGTACTGGAGCCGCTTGTACCCCAAGACGAGCTCTCATGCGATGTCAGGAGATCGGCTTCACGATATCATCCGAGTTTACCAAGCGAATCAGCTTTACGAGTCCTGCAAGCTCACGCCCCTCTACATCTATCGCACAGCCATTTCCAAGTCATTTGAGAAACAGGTTCTGGCAAGGTAAGCGTCGCAGGGTGCCATGTTCTGTGCTTAAAACTCACATCTGGCAGTCCTAATTACACAGAAGAAGTGCCGCTCGTTGTTATCTTCCATGATCCGTAAGTTTCGAACAATTCGCCAATTTGAAGCGAACCAGTGCTGACTACTTTAGGCCTGAGATTATGGGCGAGACTCATCCAGTCACCAATAAGCTGGAAACCCACAATGTCTGGATGGTAAGTCATGTATACGGTTCTCGCAGTTCAACATTTGCTAACCAAGATGAAGGCTGATTCATTGAAGGATTACATTGCCTGGATTGTTGGTAAAGGCTACGCCGTAATCGATGTCAACATTCCCAAGCACATTTCGAAAGAGATCGTAAGTCGCCCCCATCCGATATATCCACCTAATCTGACCGTTCCAGCCGTCTGGTCGATACGAGCCAGAAGATTATGACCGTCCAACTGCCACTGAGGAGCTCGCTGCATACTTGTGGGACAACTACATCGAGTAAGACAATCCATCCAACTCTTGGCTAGCGTCAGCTAACATATCTAAAGTGCCAACCAGGCCACCGATATCTTCCTTCTCGGCGTGGGCAATGCCTTTTACGGCGTGGCGAATCTCTTGATCAACAGGGGTGAGCAAGACTATCAGACAAAGTAGTAGATTCCTGCTGACAACCACAGAAAACCTCTACAAGCGTGTCAATGGCGTTGTTTCCTTTGTAGCAGAGAACCCGATCCGCGCGATCAAATCAAGCACTCAAACCTGGCTGTCCAAATGGTACAGAGAAGTAAGACATCTACAGATCACAGCCACAATACACACACTAACATTCACCTACCAGAACTCCATTGTCTTCGTTGCAAACTCGCACGGTCTGTGGTCAAGCACAGACAGACGTCATTCCAAGCGATATGGCCAACTGGTGCATTCCCCCAAGTCAGATTTGAGCGACATGCTAGCCGAGCACAAGGAGCAGGTTTACCAGTGGATTTCCGATCGTGCCGATCCTCACGAAAGCGATGAAGCCGAGGAGTGAGATAGGATTTTGCATAGAGCTATGCGATTTTGGAAGGGTTTCATAGCCTTAATGAGATATTTGAGCCTGTTACTGCAGTAAAAATAGGTACAGGATATGGTCCATGTATTTACGCTCCGAAGATACCTTGTTCGACACATATTCAGCCACCCCGTTCTTGTGCGAGGCTTTGTTGTCAGCTGCGAACCCCTCAGGAAAGCGTATGGATTTGAGACATTCTAGGCATTGTCTCGGTTACCGAATGCAACTCCAGTCTAGCGGTGACCACATTACAACAGTGGCCAAATTCCTTTTGCAGCCTCCACCTCTAAATGCTCTTGATGATCAACCAAGGCATTCGAAAATGGCCAAAAAAGCGATGAAAAAAAGGGGCCAAGTTAAGGCCCAAAGAATGTATCCAGTAAAACAATTACTTCAGGGTGTTCTTATGAAAACTGACTCATACTTCATAGCACTGTGAACAGACCCATGGCCCCTGTTATTTATTGATGGAGATCTGCAGTCAGATGTAACTATGTCTCACTTCCCCGGAAAAGACAGACGCCCTCTTTGTCCTTCTCCACACTTGGCATCAGATACTACTTCTAATGGATCACCAACTATCCAAATGCATCGAAGCGCTGAGACATCGTATTTCTTCTCTGCTTCCGTGGACTCTCTTTCTCGTATCTACTTCATCGGCAACACGACTCGGTCCTTTCCACCACTGTGAGATGCGGGGTTAGAGGATGGGATGGCTTCTCAGGCCCTAGGATGGATGTCCTAACCGAGTTGGAGGATTAATGCCTCACATGAATTGTTTTGCGATGCAAATGTCTCAGTTTGTGGGAGTACCGTGTTTCCCTACGGTCGACTCCAATCACTAACAGAACAACACAGTTACCAACAGAGCTATATAAAAGACATCGAGCCTGCCTCAAAAGAAGGCATCTCTCCATCCAAACCAGACAATCATAACAATCCTCAAGACCAACCAAGCAAGATGCACTTCTCAACAATCATCGCCTCAGTCGCAGCCTTGGCCCCATTAGCCAGCGCAGTCGGCAACGCAGTCGTAACAAACCACTGCACCTACCCAGTCTACCTCTGGTCTGTCGGCGGCAGCGTAGGCCCCCAAAAGACCATCGCCCCAGGCGGCAGCTACACAGAACCCCTGCACCACGACGCAGCCTCAGGCGGCATCGCGCTAAAGATCACCACCGTGCCGAACGGCCTGTACAACGGCAGTCCGCAAACCAACCTTGCCTACACTCTTGACCCCGGCACGGTTTGGTATGACCTGTCCGATGTCTTTGGCGACCCATTCTCTGGCAAGACTATGGTCGTGCGCCCTTCTGATACGCAGTGTTCTAAGATCTGTTGGGCGCAGGGTGTCAATCCTGGTGGGAGCCAAACTAAGAATTGTCAGTCTGGTTCGAGTATCAATTTGAATCTTTGTGCAGCCAAGTGTTAAGCGCTGGGTTAGTTGGTGGTGGTTGATATCACGTGGCTGGGGAGGGGCAGTGCCATACGTGGGGGATGGGGGAGGTTCTGGAGATATAAGACGTGGATCCAGTTGGAGCCTGGTTTTTGTACCTAGTTTGACTATAATGCAAGTATCAGTCGATGAAAGCGCTCAGATGTGTAGTGTCTGCCTTATAAATGCCGCCACCGTCAAATACCGGCGCTTGCTATGTTAGGGCTCTCGATATCATCACCGCCTCGGGCAGTACCCGCTTTATCATCAGGGCCGAGGAACGGTGTTCTTCTTTTATCTTCTCTTGATTTACTCCGTGTAGACACATATTCACATATCTCATACCCCGTACTTCGCATTGGAATTTGGTCACGTCATTGATATTTCCCCTGGCAACGAATGCCTCCAAGGTCCTCCGCACTGTGTCACAAAGGTCTCCGTCTCAGTCTCAGTCTAGCACGACCCGATTCGCTGCGCGCCTCAAGATCCTTGTTTTTTCCGATTTCTAAACGGACGTTCTCGCATTCCCCTACCTTTACGGCCCCCTCAATCATGGCAATCGAGCACATTGCAGAGCATCTAGAGAAGCCAGAGCTTGACGATCGCTCATATCGCGTCATTCGCCTGCCGAACAAGCTTGAAGCTCTTCTAGTCCATGATCCCGACACCGATAAGGCCAGTGCGGCCGTTAACGTCAATGTGGGCAACTTCTCCGATGAAGACGATATGCCAGGGATGGCTCATGCGGTAGAGCATTTGCTATTCATGGGCACAAAAAAGGTAAGTCTATCTTGATTTCTGCCGATTCCTTCCATTGTCTGTTGGTCGGACAGAAGCTAATAGATTGGCAGTACCCCAAGGAAAATGCATACAACCAGTACCTAGCAGCCCACTCCGGTTCATCCAATGCATACACAGCGGCCACGGAAACGAACTATTTCTTCGAAGTGTCTGCGACGGGTGACTCAAGCCCACCCAAATCCAGTGGAGAGAGCACTCCTGCTGAAACAAACGGGAATGGAAATTTGGTGAATGGAAGTGGGTTAGAGGGCAAATCGCCTCTTTACGGTGCTTTGGATCGATTTGCTCAGTTCTTTGTTTCGCCTTTATTCCTAGAGTCGACTCTAGACCGGGAGTTGCAGGCTGTGGACTCGGAGAACAAAAAGAACCTCCAGAGTGACTTGTGGCGGTTGATGCAACTGAACAAGTCTCTTTCAAACCCTCAACATCCTTACCATCATTTCTCGACTGGTAATCTGCAGACGCTGAAGGAAGACCCGCAGAAACGCGGTCTGGAAGTCCGCAGTGAATTCATCCGTTTCTATGAAAAGCATTACTCAGCCAATCGGGCGAAGTTGGTCGTCCTGGGACGAGAGTCTTTGGATACATTGGAGGAATGGGTAGCTGAGCTTTTCTCGGATATCGAGAACAAGAATCTTGCTCAGAACCGGTGGGATGATGTGCAGCCTTTCACTGAGAAGGATATGTGCACTCAGGTCTTCGCCAAGCCTGTCATGGATACCCGGTCTATGGATATGTACTTCCCCTTCCTAGATGAGGAGGATCTCCATGATACCCAGCCTAGTCGGTATATCAGCCATCTGATTGGCCACGAGGGACCAGGTAGTGTTCTCTCTTACCTCAAGAACAAAGGTTGGGCCAATGGTCTCTCTGCGGGTGCCATGCCCATCTGCCCGGGATCAGCATTCTTCACAGTCTCCGTGCGCCTGACTCCTGATGGTCTGAAGGAGTACCAGGAAGTCGCCAAGGTGGTCTTTGAATACATTGCCATGATTAAGCAGCGTGAGCCAGAGCAGTGGATCTTTGACGAAATGAAGAACCTTGCCGAAGTTGATTTCCGATTCAAACAGAAGACCCCTGCTAGCCGATTCACCAGTCGCCTGAGCAGTGTGATGCAAAAGTCGCTGCCTAGCGAGTGGTTGCTGAGCGGATCCTTGCTGCGCCGTTTCGATCCTTCCTTGATCAAGAAGGCTTTGGATCACCTGCGCGTTGACAACTTCCGCTTGATTATTGTATCTCAGGACTTCCCGGGCAACTGGGACCAGAAAGAGAAGTGGTATGGTACTGAGTACAAGGTCGAGAAGATTCCTCAGGAGTTCCTGGGTGGTATTCAAAAAGCCCTCGAGTCGACTGAGGCTACTCGCAATTCCAATGTTCACATGCCCCACCGCAACGAGTTTGTGCCAACGAGACTCTCGGTTGAAAAGAGGGATGTTGACGAGCCAAGCAAGACCCCCAAGCTGATCCGCCACGATGACCGCGTGCGTCTGTGGTTCAAGAAAGATGACCGCTTCTGGGTGCCCAAGGCCACGATTGAGGTGACGCTGCGCAACCCCCTGGTGTGGGCTACGCCTGCCAATCTTATCAAGACCAAGCTTTACAGCGAATTGGTGAGAGATTCTCTGGATGAGTACTCCTACGACGCCGAGCTCGCTGGTTTGGACTACCACCTTTCCGCCAACATCTTGGGATTGGATATTTCCGTTGCTGGTTACAACGACAAGATGTCTGCGCTGTTGGACAAGGTCCTCAACACCATGCGCGGACTGGTGATCAACCAAGACCGCTTCAACATCATCAAGGAGCGCCTGACGCGGGCATTCCGCAATGCCGAGTACCAGCAGCCTTACTACCAGGTCGGCGATTACACCCGGTACCTCCTCTCCGAGCGTGGCTGGGTTAACGAGCATTACCTCGAAGAGTTGGAGCATGTTGAGTGTGAAGATGTTGTCAAGTTCTTCCCTCAGTTGCTGGAGCAGACTCACATTGAAGTCCTAGCCCACGGAAACCTTTACAAGGAGGATGCCCTACGCATGACGGATTCCATTGAGAAGATTTTGGAAGGCCGTCCTCTTCCTCCATCGCAGTGGTACCTGCGCCGGAATATGACTTTGCCTCCTGGAGCCAACTATGTCTACCCCCGCGCACTAAAGGACCCAGCCAACGTCAACCACTGCATTGAGTACTTCCTGTACATCGGACTGTTCTCTAACGACCTCCTCCGCTCAAAGTTGCAGCTTTTCGCCCAGCTAACCGACGAGCCTGCGTTCGACCAGCTCCGCAGCAAGGAACAGCTCGGATATGTGGTATGGAGTGGTGCCCGCTACAATGCCACCACCTTCGGCTACCGGGTCATCATCCAGAGTGAGCGTTCAGCACCATACCTCGAATCCCGTATCGAGTCCTTCCTGCGCGAGTTCGGCCCTATCCTTGACAAGATGCCCGAGGATGAGTTCGAGGGACACAAGCGTAGTGTCATTAACAAGCGTCTGGAGAAGCTCAAGAACCTGGCATCTGAAACCAACCGCTACTGGTCGCACATCGGATCCGAGTACTTCGACTTCCTGCAGCATGAAACTGATGCCGCGAACGTGCGCACCCTGACCAAGGAGGATATGATTGCCTTCTATCGCCAGTACATTGACCCCTCATCAACAACCCGCGCCAAGCTCGCCATTCACCTGAACGCTCAGGCCGATGCATCCAAGCCCTCAGAGAAGCGAGTCAGCCTGGTCACCGCTTTGAGCAAGCAGCTCGACGTAGCCGGTTTCAAGGTGGACCCCACCCGTTTCGCAACAGCCTTCGAAGAAGTCGAAATGACAGTGATAGATAAGAGCCAAGTCATCTTCATTCTCAAGACTTTCCTCACAACAGAGATGAGCGTGTCCCCACAGGAACTCGAACCGGTCATCAAGAAGCTGGAGCATGATCTCGGTCCGCAATTGAAGGAATTGGGTCTGGTTTCCAGCACTGATGAGCAGGGCCTGGCTAATGGCAATGTGTCCAAGGCTATTTCTATCACTGACGTTCCTACTTTCAAGGCTAGTCTGCCTGTCAGCACTGGACCTGTTTCTGTCACTGATCTGACGGAGTTTGAGGACTTTGATGCTAAGTTGTGAGTATGTACACGATACAATTGGTGAGGAGTTAGGGTGGTGCATGAGGGTGGCTGGGTTGGGGTAGGATATTACAGAAACAGATATAATTCAAATTTTGTATTACGTATGACTGTGAAACATTATGAATAGAACAGTTGTAAGCTTTTATTGGCAGAATGAACATGCGTAATTTTACATATAGTGAAGCCCTTAGTGAAGCCCGGAGTTGGGGGCCATGCCGAAGTAAACATAGTCTCGGCGGTGAGCCGATAACGATACCGATACCGAAAGCTCGAGCTTCTCTCGAGCTGCGCATTCTAACCTCCGCACCTCCGTCAAAATGGCTACCACTACAGCCGCGGCGATGCAAAGCGCCCGCCCGTGAGTACGCCTTTGTGCTTCCAAAATATTGCGAAAACCATTGCATATCTGAAATAACTGACTCTTTTGACCCCTAGACCCATTCTCCCTAGGGACTTCTCCGCACTCCAGCCGGAGACCATCCGCCTGTTTCCCTTATCGAACTACACTTTCGGCACAAAAGAGACCCAGCCCGAGGAGGATCCCTCCGTGCTTGCCCGTCTGAAGCGTCTGGAGGAGCACTATGACCTCCACGGTATGCGCCGCACCTCTGAGGGCATCCTGGTCTGCCACGAGCACAACCACCCCCACGTCCTGATGCTTCAGATTGCCAATGCTTTCTTCAAGCTGTACGTTACCCCAGTGATACAATTGCTTATCCCAGAAACTGACAATCACTTCCAGGCCCGGCGATTATCTCCACCACGAGGACGATGAGATCGAAGGATTCAAGAAGCGCCTGAACGAACGCTTGGCCCCCGTGGGATCGCAATTCTCCGGTGAGGGAGTCAATGCTGACTGGGACATCGGCGACACACTTGCGCAATGGTGGCGCCCCAACTTTGAGACTTTCATGTACCCATTCCTGCCGGGACATGTGACACGTCCAAAGGAGTGCAAGAAGCTGTACTTGATCCAGCTGCCCAAGAAGAGTGAGTTGCTTTCTGTCACTTCGCGCATGATCAGCGTAATGTAAATACTCATCATTCATACTGTAGAGGTCCTCTCCGTCCCCAAGAACATGAAGCTGCTCGCCGTTCCACTCTTCGAGCTTTACGACAACACTGCCCGCTACGGCCCCCAGCTTTCTGCCATTCCCCACCTGCTTTCGCGATACAACTTCGAGTTCGTCGACGAGAATGACAATGTCGTTGCTGTGACTCCCGGTGGTCCTGACCAGCACTTGCCCCGCACCCGGGTTCTTGCTGGCGGTGACGGCGCAGAGGACACAGGCATGCTTGATGTCGAGGAGGGACAGAGAATCGAGTCTCACCATTAGGCGGACTATGCGCCAAGTTTCCCAGATTTCCCAGATTTTGAGCCAGATTCAGCCTGAGCTTAGCCAGGATTTTAGCCAGCGCTTTTACTTACGAAAAATGATAGTTAACGTTCCATTTCATTTCTGTCTATGTACTATACAGTAGACTAGAGTGGACTGGGAACTAACACTAACCGTTTAGCCAGATCCTATACAACGAAATCCCCCGATATATCTCCATCAGAGACAAGATCGACGCCAAGCCACGAAGCCAACCCCGGCATCCGATGCAAAGAGCCCGAAAAAGACAAAAGAGCCAAAGCCAACGGAGAATAAAAGACCGGGGCCCGATGCGACTCCGTCACATCTGCACGGCGCATCTAGTGCCTGGCATCTGACATCTGCACCCCTCACTGTTCTCTTCAAGAACGCCAAATCAGCCATGCATAGCCAAGCCAAAGTTACCCAGCCGTGGAGTACGCATACTCTTGGCAAGTGGCCTTACCAAAGACGGACATATCCGAACTATTCAAGACAGAAGTGCCGATCATACCGGAATCCCACCGGTCATGCGTCGAGTATGCGCCGGAGAATGTTCTGAGTCTGGCATCGAGATGTCCGTACCCCGCTCCCTCGTGAGAGTATGTCTGGATCTATACTTCCGATGAGGGTATATAAAGGTTTGGTGTGGGTGTAGTGGGATTACCAGGCAGGCAGGTCAAGAGCAATACAGCTCTACTTCCGGATATACATCTCCATTATGCTTCTCACTCATTTTGCAACTATTGCTGCTCTGGTGGTGTTGGCTGTTGCTGCTCCTGCACGACCTGTTCCTCGAGGTATGATCTATTTGTCTTTCATTGTGATGTGCTGTGGCTGAAAGACATAGATGTCTCGACCGATGTCCTCGGCCAATTGAACTTGTTCGCGCAATATGCTGCAGCATCATATTGCACAAATAATGTCAACTCCACCGGCGATGGACTCTCTTGTCTAGAGGGAAACTGTCCATCCGTCCAATCCGCCGAGACAACCACGATCTACGAGTTCGATGAGTAAATCTACCCTACCATGAGTCGTACACACGTGCAAGCATACTAACAATCCCAGATCCACCGAATTCGGTGACGTCGCCGGATTCCTCGCTGCCGATCAGACAAATAACCTCCTCGTGCTCTCCTTCCGGGGAAGCCGAACACTAAGCACCTGGATTGCGAACCTGGACTTCGGTCTGACCGACGCCAGCAGTCTATGCAGCGACTGCGAAGTTCACAGTGGCTTCTGGAAGTCATGGGAAACAGTGGCAGACGACTTGACCGTCAAGATCAAGGCTGCCTTGTCAACCTACTCTGGCTACACACTGGTCCTAACAGGCCACAGCTTCGGCGCTGCCGTTGCCACACTTGGAGGCACTGTCCTTCGGAATGCAGGGTATGAGTTGGAACTTGTAAGTGCCACCCGATCTCAGTCAACAGAGATAGATACTCACAGGGAAACAGTATACATACGGCCAACCCAGACTGGGGAATGAAGCATTGGCAACATATATCACAAACCAAGGCACAGTATACAGAGTGACACATACCGACGACGTGGTTCCAAAATTACCACCTGCATCCTTTGGATTCAGTCATTCTAGCCCTGAGTACTGGATTACCAGTGGCAATAATGTGGCGGTGACTTCTAGTGATGTGACTGTTATCGAAGGTGTGGGTTCTAAGGCTGGGAATGCTGGCACGGCAAATCCCGATGTCGAGGCTCATAATTGGTATTTGATTTATATTGATCAGTGTCAATAGGACGGTATACCGGGGATTCGAGATCTGTATATATAGATGGTGCTGGCGCCTCTTATGTATAGTCTATAGGTCTACATGGTTTGTGTGGCTGTGACTGCTTTGGTGGTTAGTCTTGATATTTGATATAGTTGCTTTGCTGGATAAGTTAGCTGTGGACATGACACTTTCTACTAAAGATTAGATAGAATAATAGCATGGACGTTCCCTATTAAATTCATCAAGGATATATGTTCACGCAGTACAGTATCTCACCAATATTGCCGTGCAACACAGAGTCAATTTTCCCCCTGTATCTGTAGATGATATGAACCAGTCTTCTCACAAGGGCCAGGCTGTTATATCATAAATTTCGAATGATTGCTGAAGCAAATTGGATGCCCTGGTGATGTTGGCACTATAAAATCGACGCTAATTATTTACAGCGATCCTTTGCCTCAATACCTGAGAAAGATCAAGCATGATCTTGAAACTCATGCTTGAAGGTGAGATAGCATTGACTTTGGGAGAAAAGAGAATATGCTTCATAGGCGAGCCAAGCTTGAGTGGGGGCAACCTCTCCCGCGAACTGTCCAACAACACTCAATGACCTGATCAACTGGGCTTATTGCCCTCGACACCGTGATGCTATTTGCCCCTAGTGGCCCACAGGGCCCTCGCCGTCGCAGTCGGCTCAAGGCCATCCTTCTTACCATATTCATCGTCCTCGCCCTGTACCTGCTATTCTTCTCCCACTCCAGCACAAGGTCCCCCGTGACGGCCGACACGGGCAGCTATGCGCAACGACATGGATCAGCAGCGCCATCATCGGTAGACGAGCTGGCTCGTCCGGCCATGCGTAAGCGCAAGGAGATGGTTGTGGCCAGCATGAAGAGTGATGACACGTCATGGCTGTCGAAATACTTCCCAGACTGGACGAAAAGCATCTACGTAGTAGACGACAAGCGCGCACCGTTGACCGTGACTATGAACAAAGGGCGCGAGTCGATGGTCTATCTAACGTGAGTCGGACATCCACCTCCATCGCGCAAGCCGACGCTAACCAAGCTCTCTGTCTAGCTACATTATCGACAATTACGACAACCTACCAGAGACAATGCTCTTCATCCATTCGCAACGATATCAATGGCACAATGACGACCCCTACTACGACGGCGTTCCCCCGCTACAAAATTTCCAGGTCCCATATCTCCAACAACAGGGATACGTCAACCTGCGCTGTGTTTGGACACTCGGATGCCCGACGGAGATCCGCCCGTTGACGGATACCCACCGCGACGCCGTACACGCGGGGGAGTACTTCAAGACGGGATTCATGGAGCTATTCCCAGGGGTCCCAATCCCGGAGGAAGTGGGCGTATCATGCTGCGCGCAATTCGGCGTCTCCCGCTCCAAGGTACTGGAGCGACCGCGCAGCGACTACGAGCGCTTCCGCACTTGGCTGGTGAATACAGATTTACCAGATGACCTGAGTGGACGAATTATGGAATATTCATGGCATAGTATGTTCCCCCAACCTCTGCACATTGAGGGATAGATGCTAATCGTTGACGCAGTGATTTTTGGAAAAGAGCCTATCCATTGCCCTAATGCAGCAGAGTGCTATTGTAAAGTTTTTGGACTGTGCGATCTGACCTGCCCGTGGGAGGGTGGTTGCGATGACCGCTATACTCTACCGCCATTTTCATCGCTGCCGAAGGGATGGCCGAGTATTGGATGGAAGGGTCAAGTGCAAGACACATCGCATGGATTGCCTGAGACTTGAATTGGATTCGAATATAATGCATATTTGGTTGCGCATGTCAGGATTGATTGGCGTTTGGTCTATACCTATAATTTGGCCTCAGTTATAAGACCTTAGAATGTCTACGGATTTCATATTTCTAGTTGGAGTTTGGTTCAGTCAATATATACAGCAGTTGCGTAGTCTGACCGATACTGACTTACCTACTGATGCATGCAGCTGGAGTATAAATCCCAAATGCGGAGCCGAGGCTAACCTCTCCCCGCAACTCGCAAGTCGCAACTTGAATTTCACATCAACTCCAGCCAAAATGCTCATCATCGGACTGACAGGCTCAATAGCCACGGGCAAATCAACCGTCTCAACCATCCTCTCAACGGCCCCCTACTCCCTCCCAATAATCGACGCAGACGTACTAGCCCGCAAGGTCGTCGAACCGGGTACGGCAGGCTACAAAGCAATCGTCAACTACTTCGGCCCGAGCACCCCAGACCTTCTCCTAGAAGATGGCACGAACCCATCAGGGAAACCACTCAACCGACCAGCGCTAGGTCGACGCGTCTTCGGTAGCACAGAAGAGCGCAAACGCGACCGCGGCGTCCTAAACGGAATCGTCCACCCCGCCGTCCGGTGGGAAGTCTACAAAGCCCTGATCTACCATTATCTACGCGGCCAATGGGCCGTTGTACTCGATGTCCCGCTCCTTTTCGAAAGCGGCATGGATTTAATCTGCGGCACGGTTATCGTGGTTGGTGTGCACAATCCCGAGATTCAGATGGCCCGTCTCCGAGCCCGAGATGCACATCTTACCGCTGAAGATGCGGAGAATAGGGTGCGCAGTCAGGGCGATGTGCGCATGAAGGCTATGCAGGCTGAATTCCGGGGGACGACGACGGCGCGCGGAGTGGTTGTTTGGAATGATGCTGATCGAGAGGAGTTAGAGAAGGCGGTTAAGGGTGCTATGGCTAGTATTACGGCCTCTAGTCCACGATGGTGGGCTTGGGCGTTGCTTGTTGCGCCGCCTGTTGGGGTTGGGGTTGCTGCGTGGAATTTGGTGGTGAATTTTGCGACGAAGAAGGGGTGGGAGAAGAAGAAGAATGAGGAGAAGGCGAGGCTGTAGATGCCCTTCTTGTTCCGATGATTTGATACCTTTTGGAGTGTACATATTGTAGCCATACTAGGAATTTGCCCTGAACACGGTGGGCCTCATAGATTGAATCGTGTTTGTATTTTTGTATTTTGCTGTCGAATAACAGACGAAAAGGATATGTTAATACCAGACGCCGGACCACGCTATGCTAAATGCTTCAAAAGTGATGGGGACAACATCTAACCGCTCTTACGCTTCTTCTTCTTATTGTCTGGTGCACCCATCATAGATGATCTGCCTCCAGACCCAGAGATACTGGTTAGTTTCTTGAGGTTCTGGTCTGGATGAGGCTTGTTCTTCTCCTTGATTCGAGCTTCAAGCTCCTCCTGCTTTTGCTTTTCAGCGACCGCCTGCAGGAAAATTAGTGACAGATTTGAGAAGAAGGTATAGTAAGTCTCACCTCGCGCTGTTTGCGCTTGAAGTTTCCATATCCACGGCGTCCACCTTGGCTGCCATCGTCGAGCGAATCTGCGGCCAATACAACAGGCTGCGGAGTATACCCAGACGCAGCTGGGATGTCCAGCACCCATTGTGACTCACCAGACTCTGCAGCCTGGCGCGCAATAGCTTCCTGTCGCTTTTCCTCTTCAGCAGCAAGTGCCGCCGAGATCGCTTCCATCTCAGAGGTGCGAGGGCTTTCGGCCTCGGTGGAGACACGTCGGCGCTTGGGAGTGGGCTGATTGGATTCTCCTGTGCTTTCTGCTTCCTTGGCCTCTTTTGCTTCCTTCGAAGCTGCAGCACGCTGCATGAACTGGAGACACTGTTAGTTGTATAGTTGTTGATGGTAGATCATGTTCATACCTTCATCGTCAAGAGGTTTGACGACATGGTCTTTTCAAGCTTTCCAGCCGGAGATGAAGCACCCATGATGTGCAAATAGACGCAAAACCAACCAGGAAAACAACAAAGTGAAGAGAAGCAGCGAAGCGCAGAATAAAATCATACGGCAGAAAACCCAGGCGTTGACAAGCTACCCCGAACTAGAAGGCGGTGTCGACCCACCAAACCACACCTCGCGGATTATTCAGTGACTTCAAGGTTGCTCCCTGCCAACAGTCTTTTGCCCTCCCTCCTCACCAGATACCCAATCTGCCCAGCATGATGTCCTGTGGCCGCCGAATTGCGACCTTTGCGTCGGTTCGCCCCTTCGCTGTCCGCGCCTACTCTTCCACCGTGCCTCGTCTATCCGACAACGCCATCGCCAACGACCCGACCCCGCGGAAGCAGACCCCGACTGTCTCCGGCACCAATGCCACACCCACCGACTCGTTCGGCCGTCACGATGGCACCCTGCAGGAGTCCCCCGAGGTTGGAGAGCGCATCCGCAGCATGCAGGCCCCGAACCGCGCTACCACCTGGGCTGCCAGCCAGCAGCCTCGCGACCAGGCCATGGTCGGACCTCGCTTTGAGCAGACTATCATGGAGAGCCAGGTGCGTGCTAACTGAATAGTGGTCACACAATTGCGCTGGCAATTGCACTCGCAATGAACGGAATATGACTGACCTCTCTAGCCTCAACCATATGCCGCTATCGACCTCATTCACAGACAGCACGTCCGCTGGACCAAGTCCAAGGTTGTCAGCTGTGATGGTGGTGGTGGCCCTCTCGGCCACCCCAAGGTCTATATCAACACCGACAAGCCCGAGATCGCTACCTGTGGATACTGCGGTGTTCCCTTCGTATGTCACACATCTTCATGTAGACGGCAAGACCATTACTAACATCTGACAGGCCGCCGAACAGCACCGCGCATACCTAAAGTCCCTACCCGCCACCAGCTACCCCCTCGAGCCCACCAATGACACCGCCGACGTGAACGAGACTCAGCGCGTGACCGAGGGCGGCCTGGAGCAGCGGTAAACTAGCATCAATTTCTTTCTGTCGGCGTTGATCATTTTTGCGTTTTACAATTGGTTTTGGGCCCGAGGCCGTGTACAGAATATCGATGAATGGATCCGCTGCCTTTCGATCGTGTATCGTGTGATGTCGACAATGTTTGTACTCTGACTATGGTCTTACAATTAGATCATATGCCATGATATCTTCATATTTTATCTTGCAGTCGTAGCTCCCCCCCCCCCCCCCGGTGTCTATTCACGGTTGTTACAGTTGTCCGCGCTCTGGAAGTCATGCCTTCTGGCCCTGGATCGTCGCGACAACCTTGCGGCTGTGTCGACTGGTCCGGAATTCCAGGTACCAGATTCCCTGCCATGTACCGGTTGCCAATCGACCATTTGAAATAGGGATGTTGACGGAGGCGCCAATGAGCGCAGATTTGATGTGAGCCTGGAAGAGTAAGAGTTAGCATTGACAATACAGATCAAGCACAAGAGTATGCAACAGTGAGAGTGAAAAGAAGAAGAAAAAATAGATATAGACAACCCCGACCCCAAAAGCAAGCTGGAAAAGCCCATTACTTGCACAGAACAGAAATAGGAAGAACATACCGGCATATCATCATCCCCCTCAGCAGAATGACGATACAAATTGCCTTTGCGGTCGGTAGGCGCAATGCGATCCAGCGCATCACTCATATCAGCGCGCACATCATCATCCCAATTCTCATTGAGCGACAGCGCACAGCTAGTGTGCTGCACAAAGAGGTTCAGCATGCCGACCTTGTAGTCGCGGATCTCTGGGACTTCAGAGAGGACATGGTCGGTGATGAGGTAGGAGCCACGGCTGTGCGCGGGTAGGGTGAAGTTCTTTTGAGACCAGGACATTTTGGTGAAGTGGTGGAGGTTGAGTTGCAGTTTGGTGAACTGCTTGACTCGCGGGGAGAAAAGTGTTGGGTGGGGTTCTGATGTCATGGAGCCTCAGTATCATGTTTACATATCACTGAGGATGTATTGGATGTATATTTACTTTTTGAACAGCTGGAGTTTGAAGCTATTTCTGGTCAATATACATAGGTCGGTCAGGCAGTATGGTGCCTTGTTGTCATTTCAGCCTAAGATGGATGGTGAATAGCCCAAGCTGGCCATCCTCCATAGGAGCAAGACATGAAAAGAGCGAGAGAAGCAGGCCCAAGGACAAGTCTTATTCTCACTATACCTTATTGATCAATACTAATGATCTGGTAGCTATACGGCCCATATACCCTTTGCATCCACTTACGTCCACTTACATCTCCGGTCATCTCTCCGATCGAGTCACTGTATAAATCCCAAACCCTAACCCCGATTATACCCCCGATTTCCCCAATCCCCAAGCTGATTGCCAGACACTGATTGGCTATATATAATATGACAAACCATATGAAGCTTGATGTGTTGTATCTAGACCCATATATGGCCCCATCCATGTCTATCCATAAAGACCCCCCTCCACAAAGTACAAAGTATTATCGGACGAGAGGAAGTTACATACTCCACGCCACTGACTCGACTTTCGGATGCCGATGCGGGGATGGCAATTACGTATAGCTTCTCCGACCCTGGCTCCGAGGTATAACTGCGCGACGAGATTGATCTTGTATCTTCCCAAACAATATAGTCAACTTCTATTTATATACTCAAAACATGAGCTCTGCAATTGACCCTTCTTCACTGCTGCTCTCTGCAGCTGTCCCAGCATTCAAATGCCCTGCTGGGACAAAGATGCACATATTGAATCTAGGCACTCTCCAAGCCGATGAATCATGGTCTGTGGAAACAAACTGCTGCAAACCAATATCTAACCAACTTATATATAGGATTCTCCGAGGAGCCAATGCAAGTTCTCTCAGCAATCAGAATCCCCAGAACAGACGACGAGATCTAGCTCTCCTTTCCGCTCTCATTGAGTATCCAGGCATTGGCCTCATTCTGTACGAGACGGGATGTGCAGAGGATTTGGATGTGGTTTGTCCCCCTTAGCTCGAAACTTGACTATGTCTTAACCGTATTGCAGAAATGGGGGGCTCCTTTGACAGATGTCTTCCCCCGAGTCGAATATTCCGACAATCACAGGCTCCCAAACGCCATCAAGGCCACCGGCAACGATATAAAGGATGTCAAAGCTGTGTTAATCGGCCATCTCCATCTTGATCATGCAGGAGGTCTTGAACATTTTGTAGACACAAATGTCCCGATCTACGTCCACGAAGAAGAATTCAAGCATGCGTGTTGGGCCGTCGCAACCGGTGCAGACCTAGGCGTCTACCTAGGGCATTACATGCTTCTTGAGCAATTGAAGTGGAGCACATTCACCGAGTCACGGTTGGAGCTTTACCAAGGCATTACTCTCCATCACTCTCCAGGACATACGCCAGGATTGTGTATTATGCAGATCAACCTCGCACAGGATGGTCCATTCATCTGGACTACGGATCAGTTCCATGTTGCAGAAAACTATGAGCTTGGTCACCCCCATGGAGGGCTGGCTAGAGACCATAATGCGTGGTATCGCAGTCTTCACATGATCCGCCGACTTCAGAGACTGTTCCATGCCAGGCTGATCTTTGGCCATGATATGGACGTTGCGACCAAGCTCATTAATGAGAAGCCTTACTATGAGTAGCATATCCGCTCAGACCGCGCATGGGACATCGGGGCTGGAACGAGTGATCAAACTCAGTGGCATAGATCAAAACATCCACTTTCATTACTCCAGCAGACGAAATCTTGATGACTTCTAGGGCAATTTCTAAAATGGCTTCATACTTTCTTTGCCGGGATTTTCAGTATCATTCAACATCATCAATTAAAATACAGAGTGCACAGAGAATAGTCTGATTATCGATCTGTATCTAATACAAAATCGGGCGCAGTCCTGTGGAATAACTGCTTCCGTCGTGATTGGGACGCTATAATCGAGTCCAATCTCTACGTGTTTCCAGTTGCAGTATGTAAGACGAAGATCCGAGTAGAAGCCCAAGCCAAGATCTCCACTGATTTGGGGGCCTTTTTCTCTTTTCGAGCGTTCAAGTCCATTCCGACAGTTGATATCCACAGAAATCCCCATGCGCTCGGTATCTCCGGAGCGAACGCAGGCCCCGATGTGACCTTCAGCAGCTCATCACCTGATTGGGAAATAGGTCTCTCAAATCCGTCTCACGATCGTATTGTTAAGAGGACTTGAACCCTTGAAGATGAAGATGAAGATGAAGATACATCCGACATCACAATCTTGTTCCCTGCAAAATGCAATTCAAATGGACCGCTTTCCTCCTTGCCAGCCAAGTGGCAGCAGTCACCCAACTAACCAACGATGAAATGCAATCCCTCCTCAATGCAGGCGGACTAGACCTAGCAGACCGCTACGCACCAATCTGGTTCTTCGGCCAAGCCCAGAACCAACCGCCCTGCTACCCAACCTGGGCGTTTGGCGGCTCACCCACGACACACGATGTATACGACGACGCCCACAAGACGCCCGCAGCAGCACAATGCGCTTACCCCGATGTCGGATGTCATTGTCGGAATCCGGGCGTTGGTATTGGAAATGCTGGGCCGGCTTTCCCTGTTTATTATACATACCAGCAGTGCAATGAGAATGAAGTGCGCGTTGTGTATAACCTCTTTTATGAGAAGGATGGGGCGGAGTTTATTGGGATTCATACCGGACATGACTAGTAAGTGTTCTCTCTGTCAAGGTCCCAATGAAGGGGGGCCATTCAGTTCCTCACATGATTCAGCGATTGGGAGCGCGTGGTGGTCATCCACTCGAAGGATAGCAATGATAGGTGGGCTCCATCGCGTGCACTCCTGTCCGCGCACAGTGGTTATCATAACCTCGCCTGGGGTGATATCCAGAACACATTGACAACCGACGAGGTTAATGCAGGCGATGCGAAGGACCCCAATGGGGTGAAGAATAATGACCATCCGAAGGTGTATGTGTCGTGGTCGAAGCATGCCAACTTCGACACGCGCAACACAGGGTGGAATGATCCGGCAAGTCAATCACTAGAGGACGCATTCCGCAGTCAGGATTGGTGGTATTTCGTTGATCCTCAGTATTATGTAGGTCTTTCGTCTTCTGAATGGGTGGAAGAGGTATACTGACAAGGATCTAGATCCGAGCCGATGATAGTACAGATGCTGGCAAGGCCATTGGAGCTGCAGATTGGGGGAGTGCGAGTAGTAACCCCCCCTCTGTGCAGTCTGGTCTCTGTGATGCTTCGTAGAGATATCCAAAGTATGCAAATTGATCTATTCGTACACTGAAATGCAATCCAGGCTATCCGTTTTTTGAGCCATATATACATATACTAACGCCTTCACCTCAGCCGTCTCCATTCATTTCGCTTTCTTGATCAGCTTTCCTTGGTCATCGAGGAGGTCACTGGTATTTTCCATGCCGCTCCACTTGGGGCGACCATCTGGAATGTCTAGCATGCGGTGCTCGTAGAAGATATGACATCTATCAGCAGTGTTAGTATGATGAGAGGACAACAGCATAGCAAATCTACATACGTTGGTTTGAACACATCTCTCTTCTCTCTCTGTTCATCACTCGAGCCCTCAAGTTCAATCAATTGGGGGAAGATGAGACAGACATTCCGGCCTTCATCCAGAATAGGCGTGCGACAATTGGAGCAGGATACCTTGGTTGGTAGTCCATATTCCTGCGATTGATGCGTAGAGGAATAGAAGACCAGTCCACCCGGAGCACTGGTAAACAACATATCATGTTTATGAAAGATAGAAGCCCATTGGAAGGGTGCACCATGGGTGATCTGACATCCACGGCAATGACAATATTTGGCGTTGAGAGGTTTTTCTTGTTTAAGGATGTAGGTGTTTAGCCCGCAGAGACATTTGCCACGCCATTTGGCCGGTCCAAATTCTTGCACAGTCTGATTCTGGTAGGGAGGACGGTGTTTCCAATGTTCGTCTTCGAGGGTGTTTTCTGGGGATCTGTTGGTGAATGCTGGACAGGGGAGAGGATCCTCTGTCGTTTCAATGCCCATTTCCGCCATGATGATGGTTGATATTTGGAGGATGGAGAAATTGCGAATGCAACGAAGAGAAATAAAAGAAATTTATGTAGGTAAAAACAAGGACAGCAATGATGTCAGGTCAATGACATCTATCGCAGTATGTCGATCGTCTGCAGTGACATTGGCATCCCCTGCTTGAATAGTGGCAAATTGGGCATGTTTCTCGAGTATTCTCTTGAAAATTGTCTCAAACTGATCTTCTCTTCTCCAAGATGTATATAGAATGATGAATGAAGCCTGTGATGTCATGTCCAGGTTTTCACGTGGAGAGTATATCCGTATGGATGAACCTATCAGAGACAATGACAGGCAACAGACCGGACCTGAGAGGTCTATTCCATGCATAGACTGTCACTTTATCACACTCGTATACAGTATGGATGTACTAGCAGACACGATATGACTGGTGAAACAGCGCTTAGCTGCCGAACCCCGGCGTTTCATCCCTGCGGGCCTACGCTTCGTGCTTGCTTCGGTCCCCTGACTTAATGTCTTCCCACTTCCCACCAACATGGGTTTATTTAACAAATTGCGACGCAGTTCGCGACGCAGTAATAGCGCAGGCATCGCGACCGAGCCAGAATCCCCACCGCGCTTCGGCCGAGACCACACCAAACGACTCCCGCGGCCAGTACTGGCGCGCATCTTCGCCCTCGTGTGTCCCCACACAGTCGACAACACCTACGGCACATCGGAAGAATCTGCCAGCGATGGCTGCATGCTCTGTGACATGCGCGACCTAGCGCACTGCGCCCTAGTGAACAAGCGATGGTTCCTAGACGCGCGGGAACTGCTGTACGAACCAAACACTTGGCCACAAAACGCAACGTCTAACAGAAAGACTAGATACACGAACGTCCGCATCGACCCGGTACACTACTGCGAGCTCGAAATCGAATTAGCCGCCAAGCGGAAACGCCGCTCGTTCTTCGACCGCAATGGCGACCCGATCGATGCCCCGCAGGTGCGACTGGAACTGTTTATGCGCAGCGTGCGAGAGTCGCAGGGGCTGGGCAATATGGTGCTCTCACTGCGCATGCCATACATGACCCGCGAAGCCAACAAGGCCAACATCGCCCGCACGATCTCCGTCCTGCCGAATCTCCGCTTCGTTGATCTCCCGGTGGGTCTGTACAGTGACGAGCCGTCGTGTCTACCGCTGAAACAGGAGTTGATGGTACGCTGTCCGGAGCTGCGGCGGATGAGTTATCGTCGGGGTGCCGAGGGGAGTTTTGCGCGTCTGTCTGGTTCGCAGCTGTGGATAAATCTGGAGGTGTTGGAGCTGTCTGGTGTACAGATGGAGGTTGGCACATTGCGCAGTGGACTCGCGGCATTCCCGCATCTTCGTGAGCTTACGCTTGAGGAGATGGACTGGCTGGATGACTCGGCGTTTGGCATGACTGTGCCGGTGCCTCCATTCCCTGCAGTGCAGTCTCTGACACTTCGAGATACCCCCGGTGTGACGGCAAGCGGGCTTGCCTCATTCCTGTCCACGCCGAGAAACAAGGCAGCGCTGCAGACGTTGACATTCTCCAATACTGGGGTTGCGCCATCGCAAGTGCATCACATTCTCTCTGCAGCTCCGCGACTGGAGCGTCTTTCCATTATTCAGGAAGTCTCACGCTCATTCCCTATGGAGCAGATTCCTCCTATGGCGTCGAAATCACTGCGCCTCCTGCATTATGAAATCACATCTCAAACCGAGGCTCACGGGATGCCCCCGGTGGTGTCCTCCTACTATGGCTACCTTATTTCCTCGTTGATGTCGCGGGCTCTACCAGCTCTTCGTGATTTGTATGTCCGCGATGCCAACTTCCCCGACACACTGCTGCTCATGCCTCCACCCCGACTCTTCGGCGGTGGTGAAAATGGCCCCCAGATGCGAGGTGGTTTGTCGCAGCCATTGAACGTGTACAGCAAGGGTCTGGACGAGTTAGAGTGGAACTTTACACCATACGACCCCGAACCAACACATGGGCGCCGAGATTCACGCACGCGCCCGGTGAGTTTCCACGAAGCCCAATTGAGTCGATCCTGGGGTGGCGATGCGCGCAAAAGTGTGCTAGTCGGCAATGGGTTTGGAGGATTCCTTGCTGTGCCAGCTGAAGACGAACGGCCTCAAAGTAGTCAGGGCCACAAGCGACTGAGCCGAGGGGATTTGTGGCGGTAAATGAAGTGATGATATCCGTAAATAGCGCTAAATAGTTCCATTGTTCATTGATGTTCATGTTCATTCTATACATCAGTCTCAGGCCATCCCTGCGGTAGCACCAGGCCACGCCAAACCCACTGATTCTGCATTTCCTCGTCGGTCATATTACAATATCCATAAGTACGACAATAACACTCTTTCTGATCCAGACAATACTGCGCGGGTTTGCCAAAGATCACTGCGCCATCATCAGCATGTACTAAACGAGACCGAGACCGAGACCGAAAGAGACTCACTATGCCACGAATACTCCAAAATCCTCCCACTCGTGCCCGAATCTAAATCAGTCTCCATAACCCACCGCTGCAAACGAACATAATCCTCCAAGCTCCGCTCATGGATCTTCGCTTTACTCAAGGCAAACTGACTGCAACACGGCGTGCCCACAACTTCCGGCACCTCCGCACGCGGAAACAACTCCATAAACCGATCAGGATACTCCATCGCCGTGGGATGGCCATGATCGTCGGGTCTTTCGCGCAGATAGCGTGCAGGCTCGAGTTCACTGGGACATCCGACCATCCATGTACAGCGTAGATTGACATACCCGGCTTCTTGGACGAAGGCGTGGTTCAGGTGTGCGATTGAGATGACCGAGTCGTAGAGCGGGTTGTCAACGTGCCATTGGTATCGGCCGCCGTGGAGGAAGACGGATGTTTTGGGGAGGGTCCAGTATCGGTCGATGATGTATCTATTCATGTAGAGGTCAGTGGAAGGTGGTGGTTGTGCTTGGAGTATATAACCTGGACTATACATACGTGAGATACACCATAGCCTCATTTCCTTTATTCATAGGAACAGTCAATCCGCTCTTGCTATCCGCGCGATAGATATTCGCCCTCCAATCCGGTAAACTCTCCTCAACCCACGACATATTACTAGTCGACATAGCGGCAAAGACCAATTCCTTCTCTGGGATGGGATCGGGGACAAAGCGATCCTTGTCGTCGGCCTCTAAAATACCCGAGATGGACCAGCCATCCAGGTTGATCACTTCATGGTCGAGGATTAATTGGTAGAAGAGGAGGAGGAGGAGGACTGCTGCTAGGCAGAGGTAGAGGAAGACTCGCGACCGGGGGGAGCAGTCGAGGGAACGTCGGAGTTTCATTTCATGGTAATATAGGTTATTGTGCAGGAATCAAGACTGCAATGAATATCAAAATGAAATGAATGAAATAGACAGAATCTAAGAAAATGGGAGTGCAATATACATATGCGCCGAGGGTACCTTTTGAAGCCGGTTCTGGAGCTGACGTAGAGGGGGGCCATTCCCACGGTTACATGCTATTTCCAGTAGAAGATAATCAATTCAAGGCGCTAGAGGAACCGCTGAGACAGCGTGATGTCGAATGACATTTGCACGATTAAGTCGTTAACTCCACTTGATCTTGGACTTGCAGGGGTCTGGACTGGTTAGGGCTGAAAACGGATCGAGACTTGTCTCTCCCCGACTTTGGACAGTACAAGGCCATTGAATGTTCATCTGCTGAAACATTATGTTTTCTATGCTCGAAATGATCCCAAATCATAATTTTGTACTAGGTGCTCTGTTCCTCAACTGCTTTTTTCTCAAACCCTCTTCGAAACATCCCCTCAACGTGGACAAGGGAGTAAGTACCAGGAGCCAGGCTATCGACACTTCCAACAGGGGTATAGCTCTTTTGTTGGTAGGCTTTCTCGCGGAGGTTACATTTCTATCATCTTCTGTTGACTCAAGCCAATTGTGAATTCCCCAATGACACTTGCTACTGTGTACATCCGAACTCCAAGACTCTTCAAAATAGCAGTATGCAACGATTTCAAGTCATTTGAGTAATTCAAGTTGTCCGGTACTAATGCCTCAGGTTAGAAGACTTGTTCCCTAATAAATTACTTCTTCTAAAGTTCCTGTTCTATCTACTAGGCTACAACCCCTTTCTTAATACTGCTCTAGTATGGAGATATGAAAATGTTTATATCTGGGTTCACTGGAAGAAGATCTAAAAATGTCATATGTATTTGATCAGTAACTCTAAACAGTATAAAAATATCAAAAGAAAGTATATAGTCAGTATATCACTCACTATTTTCGAAAGAGCTTGCATCGGAGCCATACTCGGCCCGATCAGCATCAGTTAAAGCCTCAATCTGATCAGTCAGAGTCTCAGACTGCTCTGAGCCACTGCTCTGCGCATTCTGCTCAGTATAAGTGTTGTCACGGAGTGCAATATTGGGAAATTTATACTCTTCAGGGAGAGCATCGATCAAGTTCTGAACCATCACCGACATATCAACATCAGGGAAAATCTGCATCATGTAGTTAACCATCGCTTCAGGCCGAGTAGTCAAACCATCATCCTCAAGCATTTCAAGGATCTGGCACAAAAGGTCAATACAGTAATCGTGGTGAGACATGCCGGCCGGAACCCAAGTCAGTCCATGTCCAACGGTGTCGTTCCAGAATGTTTTCTCAAAGTCGTCAAAGCCGGAGTCTTGAGCTGGCGCCTGTGTTCCATTTCGGAAATCGAGGTTAATCTCGTCAGGCCAGAGGATTTTCTCTCGCTCTGGGGCGTGCATGCGGAAGATGGTGACTTCTTCGCTGGTTGTCCACTCTGGGGAAATTTCTTGCGTGATGGCGGGAAGGCTAAGGCCAACGCCGGTATGGTCAATGCCTGGGAAGATGATACCACCTGAGATATTAGCCTCTGACTTGCTCAGAACCTCGGAGCTAAACCAGTCGTGAAGGTCTACATCGGGTAGGTTCCCAATGGGTTTGTTAGACACCTGGATGTCAAGGTTAGCGAGGTCATTCAGGGAGGTGTTCAAGGAGGTAGGGGAAGCATTAAGCAGAGCATCCACTCCAGTAAGCCTTGGTTCACTTGGGCCGTTGAACAAGTTCTTCAAGATGTGGTTGTCTCTGTGGCTGGCCAAGTTCTGCAGCCCGCTACCAAAATCATTAGCAGGTAAGCTGGGGATCCGGGCCACAGCAGTCTGCAGGCCTTTGTTTGCCAGTGCCAAATGAGCTACCGTGAGAGGAGCATTCAGATACTCTGTCCAGCGAACGTTATCCAGATCGATATTAGTGCCAATGTTCTGCAGATGATTGTCAGCGTTGACCTCTTCAAGTGTGGGGATGTGGGAGTGACTATTATCAGTAGTAGCAGCAGGGAAATTGGATTGAGACCGATCTAGTGTTTTCGCAGATCGGAAATTATTGAAATGTGTTTGAGCGAGAAAACGAGTAGCCTGAGCCGGAGTGAAGTTCTTTGGAGGTCGCACTACGCTCTTTGTAGTCTTTTGCTGCTTCTTTGCAACTCGCAACTTTGTGTTAGCCGCAATTGCCGACTTCTTGTTAGTCATTCTAGCCATTAACCTAGTGATGCGACGGTTCGCAGAGAGGGATTGCTGACACTCCTCCTCTTCCAGGAGCGGTTCCTGGTCATCCTCGGGCGAGTTAGACATCTCCGTATCAGAGTCGACCAGCTCCTGCTCCTGCATATTCTTAGGGCTCTCGAAAGGCAGCGGCTGCAAGAAGGTGGCGTACTGGTAGTTTGATCGACATGTGTTCGACTTCATTGACATGATCTCAGGTCGATTAGTCGGATCAACGGTTCGAATGGGTCGAGACTCGCCGTACAAGAGCATTATTGGTACAGTCGCGTCAATAGTATCCAAAAATAGACCTCGAGTCAGATGAGCATCAAACTCAGGCAAGTTCTGGCGCAGTTGAGTGAACTGCTGCTCACCAAAATGCTTCAGACGACCATTTACAAAAATCCATTCGGGGTGCAGACGGTAGTATCCACACCAACGGAGAACAGCAGGAAGCACCATTTGAGGCCGGTAGTCACAGCTGGCCATTGACAACATGGGGAATCCATTGGAGTGATGTGTAGCAGGGCACATACGGCCATGGCTATACACCTGGCGAATAGCGTGGCGCAGAACACTGACAGGGGCAGCGTCGAGGAGGGCTCGGAACCGGACAAAGGCCAAAGTCTGAAGATCCTTAATTCCAAGGAAACTAGCAGTGCGGACCATGTCCGAATGGATATACAGCAACGTAGCCAGCTGGGGGCAGTTAATACATGCCTGAGGGTTCTCTGACATCTTATAACGACGGAGGTCCTCTCGCTCGATTGAGTAATCTCCAGTGTAGAGGAACTGCATGAGCTTGGGGACTTGATCTAACTGCACAATAGATGGCAGGACAAATTCACGAACGGTTTGGTCCTTGTACTTCCAAGGAAACCATTGGGCTTGTCGGAACAAGACGTCACGGTGGAGATCCCAGAAGCTTACCTGGTCATCGCGATGCACGAATCTGATATCTGGGGCAATTTGATTGAAGTAAGAGTCTTGCTTTGCTTGGAGTTGAGACTGGCGGTGTCCAATCTCGCCGAATCCAAGCCAGACCTTGGGGAGACCGGCATGAGGTGTGCATTGGATTGTTCGAACCATGGCGATTGTTTTTACCGTAAACTAGAAAATGTGTTAGAAAGAGCTGATTGTTAACATTGATAAGATGATTTAGTAAGAAAGTGATGATGATGTGAGTGACGAAGAAGGTAATTGTCCGGGCATAAAGGGTCTTATAGAGCATCCGCCAAGGTCCGAACAAAGTATAGTTCTAACAAAGACACAGACAATATCTTTCTACTCTGAGTACTCGAACAATGACCGCAAAAAAAAGAAAAAGAGTCAATGGATTCTATTGATACTTGATACTTGCCCCTTATTATACTTTGTTCTTCGACGTAGTGAAACACGTAACCTTGGAACCGAGACGAGGAGCGAGCCATAAATTTTTCGACTTCCCCAGTGCTCTTACGCTCTTTCAGATTTAACTCGATGTAGTCATTGTATTTCTCGGCCCTCTTTGTCACAAGCACCTCCTGGCCCAAGAAGAGATCGCTTTGAAGTATCAGAAAATAATGAACCTGTCCATGGACTCCAGAAATAGAATCATCTTTTCCTGGAAGCAGAGCTATTGTCATTCTTGTTGCCTCTAACAATGTCCCTTCACCACCAACACAGCCACATCATGACTTTCCAAAGACGCACTGTACTGCTTCTTCACGCATCCCAAATCCTTACCCGTCCAAGCATCGATAACTTGGTAAGCATCGTGAGCCTTGAGCTCAGGAACCTCGTTCCACATAGCAGTCCGAGTGGAGGTCTTATTCTCCGAGTTGAACATAAGAACCAATGTACCTTGAAGGGTAGATGAAGCCCCAGACCAATACTCCGCTGGGTGAGCAGGGTCGAAGGTCCAGTCAGGATTATACCCCCATTTATAGGGATGAGCAGGACTTCCAACGACAGGATCCTGGTGGAAGTCAAGAAGATACTTGTTCTTCAGAATAACCAGGTGTTCATCCCTGATCGAGTCGAGCTAAATTCATGTTAGCTGGAATCCTTGTAGATGTGCATCATCCTGGTACATACCGCCGTTCCGATAATCAGGGGAGACTTCATAATAGCCCAGAGGGCAAAATGAGCCTTATTCTCTGCAAGGGTAAGGTTGCCATTCCCAACCTCCAACATGTCCGGATCAGGATGACCCCAAAAGTTGACATGATTCATGAGGAAACTATTCTCATTGGCAATCTCGGAAATACGATCCCACTCCGCTGGAATCGGGTTAGTAAACATAAATATCCAAGACCCTCGTGAGATAAATCATACCGGTAATATCCCCGGACATCCGCCATGAATTCCCAGTCTTATTCCCCCAAGAATTGACATCCGCCTGGCCCCAGTCACAAAGGGAATATAAGATCGTCCGGTCAGCGTTCAGCAGAGCATCACGCATAGCCACGTAGCGAGTATATGTTTTGGATTTCGTCCAATCGTATCCTTCCGGCGCGAGATTATCAATATCAGGGCAGGTACCATTCGGGAAATTGCCATTGCCGTCGGGGACACAGTCTGTATAAGTGTCCGTCCAGTTTGAGGGGACACCGCAATTATCGTATTTTAGGTCTGATAAATTAGATTTTGGCTTTTGTGGGAACAGGACGAGAAGTAGTAGACTTACAATCGATTCCCCATTCCGCAAAGGATTGTACGTCAACGGTTTCATAGCCTAGACTAGCTGGATAGCCAGCACAGGTGGTTTCACCGGCACCTGATCATGGTCAGAGCTTGCGTTGGGGTCTTGTTTTGGAATAGAGACTTACTACTGTAAATACCAATCTTCAACCCGAGCTCATGAACCTGGTCTGCAACACCAGAGATACCATCTGGGAACTTGGATGGATCTGGAATGATACGGTGATCAGTTGTGTTGCGAGCATCTTTGATACTCCAGCAATCATCGACTGGGAGCCGTTAGCATTATTTCTGGATATCAAACCATGCATCTCGTACTATTCACATATTCGTATCCCCGATCCTTGAGACCAAGGTTGACAATCTCATTGGCGGCCGTGATAATCTTAGTCGAATCGATATCACAGCCAAATGCATTCCATGAGTTCCAACCTAGAGCTGGGAGTTTACCCTGTTCATCGTCAGTACATTCTGGAGATAATGGGACGAAAGAGACATACAACACCATCCTTCCTGACGAGAGCATTTGCTGCTGGAAGCAGCGGCAACGCAACAGCGAGAGACAAGGATCCTAACATCATGAAGTCAAACTAATAATCTTTCTCATTGTGTTACAAACATTATCAACCTGCAGAGCTTTATACCCCGGTCTCGTGCGGGGAATGTTGGATGTGACCCTGGATAAATTGGTATACTGTACGCAATACTTGAATAGGGGATTGCAGTGCCGATCGTCATGGCTTGTTAGTCTTATGTGCTGGCCAATGCGTAATTCATACATACTCAAGAGGCGGAGATGGACCCAAAGGGAAGTGGAAGGCCTATTCGGTGAACAATGGCCCGAATGTTGCATCAAAGTACTTTAGCACGGGAAAATCGGATGCTCGGATCGCTTGGCCGGAGAAGATCCGGCCTTCAATGCAGACCAGGGATGCTTAGGGGTATAAAGTTGGAATGAATACTATATTGTGAAAAAGGAGCTCTTCTAACTCTAAACATCATGATGCATGTTTATCGTGAAATCATTAGTCGTACAATATACAGCGCGCCATGCTTCCCAAATGCATATGAAGAAAAAATGAGTATCACTCGGCAAAGAAAGAGACGGTTATTGAGCCTACGTGCCCAGAATCAGAGTGCGGGCCTGGCGGGGATCGGTGCCGAGAACAGTGATGAGATAGTCAATGCTAGCCTCGGAAGCCAGACGACGCTTCTCATCCGAAAATTCCTGGTTGCAGAGTTCCCAGATCGTGCTCCGTTCCTGGGGCTTGACTGTTTTGACGCGAATCTTGAACGCCGCGCTGACCGGCCGGTGGTCAGAGGCTCGGACTTCGTGCCTGCGGTAATCGAGTTGCTTGACACGGCCAAGGCCGCGGTATAGAACGCGGTCGCACCAGGCGGGGGAGCGTTTCTTGTCGCTGGTGTCGTACTCGTCCGTGCCGACGTCGTATTTGTAAGTCGGCGCGAAGGTAATGGGACACTCGGTGAAGCTGCGAAGTCGGAAACCGGGGTTCTTGCGCCGGGAGGCAAGGAGTTGGTCTCGATCCAGAAGTTTGGTAAGGTTGTTCTGGCGAATGGCGTCGATGATCACATTGCGAGGGATTGAGTCAATCCGGTAGTTCAGGTCGCCATTCAAAATGCAGATTTCGTGGTCCATGATCATTGAGCCATCACCACCACTGGCGAACTGATCAGTTCGTGCTGTTGGATTGCTCTCGGCAGGTAGGGACTCTGCTTCCAAGATCGCCGCGATATCGTTGTTTCGGTGCGCCGTCTGGGTCTGCCCAGCCGCCAAGTGACAATTCACAAAGCACATCGAGCTGTCATCCAGGACAAAGCGGAACACAAGGGCACCCTGATAGAATTAGACAGTGGCCATAATCAGACGAAGGGGTTACAAACCTTGTTCCCATGCAATCCGCCCATGCCCCGCTTAATTTCCGAAGCACTGACGTTCTTGATATTGTGTCGTTCTTTGTGTTTGACGAAAACACAAGTAAACAGTCCAACCATGTTTGCAGTGTGCAGAAGAACATACGATTCCTCGAGAGGCATACACTCGTGAAGAGAACGCGTGAGATGGTCGATCCACACTCGATATTGACGACTCATATGTTCCTTCTCACCGTTCTCCTTCTTCTTGCTTCCAAGAAGCAGACTCTCTGTAGCTATATCAGCAACTGCGCCCGTACTAAGGGATGAGGTGAACATACTGGCTGTGATCTTCTTGTTCTCAAGATCTACTAATTCTTGGAACCCAAAGACGAGAATATCCGGCGGATCTTCCGGCGTGACGGCATTCCGAATGAAATCCGACGTCTTCACGCTACCAGGGGTAACGGCGCCTGCGTTCCAAGTCAAGACAGTAGCCTTAATTTCTCGGAAATCACAGTACTCTGCGTCCCTCTTCTGCATCCGGGTATCTATTGTATGTTAGCAAAGCCAAACAAAAAGCAAAAATTGAACTTACCTAGCCAATCGTCTTCCAACATACCGTCCCAGAGACGAATGCAATTATCAGTGCCAAGAGAAGTAACCTGTAAGCGGTTCATCGTCCAAACACTGCTTGTATCCAACACAAAGCCGGAGACAGGACTATCGTGGGCGCGCCAGTCTTTCTTAACAGTCCAAGGGTTGGTGGAAACATCGTAGACGTAGATCATGCCGGTCTTATAGGCAGCCCAGAGATAGTCTCCCACAAATCCAAGACAATTGATCTTGTAAACGCTAACGTTGACCACTGCCAAGCAGGTATAGTCGGTGGATGAGTAGACGGTAACCTTTCCATCTGCGTGTCCCAGATACACTCGGCCCCCTTCTCGCGTGGTATACGTGCCGGAAGTTACATCGCCTGAGTGCTGTGAGCCAAGGGGTCGCTTGAAGACCTTGAATGAAGCATCCTCGCGGGCGTTCGGGCGATAAATATGAACATCCTTTCCAGCCGCTAACCACAGTTTGTCGTCCACGACCATGGAGAACGTGTGACCTCGTGCTACGCGTTCATGGGCGCTGTGGTAGCTGTACTGTAGATTAGGTGAGCCGGTCTCGTCTGGCATCCAGACTAACAGCCGGCCTTCATCATCGAATGTCCACATTTCTTTCTTGTGTCGTAGAATCTGAATCACCTCTCGCCGGGAGGGGTACGAGCGGGTTGCCACAATAGATTGGCTTGGGATATCAACTTCATGGAGATCTCCAGCACTGGTGCCGAGCCAGATGCGCTGGCCTTCATCCTTTAATCCTTTGCCTGGCTTGAAGGCAAGCGACAAGCTTTTCACGGTTTCACCATGACTAAGACTCATCACTTGTTCTCCAGTGGTAAGATCCCAGACTCGAGTCAGATACCCAGTCGTACACACATATTTGCCGCACACGGCGAGCAAACGGGTGTCATACTTCGTGAGGATCTCCCTCGGCCCAGATTTGAGACGAGGAGGTCGGCGGTTGGCATTAGAAGCATCAGGGTAGTCGGTACGTGAGATGGCAGTTTCTTCGGGTTGTTCTTCTTCTTCCGTATCCGTTCGAGGTATACGCCGCTCCGGGAGAGGCGAAGAAAGTGGTTCCCGGTGGAAAGATGGCTGCCGTTGAACTGGTTGTGGAGTTGATGCTTCAAACTGACGTGGATGAGTGGGTGCAGACTTGGCAATTGGCGTCATTTGTGCAGGGCTCTTTACACGCTGAGGAGGCTCCCGCGGAGGAGAGAACCCACTTCGGCGTGTAGTTCCAGAAGGCCGGGGAGGAAGGCCAGGGCGATCGTAAGGACCATCACTGGCCCGTAAATGTTGCGCTGAAAGAGGTGGAGCAGTAGAAGAGGAAGTAGGAGGTTGCGCTGAAGCGGATGGAATTTGTACCAGCAAGGGCTTGGTTGCCCGTGAAGGTTCTGGAACAGGGCGAGTCCTTGAGAAGCCTAGCTCTCTGGCATCATGTCTTGCATTGAAACTTGGAACAGGTGACCGGTCATCAAATGAACGTCGACTCGGGGGTTCTGTTGTTGGCCGAGCTGGAGCCGGTCTGGAGTTTATTTTCCCGGTAGACACCGGCTTGGCCATAGGCTTCTCCGGGCTGCTCGGAGGGGTGCTGAAAGGCGACACGCTAAGATCAGGAGAAGCTCGCTCAGGCTGAGGAGCCAAGGTAGTTGTATCCGCATGAGAAGAATTAGGGTGAGAGAACATGGCTGGCTTTGCAGGGATCTTGGGTTTAGATGCGCGGTTGGCTGGCGGTGGCAGCGAAGCGCTTTTCATTTTCCGATCCGCAATGCTTCCATTTCCATTCACAGATAAAGAGCCAGGCGATGTTTGAGGAATTGAATCTCTTCCAGTGACAGACGATCCGAAATCAGGCGCCGGAGATAGTGGCCGGGGAGGCGCGGGGGAAACAGACACTGATTCCCGCGGACGATGCCCAGGACTACGAGCTTTGCGAGTTTCCTGCTGCGACCAAAAGTCCTCGCGATCTTGTCCGCGCGGCGGCGATTGAGGCGAATGCACCGCCAACGTCGGCGGAAGTTGTGGCGATGAGCGTTGGAGGTTCATAGAGATAGGCCGGCCATATCGTCTTCCAGAGAACCCGCAGTCTTGCGATCTCTCGCCATTCGACTGCTGGCGCTGCTCCGGTCTCTCATCGTCCTGGTTCCATGGCGAATGTGACCGGGGCAAGTCGAGAGAGGCACGGCTGGAGGATCGTACTTCGTCGCCAGCTTCAGGTGTCAGGAACTGGGTTGCGGAGGCGCGCGGACTTGCGGCAGCAGCAGAGGGAGCTCTGCGGTGAGCTAGATTCTCGAAATGAGACAGCAAAGAGGAGACGGGTCTCTGTGGCTGCGTTCAAGTTAGTTCATTGTGTGCCACGAGGTAGTTACGTATGCATACCGTGGGAGGACCATCACTGTCTGGCTGTTTTCCTGTGCCCGCCATGGCCATTATCGCGAATAATTCGCCGTAACCAGCTGGAATGGTCGATCATAGGCTTGTGAAGGTTGCCTGGGAGTTGGTGCGAACAAGTAGTTCGGGAAGCTGAGGCTACAGGGATGCCGTGGGGTTTCGGAAGTAAACTGGCAACAAGCAACAAAATATAAGCGGCGCAAAGGCCGGACAAGAAACAAAGCTCAACAAAGAGACCTGAGTGTACAGCGGCAAAGAAGGAAAAGATGAAAAGAGGTAAGAGTCGAAAGGGAGTGGCGGGGAGGAAAGTGGAGGGAATCACGGGAGTTGGCGATCACTTGTGCCTGGAGATTCTCAACATCTTCACACTTGCGTACGCACTTCAACTCGGACCATGTGGTAAGTCAAGTCCTCTGTACAGATGTCTTCATCCCCCTGAAGATAGATCCTCCTGGCCAAAATTCTCCTGCTAACCCGTCCCCCGCTTTACAGTAAACACATTCTGAACGCCCAAGTGGCCATCCGCTCGCACTGCTGTACGCCCAGTTCAACCTCAAATCCGTTCACAGGGGACTGACCGAAGATATCCAGGCCGGAAATGGTTTGACTGCGCCGAATGCCACGCCGAGAGCGAGTCGCACATGCTCCAAAAGAGCGCCGAGATGGTACGCCCCTGTTCCGATATGCGCACGATTCGCGGTCTGACAATGCAATGGTAGATCTTTGCATGCAAGAAGTGCAAGAAGTGCTTCCGCAAGGACGCAGCCGAGTTTGACGAGAGGTACGCAATGGATTGAAGCAGCCAAAGCAAGCGGCAAGCTAATTCCACACCTTTCCTAGCGACGAGTACTGTCCTCACTGTGATAATCACTTCGTCATTGAGGCTATCGAACCAAAACCTTCTCTCCATGTTGAGGGTGAAGATGCCCGGATGGACAATCGGTATGTTGAGCACACAATGTTTCAATGCGGCATAGGCTGACTATCACCAGTATGCTCAAGGACGAGCGTGTTGCCCGCGACGAAGAGCGTTCTCTCTTCAACCTTCGCGACGTGTCTGATCGCATGGGTTAAGGTGTGTACAGGAAAGAATATGGGGGGCGTTGGAATTTCATGATGTTGACGATTTGGTTACTGTTTGATAGTTGATAGAGAGTGATTTACAGAGCATGAATACCCGTTGTACTATACGAAAGAGCAGATATTTTTAAAACTTCATGATTTTGGATTCCCGTCAAGGAAGAGACCAACGCTATTGTAAATTGAAACACATCATCCAGGCACGCGGGCTATGAATGCTCCAAGTCCACTTAATCGGCCGACTCGCCGCCACCTGGCCGGGTCAGAATGGCTGCTGTGGTGGTCCCTGTCCGGGTCTTCTTCTTGGCTGCCTCCTCCTGCTTCTCGGTCTCGATGCTCTTCACATACGACTCGATCTGGTCATCGGGCAGCATCTCGAGGCGCTTTCCGGGTGCCATAATGGCGACCTCGATGTTCTTAGCACCCGTCTGCACAACCTCAAGCAGGGACTTGATGGTCAGCTGGATTGTCTGCTCGCGGTCCATGTCCTCCTGGTGGTTGCGCTCAAGGAATTCGCGGACAGTCTTGCTGGAACGACCAATGGCATTGGCTTTCCTGTAGAGAATAGAAATATTAGTACTGATCTAGTGACACAATAAACCGGAATACACCTACCAGGCCGAGTAGATACCGGACGGCTCGGTCTGGTACAACCGCGGCGTGCCGTCATTCTTGTCGAAGCCAACCACGAGCGTACTGATACCAAAGGGACGGACACCACCACTCTGTGTGTATCTCTGTTGGACACTGGCGATATACTTTGTGATATATTCGATGCTGGCGGGGTCCTCGACAGTCAGACGGTGGGACTGGGCCTCTAGGCGGGCCTTGTCGATGAGGATACGGGCGTCGGCATTCAGTCCAGCGAAAGCAAGACAGGCGTGGTCATCGACCAGAGCGATCTTGGAAGGAGTAATACGGGTATCTTGGAGCTTGAGGGCGGAACGCTTTTCGCAGCCGAGAACGACAATGTCCTTGCCTTTGACACCGACGGCGCAAGTTCCTAGGATCATCCATCATCAACAAATGCACGTACTAACGAAGCGCTGTATCGCAAAAATAGATAATGAACGAGTAAACGCGGCTGGAAGAGCAGATAACAGCGGTCTCACCTCGTTTCACTGCCTCCATGGCATATTCAACCTGGAAGACGTGCCCATCTGGACTGTTGGGGGTTAAAAACGAACTCTGGAGCTGGAGTGCTGCTTGAAGGCATCATACCTGAATACTGCGATGGGTTAGCATCATACAGCTCTGCTCGGGTCAGGAGCAAAGGGAGCTGGCCGTGCGGAGCTAGCTGGCTTACCTGAGAGAGCTCTGTCGTATCCGGACATTGTAAGTCAAGGACGACAGATGACAGGGAGATAAAAAAGGTGCTTAAAAAAGGAGGACGAGGGGATCAAGTAGAAGAAAGCAATGCAGATGGGCGTTTAAGCAGCTGAGGTCAATTGGGATGGAGCAATGACGGGTTCCGGGCGGTGGACGCGAAAGCCTGCGGTTGCCTTCGGTACTTCACTCCACTATGGCGGTCCCATACTAAGCCTATGTACCTTTTGTATCAGCAACCTCACCAACAGACTTGGTAGTAATAGATGCTGTAAGTTACAGTACAATTCACACAAGTATTATGTGGCTTATACGAGCTCTACTACCTTTGACTGGCAGGCTCGAGGAAATATAGTCCATGAATCTATCGAAAGACAATTACAGAAAATACTAAAGCCGCTCAGACAAGTACAAATTGCCAATATGGACATCCAAAACAATCTTTTTTGCATTCACAGTGCTTCGATGGCCCCCGAAGAGATCTCGATTCGATGCCGGCGTCAAGCTCAAAGTAAATCCCCAACACCCCAAACGGAGTCCAAGTATATCCCACCCAGATCAAGACCGTGAATTCTCCGACGCTTCCCATGACCAAATGAGTGCAGAAAGGGACGCACAAAATCTCTAAAATGCAATGCCAGAGCGACATAAAGCGCACAAGAAAGGGATAGGGGAACAAAAATACACCCTCCCCCAAGAGATAAAAACAAAAGCGCAAGATGGAATCACAAATATGGGGAAACAGCTCCACGACCAAGATAAAGAAAAACCAGAACCAGAACCAGAAAAAGCATCAACAACAGGACGGCGAGGCGAGAAAAGAAATTCCGACTTGAATACGCTACCCGCCTGCTCCATCCAACCCGATGCACCGAACCGCAGAATCCCTTATACAAAATGCGTATCAACCGAATATCAACCAACGCATGAACCTGCCACAATGCAGGGTTGCAATATGGACAACATAAGTGTGAGCGCCCCAGTTTTAGGTGGGCGTGAGTAGGTACAGCTATCCCCGTTTTTAAGCGGGCGACTTGTTGGCACCAGCGCCGTTTCGGCGAGAGTGAGGGTCGTCAGAGACGGTCAGACCACCAAGGCCACTGGACAAGAAGGCGAAGGGGTCGCTGGAGCCGTCGGATCCGTAGAAAGCGCCGTTGGAAGCACTGGTGGAGGGCACACCGTGGTCTGCGCCAGTGAAGGCGGCCTGAGTGGCCGGGTTGGCGAAAGAAGCGGCCGAGTGCGAGGTGCTAGAGGAGCCGTAACCAGAGTTCATCTGGCCCATAGGGGGGTAGGCACCAGGGGTGTTGCTCAGACCGCCAGAGGGCAGGGCGTAGTTGTTGGGCGGGCCGCCGAATTGCTGGCTGAAGCCACCGAAGCCACCGGCAGTGGAGGCGAAAGGAGCCGGGGCAGGAGTGCTAGCCATCGAGTTGGGACCCATGTTGAACTGCGATGGAGGATCCATCGGAGATGGGAACGCTGAATCGGCCACAACTGCCGCACCGGAGCGAGGAGCTCCGCAGCGCAGACAGTTGATGTTCTTCGCAAAGTTGTGGTAGCCACAACCCTCAGAACCACACTTCCAGTCACCAGCACGGAAGGGGACAACACCTCCGTTACCACCCATACCACGCGAGTGACCCATACCGTGACCGTTGTGGCCCATGTGGGGAGGCATCATCGAGGGCGGGCCGTAGCCGTATTGGTTGTAGTTCATAGGATCGGGAGCGGCGGCCATAGCGGGGAACGAGCAACGGAAGCATGCTGTACGGCGCTGGAAGTTGGAGAAGCCGCAAGACGGGCAAGTCCAGTCACCAGGACGGGGGCGGTTCTTGGAGGGCGGGAAAGGAGTGAGGATCTCGGCGGCGCGGTCCAGAACCCGGCTGGATGAGGGAGAAACCTCGATGGCCTTCTCGTTGAGTGCCCGGCCGTTCATGCACAGGCTTTCGGCAGCCTAAGGGATTGTTAGCCGAAAAGATAAAGTGAAATAAGACATCAGGATCCTGCGGGGTAAACAGATCCCATGTCCGAGTGAAACTCACCTCCTCGTGAGACGAGAAGACGGCAAAGCCGGTACCAGTAGGCTTGTGCTGATCGGGAGTGCGCAGGGTCCAGAAAGCGATAGGGCGACCACCGAACTGAGTGAACCAGCTCTCCAACTCGGACTGGGTAGTGTCGTGGGGCAGACCACTGAGGTGCAGGACCTTACTCCGCTCTGCCAAAAAGGCCCGGACGTCGGCGTGGGCGTCCATGGGGCGAGTCAGGATCTCGGGGTGTTCTTGTGGCGGCTGCGACTTGCGGATGAGACCCCGCAGCACACGGGCAAGAGTAATGGATTCCTCCATCGCACGGCGCGGCGAAGCGGGGGCCAGGGCTTGCAAGTGGAAGGGCAGGTTGTGCTTGATCGGGGCGGACGACTGAACGGGCTCAACCTCAAGGGCAGCACAGATGTTGGAAAGCGAGCTGGGACCGAAAGGCAGCGACTCGGGGTGGTGGGTCTGCCAGCGTTGATATTCGGTGCGCAAGTCGAAAGTGCGGGAGTGCTGCAGGTATGCGGGCAGCACGACGGCCTTGTCGCGGGCCTCGCGGGGCAGCTGCACCCGCAGATCCCAAGAGTCCAACGTCACAAAGGCAAACTCCAACTGTTTGTTGGTGAGGTGCTCCTGGGCAAAGGCGTCGAATCGAGAGATGGCATCTCGGAAAGTACCTGCGGAGCGGACGTGTTCCCATGTCAAGGTGGTCAAACTCGCTTCAACAATTGTCAGCTACTAATCCTAGCAAAACCCAATGCATCCTAAGGTTGGTCCAAGGCGAGCTTACTGCAAAGCGGGGTGATTGGAGTATTGACTGGTTTGACGAGAACGCTTTCACGGTGCAGCTAAAAAAAAAAGTGTGTCAGCCTTTAGGTTCTGCCCGAGGCGATGTGTATGTTGGGTAGATGCGTTGGGGGGCCGTACTTCTTCGCATGTCTTGCTGTCCAACAGAATCCATCCCAGCTCAATCACCTCGGCCGAGTCCTTGGTGACATAAACGCCATGTTCGTCGCAAGTGGTTGCAACGTGGATGACGATGTAGCGATCCAGCTTGGGGGTTGGTGCTGAAACGGCCGCCATCGCTGACTTGTCGCTCGGTGCCAACGGAGCGGCAGGAGAAGCCCGGGGAAAAGGGGAAAGGGTCTCTGCGGGGAAAAGCAGAAGACAAATTCAACACGACCGGAGAGAGTCGTGGAATAAATAGCAAAAGAGAAAGCCGGGGGGGGAGAAGAGAAGGGAAAGGGGGGGGGGGGGGGAAGAAGAAAAGAGACGTCGAGGTGGAGTTTTAAGAAAATGAAAAGTTTCGGGGCTCACGGGGGGGGACGGAGATTACCAGTCAGACAACACTTCATCAACTACAATTACTTTCTTTTCTATTGAAACTTCAATTCTCTTCAATTCCCCTGGAAATTTGTCTGTTCGGACTGGTTCTGGTGCAACCCCATCCCGGGCCCATATCCCTGCTCCGGTATGAGCACGCACGCTCTAAGGGAGATACGAGAAGATATCCGACAAAAGCAGGTGGGACAGTGATATCAAATCCTGATACATGATCCTACACATTCTTTACCTGCTGTCAGATTGAGCGGATCATCACGTGGATGGGGTATAGAGCCCCAACGGCGACTAGCTCAAGTCTATAAAAGGGGTATCAAGGGGCCTACCTGGACAGATTCATGCTTGATCTGGAGAATGGTGTTGGATAGTCAACTGGGACAAGATGAATAGTGTTCTGCGAAACTCAGTTCGCCCCAATTTTCTCCATTCCTGAGGTTATATATATCTCTACAGGGATGAGATTGGGGAAATCTGTCAATATTTCGCCCATGTACCCTCTCATTTCTCACTGGAGGACAAAGATGCCTAAAAAGGTCCGATATATAGACCAGAGATTTGATCCAATACTACTTTGTCAGGTTGCACAATTTTAGGACCGTTCATGCATGAAATAAGAGGCAAATAAGGGACCACTCGAAGAAAAGTATAATGGTATTGGAAAACAAAAACAGACTTTGCATCATGTACAAGAATTTATAACCACAGCTAATTATCCTACCAAATAGCCCTAACGCCAAACAATGGGAAGATCATTACTCGTCGCCCGTTTCCTCCTTGATAACCGTCCCCCGGCTGGTGTCATGGTCGTCCTCTTCATTTTCTTCCATGATACTAGGTTCGATGGAGACAATGGGGCGATTGGCGGTGGCAGATGTAAGACGGCTGTCATCTTCACCTTCATCTTCCTCCATAATGCTGGGCTCCACGGACACATGGCGGCGACTGATACCACCAGTAGGTTCCACAGACCGGCGAACACTGGCAGAGCGAACACTGGCCCCGTCATTTTCGGGGTCTTCAGTGCCTTCCCTCGGTCGAGCACTAGCAGCACGGGCATCCTGTGCCACGGCGAGGATCTTTAGAATAGAATTCTTGGCCTTGGTAAGGGCGTTCCTGCTGGAAGCTTCGCCAGCAAGACCTTCATCAATGGTTTGGTCTAATAGCTCCTTGACCTCGAGAGCAAGCTCATTATTCTCGGGGGCGATCTCAAGACCGGTGGCACTGCGGATACTAGTTCGGAATTGATCATCGCCCTCGGGTGCTCGAGAGCCTGCCCGAGAGGGGGCTGTAGGCGCAGCAAAGTAAAGCTTGCTGAGAAGGGAGAAGAGAAGCTTGCGTTCCTCACGAGAGCAGCGGTTGGTTCCGGCACTGACACCAAGAACTCGCTCGAGGATATCCTTGACCAAGGCCAGGTGTACCCATCCACACACGTTGGAGCTCGCGGTACCGCCAGCAAGAATTCTTTCACCACCAAGACCAACGACACGACGTTCATCGGTCCATTCAGACAACATTCCAATGACACCAGTCATGAGTGCCTTGACTTCACGCTCACCAATGCTGGCATCTACCTCACCATCACTGTCTTCCTCAGCCTCAAGCGAGTAATACTCCTCTGCAGCATTCATGACAGCGCGGATCACTGGCACAGCAACCCGGCGCATATGCTGTGTGTTGTCCACACGAGAATGGCAGTAGACGGGGAAGAAGTAGGCCAAGGACTGGCGAAGTGCTGGATTTTCGCGCGTGCGTGGGTGGAAGAATGAAACCACCAATGACAGCAATAACGTCTCAACAGCATTTTGGTTGTGTTCCTGGATTGCCGGAGGGACGTTAGGCCCTGCTGGTGTGAATGCACTGGTGAGTAGGAGCTTCGAGAGAGCAGATGCGGCTCCCGACTGCACACTGTTGGGAGAGTTGGCACGCAGAGCACGTGCAAAAACCTTCAGCAAGGGCTTCTGCATTGGTGGTGGTGTGACTGTCTCGCCATCGGACTGGGTGACGGGAGCGAGCAGTGAAGGATGTGTCGTAATCATATCGCAGAGAATCTGCAATGCAGTGACCTGCAATGCCTCGTGGCCCTTGCTGTAGCAATGAATGAAGAGGGTCATGTTCTCTTCGGCCAGATTCTAGATTAAATATCCAATATTAGCATAAATTTCCTTTCAGGACAATAGAGGTAACCAACCCTGTCAAGCAGGCAGCAAAGTCCCAAGCACAGCAGACCGCGCTCACGGATAGGAGCCTCGTGGCTGCGAACAGCAGGGACCACAAGGTTATTCAGCATGGTAACTAGGTTCATGCTCTGCTGGAGATTGCCCTGCACATTCTGCAGCATACACTGAGCAATGTAAAGACACTTCATGTTGACCACGATTTCGCGGACGATCTTCGCCTTCGCTTCCTCCTTATTGAAAGGCGTTGGCTCCTCTTCTCCTGGGGCTTCAGAGTTCTGGCGGCTGCTAGCATCGTCACTAATTTCAGACCGGGCAGACACAAAGCTATCCTCGGTGGTGATAGTATCATGGACTTCAGCAATGGCTTCCAAAACGACGCTGCAAAATTCGGCTTCACCAGCAGTATCAGGTCCGCAGACACACCGGAGAGTTTCAACAACCAGCTTGGTGCTCTCCTCCGGAAGTTCTGGCACAGCCAAAGATTCTCGCAGCAGAGAGAACATCTTTCGTCGACCAACCTCGTCGCTGTAATCCAAGGTGATGGCGATATGCAGCAGTTGCTCGACAACAAACTCGTGCTCAACCGCGTCCTCATCATTCGCATCGCCGCTTTCCTTGGAGATTTTCTTGCGCTCCAGAAGATTTGTGATGTACTTGCCCAAGAAATAGGCCATAGCGGTAACCTCGGGCATCTTGTCATCGGCGAGACTTTCATACTTGCCCTCATTCTCCACACGGCAGAAGTCATTGAATGACCGGAGTAAGAATGCGGATTCACCGTTCAGGTTCTCCCAGAAGGGCTCGTCAAAAACAACAGCCTCACGGTAGTCCGCGCGACCTTCCCAGAAACTTCGCATTGCTTCATGGGCAATTCCACTTTCCATTCCAGAATTGATGACATCGATTCTCTCCAGAAGTTCAAGGAGAGCGTTGGTGTTAGGCTCAGACCGCTGCCCAGGCGGTCCCTCATTCGGCTCATTGTTGGTACCAGCGCAATCCTCGACCCATCGATCGTAGAACAATTTCCCAGTAGCCTTACGAACACTTTCATCACGATCACGCAGACCCCAGCGAAGAAGTTTTTCTCGCATAGATAGGGATAGGTGGCGGAAATCTCCCAAAGTTGGGAGAAGGCGGGAGTAGAGCGCGCGCCTAGTAGGAGCATCGAGATCGCGGGCGCGTTCGAGGAGGTAGGGAAGTGTAACGGGGACGAGGGGGAGATTGGTTAGCAGGGTCTTGCGAACATCGGCGCTGGTGTCGTTTTGCATAATTTCGATCAGCTTTTCAAGGAGCGCGGTGGAGTTATCATCGTTTCCATCGTCTTCTCCATCATCTCCTGCCAGACGGCCCAATCCAAGAACTGCCTGCACACGAACAGAGGCCTCCTTATCCCGGATGCGTCTCAATAGACCCTGTCGGATGGTATGGTATAGCTCGTCATCAATGGATTCGAGCGAATTGACAATGTGAGCAAGAATTTGGGTTCCGCGGAACCGGACCATCTTGTCTTTCGCACCAAGGATGGGTACCATCAATGCGACAAGACTGGAAGTCAAGCGGGCAGTCGGGGTTTCTGGATTCTGCTCCTCATCGTCGCCAGAGGCGAACATCTCGGTATCTTTCTCCGAGGCATGGCCCAGGAAGGTTCCCAGGAAGCGCAAGATACGGTCACCAACAGGCTCGGTCTTCTTAATGGTGAGAATGCGGAGCATGCAGCGGCCGACCTCCACATTGAATTCTTTCTCGGCGGTTGTTTCCTCTCCTGGAATCAGCGCTTCCTCGGGATCCTGGTCTTTGTCCTTCTTGCCATTCTTCTTCCGGGCAATACCGCAGCAGATCTCTTGCAGCTTGCGCAAACGAACAACGAGCTTGCGGTGACCAGTTGTGGAGCGCTGAGCGTCCGCGAAAATCAAGCACACATCGCGACGTAGAGTGGGGGTTGATGGCTCTGCGGGTTCTTCGGGGATCGCAAACGATGGAGTGACGGAGCCAGCACGCCCAGATGTAGAGGGCTGTGCCGACGACCGGCGTGTTGTCGCAGACGTCGAGCGGGCGGCGACTCTGCCAGGCATGGTGGATGGGTTGCAGGTTGAATTAGAGGACAAAATGCATCGCGGGACCAAAGGAGAGAGCGGGCTTGGCGGTAAACAAACAGCCCAAAATGGGCGATAACGATAAGCAGCACGTGACGCCGAGGATCGGAGCTCGTCATTCCCCGAGATCAGCGATGCAGAACATTGTTCCTACATTCACCACAGAATGTTCCGTCAAAGTGTGAGGCGATTCGCCACTACAGCAGTGCGCGCTGCGACTGAGGGCTCCACTGCCTATTGTACTAAGGTGTCAACCGCCCAGGGCGTCGTCAATGGATTGACCGAGGGTATGTCTAGATCATGAGATGTCTATGATTGGAGCTGACTTGCATAGCAATTGGCAACACACCACTTATCCGATTGAAAAAGCTCTCTGAGCAGACCGGCTGCAATGTTCTTGGAAAGGCCGAATTTCAGAACCCCGGCGGTAGCGTGAAGGACCGAGCAGCGCTCTTCGTCGTCAAGGATGCTGAAGAGAAAGGTCTTCTCCAACCTGGCGGTACAGTGGTTGAGGGAACAGCGGGTAACACCGGAATTGGTCTTGCACACGTGTGTCGGTCCAAGGGCTATAAGCTCGTGATCTACATGCCCAATACCCAGTCGCAGGGCAAGATTGACCTCCTCCGCTTGTTGGGCGCGGAGGTGTACCCTGTCCCCGCAGTAGCATTTGACAACCCTCAGAACTATAACCATCAGGCTCGCCGTCACGCCGAGTCATTGGACAACGCAGTCTGGACCAACCAGTTCGACAACACTGCCAACCGTCAAGCTCACATTGCAACCACTGGTCCCGAGATCTGGGCGCAGACCGCTGGCAAGATCGACGCCTTCACTTGTGCTACTGGAACTGGTGGTACTCTTGCAGGTATCACCCGCTACTTAAAGGAAGCCAGTGACGGACGGGTTAAGAGTTTCCTGGCCGATCCCCCTGGCAGTGTCCTGCATAGCTATATCCAGAGCGGCGGCAATCTTATCGACCGTTCTGGTAGCAGTATCACTGAGGGTATTGGTCAGGGCCGTGTCACCGACAACCTCCAGCCCGATATCGGTCTGCTTGATGGCTCGGTGAACATCAGTGACGAGAAGACCATCGAGATGGTCTACCGCTGCCTTGATGAAGAGGGTCTTTACCTCGGTGCCAGTTCTGCTATGAATGTTGTGGCTGCCAAGGAGGTTGCTGAAAAGATGGGCAAGGGCAACACCGTTGTGACCATTCTCTGTGACGGCGCTTATCGGTACGCGGACCGCCTGTTCTCTAACACCTGGCTCGAGAGCAAGAATCTCCGTGGTTCCATTCCCCAGCACTTGGAGAAGTACATTGTGTTGCCTTAGATTGTGTATAGTCTACAACAAAATGTATTCTTCCTATATCCAAAATGCTTTGACCAAGTCATCACAATCTTAAGAATCTGGGCGCAACACATAGAATCAATAAGGCCCTGGACATCTAACAATGGTATGCCATATCTACTAAAGGGAGGCATGGTGAGCCAGCGGTACAAGAATGCTGCCACGTCGTGGTTGGACATTAAGATTCAAAGATCATCTTCTTTGAACCGGAATCGACAGTTCGGAGCGTAGCGACATCTACACACTGTTCTGGTAAGAAGACCTTCAAATACCCACAATTCAAAATAATAACAACTCCCTTCGCACCATACCCTGAACTTAGAAAGCCGACCTAACTCTATGTACCCCACGTCACTCTTCTAAGAGACCATGTGCCCCCAGTCTTCAAATATCTGAATTTCTTGATTGTTATATCAAGAATGAACGTTACCTGCAAGTTTGGCATAAATTTGACATAATCCTTCTATTCCAGCATGTCAAAGTTGCGAGAAATATCTCGAGGGTACATAGTTAAAAGTAATTTGAACAGCTAGTGTCAACCTAACGAACAAGAGACTAGAAAGATAAGCGAGGGCAATTCGAGCTATGAATTCTAGCGTCGCAAATCTTTTTTTGTGAGAATGGATAGTATACACCACATCAGGCTTCTTTGAATTTCCCCCAGACCATTTTTATTGTCGGTCCAGCAAGCCCTTCACAATTAAGGACCGAGGCCCCATAGATCCTAGCACAAACACTTTGTCCTCACCCATGCCACGAATAATCTATGTTATAAGTCTTCTTCTCGTTGGAATATTCGCCGGCACTGCCCCCCCCCCCCCTCCCCGGGTAATTGCAACGGACTGAAAGATCTGAATCTAAAACTGTCGTTCTACACGTATTATTAGAATGTGTACCGTGAGGGCACCGAGAAGCGGAGTCACCTCTATGCAGCTGGGCTTTTCATAGTGAACTGTCTTGATAGGTATGATTGCAACTGAGTAAGAGAGTTGCAAGAACCCGACAGTACAATACAATATACCAAAGTTTGGGCAGTCCACGGCCCGTTCCCGCGGTAGAGCAGGTTAAGTGGGTCCGCTGGGAAGATTGCTTGCATGACCTGCACGATAAGACAAGGCATAAAGGTAAATAGGCAGGAGAAGAAGATTTGTTAGTGGGCCCTCAAGAGGATTATCTCCTAATTGAATGGGGGCCTCCTAGAACTCCGGTAAGTTCTCGTTCTACGCAGAGCCCTAGTCGGATACCTAGAAGTTCACGACAAGGAAATGGAGTTAGATGCTTCAGTATAATTATGTAGATTATGATAGCAGACTCATAAAGGCCTATTGATCTGATTTAGCTTTCTTGTCTTTGATTGGATTTCAAAAAGCGAAATACAAGACAGGCGAGGATGATACTCAAGACACCTGTATCCGTTGTTAAGAATGTAGCTCAGCACGAGAAAGGCATGTCACTTACTCCACGTCCAGCTCATATAAGAATATCCAACCAGCTCAGTAAGTGATCCCGAGAGAACCGGGCCTATGATCATCCCAAGGGTAGCAGCGACTTCAGTCATAGAGAAAGTGCGTGAGAGGCCTCCTCTGGGACCGAATATTCCGGGAGTCAGCTCTTGCTTCTCTTTCACAAAAGCTATAAGCCTTCTTAGTCTGTGGCTCCTTTGGGAATGGATTTTTCAAAGGGAGACTAACCTGTTAGTTCAATCGGTGCCACACCGAGAATAAATGGCTGGAGCATGCCTATGGCAAGAATGCTAGCCCTGAAAAACACTCGCCCTCCAGTCTCAGCGCTTGACCATGCAAAGTAATCAGTCCCGGCAATACCGTGCAAAGCCATTACCACAGCCTGCACGAGAAATGCAATTGTAGCTGGAATTCGCGTGCCAATGCGGTCACGTAGCCAACCAGCGATAGGAGTGAGGACAACGGCAGGAATAGAAAGACAGAAAAATAAAAGCCCAGTAGCGCTGGTCCCCCACCCAAATGCATGTCTAATGTGCAATGGCAGCGTCGCATCGAAACCTGTATTGAGAGATACGATTGACACGGATACTAACAAGGCCGTCACGACGCGGCCACTGCTCAACAGTATGCCGTAGAAACCAAGAGTCGTGGTCGCGTCATGAGATCTCCTGGACGATTCAAGAAGACTCGTGCTCTCCGTTTCGGAAGTCTCGCTCGAAGGTTCTGGTTGAGGTTCATGAGGCCGCTCAACCATAATCAAACGAGCAATAACATCCACAATCAGGACCGCCAATGGAACAGACCATGCTGCCCAATACCCTGCTAGACCAAATAAAAATCCGGATATCATGGGCCCGCTGATAATACCCGCATGTGCAAAAGACGTGACGACACCCATGACAGCGCCTATGCTATCGTCGCCGACCGTTTCTGCGACAGTTGCAAAGCCAACAATCCACACAAGTGACCCAGCGATGCCCTGAACCACACGCCCCAGAAATAACAGATACAGCGAATGGGCACAAGCAATTAGTGCAGTCCCCAAAATACATCCAACAAGTGCCAAGAGTAACAGTGATTTGCGGCTAACCGATTTATCGGCGAAATGTCCGATGACAGGGCCCGAGATAGCGGAACAGAGACCATGTATTGCCAGAATGCCAGAAGTGAAGGTCTGCGTTTGAGAGGGGTTTACCTGCAGGCGATTTTCGAAAATGTATCCTAGAATAGGGACGAGGAATGCGTAAAGAAATGTGTCTATACAAATTAGCGAGGCTCGTTACAAGAAAGAGACTGACAGACCGGCAAAAACAGCAATGGAGATAGTAGATACTATCAGCCACTTCGAAGACCGCCATGGATAGTGTGAAGGCTCTTGATTGGAGTGACCCATCGTGATCCTGAATGTCACTGATGAGCTTGGGTTTCTGCGCCTCCCAAAATGAAACTTTTCTTCAGAGTCAATACATAGTGGTGAAAAGGATACCATCGTGAAATCAAGCCTACCGCGGTAGTAGTCAACCCCTTATGCAAGCCGCGACTCTGCTGGAAATATTTGGAATTACAGTCTGGACTGTTTCTCGTCATTCAGGTGGATCTCAGTGGAAAAGGGGGGCAATATAATGTACATGGATGCTGCAGGCTATGGAGAGCTGGTGGTCGTTTTTGCTTTTGCCGCTTTTTTTCATTGTTTTTTTTTTTTTTTTTTTTTTTTTTTTTTTTCACCCTGCATCATGCATTGCATGACCCGCCTCGGTAACACGATAGTCCAATGACTTAGCTCAGACCTGTATGAGATCTGTGAGAGCTAATGGTACAGGGATGTATTCGGATGTAAGACCAGGTACGAGCTGGCGATGTGTTTTACTATATATAAGGTATATCTTGCGTGTGCCCAACAAGTATTGGGATTGGTCTACATTTTCATCTCTAGTAACTCTTTCTTCCTGGCTTGACCATGCATAGTCTAAAAAGAGTTTTCCCTTCCCGTCTTGTCTATGGCCGTCACCATCTGGGTCTTTATTCTAGTTTTGGCATAGTCCGAAGAGGTCAGAACTTTGCTACTGTCTCCCAGACGGTTCCTCATCTTCAAGTTCCTGACATCAGCTTCGCGGAAAACCCTGATCATGTTCGAAAGGTTTCTGATCAGCTCCAAAAAGACGGCATTCTGAAAATCGGCCTTGGCTTTGGAGACGATGACAGCAATTATCTCCAAAAGTTGATTGTCAGTCTGCACAAGCAGCATGGGCACCGATTACCGATATCTCACAGCGCCTCATGTGGTTGGTTCTGGGATGTTCGACCAAATACTACGACCTTCCAAAGCCATAACCATCAGGCCCGATCTGAAACAATGGAAGACTTTCCCTGGCATACAGATTGCAGTTATGAGGAACCACCTCCCCGATTCTTCGCACTCCAAGTCCTGCAGCACGACCGTTGTGGAGGTGGCACGCTTTCAGTTCTAAATGTCAAGAGACTATGTGAATCGCTCTCACCAACCACTCGATCCGCGCTACAAAAGCCCGAGTACCGCATCACAATTCCCACTGAATTCATCAAGAATCCCGACCAACAGGATATTATTGGGAATATTTTATCTTCAAGTACTGGTGGCGACCAACCCGACATGATGCGATACAGAGGAGAGATCATATCGCCAATGAGTGAAGCAGCTGCAGCAGCGCTCCAAGAACTCGAACAATCTTTGCGGCATGAAAAGGGAAATTGGGTTGTCCATCTTACGCCTGAGATACTGCCCAAACGATCGATCATCCTCCTTGATAACCGCCTGTGGTTACATGCACGAAATAGCATCAATGACCCGGAGCGACACCTCCGTCGAGTCCGATGGGATGCTTCCCCGTTCATGAGTCTCTCAAATTAGAGATCATCTCTTGTGTTCATCTGCCAAATTATCTTGTGCGTCCATAAAATGAAAATCTTGACCGACCCCCTTCGCCACAGTCGAGTGTGCCATTCAAGCCTCGTGTACTTTCAGGCGGAATGAAAACCAGAAAAATTGATAACTACTTGTGTACGCATTCAAACTGCGCACAGTACATAGATTGTTGCTTGTCAGATCAGAAGTAAAATCTCTATATACCGTGCATAGCGTAGTATTGAAATCATGGACCCTTCGCGGGGCTGAAATTTGGAGTCGCATGTTGCCCAACCAGAAGCCCTAGACGCATATGTGGCTGGCTGGTAGGACAAGAATTCAAGAATTCGTGCATGAACCCCCCAACATTATGCCCGGCGGGGTATTCTTGCATCAGCTCCTTAATTAAATGTGTACACCTGCGGCAGGCGATCAATATTGTGGCGCGTGAATTAATATACCGTCATCCTGTAGGCATCACAGCTCTCGACGTACATTCAGGTGCCTCTCTACAGTACATCGCTTGGGAAAGTTCGCGTCAGTGGAAATAAAGGAGTAGCTAAAGGACTGGCGCTGAGCCTCTTGGTTAAGCGGAATACTTTGAAGAGTGGACATTCAAGTAGTTGTGACCACCGTCACAATACCTCCTGGCCCGGAGCATCAAGGTGGAGATGTGACGCCGTAGTGAAAATGCAAGCTGAACTCATGAAAATAACACCCAGTGGATTAGCACTGCCTAGAATCAGAGCGAGGTAGGTCTGCGCCCTGCAGGCCAGAAAGTCTCATGGGGTGGGCCTGCATATCCTACAGTGCCACCACGGGGACGAAGGGAAACATTACATTTGTTCGGCCCGAGAAACAATCATTCCGCCATGACGGTGATAGTAGAGAGTGCTGTATCTGCATTTGAAGAATTGACACGTTCATTGTTGAATGTGTGGGAATTACCGTGGGCGCTCGCTGCACGATGATGTGGACCTGGAAGCGGCGATCCCGGTTCCAATGAAAAAGATCTCCAGTATACTGGGCAATACATCTTAGCAGATGCATACCGTACCCGGAGTCCATGTAATCCCTGCTAGTCGATACTTGACATCCACATTGTACTCATTTGGCCATTCCTTGTACCTAAGTGGCTTGAGGGATGCCCTTTGCAGACCGACTGTAGAAAAGTGCAGGGCGCAGCTTTCTATGGCAAATGGCCTGAGCTTGAGTTGCTGTGGAAGGGGGGCTTAGCTCATCGAGTCACTGCGTCCAATGATCATTTCCGGAGTGTAGAAATATCGGCCTCAATGGTAATCTGCCACTGTCAAAACAATAGTCATTGGACAATTATCATACTATACAGCAGGAGTGACAAGTCTCCTCACAGATCTACTGTATCTGACTAAGCCCATTTTGAACCACTACAACTTGATGCAGCTGAAACTGAGCAAGAAAGAGGGGAGAGACAAAGAAACCAAAGCAAGGCAAAAACAATGCATAAACCGCTACACCGGCGGTGCGGGTATCAAGTAGGAAATATCCAAAATTTTATGACTGGCACTCGGAACAAATCTTGAACACTTGTTGCATCCTAATTTCGTGCACAGAATGTTACCTCAATTGAATCTATCCACAAATTTGATCACTTTGTTTCCCGTAGTGCTGCGCACAAATCCATTGACATCATCCAGGATAGTGACAGAAAGCCGGCCCTGATTTCCAGAGTATACATTGAAGAATGCTTTGACTCGATCCGAGAGGGCATCAGACGAAATCTCTTTGCCCGACGAGCAAAGCAGACGGACTTCAATGGCGGAACGTGGAGAAGTTTCATGATGATCCAGAATCAGCTGCCATTGCAGAACTCCGCAATCCTCCGAGCTCAACATTGCAGTGAGAGCCTCAAACTCAAAATACATTCCATCCCACTCAAAACTGAAGCGTCGATCGCGCCCGTAGAGGCGAAGGACACGGAAGAAAGGACGGTCGCGTTCGCTCAACTGAGCAAAGGCGGTCTCAGGTAGGGCGTGAACTGAGCCGATATCCCCAGTGATATAGCGGATGAGTGGGTTTCGCAAACGATGAAGGGATGTTTGCACTATAATGCCCGACTCTCCATCTGGAAGCGTATCCGGAATCGAGGCAAGGTCGGAATTGACCTCCATGATTGAAGAAGGAAAGATTTCAATCAACATGGCACGCGTGTCAAAGATAAAGTCCTGAGAGCCTGCGATACTTGGGTTTCCAGTCAAGTCGGGGTTACTGATAGCCCACGGTCCTGCCTCTGCGCTTCCTAGCATAGAACAGATACTGACAGCACCAAGTGTAGTTTCGACAAATGCTCTTTGGTTCGGAGTCAGCATCTCAGATGTGTAAACCACCTTTTCAATATTGATTTTCGCTCGTTGCTCTTGCGGAAGTGTCGAGATATATTGAACCGCATTCACGATCTGGCTACTCTCTCCGGACAACACATTGACATGATAGTCAATGAGACCCTTGATAATCTCGGCCGGGGTCATATAACTCCCACCACAGAGCACTGTTGCTCCGCTGTTTTCAATGATTTCCGCCGTAAGATCCATGGATCTCGATACTTTGTTAGCGATGCGTGTTTCTATTGGTGGCTGCACACAATACGGCTCACCTGTAAAAATGACCCGCAAAGTGGGACGTCAGGACCCAATCTGTCTCTTTGATGACACCGGTAGAGTTGAGGAATTGACCAAACCAAGCCCTGTGTCTTCGATTTTCATGGACATCTGTGGCGAAAAAGAGAGGCACGCCTCCCGATCCGCCCCCAGTCATACTCGTATAGCAGCTCTTGCGGTAGGTATTTTTGGGGCTCATATCACATACAAGCCGCTCAATTACCTTGTATCTGGGTCATGTGAGCATCGGACAAGGTGGTTTAAGATGCAGGTAACGTACAGGTCCTTTTTGGTTAGCAGTTTCTGTGAGCTAGGGCTGGCCATTTCATGGCCGTTTGCCTGTTCTCGGGCAGACTTCACATCTTCCGCACTGGGTGGATAGACTATATCGGGGAAATAGAATGGATGTCGCCTGGCGACAGCCAGGACTTCTGACAAAAGGTATGGCTCTGTCGACATGGTTCGAAAACCACAAAATCCCAATGTTAGCACGGATTTTCACGATCACCATGCTGGATTCATCTGAGCGGCAAGTAACAATTTATGTAATTTATGGACCAAATTTTAGGATTTAGTCCACGCCTGAAGAGTGCAAGTGCCAGAATGCAGTTGATACGTCTCGAGCTTCGATGGCGATTTGAGGCGATTTGACTCTACTGTACTAGTGGGATACAAGATGCATCTTGGTTGCGATCAAACATGATCTTAGCGTAGCTTAACTCGTCATTCCGCTAAGCTGAACAGGCAGCAAAAGGCCCATGCTGTGTGTTCACAATAGGAACCGCGTAGTAGATCCTCCGAGGCCATCGCCTACCGCTCCGCTCCCGATTCAGCATGGACCACAAAACCATGCAGACTGTGACGTATCACAATTTTTTTTATCTTATTTCTTCAGGAACCGACGTGGCCTTTTTTTCGCCGGTCTTTCTGAGGACCGATTCCCACACTATTGCTGCCACTAATGCACGTCCTCATACATATCCAGACATGGAGATCTGCTGAAAGTGAGGGATGCTGCGCAGCTGCATGGGACCAAGGTAACAATCCATCGCTGTGGCCGATTGGAGGAGAATTTAGTCGCAACAATAGTAGTTGCGCCATCCTATGCACTTGTACAGTATTTAGTTCAAAATCACGCGATGTGACTGTAGATCAATGTGAATCGCCACAGGTGTGGAATTCAGCTCTGAGTTTCTCTAGTACGTGTACGTGATGGGGTGCACCGTGAGATTGGGATGTTAGTGTGCTACTATTCTGTGAGGGACATGTGTGTACTGTATATTACTCTACTGCGAGACGAGAGGTGCAGTTACCAGGAAGGGACCAGCTGTCCTTGAGTAACGCTCATTTCACACCGTAATTCTCTGAGCGGTAAGTGAGCCCGAGGACACCGGCTTTCGGGCGGATCTAATACTAAAACTAGATGAGGAATATATCCTGGCCAAGCAAGAACCTCAGTCCAAGCACGGCATATGTACTTTTGACTTATACTTATCTATAAAGTCGGATTGGTATGAGGGTCAGCAACGTGATACAAAGAGCCTTGTGAAATACATCTCACCGGGTCCGAAATATCTAGGGCTGTCTCTCCTCGCCTTGCAGTAGTAGGTCTGAGGGTTCTGCAGAAGTACAAGGACTCTACAACATACTCGGCGTGTCAATCCGAGTGACAATTTACCCTCAAAAATCATTGACGAGAAAGAAGACATGAGTAGAAAACAATATGGTATCAATTGGAAGAGGTGAGTCTCAAAGCCTATTGGCATATGTCCACGCTGACAAGTTGATATTATACAAAAGAGTAAAGTGTGAGACAAGCGCGATCTATGGTGAAACCACCATGCCGAGGCCATGCCGCCTCAAACGAGACAAACATCAAGAAGATCACAAGCCGGAAAAGCCAAGTTCCCAGCAAAAGACAGAAAGCAACCCAAACACCCGCAATGCTCCATCTTATCCAGAACGCCAGATGCCGTAGAAATATACAGAGGAAAACACAACAGACCGAGACCATATGTAGTCATCTATTTAGTCAAGTCGCGTTGTTCAACTTCAGCTCCGAGAGTCAAAAGCCAAAATCCGAGTCAAGTCGAGCGTTTAGTCATCGCTGGCAGGCATTCTCATGTAGGCATCAATAGCCGCACTAAACGCAGCGAAACCAGCACAACCAAAGGCGGCAGCCTGGGGACCAGCCTTGGCACCGAGGATACCACCAGTGACACAACCAGCGGCAACACTGTTGGTGAGATCGTTCTTGGCGCGGAGACCCTCAATGCAGCACTCAGTACCGGAGTAGAGCGCACCGACGATACCGAAGTTCTTAGCAGACGACCAGGAGCGGGCACCCATATCCTTGAAACCGCGACGGACTTGCTCGCGCCAGGGGAGGTCGGCGATAGCGCGGCCCTGGGGTGTGAAGGTCGAATCGTAGGACATCTAAAAGAGAGACATGAGACTCTGCGCTGGGGATATCTTGTGATTTGGTAGGAAAGTTGACTTACACTGGCCATGAAGAGACCGAAAGCTCCACCAAGACCGAAACCCATGGTGCCGGCCATTACGGTCTTGACGGGGCAAGACTCCATACCGCGTTGCATCTATTGCGCGTCTGTTAAAAAGTGCATGGCGAGAAAGGTTGATTACATCACGAACCATCTTGACCATTGCCTGCTCCTGCTCATTCATACCCTGCATGCCGGGGGAACCTCCGAGACCGCCCATCGGCGCCACGCCGCCTGTTGTGCCTGGAAAGGCCATTTCGGATGTCAATGCGAATTAGGTGTCGATGATTTATTGATATTGGGTAGTCGGGTGAATTCAGAGCAGACTGATCCTGCGTCCACTAGGCCTGGGCAAGGAAAGAAGGCGCTTGGAATGAATGAATCAAGCAAAGATTCAAGACGCGGAGATCTTGCGGAGGCGACCAGAACCGCAAATTTATTTTTACGGTGGACGGGGCAGCCATCAAGTGCGGAAATCAAAGCACGTGATTGCCACTGAGTTCCCGGAGAATTATTCCACCGGGTGGCCAGTATACGGAGCACCGTAGGTGTGAATGTTAACAACTTTGTGATCTACAGATGTATTCACAGAAGAATGAATAACTAGGTGAAACTATGGTAATCCAAATGGTATTTCAACAAATTTCCTAGCAAATGGCAAAGCCAGTATTTTAAGGTAGCAAAATCAAGAAAATGCATCGACAAAGACAAGAAACAACGCTCTCGTGTGGTATCGGTCGTCGGCCTGCGTGATTCGGTAGATAGGGCCAGAGAATCAAGAAATAAGTATGTACATGAAGGTAAAGAAAAGAGCACCATTAGTCCTTCTTGCTGTCCTTGCGAGTCAGCGAAGGACAGGATGCTCGCTCTGGAGACGGGGACAAGGAGCGTTCCCACTCTGCCATCAAATTGGAGGCAGTTCGTTGAAGCTTAGAGGGAGCCAGTTTGGTAATGGTAGGCCATGGGATGCCTTCGGTGACACTGGGATCAGGCGCAGTGGAAGCCGGGTTCCAATCACCAAAGCTAAGGTTGCGGTCAGCGCATAACGAGGTTGTCATAGATGAAATCATGAAAGGTCGAACGGTACCTAGCGCTTGTTCGAGGACTACTGCCCTGTGTCACGGGTGATCGATCTTGCTTCGATTCAACAGTGGATCGACTCGATGAGGGCGTGTGCATCTTCTTTCCGGATGAGGGGGTATCCCAGCTATCCCAGTTGTCGAGTTCGTCATTCTGCGCATCGACTGGAGTGCTGGAGCGGCGATCGGGCTGCTCGGCTTCGGTCGCCCCGTTTGGGGCGGTTACTTGGTCGGAGGGGGTGCGGAGAGCGTTCGGAGACTTCTGAGCTGGTGTATCAATGCCGAATTCGTCCCAGAAGGATGTGGATATTTCCGCCGGCTTGGTGTCTTTACCAGTTTTTGTCTCGACCGCTAGTCCCCTCCCCCGCGATGACGATGACGATGAAGATCGTGATAGCTTGCCGTCCGCTATCAGCCGCTCTCGGCTTCGTGATTTGGCCAATGAATCGCGCTTGCGACCATTTGGCGGCGCCAATGAGTTGGGCGACATGTTTCGTGTTTGTGTTCCGTTGATACCTTCCTCGCCCACCGTAGCTTGGCGGATGTCTTCCAGGAATGTCCAAAGGCCTTCCCGTAGGTCAGATGCCATTTGCTTGCCAGTACGCATCAAAGCCTCTCGCGAGGGCGGAGGAAGAGTCTTGCGCCACTGAGCGAGCAGATGTTCTGGTACCTGGCTTTCGTCAAGCTGTGCGCCCATCATAGCAGCATTACTGCGTTCGACCGATGGCAGCGTCGCAGACCGAGGAGTACGACCTACGCGATCAGCTTCGGGGAGACCTTGCTCACGTGGGAATCCGCCTGAAGCTGTGACCGGAGACAGGAGAGACAGGGTTCGGGTGTGTGCTCCTTGGAAAACTCGCCGACCGTTCGTACCAATCTTGGTGCCGTTGGCTGCAGCTGTGCGGACACTGGTACGTCGCTCGAGGTCCCGACTGATCCGTTCCTGTGATACCCCAGAGCCAACCGAGCTCATGCTCTGCTCTCGGTGGTGTGCATTTAACGCTTCGGGTGCTGAGAAATCGGGCGATCGGAGTGGCATAAGGGGTTCCGCATGGTTGATCTCCGCCCGTTTCCTGTTCTTTTCGGATAGTGCCCACTGTTTCTTAATTGTCACTAGATCTGCTTCAGCACGGTGGAGTTCCTCCCGAAGTTCCATGACCTTCCTTTCCTGCGAGGCGATAGCCCGCAGGAAGTCATAGCCATCATCCGGGACATCAAAAGACATGGGTGTTCCAAGCTGGGCGGTGGTTGGACGGGAGGATTGCGTAACCGGAGTGGCAGCTCCGGGTGAGGAGACGTCGGCTGTGGATTCGGGTTCGTTCAGGTTGATGGGGAAGTTGAGGGTGAGTCGTTTGGCATGGCGGGCCGTTGGCTTTGCAGAAGGTAGTGACAACCGTTTGTTTTGCGTGAGTGAGCGAGACTCGGAAGCAGACTCCGGTTGAGGCGTCTGGGTCGCATCCGGCGGTGGCCCGTGGGTGAGGCTCTCCGCTCCCGGAATACTCTCCATGGTGGACCAGCCAGCAGGAGAGAACAATCAGGATAACATGAAAGGGAGAAAGAATGTACAGCAGTGCAAGTATGTAAAGGGGAAAACAATAGCTCTGACAGGTGTGGTCTCTCCTGAGTCCAGCCCACAGCGGGTCCGCGTTTCAGGGGTTTAGCGTCTTATTCAGCCATGTGTTTCGAGTCTTGGCATTTGAAAAGCCCTAACTGCGAATTCATGCTATTGCGAGGTTCTTGACAGTGTGCTTGTGAGGGTCCCCAGGGCATTGTTTTATGTTGCAGGTGTCTAATGGTCCATGGTCATTCGATCGGCTTTGTTTGGGTCAAGGGCAGCGCCATGGAATGTGTCACGCTTAGGAGAGATCATCTGCTTGGAGTAGCCTTGAGACAGTTAACTTGGGCCTTGACGTGGAGAGCGGGACTCCCGAATCGACACTTTTTGGTAGACTCGCTGCCTTGAGCTTTGTACGTGCTGGTTGTAGCTACACTAGTACCGGGCCGTTAGGAGACTCGCCAGCCAACCTGCATGAGCAGCTTCATATATTGTCCAGCCATCGGAGACATGCAGTGAGTGGTTCACGCCCAACATCTTCGCATCCACGAGCGCGACTTAGCCTCCTCTTTGACACAAGACTGGCATGCAAATCATTGAGAGCCCACCATACACTGCTGTATCTGCGACACCCTGAGGGTATTCCCAGTCTTTGGTCTTGGACTGCTCGATCCATATCTGAAGATTGAACACAATCACTTCGGACCCCATCTAATCAACAACAGAGTTCCCTCCATTCATGTGCTCGCCTCGCAGAGTGATATTGAACAGATCACGCTAGTAATAACGCAGCCGTTGATTGTGGTGAACTAGTTGCACATGGATTGCTACACAACGGTTCCTCTGTTCCCTTCCCGCTCTGCTCCAAAGACAAAGCATTGACTTCCAAGCAGGTCTCATACCACACGAGTCCCTCAGCTCTATTTCCAACCCGCTGTATTCTGTGGATGGAGAGGGGGATCTGATTACTCCTATCGTCCTTCCAAGCGACGGGAATCCTCTTCTTGTCGATCCCGGACACGATGGGCACGAAGGCCGGATTGTCTCCAGGCCTGAACAATCACTCGAGGGCCTGAAGTTGGACTAGGACCATGGTGTTGAAATCTCGGCAACAGCAACACTAGGGAGCCACTCCTTCAACCCCTGCGAACACATGGAACTGACAGTCTCAGCCAGGTACGGTCATTTATCCGCCCCAAGCTTCCGAAACAAAAGAGGCACAGATAGCATCTTAGACTACCTTGGGCAAAGAGAAAGTACAGAAATAGAAATGGCGATATCAACATGAAAAAGGGTATCTAACAAAGAATTGATCCCCACGTACCAACGCCTCGCGTTGATCCTCGAGCCCAAGGAACAAATACAAAGCAATGGTATTGGCCAGATCACATTCTCACAGTACAAAAGCCGGAAAGCAGCAGCCGATAGTTCATAATAACCCTCAGGTTATAAACCAACAGCCAAATTGAAAAGGAAATCATAGAAATCGGAAATGGGGAATGTAACTCCAAGGAAAAAGAAATCAAATTTGTCGAAGGAGACTTCCATCCGCAAATGGGTTTTCAGGTGACATATCAAGTAACGGCTTTGTAGCGTTACGATCGCCAGTGGCCACGCCGTGTCCCTTTCTCTGTGGCGGAGTTGCCATGCTGGAGGAATACGCGAGGAGACTATTCGGGGTGAACTGATTGCTTGTAGAGACAGGACTTGCATCTGCGGAATGGGATCCTGTGTATGGGCTTTGCGGGTGTCGCACGTTGCGAGTTGTGTTTCGTCGTTGGGGAGGGATTTCGGCGGGTGGGCGGCGCCAGGAGGTTGCTGGTGGGATGGCTACTGAGCCTTGGCTCAGGTCTGGGCCTGTGGCTCCTTCGATTAATTGCATCCCTGGTTCGACTTTGACGCCGTGGCCTTTGCCTTTCTTGCTGTGTTGGGGTGGCTCGACGAAGACGGGGGTAAGGTCGACGAGGGGTTTGTTCTTTTGGTCAATAGAGTTGGATTGGCTGAGGGATTGAGTTCGGTTGAAGAGCGTGGTGTCTGGGGCTCGGGTCATCGTGTTGGTTCGGCTGTTGGGATTTGAGTCATGATGTATTGAGCCTGTGCCGATCAAGCCGGCGCCTGTGAAGGGATCTTGCATGGAGCGCTTTTCACGATCCTCGCGTTCGCGCATGGCGGTCTGGCGTTGGGTGTATGTTCGGCCTAGGAGACCTGATGGGGCAAATGTAGCAGCTTCCACTTCGGCGGGCATGACACCAGGCACCAATGGCTCGTTTTCTGCCTTATGGTCGAGTAGCAGGTCTTGGGGGTAGGAGGATGGAGGAGGCCCATGACCACGGGTAGATTTTTTCCGAGAGAACGCTTCTTTAGAGCTTGACGGCCTCTGGTAATCAGAGCTTCCCTCTCTCGAAGAGTCAGGTCTAGTCTCGCGTTGTACAAGTGGAACATCGACCGGCGCCTGTTTGTGCTGGCGAGCCGACTTCTTGGTCCCAGAGCGCTTGAGGGTATCGACGTCTGATTTCTCTGCTACTCCCACCTTGTTGAGCAAGTACCAACTCCTCCATTTCTGAGTAGCCCGATACCACTGGTCTGCAATGGTCTTGTCACTTGTTGAGAAGAAGTGCACAAAGTTCTCTGTAGTGAGGAACATTGAAGACTTCTGTTGACTTTTGATGGCAAAGCAGATTTTCTTGGGGGGTTTGATATCTTTGCTCAGGGCTCGAGCGCTGGGGAAATAGATGTCAAAGTCGGACAAATGACAGATATTCGTGTGATCCTTCGCATTCTCCTTTTTCGCAATAGTGACCTGTCCGTCGGAACGCATAGTCACGTATCGTTTGTCCCACCTGCGACGACGCTGGGAATGGTAAAGATAGACAGTCTCCTGGGACGGCTGCTCGCTGGGAACATGTGCTGCTTCCAACTGGATCAAGGTATCGACACTGGAGGGAGGAATAATGATAAATCGATTGTCGGCATCGGTAGACCAGGAGTTCATGACATCGCGGATACGCTCGAAGCGACGAAGGGGTCGTTCCAAGCCCAGTTGACAGAACGACTCCATAACAATAAACTTGTCAGGCTTGATATCCTTAGACAGACCTTTCGTCGCATCCAATAAAAGATCCTGAACAGAGGTCGACGGCATGATAGTAAGGTTGGAAGAGGCATCTCCATACTGCACAAGAACGCGACGCTCCCCAGCATTGACAGCACTCTTGGGCGCATCAACCCCCGGGACCACACCCGTCCCACCCCCAATGTACTTCGGAACCGGCTCGGATTTGGTCACAGCAGCCTTGACCTTGGACAGATTGACCCTGTCGAAGAAAGATTTGCGGTGCGTGTCTGGTGCGGTTTCGCGTACGCGCGAGCGTTCGGCCCGACTCGCCTCTTTCAGTCGAGGTTGTGTCGCGTTATTTCCTCCAGTCAATTGATCCATTGTATTCTGTCGATGCGCTTCACGCGCGCTTTCATCGCCGTCATTTTGTTTCGCGTACCGCGTAGGTCTGGTCTGCACATTGTCGCTGGTCTTTTGGTGTGGAATTGCGGGAGGAGGGACCGCTTCTGTCGGGCGATTGCGACGATACCGTGATCTGCTCCTTGCGAGCGAGGGATTTTGTTCACTGGACGGAGCCATCTCCGCGTCTCCACGTGCTCCACGGTATCTTGAGAAAATCTGCGGTAATCCCCGGTGTCTTTTTCCCGTGAATTTTTCTGAGAAGCCCCCCTGGGGGCGAGGTGCGGTTTCAGGTTTGGTCTCGGCAGCTGCCCGGAAATTAACCTCAACTCAGGATCAGATTTTGAAGCACGATTCGTCGCGAAGGGTCAGACGAAGAATTAAAAAGAAAACGACCTGGCACAATGTGGGAAAAAGGTAACGGTGGGATTTGGCACGGGCCTGGAAAGCCCCTGGTATTCACAGTCTCATTTCCAAGTGACCAGTCGCAAATGCGGCCCGCGCCGATCGCTTAAGGCGTAGGGCTCTGTTGCATGAGAGACTCACCGAATATGCAGATCGGATCTGAGTCATGATGAGAAGTGGTCGGGAGGACATTTCCGCACGCGGACATGAGGTTACTCCGAGTTGGCTACGATCGACAGGGACTATTGCATTGTTGCATGATCAGCCTTATGGAGATATTCCTGAGATATCCCCAGATCTTCCCAAAGGTGATTCTTAGTGGAGATCGTGGAGCTTATTGTTCAGCCATATTGGTGGAGACTGCTACGGTTTGAGACACTGTAATGTTCATCTTTCTTTCTTAATCCTCTATGTTGTGCGGTTTGCCTAGGTCATTCTAGAGGTCGAGCTTACTTCCGGTAAGCACCCAATTCCCTGCGCCTGCGTTCTGTTAGAATCTCCATCTAAAGGTGTAGAAATTGGCACGACTTACCACCAGGCGATGAAATCCATTGTCCGCACATCAATCCCTATGTCAGATAATGCCTTGGTTGACAAGTGGGTATCGTAAGGCCTCTGCACCGCAGCGTTGGGGTCATTGCCCTGCTTGATCATACCAGGGGTCGCTACACCAAGCACCTGAGCGATCTTTTGGCAGATCTCATACTTGGTCATACGGTCCTCAGATGTGAACTGCAGAATGCGTGGCAACTCCTTGCGCTTCTCTTTCTCCTTGAGGTACTTGATGACAATGTCCCGACACACGCGAGCAACGTCCTCGGTATTTGTGGGGTACCGCTGGGACCAATCGTCCATCTTCACAGCGGCATTCTCATCAGTGGCCTTCTTAACGGCATCAACGAGTATGTTCACTGCGCTCTCGGAGTTCTCCTTGGCGCTGCCGTACAGCACTGGCACGCGCAGTACCACACCGAGACCCGAGTCGCCGGTTTCTTCCAGAACTGCTTTCTCGCCATCTAGCTTGAATTGGCCGTAGATGTTTGGGGGCTTGGTCTGCGCATCGGCCTCATAGGGTGCCTCACCCTCGGTGCCGGGAAAAACGTAGTCGGTTGAGATGTAGATCAAGAAAGCACCACGGCTCTTGCATTCTTTGGCCAAGGCGCGTGTGGCATCGACATTGACCTTGCGAGCCTGGTCAGGGTTCTTCTCGCAGAGATCGGGTGACTTGTTTGCGGCGCCTGCGGGGGTTAGTGGTGGGGTTCGAGTCGACGGTTTATGAGCTTACAGTGGATGACAATTTGAGGCCTGCAGGTAACAAGCTTGTCAGTAGCTGTAGAAAAGAATAAATTGCTAAAATACATACTTTACTTCATCGAATAGAGTCTGAATATCTTCATTCTTCTCGAGGTCAGCCTTCAAGATGGTAGGCGGGGCAGCGCGGGAGAATCCCTGTCCAACGACCAGCACGCCGGAGTGCTGGAAGGTGTTGAAGACAGCGCGTCCTAGGAAGCCACTAGCTCCAGTAACGAGAACAGTAGAAGTCATGGTGTGTGTTGTTGGTGAGTGAGTGTTCAAGGGAGTATTTCCCTCGAGGTGGACTGTGACGTAACTGACTTAACAGTACACCGGGTTTCCACTTCGATCCGGCTTGGGCTTCAGTGCTCCGGAGCAAACAACTAAATTTACAATTCTTTCTACTAGTAAGCCAAGTTGCGCCTCATGATTTCATGATCGACATGAGGCGTTTCTCAAATTGAAAAGTCTGCAGACGGAGGCACGATTTAACCGTATTTAAGGTTGAAGTTGGTTGGCTGCTCACATGAGGCATGCCAGCCTCATTGCACAAGTGGCATTGGATACAGCAACTCTATCGAGTAACGAAAGTGTCCGAAGAGCAATTTGAGAGTTTAGCAGTTGGTGGCTTGCGAGGCGGAATTGGCATATTGGAGAGGTATAGTCCGATATAGAGCAACCCAATCAACATACATCTGGGTATGTAGTCACATTATAGGGCTAGGAACTGAACACCAATAAAAAATGCTAACTAGAGATGCCCATTCCTGTATTGCTCTAGTTTATTTCCTCCTATTTCGATTGAGCTGAGTCAGCGTACATTTCAGTATGACACGTGATTAGTTTGCTTACTCATGTATTACTCAGATATATTTAGATGCCACGGGAAAGTGGTGATCGTCCCATGTATTTACCGTTCTCCCTCCAATGTTGCTGGGCCGCGGGTAGAAGGACACATCCGTCCACTATTTGAGACAGTCCACTCATCAGATCCAACAGCAGTCAGCCCATAGAAGAGGTCGTGTGGGTCGTACTTGGCTTTGATTGAGCGCAACTTGTCGTAACTCTTGCCATAAAAGGCTGTCTTAAAGTCAGGCTGGCGGAAATCACCCTAAAGATTCCTAATTTAGCATTTATGTCTCCAACCAAAACCTCAATGATAGGAAAGATGGAACGTACCTCGTTCAGATAAGCACCAGATTCGGGGGCTAGGTTGCTCAGGCTAGGAACTAGCACGTCGGTCATCAATTTCCGCTTCTCAAGCATCTTCTCTGGCTGGTTGAACTCCCACGGAGTGGATAGCACGACGTGGGCAATAGCATCGCGCCATGCCGGGTTCACGGAGTTGTAAACGTCGCCAGTGACGTCCTTGGTCACCTTGATGCCAACAGTCGTGAAGGTGGCATGGTGAGAAAGGACAGTACGAACGGACTCTGTCAATTCATGGCGAGAAGTGGGCCCCTCGAACATTAATCGGGGGAGAAGCCAGCCACCATACTGGGCGATTCCAACCTCGACGAGGGGCGTTTGAGCGTTGAATTGGTCAACGTAAGCACTGAACTCCTCCGCGTGGTACTTATATTTGATGCCGAGCTTTTCCAGCCCATTGAGGAAAGGTTTAACCAGATTTTGGAGCTTCTTCAGTGGAATACCAGGTGCAGTCATGGGAGTGATGCCGAAGGAAGCGTTGGTGAGGAAATTAAGACTCATGATCCCCTCATCGACAAAAGAAGGCAAGTACGTGTTGTATAGCTCCACAGCCTTGAAGAAGATATCGTCAGAAATACCGTCGGTGGTGAAACTCAGGTTTAGACCAGACACATGGCTATCCTGATGAGCCTTGGAGGTCATAGACCAAACGACACCATATGTACCACCACCGCCACCAGCCAGGGCCCAGTAGAGATCGGCGTTCTGGTTACGATTTGCGACAAGAAACTTGCCAGTGCCATCGATAACCTCCCACTCGAGAACCTGGTCTGCACCGAGTCCATGCTTAGAAGACAGGGAAGAGTGGCCGCCTCCCTGACTATATCCACCTGCGATTCCAACAGTAGGGCATTCTCCACACACCACTCGAAGACCATGCCTGTGAGTTGCCTCGAGGGCCTCCATCCCCTGGACACCAGCGCCGAGCTTGATAGCCTTACCAGTGTAATATTCGTCCTTCCAGTTCCTGATCTCAATATCCTTAAGGTGGTGTGTCCAAACCGAGAGAGCGCCTGCACCAGTGGACTTTCCGTTATAGCTATTATATATTAGTTATTCATCGAACATATTTGCGACGTTGAAAGGCGGTAGTACTCATGGCCGGTGTTGCGGATAATGAAACGGATATTGTGCCTTGTCGCAAACCTCAAAGTCTTGGCAACATGGTCAGGCGAGGAGATGTTAACTGCGTAACGAACGAAGTTACCCAAGGTGCATGGCTTGGAAACGGGGTGGTATGGATCGCATGTTCCATTTGTGAAGAACGGGGCCATGAAAGACGAGGAGGTTTGGTAACTGGCAGCCGTTAATAAATCATTTCACGCAGCAGATTACTTTATTCAAAGGTCTTACTGCTCCTTAGGTAAAAGCCAGCCCTCCCTCAGAGTGTTACATTGCGTTGAATTGTACGAGGGAGCATGGCAGTGAATGGCGAGGGGTTCAGTGGCCACAAGACGTCCATCGACAGACTGGTTGAAGGCATTCCAGACTAAAGTCGAAGGCCAGCAATCATCACCGGGGAGACAGCGGCAAGATGCCCCCTCAAAGGCTTGAATCGGGGGGGGATGGCAGCAAGGCCGAGGATAGCCCCGATCTTGAAGGCCAATGACAGCATTACACAGAACACAGAGTTTTGTTTCGTATGACAAGGTTAGGGGGGATAATGAAATAAATTTTAGCACTGGAACATGAGCATTCCGACCTCGCACGCAGGATCCATGTAATCTAATGCAGGTGGGGTCTAGTTGAGTTAGTCGATGCACACCTATGGAACAATCCGTTTTCTTCCTGCCTCTTTGCCTACTAGCCTTCAATTGTGCTCGACTTCCGCTTAGTTAACAGATTCTCAAACAGCGAGAACGCCAATCTTCCCCAAAATGCCGTGTTGATACGGCTCGCAAGGCTCGGAAGACCGGTGCGGGGGCCAATATGGTAACGATCATCGTAGAATATGCGAGCCGCGCTCTAGTTTCTAAAACTCAACTCATATCCATTTGGTGTGAATTTCAAGGCCTGAACGCTCGTCTAATGGAGGGTTAATGTACGCTCTCACGATTTAGCGCGGTTGATCAATGTCTTTGTTTACGTCTCGTTAGGTGGATATGCGTTGGAGTGGAAAAGGCAATATGTCGACAAAGGTACAAGATCGTCACGACTATGCAGGTCTCCTTTGGAAAAGCCTCTTTATGGCAAAGCAAAAAGTTGCCCTGTCTACCATCAGCTTGCAATACCTGTAGGCGTAGCAAGTAGACCCACTTACATGTAGAGCCCGCGGGCCGAGCCGGGGCACTCCTTGTGTAACTTGCTAAATTAATGCATTTGTGGCTGAGAACGATACGAAAACTCGGTATAAGGAAGAAGCGGAACTGGCGTTTTATCAAAGACCAAGATTTATGGCAACTTCGGCGTACTGAGACTTCCACATAGCCCAAATTTGGCAGCGGCGTAAGCAAGCGGACTAAAGTCGGATTTGTAGAAGAAAGTCTGAAGTACATATCTTACTTAGAGTGGGATTCCTTACCAGTACCAGCATCGGCAGTTATGTTACGGTCCAGTAAATTGTACCCGAGTTCCTACCAACATGGCTGAGTACCAGAAAACAATTAGTTATAGGCCCCACGGAAGATTTATGCGCGTTTAATAATTAGCTTGGGCTGAGCGGTGTACAGTATACAGCCACCTAAGGCTGACCAGGAGCTTTGAGACTAGTCGGCGAAAAATTCCCAATAGCAAATAGTATACAATCTTATTACTGCTAGTTGACTAAATAAGAGCTCCCATGTGGTGCAATTAACTACGGTCAGTTTACTGAGTTGACAGGGAAATAGTCATCCAGTATTGCGAACTCGGCCAAATGTCCGAAACACTGAGGCTAAATTTTCGTAATCGGAAGTAACTAAAAACGACTGTTTACTTGCAATTGCCAAATGTACAACAGTAGCATACTCCGTTCAGGTGAATTGAATTGGCAAAATCAAATCGCCGAAAACCCCCGGGTCCGAGCTCGGGAGCAGATTAGATCTCCACTGACGTTCTAAAATTTATCACTTCCTCACACAACATGTCTGGCGCCAGGAACATCACAGCTGCCTTACGGCGGGCAGTGCCCCGACCCCGTGTCGCCCTTCGATCCGCCCAATTCGTTCAAATCCCCCGTGTCACCCGCGCCTTCAGCGCCGGCCCCGTCCGCAAGTCCGACTCCCGCCAAATCAAATACACCAGCGACGCCTACCCCAACGTCAAGCGGAACCCCAATTTCGCCGAGATCTCCGCTGACGATGTCGCCCACTTCAAGGAGCTGCTGGGCTCCCAATCCGCCGTGATCGATGGTGTGACCACCGACGCGACGGACGATATCGAACCCTTCAACAGTGACTGGATGCGCAAGTACCGCGGGCACACACGGCTGGTCCTCAAGCCTAAGGATTCCCAGGAGGTCAGCAAGGTGCTCAAGTACTGCAATGAGCGCAAATTGGCTGTTGTGCCGCAGGGTGGAAACACTGGCTTGGTTGGTGGTTCTGTGCCTGTCTTCGATGAGATCGTCATCAATACCTCACGCATGAACCAGATTCGCTCCTTTGATGCCGCGTCTGGTGTACTTGTTGCTGATGCCGGTGTTATCCTTGAGGTCGCGGACCAGTACCTTGCTGAGCGCGAGCACCTCTTCCCTCTTGACCTCGGTGCCAAGGGATCGTGCCACATCGGTGGAAATGTCTCCACCAACGCTGGTGGTTTGCGTCTGCTACGCTACGGCAGTTTGCACGGAAGCGTTCTTGGTCTTGAGGCTGTCCTGCCGGATGGGACCGTCGTCGATGCTTTATCGACTCTGCGCAAGAACAACACTGGCTACGATCTGAAGCAGTTGTTCATTGGTTCCGAGGGAACCATTGGCCTTGTCACTGCCGTTGCTATTCAGTGCCCTCCTCGACCCAAGGCTGTCAATGTGGCCTACTTTGGTCTCGAGAGCTTCGAACAGGTCCAGCAGGCTTACCTTGCGGCCAAGGGCCAGCTTTCGGAGATTCTCTCTGCCTTCGAGTTGATGGACGGTCGCAGCCAGAAGCTGGTCATTGAGTCTACGGGTAATAAGCATCCTCTGGAGGGCGAGTACCCCTTCTACTGTCTAGTTGAGACCAGCGGTTCCAACGCCGAGCACGACATGGAAAAGCTGGAATCATTCCTGGAGAATGTGATGGGCGAGGGCATCGTCGCTGACGGTGTGTTGGCTCAGGATGAGACGCAGTTCCAGGCTCTCTGGCGCTGGCGTGAGGGTATCACCGAGTCGCTCAGCCACCTGGGTGGCACCTACAAGTACGACGTGTCGATCCCGCTGGCAGATCTGTACCAGCTTGTTGAAGACTGCAAGGCCCGTCTTACTGAGAAGGGCTTCGTCGGTGACGATGACTCCTTCCCCGTCCGCGCTGTGGTTGGCTATGGTCACATGGGTGACTCCAACCTGCACTTGAACGTTGCTGTGCGTCAGTACAACAAGGAGGTTGAGAAGGCCATTGAGCCTTGGGTATACGAGTGGATTCAGAAGCGCCAGGGCAGTATTAGTGCTGAGCATGGTCTCGGTGTTGCCAAGCGCGAGTTCATTGGATACAGCCAAAATGAGACAATGGTGGGCCTGATGAAGCAGCTTAAGGGCCTCTATGACCCGGTGCGTACTTATTGCTTCTTTGCCAGGAATTCTGCTAACAATTGTTTAGAACGGAATCATGAATCCGTACAAGTATATCTAGAGGGTGTATGTATAGATAATCGAATTAGCCTTGAAGTAACCCAGCAGTAAACACCAACTAAACTAACCATACAACTTGTGTTGAATTAAATAAGAGAAAAACCTAAAAATAAGAAAGTCGATCAATATTGTCATTGTGGACCCCTACCCCAGTTGTGGCCTCAGGCCTTCCGTTGCCATGCGAGACGGAGCTTGTTTGGGGTTTGTAGCTCCACCTCCTTGCCCGATCTCTTTTCCTTCTTTACTCCACAGCCATTCTTTCTTGGAGCCCTGTCGAGATCGCATTCTTGTCTACATCATGTCAGACGATATGGCAAGCCACTACCAGGTGATGGAGGAGCTGGGCAGTAAGTGCTCCCCTGACAGGGATTTTGCATCCGACTAACCAGACCCCGTTTGCAGGCGGCAGTTTTGGAACTGTGTACAAAGCAATCGACAAGACTGACGGCGAGATTGTTGCCATTAAACATGTACGCCCTTCCATCCATTCCGACCCAATGGTGCCCAATTGACCTTTCACCTCTCCCAGATCGATCTCGAGTCCAGTGAAGATGATATCCAGGAAATTCAACAGGAGATTTCTGTTCTGGCGACCTGCGCCAGTGCTTATGTTACACAATACAAGGCCAGTTTCCTCAAGGGTCACAAGCTATGGATTGTTATGGAATATCTCGGAGGTGGTTCTTGTTTGGACTTGGTATGCCCAATTGTTGCCCTACAGTACGATGCACTGCTGACCGGTACAGTTAAAACCAGGAAGTTTCAACGAAGCCCACGTCGCGATCGTTTGCCGAGAACTACTTCAGGGCTTAGATTATTTGCACAGCGAGGGCAAGATCCACCGAGATGTCAAGGCCGCTAATGTCCTGCTTTCTCAGACTGGCAAGGTCAAGCTGGCTGACTTTGGTGTGGCCGCACAGCTGGTCAATATCAAGTCTCAGCGCAATACATTTGTCGGAACTCCATTTTGGATGGCGCCCGAAGTTATTCAGCAGGCTGGGTATGACTTTAAGGCGGACATTTGGTCGTTGGGTATCACAGCCATTGAAATGATCAATGGTGAGCCGCCCCATGCCAGCACACACCCTATGAAAGTGCTTTTTTTGATTCCAAAAAACCCCGCCCCACGCCTCGAGGGCAACGAATACAGTAACACATTCAAGGACTTCATTGCACAGTGTCTAACGAAAGATCCCGATCGCCGTCCTAGTGCAAAGGAACTCCTCCGGCACAAATTCATTCGGAATGCCGGCAAGCCCGAGGCACTTCAAGAGCTTATCCATCGCAAGCAGGACTGGGATGGTGGCCGTGGTATCTCCAAGGACGTCAAGTATTATGCCGAGTCTTTGAACACAATGACGAGGCCAGAGGAGGATGACGATGAAGACTGGGTCTTTGATACCGTTAAGGCACCCACTATGTGGGTGCCCAAGGGTACCGATTGGACGACATTGGACGAGGAAGAAGAGAACACTGATCCTGCCGAGCTTATGGAAGAGATGCATATCTCGCAGCCTCCACCTCCTCCCAAGCACCAGGCGAACTCTACCGTTCGGCGTATGCCTACTGAACGATCACCTTCTGTCCGCCGGGCAAACACCAAGCGTCGCTCTAGTGGTATCAAACAACCACTTGGTCTGGATTTGAGCTACGGCAACAGCCCATCTACTGTTAGACAGTTCCGGCGGGTATCAGACAAGGTCCCCGCAGATGTCAAATCTCCTAAACAGGCTCAGACTCAGGCTTACGACGAAAATGTCAGCCCGAAGGTCATGTCTACCGACTCTTCAAGCAAGGAAGCACAAATTGGACGTCGAGCATACAGCAAAGCCGTTGGACTCTCCTGTCAGGAGGTTTTGTCGACAACCGGAGACAGTGATAAGCGCGAAGCTATTTCCAGACTAGCCGAGGCCTGGAGTGACCTAGAAATGGTTGATCCAGAGGGTCTCTACCACATCGTCCGAATAATGAACGAGAAACTCCAAGCGTAGGTCGATTCCATTTTAACTTGCAATGCATACCCAACTAACGAGACAACAGTGACTCACGTCTATCAAATCTCCTCCCATCTACTCAACCAGACTCCCCTTCTCGTCCTCGCCTCGTTCTGGCCCAAAACAACCCTCACCTTAAGAGCCACAAGCGTCGCCAATCCTACGTCCCCGAACCTCAACCCCAATCTCCCCCATCCAACCTGCCCGGCCAGTCTGTTTCAGGAATGGAGCACACCAAACAACTCTCCGACGTCCTCTACACACGCTGGTCGGAGGGTCTTCGCAACCGGTGGGGTGGCATCTAAACCCAATACCCCCTCTAGCAACCTACCTCATCCTCAACCTCACCTCTTCCCTTCTTTCATTCCCTGTATAGACCCATGTGGCGTTCCAAACTTGTTGTATAACCCTTGCCATTGCCCCTGCATCCTTGGTGTCCGTTCGTTGTTCGATTATACCTTTTACTGTCACTTTCTATCTCTGGTGGGACTGGTCCCGGAGTTCTAATGATCTGGTGCAATCTTTTTGCCGTCTTCTTCTGTACTTTCTTTTGCGATAGAACGCTGCCTGTGCTTCTGTCTGTTTATTGGCTATCTGCCTTGTGCTTTACCCTCTGGGTATTTTGGGAAATACTAGAATACATGAAACTATGATCGGGATTCTTCTATATTCTTAGACTGTGCATACTAGTCCTTGTCCTATTTCTTGGGATCTACATGGCTTCTGCAATTGCGTTTTGCCATTGTCCTTTGCCATTTCATCTGAAGTAGACTTCGTGGCGCTGTCTACACATTTATGCTCCCCATTGTATATCATTCAGTTGAGCCCTTTTCTATTTGTACAGATATTTCAAGCTCTAGGAATATCACATGAGTAAAAATATGCCTTAGCACCTGCTAATGCTTCATGCAACTCACCTTTACCCCCCAACTTCTACTTCTTTTGTCCGCCCAGTAGTCCTCAAAGCTCAAAAGCGCTCATCCGTTCCTAAAAGAAAATAACTCGTTGTAGAAGCCTGCATAGCCCCCTCAAATTCCCCCGCTGCCAAGTACTCGAGACTCCGATCAGGAATCGAAACATTTGTTCTTACTATTGTTTTACAAAGCCTGCTCCCGTACCCACCACCGAGCGCAATCCCTGGTATCGACGCTACATTTATCAAGACATAGGCGATGAAATAGGGGTATCTCCTTTTCCAAAGAGTAAAATCCATGGGAAATGAGTCTTGATTCGACCTGTATGTGGGAATCGAGATTGAGACTGTTTAGGATCCGGGACTTACGAGGCCAGCATATATACACAGAAATTGTACTCAGATACCAATGTTGGCTAACTATGAGACAGTAACGCTATAGGTTGTGCGCCTCACTCCGCCTATCCTTCAGTGGCCAATCAGCTACTCAAGGCAGATGCGCGTATGGATCGACTTGGGACATGGTGGGCAAGGTGGACGAAGGGTAGCCCGGAACGGGTAGTGCCGACATATCTGTAGGGTTGAGCAGATAGCTTGCGTCTTGATCTTGCCAGTTTTGGGCCACATCAGGGTCAGGTAGAAGAGTGGAAAAGTATGCCTGGTCACTCTCGTTGATCTTGGACGTGATCTGGTTGACCAACGACGAAGCGGAGCTCTGGAGGTCCTTCAAGGACTCCTTGTGTTCACCCCGAGATATTTGATCCTGGGTGGTCGCTGTTTCCAAGCTATCTTTCAATGTACGGTTTTCACCCTTCAACTGGCGACACTCCGACGTAAGCTGGTGGACTTTCGCGGACAACTGGGCTTTTTCGGCGACAACTCGCTGATGGCTCTCCTCTAGGCGGACGGCGCGCTACTGATGGTCATCTTCGGCTGCTTCAAGTAACTTGATGCAATCAACATGATCGTCCGGGTGGGTGGCATATACCTTCTGTATATTGAACGGATGAGTGATTCAACCACCAAATCAGGACGGAGAATTTGACTGGCTTACCAAGGTCTCTCGGAACTGGACCTCCCGTGGGACGGGCTTGGATCGCACAGCGCCAGTCGCCGGCAAGTTTCGCACAGCGCGTTTGGCAGACGTTTCAGCCTATGGCTTTCGAACCCGGGTGGGAGCCTGCGCGGGATTGCGCGAGGCAGTTGGCATTTTGGGCATAATGAGCGATGACTTGACGCACGTCGCAAAAGAAAGGAGAAAACCGCACCACACAAAAGAGAAAGAAAGAAGTTGGGGTCACATCAGTTGAGGCGGGTAAAAGAAGACTTAAATCCAGTGACAGTGTGAAAATAACCATATTGTTTTACACAGGTGTACCAAATCCTCGGCACCTCAGTTTTAGTAATGACCAGACAGGGCCAGTTCACCAACCTGCTGCTAAACATGGAAACAGTGGAGCACAGTCCCAGTTCGGCCGCCCTGTGTAAAACATGGGGGTGCTGTATCCACAATCATGTTCATGATAGAGAAAGACGAATTGAACTTGTCCAGCCGCTGATTGTACGATATACACATTTCTGAGGTGCTCGAGTACTCACCAATGGTCAATCTAAGATAGTAGAGATAGACATACTCCCCTGGGAAGTTGGGTATTCTGTGGCGTACACAGTGGACGAGTTGTAGGGGACCGTCTGCTTAGCCCAAGAGCTACATGTGAGCGAAGTAATTGTAGTTCGGATTTCAGCCTCGAGACACTGTGAGCCCACGTAGGCCTAGGGGATCAATAGCATATCGGTATCCGAGCATTGCGAACTAGCTGGTAGACAAAAACGGACGATGGATGCTACCACAACCACTTTCATGCGCTGTTTCCGTGCTCATCGCGATCTAAGGGAAGCCAGTGCAACGATTGGGCTAGAAATTGGATTCCAGACGACTTGTTCCGTCTAGTCTACCTCATGTAGTGGATTTGAATGCGAGATTGAATTTGAACGGATTCACTGGCTATAGTCTCTCACGGGGGCTTTGTCGCTTAAGGATGACCAGAAGAAGAAATCGCAGGACGATGAAAGGAAAAACCCACATGTTTAGAGATGTTTAGCTTCATTCCCTAAAGTTCTGTGTTGTCCATGATCACTAACGCTCTATGTTCACAGTCTGACTTTAGCGCTAGCCGCAAGTCGATGGAGGTATTGGTGGCCAGCCGGTCACCCGTTTGACCATGGCTGTCTTCACAGCTCCGAGATTTCATCGGCCGATACCCGAGATTATAGTAAGGTACTAGGTGTAAGCAATATCGCAAAAGCATCCCCGTCGATCAATACAGGAGCTCCTTCGTCGGTCCGTAATCGGTTAGAGGTGGATCTAGATGTCGCGCTATTGAATACCTGTGCCACTTTTATGTGAAATATCCACGATAGAATTAATTAATCGCCCGCGGTTTTATCTTAATACCGGTCATAACGCTCTGACGTGACGGTAAATCCCCACCGCCGTATCAAAGCTCCGAATCTCCCAGATGGTCCCAATGACCGTGCTCTGCACGTGCTGACCCCATCGCCTAGTGTTCGCGCTGCTCGCCAGGACTCAGGCTTCTTCTTCATTGCTCGTGTGCCCCAGTGGATTGAAGAGCAAAGATATCAGCAATGGCTCGTCGAACACCATATTCTCGACCGCAGGCTCCCAGCACTGGCTTCAGGGGCTCTATAGGCTCCACCTATGTTCAAATCTCGCGCTTGTCTGTTACCGTCCCCCGAAAATCAATGCCGGTAGGTCGTTCCACTATCCCTCGCCTTGTTGTGGTCGCGCTGTTAACTCTCTCTCTCGACTAGAACTCTTCACAGGCGACATTTTCGGCGCAGAGTCTCCCAGTAACTCAAACCCCAGAGGGGACAGAATCTCCGTCCGACCAGTCTACGGTAGCTTCTACTACCTAGCGGCGTCCAGGCAATTGCAAGAGAAGCAAGGGGAAAAGGATAAAGAGACGACTGAAGCTAGCGCAACAGAATCAGGTGGAGCACAGGCAGCTGGTAGACCAAAACAGGCAGCTTAAAATTGAGAATCAGGACCTACGTGAACAATTAAGGCCGCAGGGGCAGTCTCACCGACGTGACAAGGAGAACACGCAAAAGTTCTTACACGACCGTCATGCTGAGGCTGCTTCTATTGTCAAATCAGTCAATATTCTGCTCTCAGGTTGCACAACACGTCCTAGAGTACCAAAACCTGTGGGATACGAATATCAATTCGCGCATGGTGGATGACCGTTATGGAATCTTCACTTCAAGACGCGGAGGCATGACTAGACCGGCGAAGCTGTGCTTCAGATCTCGCCGCGGAAACGGGGAAGCCGCCAATGGCCAGAGGCGCCCACGTACAGCCAGTGGGCTTATGTAATCTTCCCAATTCGGGGGTTCAACTACTCCAAATTATCCCACCATTTTCCATCTATCACTGTTACCATATTCCAACAACCAGTCATGGAGCAGGCCGGGAATTAATGTAGAATAACATCCTTGTGATCAAGGTATGTTTCCCGTATCATAATATCCATAGGAAAGGTTAGTAAAGATGTTGTGAGTGAATTAGAGAACACAGTGTGTTGTGGGACTGAATATATATATGCGCACGACATGTAGTGTGATTATGACGACCCATTGTTTCTTGTTCTGCCCAATGACTATTTCCCCCCCAAACCAGTTCGGTGACCCCGAATTTGAATATGCTTTTCATTTCAGATATCTGAGACGTAGTATTCCATGCTGTACTGTACTGTAAACGTAGCCAACAACGTCAAGAAATCAAGCAACCACAAAACTTACCAGTAAGCGACCGACCGACACGCCACTAAGATATGCCTATACACCCGGTGTAGCAAATCCTAATCTAAGCACAAACCACAAACATGGGAGTGGTTGCTGTGGTGGGTTGAGCCCACCGACCTTCCAGTTGAAATACAATGGAAGGTGCGCGAGGAGATAAACAGAGCATGTGTAGACGATCAAAAGCTGAGATTGAAATCACTGATTTCCTCGCGGGCAGGGGTTAAGAAGCTTCACCAAAGTTGCGTGCGTAGATTAGGATGCACATTTCATGGAAATCGAACGCATTCATGAACGGATAATCGCAAATTACCTTTGAACTATCACTAACAGACTCCTCCCAGCCCCGCATAAGTTATTGTTTAATCCCACGCACCCCCTCCCCTGCCCCTCCCGAAAAAGACTGCGGTAAATTGTTTAATCTTCATGCTTGGAGTTTGGAGTCATTCAACTTTGGTGAAGTTCGCCCGCAGACAAAAAGCTCACCAAGAGAGTCCCACGACTGACATGGTGAAAAAGGGGATTCGTGTTTATAAATGTGTCAAGGTTAATTCCGAATCAATAGTCTTACCAATGTCAGTGGGTCATCTTGCCTGAACGGAATTGGGGAGGTTGGGGAGGTGAAGTTTTATTGGTAGTTCTGTCGAGCGGAGAAAGATAGAACAAATTGCGTACGTGGCTTTCTTTGAATGCCGTACTGGAAAATATAAAGCCCAAAGCCCGCCCCGAGTCTTATGGATGGTTCGCACACCGTGACCTACCGCGACTCGCCGTAGCTCACCGTGTAGCAACCCGAGAGCCACAGCTTCACAGCGTTGGGCTTTCCGCTCACCGTGATCCACCGTGCAGCTCGTAGAGGGCCACAGCTTCGTGCTTTGGGCCTTCTGCCTCCAGCAATGGACAGACACCTCTTCGTGGTGCTGGAGATCAATAATCAAACGCGTAGTCGTTTGATGAAGCTAAGATCTGTCCAATTCTATCCGTTATACTTTGATTCATCTTGCCCATGATCTCTTTGTTCAGTGTTTTCGTGCCGAGAGATGAGTATTTTGCTCTTTTGACTAGAAATGTACATTCTGGTGATTACGCCTGCTTTCAGAAGTTCTATGTCCAAAATACATAAATATCAACACTAAACATAAATACAGAACATAAACGCTAGTTGTTATGAGGAATAGTAGCTCGTCATTTTGTTGATCGGTCGAACGTCTTCACCCATTATATTGCATACCGTCAGCTCTGCACAAGTATGGGCATTGAAGAGCGGATGATGAATGTTCTTCCAGTCGTTAATTATTGTCCCGTCAAGGCGAATTACACTAAACCGCAATGCGTTATGATTGTTCGCTCCGAGGTCATACGCAATCTTCTTGCTGACCAGTATCTTATGGCAAGGCAATGGCCAGAGTAAACGACGAGAAAAGGGAAAGCAAAAAAGTAGGCGTAATATTAAAGTCTGCCAAACATGTATATCCCCTGGTTGTTCATTATCATTTCTTTTGTTCTCATCACTGGAGTCTGCTGATTCCGGTGAACGCCGCGATGGTTGCTGGATTGTGTCCAGTGGACACTGGGAACCAAGACATAAAGACCGGGCTTAGGGTGAACAATATTTCGTCAAAGGTTCAAAAACCAACCATGAACCTTCAACAAGTGGATGGCTTCAAAAAAGCTAAGTGCAGCTACGTTTGAATTTAAACATTAGGAAGTCGATCGGTTGGAGCAATCCAAATGTTTGAAACCCAATCGATCAATGACTTGTCACCTAACAATAAGTAAACACCTGCATGTCAACAGCACTACGCTCGTCTGTTGACCTGTAACCACTCTATTTCCACGAATAAACAATCTAATAGATGAGTACTGTTCAAGTCTCTCGGGCCGAAGTAACAGTACGGGAGATGAACGGTCCAGACATCAAGTCCGTTGGTCTCTACCAAACAAGCAAAATCGGCAATAGATGTTTAAATCTCACCTTTCCATGAGCAGCATCAAGCAGGGACTCCCAGAAGGGGAGCACATTTCTGGTTATTCACCTGTCCGACACTGTTTATATGGGGTGTAGTTCCCGAGCTCCCGAGCTCATGCGCCACAGAGGTGCATCTTCACCCCGTTTATTCGACTTGCCCATCATAATTGACCATCAACGCAAAGGCAGGCTCGGGCCGCTTGATCAATGTGGCGAGCTCTATCAAAGGCTACAAAGAGGCTCGGTCCCACGGACCAGTGTTAACTTACATCTGCGTCTCATTCCTCAATTATTTCAGACCCGCAAACAGAAAGACCTTTTCAGCCTCTGTTTCTCCGAACACCTTTTGATAGCAATGATGGCAGACTCTACGCCAAATTCTGAGCTGCATACTTCCAACGATATTTTCAAGAATTCTGGTAACCCCACCTATGCGGTTAGCACTCAAACAATTATGCCGCAAACAAAAATAGAAAGCCAATCAAGGAAGCAGAAATGAAATTGGGAAGAACTTCACACCGCGGTTGGAGCGACGTATGTGCACGAGGAAATGAACGAGGGCAAATGTCTCGAAGCGCCAGTCATTCTTCCCCCGATGGGCTTTTGCCTTAGCCCAACCCTCATTATCAACGACAGCCCGAGGCGCTGCTTTCCTGAACTCCCATATCTGCACGAAGGATTCGACGGTCAAACAGATAAAAAATAATAATTGAAAAAAAAAAAAAAAAAAAATTGCATGCCATGATTACGATGAAAAGGAATGCCCGGCAGTCATAAACATTAAATGTACGTAGCGTTCAGACTATCTCTGGTGGAGAAATTCCCCAGTCTCCGATTATAATGATTGACGCCAGGCATTTGAGAGTTTCAATTGCGTACGTTCTTGACAGCTTAGGCGGTTTTGGTTTGACTTGCCCTCAGAAAGGGATCATTTCACCAAGTAGTTGCCTCCATGCAAAAATAATATGGAACGAGAAGGTGCTGCAAAGCAGCATTCGTAGTGATAAACATATCGGTCATTTTGAGCCAGGATCTTAGCGCCATTTGACGTCAGCTACTGGTGAGTCACTGTGCCCAGCGGAGGGGCTGGATGGGAGTAGTTTTTCTTGATGGATCTGAGGCGGCGAGGCCCGAGTTCTCGAGTTGCGTACGTGGCCTTTCTCGATCTCCGTACCTAAAAGTATAAAAGTCTGCCCGCCCCCCCCCCGTTTCATAGCGCCCTTTGCTGCTACCATTGATCCAATGTCAGAGCGCTTTTTGCTGCTATGTAGATGTATGTGAGACGGTGAGAGACAGTCAGAGACAACTGTGAAAATGCAAAGAAAAGGCGAACGCCTTGAAAAATATTGGTCATCGGCCGAAGTAACAGCTGGAATGATCACGGCCCCATACCCGGGGAGATAACGGATTCCGCCCCAACTATTTGGTCTCCTGTGGCTCTTTTAGCGTACTAGTATGCACTTGTACATTCAGGGTTAGGGCCAAATGTGGGGTCGATAGTGGTTACTGACCCTAAAGACACTAAAGACCGTTATTTGTTTCATTTACCGCCCACTGCTTTTTGATTTCTAACCTTGGAAGGCATCAACAACAGAAGCAGCTCGAAAGCGCCCCTTTATTTCCAAAGTTTGCCATAAGAATTACATAGAAACATAAGTACATCTCAAGTACTGGGCAACGGCCTCGTTGGTTAATTCTAGTACAAGTGGAAACTGCATCTCTCGGAACCCATGGGGGAGCTAACTCCCGTGGCTTGCTGTCCGATCACGTTGATTGCATATATATATATCTATATATCACCTCATCAGTAAAGCATGGTTTCCATATGATCCTTTGATGGCTATCTATTTGCTAGTGATAGTACACAGTAGGGGGTAAGAACCAAGTGCGGCAGAGACTAAGAACTAATATTAAGCGAGCGGGTTCATCATAAAGAAGTAGTATACTGGTGTCCAGCCCATAACTTGGTTTCAAACCACTTTTCTTTGATTTTGCCCTCCAGTTGGAGCATGAGGCGAACTCCAGAAGCTTGTTCATGGCAAGGCACTCAGCTGTTGATCAAACAAAAATAGCATTCACTGGTCACTTGATAGCTTCTTCCTTTTAATCTCATTCACAGTAGGCATGTCTACCTATAGTTTGCTGAAATCGAAGCGTTTGAGGTTCTTTCTTGTGCATATTTATCTAGCCAGAACCACGCTTTCTGCGCTCTGACTTTAGTTTCTTTCTAATCCTCATGTTGGCATACTGCCTAGGACTGTTAGGCCACCAGCACATATACACCGGATCTTGAGCCAACATGGCTTTCGCTTTGCCACTTGAGTGCTCATCCCTTGCCACTTTTTGCTCGCCCTAGGTGTTACATAAGCGTAAAATTCACTGACCGAGTCGCTGTGAGCTCACTAGTCTTGTCGGTGAAGGTGATGATGACCACGCTTATGCCGGTTCAGATGGTTTGTATGTCCTAAGATCTAGATCGTTTGTTAGAAAGAAATCCTTAAAGATAGACTTATGTCCACAGATGGGATGGCCCTACGCTGGATGGGGAGGACTGAGCAGTCTGTGAGCCAGGTATCATAGAGGACGAAGCTAGCAGAGGCACTTTTGATGCCAATACAGTCGCTCGAATGCCATCTGTATCACACGATCCCATGATGAAACCTGCACTCTTTGCCTGTGCCACAGGAGCTGAACGATAGAGTTGACATTCCTTCGCGTTGATAATGAAAAGCCATGCTTGGCAGGTGCTCATGCTGTCGCATTCATTAGCACATTCAGATGGCGATAGATGAGTGTATCCGTGGGCCAGAGGTGCTTTACTGAAGAACCCAATGGGTTCATTCTGGGCGCTGGAGAAGCAAGAGGCGGATACGGAGGAGAGTAATCCCTGCATAGCCAGCAAAAAAAGTGAAAATAAGGATTGAAGTTGGTTGCATGATTTCTGACAGCTCTGGATGTTCGCTCGATAGTGGAAATGCATGTTAAGGCGAAGTAGATTATTCCCACTGTCACTTTTTATAGGGTTCAATATGGAAGTCTCAGACATGGATATGACGGTGGCGTCTGGTAATTTCCGAGTTCAATGTCTCATGCTAATATCAAGAATCAGAACTAATCAATTTTCGGAACTCCGCGGGTGGCAAAGCAATAGTGTACCTCGCTAAATGAGCCGCGGAAGCTATAGAAGCCATTGATAAGCTTAGCGCCTGCGCTAAAATCAAGAGATCGCAAGGGTCCTCAGGAATACACCCACGTCCTGTTATGCCCTGTATCAAAATTACCACTCACTTGGTCCGCCCCCTTTGGACCTGGAACGTTATAGCGCTCGCTGTCTTTCTTTCATCTGTCATATCTCACCTCTCATGGCATCGTCCTCACACTAATACACCGCTCTTTCTCAATGGCGAATATCCTCCAACGGCTTCACTTTAATCCCCGACTACTTGTTCGTGCTAGAACGACCCAAATCCCCTTCTATTCATCTCGCTGCTACTCGGAAATGAAAAAGATGGACCCTCCATCTATCAAGTTGGACAACAGCGGCACTGGCCCCTTGCGAGTCCCTGGTTTCAATGGTGTACCCCTTTTCTATGAACATCCAAAAGACAATCGGTTTGCACATGGAATTTGCGATTGGAGACAAACTCCCCAATTGTTTTTGGTAGAGCTTTCCATGCTGCAGTTCATGTCGTATGTCACGGAACAGCTGGACTGGGAAAACCAGACCGAAGACCCGCAGACACTGGAAGAATGGCATCGGCACGCCGTTTCGGTCTTTGATCTCGATGAATCCTCATGGCAGTGGTGTGTAAAGGAGTTGCGAGACAAAGCCTCTGATTTCAAACGCACGGGCTATGTTGCTGTGTTTGATGCGGACTCCCGAGTCATCAAATCTCATGTTCATGACGATCTTCTCAAAGAGCTTCAAGAATCCATGTCGTCGCTATTTTCGGAATCGAATTCTGCTTCGTCTACTGCCTCGGGGGATCTCAATGAGAGTGGTTCAAAGAGTCCGGTTCGAGATGTGATTGACCCCTTAATGTATCCTCTCATTTATGGGCGAACTCGAGTCCTTGCCGACGAGGGCAAAGTGGATCTGGAGAGACCTGAGTCTTGGAGACCATCACAGTCCCATATTGCTCCGGTTCCCGAGAAACCATCCGACAGACACGAAGAAATGCATCCCAAAGAGAGAGAAAAAAGAGACGTAAGGGATAGCCGACATATTGGAAAGCAAAAGTACTGGTCCAATGCTTTTCAATATCTTCCATGCGAGGTTGCTCTGAACGAGCAAGGAGGAGTCAAAATTACCTCCTATGTCAATGGTGTGCATCCCAAGGAAAGGGGCATATACAAAGCACTCGAAGGACTCATTTCAGCCGCTATAGAACCATGGAATGAAATGCTTATCCGTGGAGATCAAGGTCGGACACCAATGCGAATCAGAACTTATGACTTCCAGGTGGAAGGCATTGATGGATACCCATTAGGGTATCCTAAGTTATATTTGTACCTGAACAACGCGAGGGAGGGACGATCACCTCCCATCACAGAAGAAGAATGGCCTGATGTTCGATCAAGAGTAAGAGAATATCTTAACCTCCCCGAACCCGAGAAGCGGTACCGCATATGGCCTGAATCTGGGTACCATGACCTTCTCGCTAGTATGCAGCCATATCAATGGAATTCTTCTGAAGAACTGGAAGGACTGATCCTCGCAAAGAGTAGCCGTTTGTTCGCCGTGAAAGGTGTTGAGCCGGGGATCTCCTTCACATACGATGAATGGAAGACTGGTGAAAATACAGGCCGCGCGATCATGCCCAAATGGAGTGACCCTGATGAACCTGAAAGTCCTCCAATTCCTGATCCAGATCACCAGTACTACTCTATATCTCTCCAAGATCAATTTGAGGGCCTACAGATCATAGTTCGAGTGTCAACTATTGAGCTCACTCCAGAAAATCCTTCGTATAAAGGTGATTCCCATCATAACGTTGCTGGTATCCTCAATGAGCATATCGTTTCTACGGCCGTATGCTACTTTGATTTACACAACATCAAAGACACAAAAGTTTTATTCCAACAAGAGACGAATATCCGTAGCTATGATTTCAATATTGAGAAGTTCATGGCTATGGATCGACTTTTTGATATTCCTGAGTGGCTATGCGACGATCCTTGTTCCCCCGATGCGCTACAGACCATAGGGTCTATTCCAGTTTCACGAAATGGGCAATTTCTTGCCTGGCCCAATACACTACGGTCTAAGGCCGAGGCTTTTAGTCTCGCAGATCCACTGCGGCCAGGATACCTTCGATTTGCGACTTTGTGGTTGGTAGACCCGCATTATCGAATCTGCTCAACTCAAAATGTGCCTCCCCAGGACCCAAGCTGGGTCAAAACATCACAATCCATGAAGAACGCACGAAAAGATGATTCTATGACAGTTACGCAGGCGGTTGAGGCTCGAAATCAAATGAGACAGGAGAGAGACAAAATAAGCAAGGATTTTCTGAAATACGGACACGGCTATCACACATATTCGGAAGAATACCTGATTTGAATACAGTCTAACTCAAGAAGTTGATAGATTGATGCTAGCAGGTAGAACACGCAGAGCTTTTGTATGTTGGAACTCCATAAATATAATCCCTTCTGAAATATTCTAATCACAGCTATCCAAGCTATCCAACTCAGTCAAGCTCCGACCGATCGTGGTGGTGATCTTTTGATGGTTTATATAAGATCGAGCACCGACCAACTTGCTGTTCCGAAGACCAACATACCAGGTTTTGTACTCCTGGGCTGTAGTGACTGAGCCGCCGTTGGCCGCCACTGTCAATCCCCAGTTTTCGCGATCATATGAAACATCTGTGTCCATTACAGTAAACGATGAAGACTGCAAAGACTTTCCGGGATAGTTGCCTTCAAACAATGGCTTCAGTCCGACTGAGAACATCTCACTTAGTCGCGCTCCTTGGGTGCCTGCTAACGCGCGCTTGAACTCGGGGAGATGGGTGTTCCACGCGTCTGGGAAGCCCGGCACGGTGCTACCTCGGGTCGATTTGACGATATCACTGAGCCGCTCGAGGACGACCTTATGCGAAATCTGCAAAGTGTCCCAATCTCGCAGCAAAAACTTCGTGTTGTAAATATCTCTCTTTTTCAAGAAAGTATTGATTTGGCCCAGGGTATCTTTGCTGTACTCGGGGGTTTGGCTCAAGAAAACGCCATTTCGAGGAAACCTTACACTTGTATAGACGTGCGACACAAATGTCCCAAAGTCAACCAAGGCCTTATTATCAAGACCTGGTCCCAAAGTACGTGTTGCTCCGTTCTTGAGAAAGTCCAAAACATATGCGTTGTACCCGTCGAATCTCCAACCCACTCTTTCATGCAACTTTCCAATTGCCCGATCAAGCTCTCAGCTAGATTGTAGCTAGTCACGCCCGGCTTTTTCAATCTGGTTCTATGTTTATTGTGTCAATTTGAGGTATGGTACTCAGGCAGCTTAGCGCTTCACTTTGCTTGGGATCCCTCATCACTTTGATGGCTTCCATAACACCTCCCTCCCCAACCCGGTGTCTGCTAAGATCATGCGAACGAAAGTAACAGAAAGACGGCGCCTCAATGCGAAATAGAGGGCGGTGAGCTTAAACAGACCAGTTGGCCCATGTTTATCAATGTAGTGCCTCGCAATGGCCCTTTTGTCTACACACACACACACAATTCATTAACGCCCGGCGGCTGAGCCGAGAGGGCAACTATCACTAATCTACCAGTACATACATGTTTCGTTATACGCCATGTCTCCTTGGAGCCCATACAGTATTTCCTTCCGTATTTGTCATTTCCGCTTCCAATCTCAGAGATGGTCCCTGTGCGTTAGTATTGGTTAGTAGACTTGCTTGAAGGCGCTTCATCAAGTGTTCAACATCCTATCCTCGGCAGTTGAAGCGCGTCTACCGTCTGTCACAAGGTGTTGGGGTTAGTAGGGGGGGGGGGGGGGGGGATTCTATCTGCGTTCGTTGGCTAGGTCAAGTGGCCTCAAGTCGGCCCGTAGCGATGGCAAACCGTATTGAGGCTCGCACTGCTTCTAAATTCGGCTTCCAGTTTTGATCATCGGAGGGTGACTTCCCTCCCAAGAAAAAGGACATGTTACTTCGGTGAGTGTGGGTGCATTGCAGCATTTCCGTCCGGTGCGCGGTCCACTTCCGGCATCGAAAGAGGAAGTGGTCCACAGTCTCTCTTGCTTGTCCACACGCACATTGATCTGTCTCGGCGGCATTGATCCGGAAGAGATATCCATTGAGTCTTGCCATGCCCGTGCGGAGCTGGGCCAATACGCTCGCTTCTTTCCACGATAGTCGGTCATACAGCAGTCGTGTGTGTCTTCCTGGAAGTCGCCGGCATAATCTTTGCTAGATCGTTGAGACAGCCTTGGGCAAGTGTAGGGTTCGTTCTTTGCCTCCAGCTCGTGTATAGAGAGATCGGGTGAGTCCAGTTGAACAGTTGCTTTGTTGTAAGACTGGCATCCATCTTCTATGTAAAGTCCAATAGGCTTGAGGATCCGAGGATCAATGACATCAAGACCGGGAGTTGTTGGCGGAGGGCTGAGTGAAAAATCTGCTGCGGAAAAGTAGGATGCAGCTAAGCTACTTCTACTGCTTTCACTAGGAGTGTCACTGAGTTCCGAACTGTAATATCGTTCGGGATGTTCCTCGACGTATGAAAGCAATATAGGAACGGGCAAAAATATATGATCTGACTACTGTTCGTGGCGTGAAGGCGGATGGGGGTAAAATAGGAATCTCTTGGGTCGCTCCTCCTTTGACTCTGTCGAATATCTTTGTGCTTCTAGCTCTAGCTCGCAAGCACGCTTCCTCTTTCTCGGAGGCTTTGGACTAGACTAAATAGCTTTGTTTAGCCCGTGGATGTCGTGCAAATGATGTCGAAGGTCACGCTTATTGTCGAAATCTTGGGTATAACCGTATACTGGCTTTATTATAGGCTACTAGAGCCTATATATATGCTGTTCTTCGATGTGTTGCCTTAGGTTACCACTTTTCAGCTAGTAATTCAATCGTTCTTCCGTAGGAAGATCCGTATTCCATAAGTATAAGGGATAGTAGCTAGGGTGGATCACCGTGTAACGATATATAATAATTTCATAGTGTTGAGTTTCCCATGACTGGAGATAAGTATTGCAGTGATCTCGCTATTCACTTAATAAGCACCACTCTATATATTCGTAACAAAAGCGTATTTGCGACTCCGAGACTTGAAAACTAGCTGCGTTCTCGCTTCGAACGTATGCATGGATGTAAGTGCTTCGTTCACTTTTTTTTAAGCTGATTGAATTTGTTAAAGGGTTGCGTAATCACGGCCAAATATTCACTTACCTTGCAATAATGACCTAGCAGGCTTTAGCGGGATAGGCACCATGAATAGGACTTTCACTAGGAAGGTAGACCATATCAAAGTCTCGAGAGCATTAAGTCTATAAGACTTTCACGAATATGATTTTCTCTTCAAAGGAAAGCTTAGTGGTACGGGATATCGCTGCTACGATTCGCGCAATTTTAGGCATGATCAAACTCTGAGCGCGTATAGAAACATTATTTGTCACTGAGACTGGCTGCTCTTTGCCACGGGTGAGGATTTTCTGATCCCTTCTCGCCTATAACCACGAAGTTTGATACCTTTTGAGTTCAAACCGGCGTTGCCGAACTAATGCGTTCCTATAACGTAGCTTCGCGGCCCGAAGATCCGTCTAGTTATTACACTTTCTGAGATCTTCGATACGACTTCTTAGTTCCACCAATTTAGGTAGCATCAAAACGCTTTCCTCGATGTGAGCAGGCAAATTAATAGGAAGACTAGGCACACAAAATTGAGTGTAGCCCTAGAAGTACTCAATATGTTTCGTTTCACCTTTCTTATTAAGAATAGCCGAGACTATGTCTATAGAGGAGCAATAGGCTTAATAGTGCTCTAGGAATATCTTTAGATCCCGATACGCCAGAATTTGTGAGACGGGCGCAGAGCCATACCTTGCTATATTAGGCGTTAACCACTAGATCATGCTTAGTCGTATTGATCTTTATATTTGCTTATATTCGACCTCCTTCGCTAGGTTCCTTCGTAAACAGTGTATTATCGGGTGTTCACTATAGCTAGCTATATCAAAGATCCGGTGTAGGTAGGAGGAAAACTCTTTGTTTATAAGAGGAATTTCTTGAGGCCCGTCGGCTATGACATTCCGGAAAATCGGTTTCGTCTTAAAACTTTTCTTCTATTCTAATGGGATCTCTCTATTCGATAGATCACATTCTTCCAAATCTGAAATAGTCTCTATACCAAAAAGAGCGCTATATGCAAGTGCAAGTGCGAGGAGAAGTTGGCTAGATACGAATTGCGGTTTGTTGCAATCACGGATACCGATTCCGAACCTAAGAACATATTAATAGAACTAGAAAAAATGAACCAATACTTTTGAATCCTTACACTATATACTTTTTATCACGATTATTCTTGAGCCATTTCTGGTTGACTCTCTATCCAACCTCCTATAGAGCGGTGGATAAAGGAAATAGAACCAACTTAATGTCCTAATTCAAAAATTAGAACAAAGTGAACATTGGAGACGGTTTATATATACTTCGTATCGAAGGCCTTTGTAGTGTTTATCCTTATCAGAAGGCATAAAAGTTCCGATTCTTGCCCCTATAAAAAGGTATAATTGAAGGGCAAATAGTATAAGGACCTTGGTCAGCCCGGGAATAAACTTTTGATGGTTAGCTTGCCAAATTGAGGCGACAACTTTCAAAAAGTCATCCCTCTTGAAGTTGTACTTCTGCTTTTTCTGGTTCACGACAATACCCTCTACTATCAATGTATTTTTTATCTACTGCGTTTCATGGAAGAGTAGAGTTAGTGATGTGTTGTTGATAGAGAGATAAAGAACCTATATTATATACTTCTTTTCTATCTTTCTAGGGTACCTCCGTTTTGGTGCTCTTTTTGAATCCCCCAAAGAATCGTTCCGCCCACGCTTTTATAGTTCTAATAGTTGGCTATTTGCCTTCGCTAAGTCTGCTTATAGTAGAACTCACACACTAGCGAATGAATTCCTTAACTATATCATGGCTCGGAGGGGAATATCTAGGAATAGTTTTGTAATGTTTGAACTTATTGCTTAGGTCTACTATGAAACTAGGAGAGAAGTCAGCTTCCTCTAAGAACTCGCGGGTCTTTTAACGTACTCGAGCCAGAGGTCTAGCGTCTCTTAGTGTATCTGCTTGGTCTTGTCGAGCTTCTTGTCTTTATTTCGGATACTGTCTTCCTCCCTATAGGCCCCGGGGACGTATCTATTCTTTTCTCGTAGTAGACGGCGCCTTTCCTTGATTATCTATCTTATCGCGTCTAACAAAGAAGTCCATTCGCTCTATTATTATGAACCTTGCTCAAATGCTAGCTATAGAAGCAGCTTGGTGAAATAGAAGAATTTGAATGAGGTAATAAGAGAGCTGGTTGATTAGGACATGGTGTCCTTATATAGCTAAGACTTAGAGCTCGAGTCGCCCGCCGTGCTAGAAAAAGACAACAAACTTTCATTGGACTATTCCTATTCGGATGGCCTTCGCCGTCTTTTTTGCGCCTGATAGACATGACGCATGATTTTGGGGGCGAGGGTTCCTCCAGAAAACGAGGGCAGTCCAAATATTGTCAACGCACTAACCATCACAGAATAAATGGCCTTGTGGGGCCTGTCTCTATTAGGTAAGGTCTAAATTGAGTTAAACAAATCAGGGGTGCTCACTGAGCATTACTAAGGTATCAGTGATCACTCACTGAGCACGCACTTTCGCTCACTGAGCACGCCACCGATTAGTCATTATGCACGTGACCGAACCAGAGCACGCTCACTGAGTCTGAGCCCGTGCTGACATCTACTCACTGATCCTGAGCCTGAGCGCCCTCATAAAGCGGCGGCAGCCCATATAGGAAATGCCCCACCCGGCAGACATTATCCTGTCTATATAGGTGCATATGCGCCATCATACGCCCATCCAATTTAGTTCTCTATATCAATCGAACAACATGGTCCAGGCAGCATTCTATAAAAAGACTTCTACATTCAATCCAATTCATTCCACATTTATATCCCGATGGACATATGTATTTTGCGCTAAACTACTTCGGGATCCCGACCTCAGTAGATCACATCTTGCACAATAGTCTGCTCCCTTTGTTCCTCATTCCACTCTTCATGAGAGATGGCTACCTTAAGTATTGTCCCTGTGACTCTTTCACGAGACAAAGTGCCCACCAAAACAAATGTCAGAGATATCATCGGCACCTTTCTACCAGAATGGCGCTCTGTGGACCCAGAAACCCTGACCATGTCATACCATGCGTCTTTTATCAATGCCCACTGCCCAGTAGAGCGACCAGTACCGGTCAATGATATACCTGCCGAACCCTACAAGGTGTTCATCAAATTTCACATTGACACCGAGGGAGACCCCGAAGTCTTTAAGCAACTGGTGCCAAGCAAACAGGAGGAAGCAATCCTCACCTATGAATTTGGTCGATCTAAGCTGGGAGCCAAAGTGTATGGATTTTTCCGCACGGAGGATGGTACACTTGGGAGAATCGATGAATTCTTGGATGCACGAAATATGGAGCCGGAGGATGTCGAAAATACGGCTATCCGAGCGGATGTTGCGAAGGCATTGGCAACACTTCATACTTTGGAAACTTCATTGGAGAAGAAACCATCTGATTCATCTTGTGGAGCTATCATCAATGGACTGGAGAAGTACCATAAGGTAGACAAGTTGAAGGCACTTGGAAGAGAAGGAGGTGTCAGTGTAGACAGCCTCGTTGACTACGACTTCGGGACCAGATTGAAAAAGATTCTGAATAAGCTGGAATCAATTGGTGGAAAGACAGGATGGTGCATGCACGACGTCCAATTTATGAATGTCATGATCAAAAATAACTCAAAGGAAGGAGAAAGCACAGTCGCCTTGATTGATTTTGAGTTCGTGATTCCCAACTACCGAGCCTTGGATATCGGCGGGCATTTTATGCAAAAGATGTTCCAGTGGTTTGATGAGGAGAGCAAGATTGCAAATTGCAGGAAGTACACAGAGAACGAAAAGAAACACTTCTGTGAAGTGTATGCCACTCAGTGGAACACAATCCATGGTGATTCGGATACTGGGGAACAGGTCTTCTTGGAAAGTGAATATGGATACATGTTGGCACTTGCCTTTGATATTCACATGATGCTGTGGTTCATGAATGAAAAACACGACAAGGATCCCTTGAACCTTGTCGGACTTAACAAGCTATTCCATGAGTTTGTGGGCCAGTATACTAGACTTGGACTAGAAGATCAGTAGTCGAAATTCAAAGTTCTGCATTACTTCTGCTTCCCGCTTCATGCGGTTGATCTGGCACTCGTCCACCCTCCACTCGGCTGTGAAACTCCACAAAAACAACTGTTTACAAAGAGCCAACCGTCTCGTACCGCATACTACAAATGAGCCGAGTTTTTACTTTTGCCTTATGCGGAGATGGGGTCCCGGTATCTTGGAGTATAAGTGTCCGGTCTGAACAAAAGCCGGGGCGGAGACAGTTTTACCAAGCCATATACTCAACAACAAGAGATGAAATAAGTCATCTGCCTTTCCCCAATACAACTCTTCCTGTAAAATCTTGCAATGTCCCTTCGGCTTGACCCAGAATTTGAGAATGTGGCTGCACCGCTTGATGCTAATTTCTGAATCAAGTATATTGATCTCGTTCTATTTCTATTTTCCTCGGCACCTTAGAAGGTAGTGTAGAAGTCAACTAAGTATGGCCAAAAGGAAATCGAAAATATTATATAGTGCACGCGCCCCACAATAACAACCTTGTCTTTGTGGAAGCTCGCTCGCTAACCCGGATCGAAGGTTCGGAATGTGCCTGCGTAATACTCAGAGACCATAAACAATAAGCGTTTCAATAGCTATAAGCTTCGGAAGGATTTCAGAAGTGTTGTTGAAGGTAGGGTTATGCGGAAGTCTAGTGGCGACTATACACTGCCCGTAGTGTGCCCGTAACGGACCATCTGTCGCTACCGCCTTATACGTAAACGCATTCAACCGTAGCGTGAGAGATGACCACCTACCGTCGAGGCTAGCAACTGACTTCCGTGAGGCAGTTGCAGGCGGGGTAATCCCTTCCGTAAGCCGAGTGTGGTCATCACAGGAGCTGAGGCAACCCCAATAAAACTCCTCAAGGACCCTCTTCTATACCGCTATACCACTATTTATTCCCTATCGACTCTGCTGCCTCCTTCACATCCATTTAGCATACTCTATCCTGTATAACACTATCAAGATTAAAACACCCTCTACGAGTAAAACGATATCAACGAAACCCCAGATTCCCAAATGGCAACAGGGCCAGTGCGAGAGCAGCTGGAGACTGAAGATGTTCTCGTATATCCCACCGGGTTCAAGCGAGGGCTCGTTCTCTTCTCAATTCTCCTCTGCGTCGTCTTTGTCGGCCTCGACATGACCATCGTCGCGGTGGCCGTCCCTAGCCTCTCCAACCAGTTCAAGCAGCTAAACGACATTGGATGGTATTCAGCATCCTACCAGCTGATCGCCAGCAGTTTCATCTTCTTCTTCGCCCGGCTGTACACGGTCTTCCCCATGAAATCCATCTTCCTAGTCTCTATATTCCTATTTGAGCTCGGCTCGCTCCTCTGCACCGTCGCCCCGACCAGTGCGACGTTCATCCTTGGCCGCGCCATCGCAGGCTTAGGCAGTAGCGGTGTCCAGACAGGCAGCATTGTGCTGCTGACCAGTCAACTGCCTGTGCATAAGCGGCCATTCTGGACCGGGATCGTAGGCGCAGGCTCCAACATAGCCATGGTGATTGCTCCCCTTATCGGTGGCGTGCTAATCGACGCCTTCTCCTGGAGGGCTTGTTTCGGAATCAACTTGCCCATCGGGGCTATTGCAAGCGGGTTCATCGCATACGGGTTCCAAATGCCGGCGAACCCCCCTCACGAAGCCGGGTTGCCCGTGGTGGAAATGTGCCAGCGGCTCGACATTGCGGGGACGCTGGTATTCGTACCTGCCATTGTCTGCCTACTAATCGGGCTACAATGGGGCGGCCTCAAATACGGCTGGACCGATGCGCGGATTATCGTGCTGCTGGTGGTCTTTCCCGTGTTCATCGGCGTCTTTGCGGTTATGCAGTGCCGTAAGAAGGAAGATGCGACCCTTCCCCCGCGCATTATGACGCAGCGCAGTGTCCTGGCTGGCGCTTGGTTTAATGCTTGCAGCAATGGTATCCTCGCCGTTACTGAGTACTATATGTCGATCTACTTCCAGGGGGTGCGCGGGTTTAGTGCTACGAAATCTGGCGCTATGGGCTTGCCGCTCTTTGCGGGTATGGCTGTGACAGTCCTCACGGCCGGTGTAGGGACCACATGGATGGGGTATTATTACCGTAAGTATGAGCATATTCCCCTGGAAGGAAGGGTAATTAACGATATCTATATTCACTATAGCTTTTATGCTTATTAGCTCAGTCCTCATGCCTATCGCCTCCGGGCTGCTTATCACAATCGAATACAATGACGCCCTGGTCAAAATCATCCTACTCCTGACCTTTCTCGGCGCCGGCGTGGGGCTGGGACTTCAAGCGCCAGTGTTCGCCGTGCAGACCGTTCTCCCAGACAAGGACATCGCCACCGGGGTTGCAATCACCGGGTTCACGGGGCTTCTCGCATCTGCGCTTTTTGTTTCGGTTTCTGCTGTGCTGTTTCAGAGCCGATTGGCCATCGAAGTGGAGCGCCATTCGCCGGGGACTGACCGGAACATTTTTGACCACGGAGGCCTGGTGGATGTGAGGGAGCAGATTGGATCTGCTAGACTCGGTGCTGTGCTTTCTGGATATGACGAGGCGGTGATTCAGACGCTTTATATTCCTGTTGCGTTGGCTTCGTTATCGATTTTGGCGAGTGTGGCAATGGAGAGGAGGAGTGTTAAGACGACTCAGTGAGCCATTTTTCACTCTCACCCTATCGATATGCAATGAGTTTTTGGGTATGATTTAGATATAAATCATACATACAACAACCTCTTCTTCAACATATGCTCCGTCTTAGGTTAAGGAAACAGCAATAGCACGGCTAACTTTGTATGCGCTATGCTCGATAGAAAATTAACATCTCCCTTCGCTGATACTCTATGAACATACCCCATCCATATCATTCTTGTTAATTTGCCCCTCGTTGGTGGTTACTCTCTTCATCCTTGGGTGGAGGCACTTTTTTTTTGTCGACGGGACTAGATATTGGGCTATTTCTAATGCCATCTTGGCGCGCGAGAGGTACCGCAATGCTGCTCGTGCTGCCTCAGTCGGTGTAAGCTTGATTGTTTATCTAACTGATACTATGGTTTTGCTGTGCGAGATCCTTTAAAATACCTCTTTATTCTCTCACCAGAGTCTATCTGTTTCGGAGCTACTTGACCTGGATGATTTTGCCTTTTTGATAATATGAATGAGCACAAGATTGAGCAAGATGAACCATTCAGCTGTAGATTAATGTAAGGATAGTTTAACCTTCATTTACTAGGATGAAGCTACAAAATCGTACGACACGAATGGATCAAAGCATACATGAAGTGGCACAGTTTTAACCCTGAGAGACAGGCCGAAGAGACCAAGATCACGTTGAAGCGGAAAGGAAAAAGAAAAAAAAAGCATCATAGCACATCGCAAGACATGAAGTTGAACCCCAAACCCATTCAAGAGGCATGATAAACCTTGAAACTCTTAAACTCCCAATAGGCATCCACAAAACTCTGCGGACTACTCTTGACAAACTCAGTACAAGTAGCAGGACAATGATAAAGCTCATCATAAAACTGCGGCTGAGCAGCCAACTCCCCACAAAGATCAATATTAGCAATGATACTCTGGTTCCTGAAATGTGAAGCAATATCACACTCGGTCCCTGGGAAATCAGCAAAAGCAGTGCCCCAGGTAGAAGGATCAGGTTTGGAATCCGTGATATCAGTGGGTATGGAATCCCTTCTGAAGAACCAAGCACGGATGCCATCGTCACGCAGTTCAAGTGCATAAACACCACCACCAGCCTTGTTCAGTGCAGCGCCATATGAATCATCGGCACCGACAACGCCACAGCCTGTATTCCCACTGACACTACCATCGCAGTTATCGAAGGAGACTCGTCCGGTTTGTTTGCGCTTGACGTTCTTCATTGTGCAACCTTTCGAGGAATGCAGGGAGACCTCGTTACCGTGTGCTCCTTCGTTTGTTGTTTCGAGAACATCGATCTCCCCATTTGAAGGCCAGTTATAACCATCTGTTAACCACAGCGCTGGCCATGTCCCGCATCCGAAGGGTGTATGCAGGATATCGAAGATAAATAAACCATTGTCATACTGATTGGTCGATTCCAAACGGACTGAGTTCCGGCCAGCGATAGTGTTTAGTGTTTTCGCATCGACGCGGAGGATGGCTGAATTCTCAGTCGCGTGCGTGAGGTTCAAGTCTGTGGCTGCGTCTTTGTTGACATAGACGACAAAGCCGGATGTAGGGTCTTGCTCGGTGAAGTAGGTGAAGTGGTCAAAGAAGGATGTTCCCTCGTATGTATCTGTGAGGGTGTAATCCAGGGGTATGTACTTCGGGTATCTGTTTTTCACGACTTCAACGGGAACCACGATTACGATCAATAGTAGGACGACGGCTGCTCCGCCTGCGAGGAGCCTGTTACGCAGGGACCAGCCACGTGGGTCATACTTGTGACGGGTGGTTGTGGCGTCTAGGCCTGGGACTGCCGAAGTTGTGATGGGGGTTTTGGTTTCGAGGGTGGGGATGCGCGAGGTGGCTCCGCTGTAGCGGTCCAGGAATTGGGGTGGGAGTTGGCGTTCGTCCATAGTGGTATTAGATATCAAGTAGGGATGTTGTATTGTGTAAAGGATGCTTTGGGGATGTTAGCAACGGCCATGACTCTTCTTTTAACCTTAGGTGCAGCAACAATCTGTCGTCATGGACCCTGGAATGGAGTGTCGATCAGTAAGGGTTCCCGTTTGCGAACCCACGGATCGCCTGTCTCAAAGTAGTCTAGTCTGCTATACTATGCCTTTGTGAGCACTAGCTCGGTTTCTTAATCCAAGGTTCCGACTGGTACCTGGCACCTGGCCAGACAAGGTGTTATTTGGTTGATTTGATGTTGTGACTGGTATTCTACTGTATGTTCGACGCGAAAAATACGTCACCGCCGACCGGTCCCCCCGCAATCAGTTAAGGAATGTGCACAGTCCCGACGTCGAGCCATATGGCTTGACGTGTTTTGAACGAAAAAATGATGAATGCATTCAATAGATGTTCGAATTATGTCCAATATGCAGCTAATCCGGTTGTATGCAAAAAACGCCGGTTTTCTATGGTATCAACAAAAAACAACAGATCCACCCACTGTCTATCGATTGGATCGGATAGTCGAGGAGCGATGCACCAGGGATTCTGCATTTGGCGCAGGTCCTGTTTGCCAGTCATGGGTTTCCAGACCGGATGTCTGGGCTGCATCGTTCCTCGCCTGAGATAGGGTACGCGACTGTGATTGGCCGAGAGAGCCAGTACCACTGAGGTTGGATGTGCGTCGGCGCATCCGCCTCTCGCTCTGTTCGGCTTCGTGTCGATTCATGGCGTCGGATGGGAGAAGGACGGCGCGATCCAGCGCGTAGGGTAGACCACGGTGGCGACCACGAAGTTGCATGGCGATGATTACCAATTTGGAAACCACATTAAACTGTCCTGAGAAAGAGGTGTTCACTCCGGGGTATCCAAACGACAGACCGACTGTACCATAGGCCGAGACAACTTCGAATAGAACGGTGAACAGCTGGAAGGAGTAGTCATCCTGTACCTGCAACCGTCCGCCTTCTGCAATGGCGATGATGAAGAGACCCAAGAACACATACCACAAATCAAAACTCAGCTGGCGACGCAAGTGAGCTCCGATGTAGGTAGGGGCATTGGATTCCTCATCTTGGTCCTCGTCGGTGACATCGTATATACCGAGACTCTTCTCCTCGTACACGTTGGTTCGACGCATTGAAATAGCGATCGGGAACACTGAAATATACATCATGATGAGATAGGATACCTGGATGGCGGGGTGGAGGTCCGTAAGACTGATGATTCCGAAACCGGCCGTTCGTGTCGCGGCAGCTTGGAAAAAGCCATCAAGGACTCGAATTCCAGGAGGGAGCGCGGTGACAGCAGAATCGTTAAGCTATGTAATGGGTCAGCGGTGTTGTAAAAAGTAGAAGAGCAAGTGACTCACATCCAAAATGACGAAGAAAATCACATCAATACCGTTCAGTGCAACTAGAATGGCAAACAGCCACCAGGTGGCATTGCGAGGGAACAAGAGGGTAAAGCATCGACGCGGGTGGTCCAGGAGGAACTTGAGTTCTTCCCATAGAGCAGTGCCTTGGCGAGTAAACTTGGACATAACCCAGATCATCAAACGGAGCATACATGGGAACGCAGTGTTTCCAATGATAATCAGGAATGAGAACATAAGCAACGGAAAGACGGCCCGCTGGAAGGAGTAGAAAGAGTCGGGCGTCAAGGTGAAACCCAAGTCGTTAAAGGCAGAGGCAGCAGTGAAAATTCCCCACCAAGGCCGTCCAACTCCAGCCTCTCGGACAACATCACCCCATTGGTCCACCGTCATGATCCAACCAATCATGCTCAGCATGCCGATGAGGTGGAAGCCAACGTAGTAAGTGATGAGCACGACAGCCAGGGTCTTCAGTGCGCGATATTCGATACCACCTAACTCATCGCGCTGTTCCTCAGTTAGGTCAACGAAGTTGGAGTTTCGTGCCACTGTCGCATTCCAACTGAGATATGGCTGAGTCGAGAGATCCCGTTCTTGTGTCAGAGATCGAAAAATTCCCCTAAAGGTGTTTCTCGTGTTGGTAGGGGCAAGAGTAGTGGTTTCATTCCCATCCTTGGTTTCTCGGAACGTAGGTTGAGTATTAAGACGAGGGAATGTATTCCCCCGTGGGCGAGCCCTTGGAATATCCGGCTCGTTGATGGTGATATGGGGTCCTTCAAGTGGACCGACTTGATCATGCGCCTCGGGGTGGTTAGACGAGCTATCATCGGTATTGTGAGGACTAGGAGGAGCCGGCTCATCCTCCTGCTCGACATCTTCTTCCAAAGCTTCGGGCGCACCGCCACGATCATACTCACGTGGACTTGGGATCCGAAGAGCGCCTTTGTCCTTCCGCTGCTTTTCCAAGAAGGCGATGTGAGTTTCGGGGTTCAGATGGGTTGGGACCTTCAAACTGCCGAGTCCAAATCGAGGCTCAGGTTCCGTCTCCGTTTCCTCGGAGGAGCTAGAACCGGACCGAGACCCGGAGTTAGAGCCGGCACTGGGTGTGTGGATTTCTGGAGTGTCCACCCCCGGAGCTATATCTTTGTTGGTCGGGTCCGCGAGGCGACCGCCCCGCGCATCTCCTGAATTGTTCCGTAACACCACAATCGGCCGGCCACTGACTCCAAGCTCGGCGCGGTTCACTTCGTTACTATCCCGGTCCTCGGTCACAGTTTCCATTCGAGATCGGGTTCGTCGCATCGCACGTGCGTCACGGACCACGTGCTGGAAGCGCTTCTCAAACCAGTACAACCGGATAAAGACCAGCGCACCATGAATAAAAATCGGAGTACACAGACACGTCATCAAGTATAGGACGATTTGTTGGTAGAGTTTGAGCTTATTGACGTCGACGGTGTTCAGCCCGCTCTGGGTGGCGGCGCCGGAGGCGAAGAAGAGCGCATCGATGTAGGCGAGCTCGCTGCCGGGGTAGAGGATAATCGAACCGATGATCACCCACGAGATGATATAGGCATAGTGGATGAAGATGAAGTTCAGGTGCAGCTCGTTCAGGAACGGTACCTTTTGCTTCAGGGAGGATACCTGGCGCACGAAGGCCGAGAACATGTTGACCAGTCGGCCAAAGAGTTGCCCAGAGGCCACAGGGGCCTGATATGACGAGATGTGAGACTCTCGAAAGGAGGGGAATTTTTCAATCCTGCTTAAATTTAGCTTGCACCGCCGACCTCGTTCTGCGATCCATACATGTGGTTACGTCGATCGCTACCGAGCGGAGAGTTTTCCAAGAACACCGCTGTTATCCGCGTGGCATTGAGCCACAATTTGCGAAAGACATGAGGAAAGGGAAGAGAGGATTGAATATAATTGAGAAGAGAGAAAGATGCGACCAGATAAAAAATTGAAAAAAAAAAAAAAACAAATGGCGAAGCTGCAAAAAAATAACGCATGCGGCCGAGTAGATTACTGTATTGTATTGTCAACTGCCATGGAAAACGTGGACTGCCGATCGCTTTTGCGCCCATTTTGGGAGTGGCGAAGCAACGCCAGCTGGTATTGGTATGTAACGCTTTCTCTTCCCTGGCAGTTGACTGAGTTATCCACTGTGGACTCATCTCCCCTTTTTCTTTATAGTCAAGCTTTCTCATGTTTCATATCTATCTTGGTCTCTGTGCAGAGGTGGCGGTGGAACGCTGCTGCAGTCTGCATCCTGCAATCTGCAACAGGCATGTGGTCACTGCAGTATGCATAGTGGATTTGATAGCTCCAATCTTCCGATATAGCTCGATATAGCCAACAAACTAGCAATGTCCATGTTATATCTGGCTGCCTAATCAGGGGCGAATTTGAGATCGGCCCACTTTTCATTCCACCATGTCGTGGCCCGGCCCTAGACTGCTACACTTAACCCCTGTGATGTTAGGGCTGGTGAAAAAATCACTATATTTGCTCCCTGATTGGCCCGTTTATCCATGCATTTCGACACCTTATACTTGGCGCTGCAGTCCAGATATAAGGTCTCTTATCTTATCTCCAATTATCTGTCGACATGTCCCAGGCACTGTATTTCATTGGGGCGTTCTTTTTCTACCCTGCTAGCGGTGTACACACTTTAAACAAAGAGACAAGTGGGTATATGTATATTGCCCTTTCCGGAAATCAGCTTACCAGGCCACGGTCGCTCCCGACATTCCTTGCCGGAAGGGATGATCTTTTTCACATGCTAGTTTATATGAATTAATCATACTAAAGCCAATGCACGCTCATGGTTAAGAAATGATATCAGCTGCCAAGAGTAAGGCCGGCCATTCCGGTCACTTGGTCTCGAAACTCACAGTAGTCCCGGGACACCAAACTAATGATTGAACTCGTTGTTTGCCGGGAAATTCCGGCTGTCAATGCCTCATCATCATTAACGGGGTTTGTTAGAGAGCCTACCGTGGATTTTGTCGATATACTAAGCATAGTGAAGACCTTCGTAAACTTGGTTCAGTAACTGTAATTTATACTTGTTCGAAAAAATAGACGCGAGCCAAGAATGTAAGCGAAGCCACTCGTATCTGCAGCTGATAAGATCGGATGCGCCGCTCACGGCATAATGAGGTATCACAAAGATGTGTTGTAGTTGGATTGAAGATCGGACTTGCAGATCTATATTACAATTTCGACTGGATCTACACAAATCCGCTCACCGAATATATATATATATATATATATATATATATATTCTAGTGGTCATTCTTCAGCTGCCCCGTGGGAGGAATGATTCCCTCCTTCTCGAGAATATCAAATGTCCTCTCAAAGGCCCCCCAAGTATCCTCGTATCCGGTCCACCCGAACTTCCTAGCTTTGCTCATGCTTGCAACACAGCCCCAATCACGACCGAGCACAAAAGTCAAAAAGTCCCAGGTAGCCTTATCCCAGGCAGCCTGATCAAGATTGTATTTGGTCTTGATTTTGTTCCATGCTTCACTGACATCCTTTCGTTGCGCCCATTTCTGGGGATCGATGGGAAGTCGAAGACTGGGAGACTGAGAGTTCACAGCATCGTCAGCGATTCCCATTGCTTTGGCATGCACAGATATAGGGTGGTTGTTCCCGAGTTCGGTATTGGTGGCCTCGTTCCTGAATTCATCGGTGGTAGCAGGGTCGAACATGTTTTCTGGGATTGTGCAGCCAAATCGCTCCGCGAGCAGTGGCCACATACTCTGGAAAGACTCGGTGTCTCCATTGGTGACATTGAAAATGTTGTTGCCGGCTCCAGGCGCAGTGGCAGCCCACAAGCAAAATTGAGCATGGAGTTCTGCAGAGGTCCAGCAGTTGTTGATGAAATAGTTCGATTTGTTGCCGGGATAAATCAACCGCGACCCGGGCAGAGCTTTGCTGACAGCAGCATATAATCCAAGAGCAGTAGCCTCATTCATGAAGTTATGCTTAGCGTACCCGATGACATCGTTAGGAAGGGTACAGATCCATTCCCAATTGCCTCGAGCGGCAGCTTCTTTCACGATATCCTGTTGGGTGTAGTAGAAGTTTGATGGCCATCTGTAGCCACCGAGACCGTCCTCCAATCGAGGATCGGATTCGACGAGAGGCTGCTTAGGCAATCCGAGATGGACACCATATTGCTTGAATCCACAAGTGAGAATTAGGCGCTTCAGTTTCTTTGCGGCACCGGTAATCTCAAGGGCTTTAATGAAGTTAGAGAGCAAGGCTCCATTCACACGAGCAGCCTCGTCATTGTCATCGCGCGCTAGGTAGGCACAGAAGTAGATATACTCTGCAGATACGCCGGCAAGACCCTTGGCCATCTCCTCTGCAGATGCTTGAAGGTCAAGACATGCATGCTCAGTTCGTGCATCCTGGATACCGGGCTGGCTTCGCGAAAGGGTGTAGATTTTAGTGTATGAGGGATCTTTCAGGAGATGGCGAACAATTGCATTTCCAGTGATTCCTACAGTCTTCACGTTAATGAAACCCTTCTTCGATCAAGATACCAAGTCAGCTTGATCAATGATTCACTTACCTGTAGCACCAGTAACAATAGCAGAAGGCATGATGGATAGAAGACACCTCAACTGTGATGTCAAAAAGAGATATTTCCCCAAGGAAGGAATGCTTGAAATAAATCCAACAGATAGTTTGTGATATCGAAATGACGTAACTGTTCGGGATCTCGATTTCTCAGCTGAGCTGGAAATGTGAAGTTTTGCAGTAGTTGGCCCCACGCCGGAATTAGACTCATGTAATTCCGGTAGCGCCCAAATCTTATTCCATGACGCCCTTTAGTTCTTTCGGGATTTGATGTATCGGGATCTTATTAATTTAGTCTTGGTTTGCGGGGAGCCTAGCAGTTCTCCAAAGCCTTTCTTGATGGCAGATACGCGTGTACCCCGCAGCACAACTGTATATAGACTGCATGGCTAGCTTAACACCGACTATGAGAGTAACAACCATTGCCAATCATGTCTCATATAAAACAGTATTAAAAAGAAAGCTCGATTTGTGCTCCTCTAACCATTTCCAAGATTCTCGTTCGCCTTCGGTTCCTGGAGGCCGCGTAAACCGAGATGCCCTTTTTCTCTTTGGGGGTATTACTATCCCAGGCAGCGCTCACAGCTTCACAATTCCAGGAATCTGTGGTTGCCAATGTCTAGTGAGATGAAATGTTTCAATTTCTCAGATAGATGCATACCTTGATCAACGTTGCTGTCTCCCATCTGGGTTGGGGAAAAGCATATAGCTCGCACAAGAGGATGAAACCAAAACAACCCGCTGAATAGAAGGGATTTTTGCCGCAAGCTCTAAAATTCTCAACGTAACTTTCACTCCCCAGGGAATTACAGCTTGAGAGCCACTGCTGAAGGTCAAACCCGATGCCTGGACTTGAGTTCTTATCTGATTGAATCATAAAGTTTCGTTACATACCAAGTGTATGATTCCATCCATGTTGTCAAACAGACGCTGGAGGACATTGCATTCCTCAGAAGAAGAAACAATCACAATCTGAAAAACCCGCTTTCCATATTTATCCTCAAAGTATGCATTCAGCCATCGTTTCGGGGCGCGAACTGTACCTCGCACAGTATATTCTAAAGCTAGCAGTTGATCAACCGCGTGAGATGCGATATAACCACTTGCGCGGGTCACTAGAGTCTGGCTTCATGGGGGTAACGCATGAGACGTCATCTTCAATGTTAATGTAGTGGCAAGGTTAAGAACCTAAGCGAGGAAGTATGCTTGACATGCAGCTCTGGAGATGTCACCTTAGTAAGTACATCAATTATTAATGATACGGAGATGTTGATTGGAATTAGCATTATATCTAAGGCCAAGGGCGTCGGGGTTAATTATCCGCTCAGAGTGAGCGATCCGGAATTAGAGCAGATTCCGTAATATTGAAGCCCAAGTCCCTACTTCTCCTCGCACCTAAAGGGAACATATATATGAAGACAAAAGAAAAACTTCCTCGAGTGGAACAAGAGACTCAGAACATTGAAAGTTGCCGTATGAAGGTTTGATGGATCAAAGAGATTCGCCTGGACCGCTCGCAATACTCAAAGTCATGCTTTCTGTTAATTCAGTCCCCATCTAAAAAAGTCTAGTTGATGGATTGAGAACATGAGTATGCATATATAGCCCTAGATTCCTTGCTGAATAGATAACAGCCGACGATCAATAGCATTGGAGCTGTTTTGTTAGATCATGTCCTCCATGGGCTATCCTGGTATCGAATCGTCTTAGCCCTAGGCCAGCCCTATCCACAATAAGCAGGCAATCTTAGCCTATATATTTCATTCGGCTTCCTTGACATCTCATACTCATCCATTTGAAGAGGGTTTGCTGAATCCCAGTAAATCCGCGAGGCATTGAGAACAATCTCTTATCAGCATCACAATAAACACCAAGTCTGCTGATGAGAATCAGTGTAGAACAGCCATTTCAATGAATAAAACTGACTACTTATTGTCTTGTGATTCGATCACTTCCCATTGGTTTTGTGCCGAAGTGTGCGCGTTCACTGACTTTCGGCCAACCACGTACTTAGTCCATCATTGGCCTGAAGTATCCCACTAGCAAAAATAGAGCGGGACAGCCGGATCTGCCTAATCGTTGGAATACCATCATTGACTTGTTCTAATGCTATCTATATTATTGTGTTGAATAACCAGGTATTCATCAAATGTGACAACGCATTATGATATCCATCTTAAGAATCGTCGCCAGACCGAGGCTGTGGGTAACAACAGCAGTGATTATCCTATTTTCATTCATGCTACGAGGCATCTACAAGACACAAGCCGATGATGAGGGTTTACCAGTCTTCCAACCTGAGATCCACGTATCACCATCTACTACGGTCTTCACACCTCCATTCCATACTCATGGCCGACACATCCAAGATTCTGACGGAAGGAAGGTAAAGTTAGCCAGTATCAACTGGTACGGAGCCAGCGACATCCATTTCGTCCCATCTGGATTGGATATACAGCATCGAGATGACATCGCACAGTTGATCCGAAGACTAGGCTTCAACAGTGTGCGACTCCCGTATGCCGATGAGATCGTGGACAAGAACCCAGTGATAAACACATCGCTGATCGCAAGCAACATGGATCTTCTCCAATTAGCCACGATCCCCGGCCAGCCAACGGCGTTGGATATCTACAACGCCGTAGTGGAAAGCCTCACAGCAGCGGGTCTGCTCGTCATTATAAACAACCATATTACACAGGCAACATGGTGTTGCGGTATCAACCTCTGCGACACAAGCTGGTCAAACGACTGGTTCGGCGGATCCCTATTCTGTCGCATCTCTCAAACCGAAGAGCAATGGATCCGAAACTGGGAAACGGTGATGCGACCGCTTGCAGGGAATCCACTCGTGCTAGGCGCGGACCTACGAAACGAGCCGCGAGGGCTGTGGGGTACGTTGGACTGGGAGGACTGGGCAAGCGCAGCAGAGAAAGCCTCTGAACGACTGCTGGACATCAACCCAGACTGGTTGATGATCGTGGAAGGAATCTCATCGGCGAACGATCTATCGCAGGTACGGGAAAGGCCAGTACACCTGAGTCGACCGGGCCGAGTAGTGTACTCGGCGCATGTGTATAAGTGGTCAGGCTGGGGCGATCTTTACCCCTATTCAGAGCGAACCTACCGAGAATTCGCAGCAGCGATGAACAAAAACTGGGCATACCTGCTCTCCGAACATATTGCGCCTGTGTGGGTTGGGGAGTTTGGAATGCCTGGTGAGCCATCAGCAGGTGACCAGAACTACTGGAGTCACCTGGTACAATTCCTAGGCGAGGTCGACGCCAGCTGGGGATATTGGGCGCTCAACGCGCGCAAACCAGATGGGGAATGGGAGAGCTATGGGTTGGTGGGGGATTCGTGGGATTGGCCGTCGGTACGGTGGGATTCACGACTGGATGATTTGCACGCGCTGGGTCTCAAAGTTAGTTTAAAGGAAGAAAGGACCGAAAAGGGAGAAGGGACCGGAAAGTGAAGATATGTACCTCAGGGTCGACCACGCCCATGCGATGCCTGGTGTCATTGGTGCTTGGGCGGTGATGGTGGAGAGACCAAAGCCCTCGTTGGCCAATGTTGAGCCCGCGATGGGCGCCAAGCTTTGAAGTATATACTTGCACGTTTTGTATCTACGCTCCTATACTTGTCTGTGTTGATATTGGTTAGGATGATCTCCTTTCATTTGGGGCATGTGCTTGCAATAGTTTGTAGGATCATTTTGGTACTTCGGCCTTAGCTCGCTGTATAGACCTGTGAACGCCCGTGTGACTTTCTTCTCTGCTTTTCCTCCGTCCCTTCTTTCACTGTCCGGACAAGCTTGAATCTACACTGCAAGATGCTGGTTTGGTTATCGCGCTGCCTGCCAGGGCTCAGCATTATCGCATTGATCTTAATGCTGGTATTTGCTTTCTCCGATCTCGTCAAATCGTCCCTATGGAAGAGTATCTTTCCCCCGTCCACCAAGCCTCCCTCAGAAGGACCGTGGAGTGGTCTGAATATGGCGCAAATCTTTTTTGTTGTCTACATTGTGTTTATCCATACCCAGATGTTTGCGTTCACCATTCGTCTTGGAGTTTCGCTCTTCAACATCACCAAGCAGACCCGACGGGCCATCAACAGACGTGCATTTGAGAATGATCCGGATTCTCCATTCGTAGCGGACTCTGGAAATTTTTTTGATCAGTCTTTGTCCAAAAACCTCAATGCAACCGAGATCGAGGTCGGCACACCAGAGCTGATCAACGCGATCATTCTTCCCAACTACTGCGAAGATCTTCACACGCTCGAGACAACATTGAAAGTATTAGCCAGTCACCCTAGGGCAATGTCGCAATATGATGTGAGTCAAACGGATTTTCATATTTCTCAACAGTCACTGATACGAACAGATCTACCTCGCAATGGAGCAAAAAGAGAATGTCGCAATGGAAAAAGCTGCTCAACTTATCTCATCGTTCGAAAAGTCCTTCTTGAACATCCAAGCCACCTTCCATCCTTCTGGTATACAAGGGGAGATTGCAGGAAAGAGCTCGAATGTGTCATTTGCTGCACGAAGGATCATCGAGGTCTACCGCACAGCTCTGCAGCTGGAGTCATGCAATGTCATGGTCACTGTTATGGATGGTGAGCAGCCCGTAACACCTCTGCGAAGCTCATGTTTAACTGTGATCTAGCTGATACCCACCTATCCCGCGACTACTTCACCGAAATTCGCCGACTACATTACTCTCACATCACTGAAGCAGACCGCTCAATCTACTGCTGCCCCATAATCTTCGACCGCAACTCGCACGAAAGCCCAATCCTCGTCCGATGCGCAGACCTACTCTGGGGCTTTGCAGGCCTGTCCACAATGTATCCATGCACGGTAATTGCCATCCCAACATCCGTCTACTCCCTCCCACTATCCCTGGTCGAAAAAGTCGGCGGCTGGGATAGCGACCCAACAGCAATCGGCGAAGACCTCCACATGCTCCTGAAATGCTACTTCGAAACTGCCGGCAATTTGATCTCTCGTGTGGTCTACATCCCAGCAAGCCAATGCAATGTCTCCAGTGATGCAGGGATTGGTTGGCGCCGAACAATCGACACCTGCATTGCCCGTTACCGCCAGGCATTGCGACACATGTGGGGAGCCCTTGATTCAGGCTTCGCTGCACGACGGTCCGTTGGATATCTACGATTCCACCAGCGCTGTCTATTCCTCAGACCTCGACATTTCGCCTTGCTCCATCTTCTGTGGGAAGCGCATTTCATGCCGTGCCATCTTACATTGCTCATGTTCTTCTCTGTCTTCTACACACTGTGGAACCCCGTCTCATCTCTCCACCCTACACTAGCATGGGCATTCTCATTTACTAATACCCTGCGCACGCTGGGATTTGTCGGCATGAATGTCTGCCTAGCACTGTATGAGCGATGGCATGCAGTCTGCTTGGACAGTCGAATGAAGGATATGCGCGAGGCTAACCTGCCCGATACTGGCTTTTCTCGGCGTGTCTGGTATCATCCACAGTGTCTCCTTGAGCGAGTTTGCTTCCCTATCTCGGGTACTTTGTACGGTGCTGTGCCTACTATCCATGCTGTGTTCTCGCACTTCTGGACTGATCGGTTGGTGTACCGTGTTAGCAAGAAGCCAACTTTCAGTGAGGAATTGGGGGCTTTTTGATCTGTTTCACTATGCTATGTTAGATATGACTGTTAATACTAATGTTTGAAGTGTGTTGTTCGCATAGACCTACTAAATCGGAGATCGGAGTGGGGTTGTTGCATCACTGACTGACCCCACGGTCTCCAACTTGTTGGGGTAACTGATAACTTACTTGACATCACCCTCCTACTTCAATATCTCTTTTCTTTTTTATTCTTCATTCACTCAATTGACTTAGTAGACTAAACAGACATAACATGGCTCCTAATCCGCGCGTTTCCGTCATCCAATGGCAAATCAAAGTGAGTTGGAAATGGCGTGCCAGTATTCAGACACTGTGGAAAACATATTGACTCTCAATATTGCAGCCATTGGACCCTGAATACAACCATGCCAAAGCCTGCGAATACATCCGCCAAGCAGCCAACCAGAAAGCCGAGCTTGTCGTCCTACCAGAGTAATGCTAGCATCATTACCAACATTAAACCCCCACCCAAACTAACAATAACCCAGATACCACCTAAGCGGCTGGGTCCCAAACGAGCCCCTTTGGTCAACCCAAGCAGATTCCTCCCCAGAATATCTCTTAAAATACCGCGCCCTAGCAAACGAACTAGGAATAAGCCTAGTGCCAGGAACAATCATCGAGAAATATGCCAGTGAAAACAACACAACCCTATTCTACAACACTGCCTACTTCATCTCAAAGGACGGCTCAATCCTCTCATCCTACCGCAAAAAGAATATCTGGCACCCAGAACGACCACATCTAACCTCCTCAGCACATGAGCGGCACGTCGCCTTCGACACGCCTGTTGGGCGTGTTGGTATGCTCATTTGTTGGGATCTTGCGTTCCCCGAGGCATTTAGGGAGTTGATTGCTGATGGGGCAAAAATTGTTATTATTCCTACTTTCTGTATGTCTTTTTTCTTTCCTCCCTTTGTCTTATTTGTCTTTTGTTCTATACGGATCTATATGCTAACAATAGCCAGGGACACCCCACGACGCATCACCCGAAGCCCGCAAGTCTAATCCAGATTGCGAAGCCCTCTTCCTCGAAACTACGATTACAGCACGTTGTTTCGAGAATACCTGTGCGGTTATCTTTGCTAATGCAGCTGGTGCTGAAAAGGATTTCCTTGGATTGTCGCAGATAACACTTCCTATTACTGGACCTGTTGGGAAGATGGGGGCTGAAGAGGGTATTCTGGTTAGAGAGTTGGATGTTGGGGTTGTTGATGCTGCTGAGGCGAATTACAAGGTTCGGAAGGATCTTAAGAGGGAGGATTGGTATTATTCTTATAGGCATTCTGTTAAGGAGTAAAGGAGTGAATGTGAATGTGAAAGTACAGGGATGGGATGAGAGTTGGGGTAGATGCATGACATACAGGAACGCTAAGCTTAATGGGACTTGGAGATATACCACACTGCCAAGATCAGTCGAAACTACGAGCATCTACTTGATTCATATTTCAAAAGATATAGAGGGAACGTCTGGATTCTAAAGCTAAGTCATAAAGCAGAGACAATCATTAATTGATACAGTCGTCATCTGAAAATTCATGAAAGTCGAATACAGACAAGACCAAATGAGAAAGGAAAACGGTATAGAGCTCTCAAATTGGGGGTAAAAGGCGAAGAGAAAATGACACAGCGGACATAGGAAAAGAAAGCAACAAACCAAACCCCCTGTATTGCCAGATCAGACAAATCCCAGCCCCGAGGAAATCACCGAGTCGGTAATATCTGAAGCCTGAGCCAGGCCAGCAATACAAATCGCTATTCTGGGACAGACAGGACGAAGCAAGGTACGAGTATAGTTCGAGATATTCACGGCATGAAATCCACAGACAGCCCAACTCCGCCAACGCGATAGCTCAATCATACAGTCGGCCGATGAAAATGGAATGGAATAAAATCAGTTCTTTTCTTCCTGGATGTAGACCACACTTTACTGGACTTGGCTGACGATCTCGCTGGCGCGACCCAGGCTCTCCACCATTTGTTGGCATTCCTTTCGTCGGCGGACTGTGTAGTCGCTCTCCTTGAGTAGCTCGTCGAGCTCGTTGTTGCGGTACATGTTCTCCAGGAGTTCGCGTTGCATTTCGTCCTTGGTGAACTGGACAAGAGTGTACATGACAGCCTTGGGAACCATGTCAATCATGGTGCGCTTGACAATGTTGAAGTAAGAGGTGATGAGCAGCTCTGTGTGGGTGTTAGTGATCGGTCTTTGAATACTGCTGAGATAAACTTACTGATGACTTCAACCTCGGTGGCTTCACGCTCAGACAAGCTGGCGGAAGCCTTGAGGGTCGGGGGAGGAGCCTCCATGAGAGCCATCTTCTTCTTGTTCTTGGAAGCCCAGAAGCTGCCAAAGAAGCCACTGCCGTTTTGGGCTTCACCGGTGGTATCCAAAGAGGGACTCTGAGCACGGCCTGGCAGAGGCTTGCCAGTCTTGGGGTCGACCTGGGTAGGCTTGGAAGCCTGCTGGCGCTCATTGACGAGGGTCATGGCGCGGTGACCATTGAGGAAGTCAGGGTGGCCAGTGTTGACGTAGGTGGCCTCCATGTTGATCAAGTCCTTGACCAGCTTATTAGTGGGCTCCATGCACTTCTTGAAAAAGGCGATAACGACAGCGTGGAATTTCTCTTTCAGCATAGGATAGCGACGGAACAGCTGCTTGGTAAGGAGCTGACTCAAGATGCGGACCAACTCGTCGAAGACCAGGGAGATACACTTCAAGCTGGGCTCTTCCAGACGCTTGATCTGCTGCTTGACAATCAGTTCGAAAGCGGTGGTGCCGACGAAAAGTGCCGGGGAGGAACCAGAAGAGTTGTAAAGGATGGTGCGGATGTCAATGTCCTTGACAATGTCGAAGGGGTCAACGGCCTTGATACCATTGGAGTAAAGCTCGTGGAACACGAAACTGATACGAGCACCACCTGACAGCTCAATGCTGGAAAGCTCTGTGTTGTTACCCTCCAATACTGTGCGGTATTCGTTGCTGAATTCCGTAATGATGTTCAGGATAATGTTGGCGCTGTTGCCGAGCATAGAATCACCGAGTTGTCCAAGTTCCGTGGTATACTTCTGGAGAGAGGAGGAAATGCGGGCCTTGATATCGGGTAGGGTTTGCTTGATGTGCATCATAAGAATCTAAAAGGTATCTGTTAGCTCATCGGTCCTCATCGCGATTGAACCAGACATACCAAGTTGAGCTTGCGGGCCAAGTATGGCGTACCGCAATAAGAAGCCTTATTCCGGTAAGCCTTGTGGTTCTCGAAGAAGTTCTTCTCGTTCTCCAAAGCAGCAGCAATGAGCTTCTTATTCTCAATGTCACGCTGGCCACGGTTGACCACAGGAACGTAACCCAAGCGCAAGGGGATAATTCGTCCAGCGAGAATATCCACCACATCAGTTCCCTCGTCCATCAAATCAACTTTACTCAACACACCAATAGTGCGCTGACCCTCCGGATCCACCTCGCGCGCCAGCTTGAGACCATCGGAGTTGGCAAGATCCTGGTTGGCCGAGGTAACGGCCAAGATGATTGCGTTGGGCTTGCTGATGTACTTGAGCACCATCTCACGGATCTGGCGCTCAATATCCTTCGGCTGGTCACCAACAGGGACCTTAGTCAAACCGGGCAAATCGACGAGGGTCAGGGTGAGGACGTTGGGCGAGTAGATGCGCAGGTTGATGGGAGCGGGCGAGATACCGGCGTTCTTGCCCACCTTGGTTTCCGTTTCGCGAACAATCTCCTCACGAATCTTGTTGAAGTCGTAGAACTTCTGGCCCTGAATGTGCAGGAACTCACCGTATTCGTCCACGTTGGACTCGGAGTCCGTTGTCTCCAACTTCTTGTCGCCATTTGACTGAGCGCTGGGGGTCTTGTTGATGAGCTGCAGGATGAGAGGTCTCCTAGTAACGATTCCGGAACCACGAGGCAGGCTATATCGTGAATTTTATGGTTAGCAATTGGTGACACCGTTGTGCATACCCCGCCACCGGGTGTGTTGACGGGGCCGCGCAAGCTCCACGAAATAGACCACGTACAAATCCCGGCCGACGATATTCTCTAGCACCGAACTCTTTCCGCTGGACTGCGATCCGACGACGACAATCTGGGGCAAATCGATCGGGTTGTGGACCTAGTGCATGTGGTGTCAGCGCACGAGACACCCCTAGAGCCACAATTGGCATAAAGTTTTCGAGGTGGAATACTTACTCCGACTGTGGAGAAGACATCCTGCAGCTTGTTGACAAGTGAAATCAAGCTGGGGTCATTGACGTTTATGCTGCGCACACGGAGATTAGCTTGACCGCATCGGAGAGGGAACAGGGGGTCGCACGAGTAGCCGGTCGTGGGGCTTGCCATGGCTGGCGAGATCAGTGTAGAAACTGCTTTCTAGACAAAAACTTGGAAATAAGAAAGAGAGAAGCGAAAGCGAGCGAAGTTGAGTGTAGCGGAGCAAGTAGGGAGATTGTTTGGTTGGACTCGAAGGCGGTGATGTAGTGGCGGCCAGAGCGGTCTCCCTTAGGCTGCAGTGATCTGCAGTGTATCTACCTGAGTGCTATACGAGTTTTACCGTTAAAGGTTATTTGACTGATGCCTAGTCATGTGCACTTTGATGTAGAAGCAATGTAGAAAACACGCGAGTTGGACACAATAACTACAGGGGAATGTGCTCGACAAACATCTAAAAATCGGAAAATACATGCTAGGCTAAGATGGCACTTTCACTCGTCCGAGACCGACGCAAATCGCTCTGTCATGGACTGGAGGATCTGCTCGTACTTGGCGGAGATCTCCTTCTCGTCGTGGGGGACCTCGAACTTCATGCTGCGCAGGGCATTCTGGAGGTCGGCAGTGGCATCGCGGACCTTGCTCCAGTTCTGACCCTGGGCGACGGCTTTCTGGGCTTCGTTGTGGTAGCCCATGAAGGCCTTCATCATATACTCGGTCTTCCACAGGGGGCAGAACTGATCGTAGTCAGAGTATCCGTTCTGCTGCAAGAAGTCGTCCTTAACCATGCTGGCCACGTCCAGCGTAATCTTATCAGAGTCACCTAGGGCAGCCTTTCCGACCAACTGGACGACCTGGTCCAGCTCCTCGGACTTGGCCAGCAACTCACGGATGCCGTCACGCAAGCGAGGGAACTCGGGGTGGTCCTTCTCGTAGTACTTATCCAAGACGGTGTTATACTTGCTGTAAGAGATCGAGGTGTTGACGGAGGGGAAGTGCTTGCGCTGGGCGAGCTTCTTATCAAGACCCCAGAAGACCTGGACAATACCAAGGGTACTGCTAGTGACAGGATCGGAGAAATCACCACCGGGCGGGGAGACAGCACCGACAATGCTGACACTGCCCTCACGCTCGGGGCTACCCAGGGCACTGCTCTTTCCAGCACGCTCGTAGAAAGAGGCCAGCTTGGCACCGAGATAGGCGGGGAAACCCTGGTCAGCAGGCATTTCACCCAGACGACCAGAAATCTCACGCAAAGCCTCAGCCCATCGGGAACTGGAGTCCGCCATCATTGCCACGTTCTTGCCCTGGTCACGGAAGTATTCGGCGATGGTGATACCGGTATAAATGGAGGCCTCACGGGCAGCGACGGGCATGTTGGAGGTGTTGGCGATCAGGCAGGTACGCTTCATAATAGGCTCCTTACGGCCGTCGATATCAATGGAAAGCTATGCGTGGTTAGCCAGCACTCACTGAACGGTCACGGGGAACACCTACTTCGGGGAAGTCCATCAAGACTTCAGCCATCTCGTTACCACGCTCACCACAACCAACGTAGACGATGATATCACTGTTGGAGAACTTGGACACAGACTGGGAAATGACGGTCTTTCCACAACCGAAAGCACCAGGAATACAGACGGTACCACCCTGGACACTGGGGAAGAGAGCATCCAGCACTCTCTGGCCGACGATGAAGGGCGCATCGGCGGACAGCTTGTCGCTAACGGGGCGGGGAACACGAACGGGCCAGGTCTGCATCATGCCGTATTCGGTCTTCTTGCCATCGAACTCGACCTCGAGTAGCTTCTCCTCAACGGTGTAGCTGCCTGCGGGGGCAATGCGGGTAATCGTACCCCGTGCACGAGGAGGCAGCAGGATCTTGTGGTCGTTGACCAGACTGTTCTCGAACACGGAACCCCAGATATCTCCACCGGTGATGTGGTCGCCAACCTTGAAGGTGGTAGGCTTGTAGTCCCACTTCCTCTCGCGGTCCAATGCGTTCACGGAGATACCACGGGGAATGTAGATACCCTTAGACTGGTCGGAGATGGCCTTGAGGGGTCGCTGGATACCGTCGTAGATTGTTTCCATCAAGCCGGGGCCGAGCTCGACAGACAAGGGCTTTCCTGTCCTTGTAACGGGGTCGCCGACGGTCAAACCATCTAGTATGCACGCATCGCATCGGTCAGTATAGCTCGGGGAGTTCGATGACGAAGCAACGGAAGGACTCTACCTGTCTCTTCGTAAACCTGAATGGTGGCCTTGTCGCCTTCAATCCGAATAACTTCACCAACAAGCAAGTCATGACCAACACGACACTAAGCACTTATCAACATCGAAATAGTCGGGGAGCTGGGGAGCTGGAACCGGGGAGGGCAACATACCAACTCGTACATAGCACAACCGATCATATGCTCGGCCACCACAACGGGTCCGGAGACCGAAAACACCGAACCTTGCTCTTCTGTCTGATCAGCCATGGTGGAGGAAGCCTGTGGTGGAGGTGTAGAGGATGAGGTGGAGGTTGAGGAGGGCGAGTCTGGAAGCGGTGGCAGCTCGGCGGGCGGTGATGGCAGTGTCAACGTATTCTCTCTGAGTATCAGATCCAGAAATGACGACCGCGCTCTAAGTCGAGGACGTCCCAATCCCAGCATTCGCTTTGAGGTGTTTATGGGGTGAGATTATACTTCCCCTGGTCGTGGAGTCCCCTGAGGTCTTCATCCAATCCTTGTCCTCCCCGGACGAGCCGATCGTGCCCAGCTTCTACACTTGGACCTCAACCTGCCTGGTACTTCTGTGGTGGCCAGATGGTTTGCTGTAAATTCTACTTTGTTCCATGAGCTTTGCACCTTCTTGAAACAACTATGCACTTGGGATTTGTGAGTGCGAATAGCTGCCCACCTAGCACATCCACGATGCAGTCCGATTCTTTATTTGTCATACATCGTTCTATTGCTTGAATAACGTTATATCGAGTGTTTTATTGCATGATGTTCTACAGTAATAACCCCCAGATCAATCTATCCATTGATTCAATACGTCTTCCCAGCTGTCATTTCCAACTTCCAAGCTTCTTGGCGCCTAAAATGACGCGCAACGCCCCTCAATAGGAGTCCTTTTCAACAGGAGTCCTTTTCAACCTCGACAACTATCTGGACCATATACAATAGGTTGCCAAACTCAATAGCTTGGTGCAGTGCATATTGGCTAACCAACGACGCGGATGCAGAAGGAAAGAATGCCTGCAACCTGTTCTTGCGGCCATCTTCGGTCTCCTTGAACTCGTTGATGAGATAAAAGAAGAGACTCCAAGTTTCGAGCTTGACAATTGAGTACTCCATCGCTTCATACCGGGGGTTCGCAGTGCCATCAGCCAACCCGGGATTACCTCCGGGCTCCTCGTGGGATCAACACACCAAAGTTTTGCAATATGATCCCCAATCATTTACAACTTACCAAGAGCTCCATACTCCGGACCTTCATCTATCTCACGCATAACCATATATACGGCTGTGTGGGCTGTAAATACATATCTGAGCGCCATCCAGTCAATTGGCTGGGATTTGTACCAGCGACCGATCATGGGTCGGAACTCTCTAGCTGACAGCCCATTTACAGCTATTTGAATGAGACTTTCTGTATATTCGTTGTTTGAATTTGCTATTGGCGATCCAAAATAGCTAGTTCCCTTGTCGATTTGGTCTTCAAGGAGTCCAAGCATGGGCTCTTGAAACAATAGGCCTCGAAGGTTGGTTAAGGCCCCGTAACAAGCGTCAAGTTCCACGTTTTGAAGTGAAACCAGGGAACCTTCACCGCGTTGACTTCGCATTCGATCGAAAGATTTGTCTCCGTGGTTTCTTGCGCGAACAATTCTTGAAAGTATAGTGGATTCTGATATATTCTATGGTAGTCTAGTCTGCAATGTATTATATAGTCGCCAGACAAAGAATATGGTTCATATATCAACATTTGGGGGCCTTTGTTCATTTTCATAGATAATGCTTTGTCTTAGAAGATCAGAACAAAGACTCTAAATGCAATACCGTTAGATCAGCATGAAATTACCCTATTCTCCGGACTTCTAATAAACATGTGAACAGTATTAGCGAAGGGCGCTAGCACAAAAGTCTGGGGTCTGAGTGGCTCAACTTTGCTTCACATGGCGATCGACGCCCCCCTCTTCCCCGGACCGTGGACCACGGTAAATGGGTCGGTCACCTGCCATCGCTTTTATAGTATCGTGTAGACTTGAATTATATAAAAGTAGATCCTGTTTCAGTTTCGAGGTCTCCTAGACAACAGCAAATATGTCGCTCAGAAGCCCTAAGAATGGAAATAGCACTGAGTGTCACTACTGGGGCTATTCCTTCCACTGGACTGACCTCCACTCATCTGCCGATGAACTCCGGCCGTTGGCATATACCTATGATACTCTTGCTGATGAGTGCGTTGAGCTCTTGAATAAGATCCCGACGAATGATGACTCGGACAAGAAGGTCTATAAGAAGGATCTATATGGTCTATTACGGGATCATGCGGATGAAGATCCCAAACTCCAAGAGTTGTGGACACAGATCAATACAGTCCCAGACTGGGTAGACTGGGCTCAGATCCAACGGGGTCAGGATGTTTTTTTCCGATATGGACTTCCGATTCTGAATGTTGTGAGTAGTGTACTTCAACTTCGATTGATTTGCGATGCTCATATATATACAGCTTAGTTTTGAAAGTTTACTTGGTGGAATGTACGGCAATATAATATCTACACAGCTACCCTGGTCATCTTCTGACAGTCATATCTAGGGGAGCAATCCGGGTCGTCGAAACACTTACACGCACAGGCGGTTTCGGGGCAAAGGTAGTACGGAGAAGGTTACTCGAGACCCTTCAGCATATTCTACAAGTAAACAGCTCAGTAGAAGGCATGAGACCAGGCGGCGAAGGTCATATCTCATCTGTTCGAGTCCGACTACTCCACTCGTCTGTCCGGAAGAGGATACTCAGTCTGGTTGACCAAAAGCCCGAATACTACGATATCGACAAATACGGAACACCAGTCAATGACTTGGACTGCATCGGCACTATCAACACATTTTGCAGCTCCGTTGTTTGGCTTGGACTTCCTAGACAGGGTATTTACCTCAACCAGCAAGAGATCGAGGACTACATCGCACTGTGGAGGCTGGTTGCTTATTACATGGGCACGCCGACACATCCATTTGAGGATACAGCCAAGGCTCGGGCGATGATGGAGTCTTTGCTTATTACAGAAATTGATCCGACTGAGGTTGGAAAGATTCTAGCGAAAAATATTATCATTGGTCTAGAGAATACGGCACCGGCTTATGCATCCAAGGAGTTTATGGAAGCCATGGCTAGACTGCTTAATGGGGATCAGCTTTCTGATGAGTTGGAGATCCCCCGGTCCAACCTTCATTACAAGATGTTGATTTGGGGTTACTGTTTCTGGGTCATGGGTGTTTCATACATTATTCCCAGAATCTCTTTCCTGGACAAGATGATGATTTCGGTATGGAGCCCTTTTCACTTTTGCTTTTTTATCGAGACATTTTGCTAATCTATCGACCCTATAGCTTCGCCGGAAGTATTTCTATAGGCTCATTCTCGATGAGAAAATGGGTCTTGGAGAAGAGTCTCGCTTCGAGTTCAAATATGTTCCCACTCTCACTCGCAAAACTCGACTTGGAGAGCGTAGAAGTACCAAATTTGAGCGACCTGGTATTGAGAGTTTGGCACGTTTGGGACTTCTGGCGGCCTTCACTGGAGTGGTCACTCTGGCCTTGGGTTTTGTTTTTGCCACGAGAATGATTCCTACACATTAGTTCTTGGTGGTTTGAGCATGTTTTGTGCTGTATTAACTGTTCTTCATATTAACTCGCCATGTCTGTCAATCTTGTGTACATATTCAACGAAGTGAATATCTTCCAAGTGAGATCTATTGGCCCTATACATAGAATCCCCGCCTGCATAAATGCTAAGGGCGCTGTATGTTACCTAACCTAGTTTAGCGTCATTGCTGCATCACGATGTCAGCCAAACATCGAGGCTCGTATTGTCCAAGAACCTGGCCATTGCAATACTCTCAGGCTGGAAGATCGATATTGACAACAACACCGCCTCCAGGACCATTGGCCAATATCTACGGAAATGGTTCTACGGACTGAAATCGAATCTCCCACCGCGTCACTCCCTGCTGATGGGTCTGACAGGTACCGTGAACGGCCAAAGCAAGGCGGTGCATTCGATTGAATCGAGAATAGCTCTCGAGAAAAAGACCAAATGTATCTCTCGGCGTTTTTCAACGGGCTAATTGCTTAATTTTTGCTACGGTCTGTTCTTCGGGGTACACTGGAAACACCAATGGATACCACTCCTCATAGATGGCCCCCAAACAAGGGTACTGGAAAGGCTTGCATGGCGCAGTCTTGTGCAGCAAACTATAAACGTCATATCTAATTTGCTGCTGTTCGGCAAATGTATAAGAGCATGTCGAAATCCAGCATTACTGAGAACTAGCATCCTCCATTCAAGCTTCTTTCCATTGAAGCAGTCTACTCTATCAATATGCGGCTTCCAAATTATACTCTCATTGGCCTCTTCTCTATGCCAGGAGTTCTGGCAAATCTTCTAGGACCGACCTATCCTCCTCCCAGAGATTTGTCCAGCAGCAACAGCCGAGTCGCCGCGAGCTGGAAGAATCTCACTTCCCAACTCAACGCCTATCTCGACGGTCACGCCAATGGAACCAGTGGAGTATCTGCACTGAAAAACCTCACCTTTTCTGCTGGGTTGTTTTCCACACTTGACCCAAAGGCCGAGCATCTACAGTACCACCACACCGCTAGTGAAGTTGCAGAATCCCCTATCGGGGCGAAGAAGGTCGATGGAGACAGCATCTACAAGGTGGCCAGTGTTTCCAAACTCTTCACTGTCCTCGCTGGCCTACTCGAGCTAGATGATAAAGACTGGGAACGTCCACTCACAGACATCTTCCCCTCCCTAGCAGAGCAAGTTCGTGGGAACCGCGACAAGTTCCAGCTTACCCGTGACGTCCAATGGGACAAGATCACACTCAAAGCCATTGCCAGTCAGATGAGTGGCATACCACATGGTGGCACTGCTGAATTCCTGTACAAATTTGCGCTTGCAAAAATATCAGGCTCTCATAATCCCAAGGCAACCGATCCAAACTTCTACGGCCTACCACCCTTGAACGACAGTGACTTGTCGCTCTGGCCTCCATGTATCGGAGACCAAGTCCAAGGTTGTAACCCGGTTCCTTGGGATGAAGGATATGCTGCAAGCGCCCCTGTCTTCCTTCCCTGGGCCAGTCCGGAGTATGCGAACAACAACTTCGCCCTGCTGGGTCTCGCGATCTCGAACCTTACCGGAAAAACTATGGATGGGTGGTATGGGGAATCGATCTTCGACCCCTTGGGTATGAAATCAACCTTCTCATCGCCCCCTGACAACTCAAGTCTCTCTCATCATGTCACTGCCGAAACCCTGCAACCCGAATTTCAGATGGATGGAGGTGCTACGATCCCATCAGGTGGCTTGTTCTCCACAACCAACGATCTCGCCAAGTTCGGCGTTGGCCTTCTCAACTCTACCCTTCTTCCTTCTGAAAAAACGCACGAGTGGATGAAGCCTGTCACTCGTACCGCTAGTCTGCGGTACTCTGTCGGCAAACCATGGGAAATCCATCGCTTCGTCCACGCGAAATCCGGCATCGTCACCGATATCTATACAAAGCTTGGAGATTCAGGCTCCTACGGCGGGATCGTCGCCATCATTCCCGAGTTTAGTGCCGGTTTCAGTTTCCTTGGAGCCAGTTCTCTAGCATCTCGCAGTCCGTTAATGCTTCTTGCCATTGATCTGATTACCGATTCCATTCTTCCAGCACTGATGGAGCAAGCCGCATGCGAAGCCAAGCAGAAGTTTGCGGGGACATACAAGGCTGAAAGCCTCAATTCTTCCATTACATTCTCTGTCGTCCCGCCTATGCAGCCTGAACCTGGATTGAAGATCTCCTCGTGGGTTAGCAATGGTACCGACCTCATGCCCCAATTTGAAGCCCTCTTTAGCGGTAAAAATGTAAGGCTGGTGCCGACCATTGTGCCTGAGGATGTAAGTGGCAAAATTGCATTCCGATCCTATACTTCTCCGGATGTCAAGCCGAATGTGGGTATTGGTGCCTCTTCCAATCTGTTCTCGTCGCTTTATGATGTCAGCAAATGGCTCACCCTTGATTCGTTGCTTTGGGGTGCTTTTGCTACGGATTTGTTCATCTTTGATGTTGAGAAAGATGGGAAGGTCAAGGCTGTGACACCGACTGCCTACAGGGTGAAGATGGAGAAGAAGTGATTTGGTCACAACAAACCAAGACACGAACTTTATAGACTGATAACTTAATTGAATTTATACCTTGCTTCTATATACAAATGGAACCGAAACTCATTATTCAGTATCCATCACGCTTGCCCTCAACCTGGGCAGTACCTTTAGCCTTCTCCAATTCACGCAACATACCATCCCCGAAGACACCAACATCAGTAATAATAGAAACCATATCAAAGCCCTGCTGCGAGCGTCTAAGCGCATCATCACCATCAGAACAGAAGATAGCAGCCTTCTTCCCAGCCGACTTGGCAGCCTTCAAAACCTTCAGAATAGCAGCCTCATGCTCCTCCCCACCACGCACAACACGCATCTGCTTAGCAAGATCAAAAGGTCCAATAAACAAAACATCAAGCCCCTCAACCTGAGCAATCTCCTCCACATTCTCAACACCAGGCCGCGACTCAATCTGCACAACAACCAATACCTCCCCGTGAGTCTTCGCATCATACTCAGCAGGCTTAACACCCGGGAAGGAATGCGGCGCAAACATGGGTCCGTAGCCGCGCGATCCAACTGGTGGGTACTTGCAGTAACTAATCACCTTGGCGGCGTCTTCAGCTGTGTGGCACATTGGAGTCATGATTCCGTGAGCGCCTGCATCGAGGGCACGCTTGATCATCCATTCTTCTGGCCAGGGGACGCGGATGATTGGGCTGGCGCCTTCGTGGCCGATGGCGTTTGTGAGCTGGAATTGGTGTTAGTGCGGCTTTGTTGATGGATTGTATGAGGATTTGTACCTCGTAGTAGTGACTATCGTTAATCAGTCCATGTTCAGCGTCAACGAGGACCCAGCTGAATCCGCCTTCCGAGTACTCGGGGCTGCGGCGGAGGATGGTCTTTGCGACAGCAGCACTAGGGAGGCTATAGATGGTGGTTTGTTAGCTGAGTGTTCTTGTCGTGTATTCTTGAGTTCTAATTGAATGAGTTCTCTTCAAAACAGTCTCTTTTAATGGATTGAAGCTCTCTCAAGCTGCCCCTCTAAACGCGGGGTTTCAACGGGGTTCAAACGTACGTCAACCAGAAGCCATAGGACACGGGCGTGCTTTGTAGTGCGGAGCGGAGTGTGACAGCAGACATGATGGATGTAACAAAGATGATGTTTTTTCCGAGATTGAGGATCTAAGAAGGAATGTTCTTAGTATGACCGCGTCTTGAAGAGGGACACTCGGGCTTGCTCCGACCGATTACCCGAGGACCACCCCCACGGCGTCTCTTGCTGCAGTTACTATTTATATTGAATGTTTGTGGTTAATTTGTGATCAGACAGTCAAAAATGATAGTATGTTTAATGCTTTGTCGCTGTATAACTTAATTGTTATATTGTGTATATCACTTGCATTGCCATGTCTGAAGCTGAAGCTGTTGGGGAAATGCCCCACGGGGAATGCCACTGCGTGGAGTGCTCGGTGATGGACTGCCCCGAGGCCCGAAGTACCTTTGATTTGAATAGTTGCATTCGCGCTGCAGATAGAATGGGAATCCGGTATAGACAGGTAACAAGGACACAAGTTGATTCAAATGGTTGTGTTTGGCCATTTCTACCAGCGCCAGTTGTTCGACATCAAGTTTTTGAAGTGAGCAGTTCTATTTTAAGACGGCAATGAACTAGATTATTGATCATGGATCCTACGCTGGATGTAGTAGAAATCATGAAATTCTAGAGCCTTGCTAACGGTCGCATCTAAAGGCTTTTATGAGTACAATTGGTAGTTTATACCTTGCGCTTGCGAGCGGGCTTATACATTTTACTTCCCGCCTTGTAAGGGGGACACTCTCATGGCTAATTCTTTGTCTGCAAATTGTCACGAAGACAAAGTCAGCTAGGTCTATTCGGGCCGAAAATGTGACATGAGTGCGGCGGTATGTATAGAGTCGCCTCTAGCTGCAAGATCTGCGCGGAACTTGATCCGGCATTGGATGTATGTATGGCGTTCACACGGAACTTGCAGAGAGCTATTGAGTGGAATCCTGTCCATATAAACATGACTATCGTTATCGTGCAGATGCTACATTACAGTACTATATCTCAGTCCTGTGCGCTAGTACCCCGTCGCCTACCCGTAATTTCTATATGAGCGTAGTCTAGAGGAAAAGAGACGGTGGCTTAGTATTGGGGATATGTTTTACGCGCTAAAATTATCCTATAAGGATGACGTCTACGCCAAGTTGGACAATGATCTGTCTCCTTTTTTTTTCATTTCTGATATTTCACATAGCACAACGAATGGAATAGAGTTGGCTTTACTTCTAGGGTAGAGGTTAGTAGGATCTTTGTTTCAGATTGAGGTCACACATACTCCACATCCCTTGCAGGTGCAAGTGTCGCCACAAGTGCAGCTTTGGCCACCGCCTGAGCAGGTACAGCTTGATCCGCAGTCACAGGCCATGTTGAGTTGAATGTATGTTGGTATGGTTTGGGGGGAAGAGTGAGGTAGTAAGGCAGTAAGATAGTGAGTGTCTAAAGTCAAGAGCTGCATGTGGGTGGTTACGTATTTATATGCGAGTTGCGGCTACAGCATCATCATGGCGTCAATGAACCATCATAATCGGTGGCGCCTATTGCTTCCGAGAGCTGAATAAGTGCAGTTTCAACTTCTACTTCCGATGCAGGGTTGCTCTAGGGCGTAGATCCTGCTCTGTGCTTTGTGGAGCTTATAGATGTGCATGGCAACCCCAGACTTTTATAAGCTAGCTAGAGCTAACTTGGGTCAACTACATGTATTTGTTTCATAGTCTAAATCAAACTAAACATATAGTGAACGCGCTAAAGCAAGATTAAATGGATCTGGCGGCTAACTCGCCCGTCACAAAATAGAAGCTCAGAAGGTTGATCAGGTGAGATACGTGGAGCTGTGATAGAGAGCTGCCCAAACCATCCAAACCCTCCTTCGTCGCGATTCTCGAAACAGCAAACACCCTTCCCATATTTTCTGCTTAACTTGCATTGCACACTCGTGATTTACTGCCGTGTTCCACCACTCGATAAGCATCTCCGCCCGACCTCAACCTCGTGATTTCTGTCATTCACCTTGTGACTTCAACAGCTCCGGTTATTTATCGGACTATCACTTCAGATCTGCTCACCTGGTTCTATGAGCCGGGGGATTGGGCAGATCTAGGCTATCGAGCTGGCTCACTCCTCACCTTATCACCCCTATATCGCCTCCGACGACCCCGATTCTCTGTCCTCGGTAGTAGACATTCCCGACTCCCAGATCCCGACTCTTGCTCCATCTGGTCTACGCCGCCGTCGTTCGAGTAGTCCCCTTGGTTCCGCAACGGCGGGGGTTACACTTCCTACACGCGAGGCCGCTATCCTCCCCGGTCGATCGGACAGCCGTTCACCCTCCCCCAAGCGCAGGCGCCTGGCAACCATGCGTCCCGATGGAATAAAAACAGAAAACGGCTTCTCTGAGGCTTCGAATGGGTCCTTCCCGTCGACTCCGAGGAAAGTTGGTCTGAACGGGTCAAGCTCTAACGGGAGCTCCCATACCAACGGTTCGAGAAAGCCGAGCTCTACCTACTACGGACATAACCGGGAAGAGGTGTCACGGATCTTGATACAAAGCCTTTATGAGTTGGGCTATACAGACTCGGCGTCGAAGTTAATATCTGAGAGCGGGTATGAACTGGAAACGTCGGGGGTCGCAACGTTTCGAAATGCGGTATTAGGTGGGAGATGGTCGGAGGCTGAGAGGATCTTACTTTACTCATTTCGGAATATTGGGCTACAACAAGAAGATCACAAATCTGTACCGGAGGAGACGCTGGTGTTAGCGGAGGATGCCGACAGGAACGAGATGCTGTTCTATCTACGGCAGCAGAAGTTCCTGGAGCTACTGGAGGCCCGCGATCTGGCGTCGGCACTCGGGGTCCTTCGGCAGGAGCTGACACCTTTGAATTTTGATGTAGAGCGCCTTCATGCTCTTTCAAGGTATGTCCATGTGGTGGTTTGCTAATAAATTTACTTGGCGGTTCGCTGACTCGCCTTAAGTCTTCTTATGTGCCCGACCGAAATCCTACACGAACAAGCAGGTTGGGATGGGCCTGTCAGCTCTTCACGAGAGCGGCTCCTCGGCGAGCTGTCCAGTAAGCGCTGTTACTTACCACAGTCTGTATCATGTTTGCTAACTCAGCCCAGAGTCCATCTCTCCCTCCGTCATGATTCCGCAGCATCGCCTTGCACACTTACTAGATCATGTCAAGCACACGCAAATCAACAACTGTTTATATCATAATACTGCCGAGCCTCCATCACTCTACTCCGACCACATGTGCGACCGAAATGACTTCCCTCTGGAAGTTAGCGCGCGTTTGAGTCATCACTCAGATGAAGTTTGGTATTGCGAATTTTCTCACGATGGCACCAAGTTGGTCACTGCCGGCAAGGACCACCACGTGCTTATCTACGATACAAGCGATTTCTCAGTTTTGAAACGCCTTACCGATCACGAGGAGGGTGTTGCCTTTGCTAGTTGGAGCCCAGATGACTCCAAGTTGATTACATGTTCGCAAGACAAGAAGGCTCGCGTGTGGAGCGTTGAAGTAAATTCCACTTTGAACACGAACAAGAAGCTTCCAGGCATACTAACTCTGAATTTATAGACTGGCGTTTGTCTGCTTACTATTAACCACCACCGCCAACCAGTCACGGCGGCTGCCTGGGCGGCAGATGGGGAATCCTTCGTGACGGCCTCTCTCGACGCTGAATCTCAACTTCGGCACTGGAGCATGCGGGGCCAGCCCTTGCACTCATGGAAAGGTGGATTCCGCGTACAAGACTGTGCCATTAGCGCAGACGGACGACGCCTTGTTGCAGCCGACACGGAAGCTAAGATCCATGTGTACAACTTCATAACTTACGAGGAAGAATACTCTCTTCCACTACCTAGCAAGCCAACCTCGGTTGCTATCAGCCAGGATTCACTGCATGTGCTTATCAATCTTGCTGAGGGGGAGATTCAACTCGTTAATATGGAGACTACTGCCTTGGTCCGTCAATTCCGAGGCCAGAAGCAGGGCGAGTTTGTGATTCGTAGCACATTCGGGGGAGCCGCTGAGAATTTTATCGTCAGCGGGAGTGAAGGTTAGCATTTCAACCCAAAAAAAGCATCACGTCACTAACCTTCTTTAGACTCGAAAGTCTACATCTGGCACAAGGAGAATGGCAACCTCGTTGAGACTTTGGAAGGACATGAGAAGGGCTGCGTGAACTCAATATCATGGAACCCAAGAGACCCGGGAATGTTTGCCTCGGCAGGCGACGACGAGTCAGTAAGGATGTAAGCAAACTCCTACTTTGACCTTTCGCATTAAACAATGCTAACAGATCTCCAGCTGGTCCCGAGAAAACAATAGGTCACGCCCAACAGGGCCTATTCAACGAAGTGGCCTATCATCAAATGGGTTTACACGGACGAGTGCATTGAGATCCACCTCCACTTACTGAGACGTGGACGCAGCCAGACCTGAACTGAATCCTGTGAACTACACATCAAGAATGCCTATCATGACTACCTAGGAATCTCTTTTTCACGCTCCTTGCTCATTTGCTGTCTTTATCTTATATTGTACTCATGTTTGTCAATTATCTCGTATCATGGTGGAGGCATTTATCTAACCCGGTGCATTGGTGCTCATGTGCTTTGGATTGAAAGACGATAAACCTGCTTTCTCGCAATTTCGTTTTCTTTTTCCTTTTCTCGCTCTCTTGTATCGGGATACCTGTGGCTTTCCTCTTTCTTTCTTGGATTTGAGCTCGGCTTGCCCCCCCCCCTCTCCTTATCGTTTAAATTCCACCTTATCCGCATATAAATCGTATAAAATCCAATTTTGGGCTTGGTTTGGTTTGACTCGGCTCGGCTATTTAGGGTATGTAGCTAGCATCTAACTTAGTTCTATCAATGCAAAAGCCAGTTGGCCGTTTCGAAACTGATATTGAATCCTAGGCGAGTCAGGGGGCACTGATGGTACATACTGGTTAGCAAGACAGGGGCAGTTATTCCAGGTCATTCTTTATAGACTGGAGCGAGGAAAGATAGATCCCTAAATTTTTATCTATCAGAAACTTAATTGCGAGATACCGGGAGATATAAACATCACTTGCAGATTTCCAGCGCATGTTAGCCCGCTCGAGCAAGCGCTCACATATGGCTTGTTCCACGGAATTTGGCCCTTCGCTTTGCCCTGTATCATACGTAAAATAGCAACTGCGGCACAGTATACGCTGTGTAGGATTAAAGATGTTCGCCTACGAAGTTGTATTAGTTTGTGTATGAGTGTAGAAGAGCGAGATTGGTTTCAGAGGCGTGATTCTATCAATTAGGACAAGCTAAAGAGAAGGAGTATACGGGCATAAACCAGTCCAGAAGTGGTGAAATATTGAAAGTAAATTTGATTCCATCATTCATAATTCCCAATATCAAAAAAAGCAAACGAAAACTCCGAGGACTGAAAGACGCTACTACTTAGGCCCCTCGATCTCAAATTTTGAAAAATAAAACAGAATCGTAAACACCGCCAGGGATGTACAAGTTGATTGGCATTCTTATTCTGCTAAGAAGATCAGTACCTGCTGATGAGTATGTGAGTGAGATTTGCTTACTGATACGTAAGTATCCCTTTCCTCCACGCTATAGCTGGCATTCCTTGTTCCTTTTTGTCATGGTGTCGAATTTGGGGCATATCCAACCACGCATGCAGGACGCAATCATTTCAATAAGGTCAAAAATACAGGTGCCAAGTCGACTGGAAGAAAGATTTTGTAGATACAAGATCCAATAAGGCGATTATGAAAGCAAGTCCGCAACTGTATATTTGATTAGTGCCGTTCATACTTTAGTTAGAATCCCGGAGCTTACCGTTCATTGGCATCTCGTCAATCTGAGTAGAGTAGTACAACTCGATATCACGCAGGATGCGAACATCATCACTGGTGACAAAGTTGATAGCCACACCCTTGCGGCCGAAACGACCACTTCGACCAATACGGTGAATGTAGTTCTCACGGTTGGTAGGAAGATCGTAGTTGATGACAAGGGAAACCTGCTGGACATCGATACCACGGGCCCACACATCAGTGGAGATGAGGACACGGGAGTTACCCTGGCGGAAGTCTTGCATAATGCTGTCACGCTCCTTTTGGGGCATCTCGCCGTGCATGCTAGAAACAGTGAAGTTGGCCTCACGCATCTTGTCGGTGAGCCAGTCGACCTTGCGGCGGGTGTTGCAGAAGATGACTGCTTGGGTGATGGTCAGGGTGTCGTAAAGATCGCAAAGTGTGTCAAACTTCCACTCCTCCTTCTCCACAGCAATGAAATATTGCTTGATACCCTCCAGGGTCAACTCATCACGCTTGACCAGGACACGAACGGGATCGGTCATGAACTTAGTCGTCATATCCAGGACATCGTACGGGAGAGTAGCAGATACTACAACAACCTGCGTCGCGGGGGGCAAGTAGCGGTAGACATCGTAGATTTGTTCGCGGAAACCGCGGTTGAGAAGCTCATCGGCCTCATCGAGGACGAGCATCTTGATATGGCGAGTGCGCAAGTTGCGGCGACGGATCATATCAGCCACACGACCAGGAGTTCCAGAAACAACGTGCTGGCCGTAGTCGAGCTTGCGGATATCCTCGCCAATGTTTGTTCCTCCAATACAGGCGTGGCATTGAACATTCATGTAATCACCGAGAGCCATGACGACGGATTGAATCTGGGTTGCGAGTTCACGAGTCGGGGACAGGACCAGAGCTGTACCAAGAAACTGCGATTAGAATTATACGCCCTCCAGTGGAAGGACTTTCCACATACCTTGGGTCTCGCGTACGACAGTATCAATGACCTGCAAAGTACTGATAGCGAATGTGGCGGTTTTACCAGTACCTGACTGGGCCTGAGCAATAGTGTCGCGACCTTTGCAGATCTGAACAATCGCACGCGATTGCACGGCCGAAGGTGATTCGTATCCGTAAGCGTAAATTCCACGAAGCAGGCTCTCCTTCAGGTGCATATCCTCGAAAGTAGGCGCCACTGTCACCTCCTTGGAGGTGCTAAACTCCATGCGCTCTGCCTCCTGTTAGTCCAGTTCACTTTGCTTAGGCTGGGGTCGCATACCCTCGGCGCGTCTGTCGATTCCGTCCGCCATGATTAAATGGTGAGTAGTTCAACGGCGGGGAATAAATGAAATCGGAATTCACGACAAGTGAAAGCCTAAAGAAGTGAGGTCAACGACCCAACTTTTCGCGGTGGAAGTGGTTGCAGTCACATGACCTTCCCGCGAGCTTCAGCTGCCAATCGCCAACTTCTTTTAGCGATCACTACGTGACGTCTTCCACACTTTTTGCGTGCAGCCAATAAAGAAACTGGAACCGTTGTCGCGCTCACAAAATGTTGCTTGAGGATCAACGGTACCTCCATGAGGATCTGGAGCGGTTGGAGCAGGCTGTCGCTGATCGCGTGGCGGAGGAGCCGCGAAACGTGAGTCTACGCCGAGAATCGTCTGTTACATCGTTTGCTAATAGCCAATTTTACAGGTCCGCGAACGCCTAGCCCGTGATCATGAAGTCGCCAAATTTCTTGATAGAATTGAGGAACAATCGAAGCGACTCCTCGAAATTTACAAGGATGCCGATGGGCTACGAGAGAAGGAAGTGCAGTCAATTTCGACCGGCGATCAATTCGAAGAATTCTACAAGCAACTCGCCGAAATCAAAGATTTTCACAAGCGCTACCCCAATGAACCTACCGAGAACCTTGAACGTGCATACAAGCGCCATGAACCCGGCGAAGGCGAGTTTTTGGGTAAGGAGATCGACAATATGTTCACTGGTGAAGAAGGATTTGGACAGTATCTGGATCTTACAAAGCCTCATGAGGACTACCTGAACCTGCACGGGGCCAAGCGATTGACCTACACCCAATATCTCGACACCTTCGATATCTTTACACCACCCACCCTATCCATCAAGCGCAAAGACAAGATCAACGATCGGTACTTCGGTTATGTCGGAGAGCTTGCCAGTTATCTAGAGAATTTTCTGAGGAAAGTGAGACCACTAGAAGATTTGGACAAGCTTTTCGCTAGTTTCGATGAACAATTCGAAAAGCAATGGGCAGCGAAGGAGATCCCGGGCTGGACTGAGGAGAAGACTGAGAATGGCACTTCTGGTCCGACAACCCAAGGAACTGGTGAGGGCACTTGGTGTCCGGATTGTGAGAAGGAGTTCAAGAATGAGAACGTCTACCGGAATCACTTGACAGGCAAGAAACACATTCGCGCAGCAGAAGCCCGCAAGTCTGGCGAAGCGCCATCCGCAACCGCAAGCAAGGGAACATCTGCGGCCTACAGCATGAAGGAACGTGCAATCGCAGAGCGTGAACACCGAATCCGATGCTTGACGGATGTCCTGAAGACAGAGCGACAAGCCACGAAGATCAACGTTGAGCGACGACAGGGTATGACTGAACGTGAACGCCAAATGGAATTGGAGGCTATTTTGGCCGAGCCCGAGACTGCAGGTGCCGAAGGTCAAGCTGGAGAGGAGTCAGATGGTGACGACGAGGAGCGTGTTTACAACCCATTGAAACTGCCCCTGGCCTGGGATGGTAAACCCATTCCATACTGGCTTTACAAGCTCCATGGTCTTGGAGTCGAATATCCTTGCGAGATCTGTGGAAATTACGTGTACATGGGTCGACGGGCATTCGATAAGCACTTCTCCGAGTCTACTCACATCTACGGCTTGAAGTGTCTCGGTATCACATCGAATACTAACCTCTTCCGAGAGATCACCCGAATCAGCGAGGCCATGGCCCTCTGGGATACACTTGAGAAGGACCGAAAGAAGGACAGAGACTCTCGCGACAATGTGGTTCAGATGGAGGATGCTGAGGGTAACGTTATGCCCGAACGGATTTACTTGGAGTACGTGTTTTCCTCTCCCTCTTTATCTTTCACATGTACTAACATATTGTAGTCTGCAAAAGCAGGGTATTCTTTGAGCGAAGACAGATATTATGTTTCTTTCCAATACCATCAGGCGTCTTTCATCTTATCCAAAAGGCCCGGAGTTTGGCGAATGTTTACTTCTCTGGGCAGGGGGCTCATAAGCCTTGTCACAACTGGGACTTTGCTTCCATTTGGTGTACAATTAGCAATTTACGATCTATACTGAACATTCAGTCCTCCATATCCAGTCCGTAATCTCTTAATCGTGAATTCAGAATAGTCTTCTTTATTTCAAGACCCCTTCTTTTTCTGAACTGATACGACACATAAAGCAGTCGGGTGCAACAATCAGCCATTATCTAGGCCTGCCACTTTTTGCTGCTTGCATACTGAACAAACGATTCCTCTCCATGTTCAATTCGAATAGAAACTCGAAGGGCGAACTAAATCGCCGGATCATCATCCAAAGCGCTCGTGGCATAAGCATTGGGATACCATTCACTTGGTGATGTTAGTTCGGCTTTCACAAAAAATACTCGGACAGCTCGGAGGAGCCTAATGGATCCGAAACGTTGCATGGTTGACGTTGAATTGATAGGTGCTAAAATTTTCTTTCTTCTCCTCGTGGCCGCAGTTTTGGTATCCCGTGACAAGTGGGAGGTATTTTCGATTGACTACTTTGTGATTTTTGTCAACACCACTGCGTGGCTGGTCTCTTCTCTCCTTTGAGTCCAACCTTTCATTGTGGCCCTTCTATTGCTGACCGCCTCAGGCAAAACATTTTCGTCTACAAGGCATTCAACAGTCTCGATATCGAAAATCCGAGCCTCATTCCAGACCTCTTTGACAGCATCATCGTCCTCTCTTCCATGAATTCGGGGTGCTCCATCCTTTGCTTCCTTCGCAGACTCGTAGTCCTTGACTCCAGCAAATTCAGGCGTATCTTTCTGGACTTCTTTAAGCAGAATTCTGACGTTGGCAATTGTTTCTGGCGAGATAACACCGTGCCGCCGTATTCTGGGCTGTGGAACACGTCGACTATGTTGACTTGGCTGTCGTGGTAGAATTTTGGAGAGGATAAGCATTCCGAGCCTCAATGGTCCTTCGGCATACTCTGTTAGACGTTGAATGTCTTTTTCATTTGAATACTAATTTTTCGAGCTGTACCCTCTAGGTTAGATTGATCATTTCCAGCTCTGGTGACAATGGTTCGATTCTGTTGCATCTTTCGTATTCCAGCCCACAAATGACCAATGCCATCGTCAGAGCGCTCAGATAAAATGCTGGAAACATTTTAACATCTGCCGCTGTTGCATCAAACCTGAACAGAGCTCCAATGCTGACAGCTGTCGGGCCTTTATCAGACCAAAGTTTGGTAAGAGAGGCCGGAGACTTCACGAAGATCCGTTCAATCGCATGATCCTTGAGTCTTATCCAAATGCGGTGATTCATGTCTTGAAGATGCAATACAAGCGTCGAGGATCGCTCATCTTCTGTAAGTGCCACCGTTTCTGCTAATTCTTCGCAAAGCAGAATAACTCATAGGTTGCTTCCCCCGGTCAGATCCTGGGCGTATGCCGCAAGTTTGTTCGTGTGCACTAGACAGTGGGCTTACCTGGAATGTTCTAGGTATGAGTTTGTACTTTCGGAAGTTGGCTAACAATATCAGAGAGCTTGTGTCCGTGAAGCCGCTTTCCCTCAACCCCCACGGACGGAGAACACATTTTCGCCATTTTCATGACATGGAACACTGTCTACCACAATTCCAATGGAACCTTCTGTAGTCCCGATAGGGGCTGTCAGGTCATCTTAGGTGATGGCTGTCTTGGGCCTGCTTCCACTCCAAGACTTTTTCTGATCGTCGTAGCCCTGACTTGGGGACCAAAGCGCGAACAGCTACTAGGTTTATCTTTACCTGGCCGGGGAAGGATAACAAGTTCAAAAAAAAAAGTAGATGAAAAAAGAAGTAAATTTCATCTTCAACTGAAAGAGGGAAAATGAAAAACTCGAGGATTGCAAAAGCAAAAAGAGAATCGTCAGCTGTAGGATTCGAACCTACGCCCGCGAACGGAATTGATTTCGAGTCAATCGCCTTAACCACTCGGCCAAACTGACGGTGGATGAGAGAAAATCTCCAGATCGAAGATTATAAACAAAAAGAGCTATTTCGTACTATGTTTTTTTCCTTTTGAGGCCTGCACAAGCGATGTGCCAATTGTATTTACCCACTGTATATCAAATTCCCTGTTTAAAGTCCTACTTATTAACAAGTCTTCGAATATTTAGTTCAATGAACAATATATCTAGGCTAAGTATAGTAAATATCCATAGAGAGTCACTTAAGAAATTGGCATCAAGTTGTGTGTGGAAGTGGGGACTGTTCATATGAGAGACCAATCAGAGATAACAATTCGATGTTTTCTAGGGCTATCTTTTGCTGGCGAGTCAGTCGGTCACGACACAACAAAAAAAAGCTCATGTAAAAGGGTGAGAGTAAATTAACGCAAGCAAAAAGAGAAAGCTCAAAAGATGAGACGTCAGCTAGAGGATTCGAACCTCTGCCCGCGAACGGAATTGATTTCTAGTCAATCGCCTTAACCACTCGGCCAAACTGACGGTGGATATTAAGTTTTCCCCATTATGGCTAGGAGACCCAGAAAAATTGATTGGGCTAACTACAGCTTGATAGCAACGGGACGGAGGCTGCCACCCCACATTCGTTCGCATCAATCGAACGGATAAGACAAGGTGGATTCTTGCTAGGATAAAATCTCATTAAAAATAGGGCATATTTCAGTTATAGCCCATATAACAGGTTTGTAGCCCACTTTTTCATAGTGTCCCCTCATTTTTGCCTGTTCGTAATCGACTTGATACAAATTCTTAATGACATGATACTGGCCTTGATAGAGATAGCTTTGAGCTAGAGACAGCGATACAAGTGGCATATCTATATTAACTCTCTTATTTCTTGCTTGGGCCTCATAATAGTGGATCGCTAGCTATTTTTGGGGCTCAGCGAATGGTTCCTTTGAGCCCTTTGGTGGAATCCTTTCCATGGAGACTAGGATAAGAATGCAGGGAAGACGGACTTAGCTCTATGGGATGTAACAAAATATGTAGATCGGGACAAATCTAACGTGGCTCGCATTGTTGACTATTTGGATTTAAATTGCGTCTCTGTCTGCTGTGCTAGTGTATGTTTAAGAAGTCCCCTACACTCAAGCTCGTTTTCTGCTTGATACGCAAAGTCATGCGCTATGATTTTCAGTATCTTGCAATCATTCATTTCACCGAATGCCGGCAAACACTGTCTATCGTTACCAGGCCCTTATCCCTTTCTTCAAATTTTTGGATCTTTCATTGCCTAAACTCAATTCTATTCCGAGATGAGACGAAGAAAGAAGTGCTTTGTTTTTTCCTGAATTTGAAATTCTGGACAGCGTAGTCCATTTCTTGGTATGGCAGTCAATGAATGTTCATTTCGCTCCATGCACGACTAGTGTTGGCATGCAATTATCAAGGATGGTGGGGGGGGGGGGGGGCGGTTGAATATGATTAACTACCTAGTTCAGTACGACTAGACAATTAGTAAAATGTGAGTGTCTGTGCAGCTATGGAAAATTTGTTCGTCAGGTCCTCCGTACAGCTATTGCTATATGATGGGGAGATAAACACGCTTCTCGGGACTTATGATGTAATCGATGGATGAGCATGGCTTTTGTAGCAACCATTTCAGTTCTTAATTTCCTAGTCTATTGGCAATTCAAGTAAATAGGGTGATATACGTGAGTAAGTGCTCTAACAGCGTTCATCTTACCAATCCTACGATGGAATCCTCATTACAGCTTATTCAAATGCCTATTGTCTATAAAGGTGTACCATGCGCGTGCAGTTTGGTTCTATCGATTGTCCTTAGGCCGCCAGTTGTCACATTTTCGATCAATTTAGTGAAGAGCAATTTGAAGTAATATGTTCTTTCTTTGCATGGCAGTTACATTGTCTGAACCATATAGATACTAGTCCCCGGAGATGATAAATGAAGTTAGAGTCGAGGATTAGGAAGCTACAATGGAAATTGTATGTTCTATATAACAACCTCGCCTCGAGAGCATGTCTCGAATGTGGACACTGCTCAATAGCCGCTATGGAACTTTCTCTGTGTTTGATCATGTGGCTTTCCTGCAGACTTAATGTATAGCGAATGCTCGCCGTATCTCCTTGTTGATCAAAGCTACTGTATCGCAAAATTAATCAGTCAGAACGAATAGACTTTAGGTTCAAACGTTCAGTATAATCACTTAGAAGCTTAATATCGGGTTTCATTGAATTTTCTAAATATTCCTTATCTGACAGAATAGCATACAAATCAGTGGCTGGCTAAACGGTAAAACGTAGGCTATGCAAAAAGATATAGATATGCAAAAAGATGAAACGTCAGCTAGAGGATTCGAACCTCTGCCCGCGAACGGAATTGATTTCTAGTCAATCGCCTTAACCACTCGGCCAAACTGACAGTAGTTGAAATTTCTGCGGATTTTATGCTAGAAGAGCAGTTTGAGCTTACGGCTTGAAAGAAGGAAAAAGGATTTTGCCTTGACCTTAAGACTTAAATATACCCGGGGAGAGCAAAAAGAAATTTGAACAAAAAATAGAATCGTCAGCTAGAGGATTCGAACCTCTGCCCGCGAACGGAATTGATTTCTAGTCAATCGCCTTAACCACTCGGCCAAACTGACAGTAGATAGAGTTTTTGCCAAATTTACAGTATACACACCAAAGTGAGCTTATGATGTTGAAGTGTCAATTTTGCGTCATGCATTTTTGTTAAAAAGGTTTTATTACAACCCTATTTCTGAATAAGACATAAGAAAAGGGTTTTTACCTTGACCCTAGGACTTGAAATACCAGGGGGAAGGGCAAAAAGAGATCTGAACAAAAAAATAGAATCGTCAGCTAGAGGATTCGAACCTCTGCCCGCGAACGGAATTGATTTCTAGTCAATCGCCTTAACCACTCGGCCAAACTGACAACTGATTGGAAATTTGGCAGAAGTTTGCTAATATGAAGAACAACCCGTTACAGGTCCAATGAGGTATATTGCAAATATCACGCAGGTCAGATCGGTCGGCAGATACGCCATCCCTTTACTATAATTACTTACATAGGGTGTACTGTCTATATAAATAAGTTGGGACACTTTCTATTTCGTAGTTAATTATTAACATCTGCTGTACCGTTCCAGCCTCGTCGGTCTTTTTATTAACCCCTTATGTGTAGCTGGGGAGTTCTTCTTGAGTTAAAAACTATTGTAGGGGTATATTTTCTCCCTAGTGGGTCTCAGGTGTCTGGTTTGTTTCGGTGTGGAATATCCTTGTTGTGTGGAGTTCTGGCTGTCTATTCCTGGTGGGCTTTGCTGCTGTAGCTGATCGAGTAGTTCTGAGTAAGATGGTTCCTAATCTAGTTTTTGTAGCATGAAATTGCTTTGTCTATTTTCGATACACACTCCCTCTTTGTTTGCATCTAACTGGTCACGGACCTTTCTAGATAATTATCATCGTACTGGCTAGCTGCGTCGACCTTGGATCACTGTGTCGGTCTCTATGGGTAGAGGTCAAACTATTACTGTATGGCTATGTATGCATTGTTCTTTGTGTGTTGCTGTTTTTTCGGCTCTTGGTTTTTCCATGGTTGTATTCGCATCGGTTTTTTGGATATATATATATGTTGAAACCGACGATGCAGGGTAATGAGCTGCTTTGGATTTTGGTGTCTCCAGACCTTACCTGAAAATTATTGATATAGCCATCGAAAGAACCGAATCTAGACGATGATAACCTCGCAAAAGGTCACCGCCGAGGCCCTTCATAATATAACAAGAAGCCCCTGCACAACCACATGCCAGCGGCTCTATATCAAGCGTCCCGTCTACCCCATTCATTAGTTTGATACCGCAATCGTACTCTAGATAGAGATCTAGTTTGATCAACGGGTATATGAGAGCACTCCAACTAGAAGCCGACAGAACCAGTGGCTCTTTCCCACCAGGTGTGCCATCAAAAGGCTAGTCGACTCGACCAACGCAGGCAGGTCGCTAACGGAAGATCCATGAACATTGTAAGTTCGACTAGACGCTAAAATCCTCAGATATACACACGCTCAAGCATAATGATGGTGAGAACAAGTCACTCCGAAAAAGTTCCACTGCTTCAAGATGTAGATTTA